TATAAATTCTACTCTTGATGCACTATTGAAGGAAGCTGGCTGGTGCTGCCATGGAGAACGAAGAATGAAATAACTCTTTGCAAACGGTATGAGAAGAACAAAATTATCACAATAGTACCATGGCCACTTTTTTGTAGCGTCTGATAGAAATTGAAGATTGCTAGACTTATGTTTATTACCTAGAGTGCAATCTATGAGTAACTGAAGTCGTCACGTGGTATTATCACCCTCGTTTCCAGACCTAACGAGTTAAATAGGCGCAGAAAGCCTGACAACGACTCACGTTTCATTAAGTCGACGATATGAATATCACTGACACAGCACAGCATGGAAGATATCTACGGTATTTGCAGTGATCAGGAAATACAGTGCCGAGCTTGCGCGGACCCATAGACGCCATGACGCATTCCCTAAACTCGTGCGGGTTTTGCAGGGAACCCAACAAGGAACGCCCTTTCATATTACCTTACTGAGACTTCGGGTGGGAGGGCCTGTGGACTCCTCCTTTGTTTGGTCAAAGTTATTCTACTAGACTCGTCTGTTCTGACTTCTTTATTTTCTTTGTTTTAGGTGACTCGTAAACATAACAGGGTACTTCTGGGCTATTTTAAGACGTTTCCAATGTTATCCTAATATGAAATAATTCACATTTAAGAATATTTTTGCCTCTAATTTGGTTAAGGGGTTTAAAAATTTAAAAGGTTTGCTGCAAAATGATGTAATTTCCTAATTATTATAGAGGAGAAGACTGGCCGTGTGATGTAAAAAATAAACAGCGTTTGAACAGCCTCTTTCAGAAAATGAAACTAACTGGATCAACTTACTGCAACTGGTTAAATTTTTTGCTTCATTTTTACGATAACAAGGAAGGAAAATTTCTGTGCCTTTGTTTAAGCGATCAACAGGCCTCGAGTAATACCAATCAGTGGGTTTATAAGTCAATGAACGTTTTTTTCAGTCTTAGCAATGCTGGACGATGTCCTCAAAAAATAAACGCTGACACAAATCGTTTGCGTAAATTGCATATGGTCCCAAAAAAGCGGTTCTACTTTGCTCTGAAATAGTTCTTAATATCATGTCACTCTTTTACATAGGAACCTCATTCGTAAGATCAAATGAAACAAGGTGTTACTCACAACTGACGAAACTTTAGTCCAAATTAAGCTCTGCTTTTGGTCATACGGCTTTCTTCTTTACCTTCTGCATTTCACACCGCGGATAATGTCTATCGACAGTCGCTCTAATAACCTAGACTACTGATGATCCCAGTGGAAGACCTCATTTCAAAATACGCTCCCGATCGTCAATAGAACAGATACTGATAGAACACGTCGGAACATCCTTAAGCTAGCAGATGAATCTTTAGTTGAAATGTGTACTGATGTCAGTGTAAAGGAAAAAAAAGTGAAGAACCCCACAAGCTTTCAGCTTTTATACATATCGTGTATAAATAAAGTTACCCTATCGAGGTTTGCCGATTTTTATTCAATAACTGTAAGTTTTCTACCGCTCATTTTCTTATACAAATATTCAGTTTCATTCCCAAAACTACTCAATTAAATATTATGGTAAACTCTGTCTCGTTTTTCTGATGGTCTAAAAGTCCAAAGGGTGAGGCATACGTAACTCTATTTTTCTTGGTCCGCCAAAGAATTTTACGAATTGGCTGAGCATTTGAATTCGATGTGAGAGAGAGCCAAAGAAAACAAAACGGGAGAGATGATAAATTTTGAACTCGGTCTTCGAATAAAGAAAGATACATACATACAATCTCTGCTAGGCTTTTTACGCACAGGGCTTCAAACATTGCCTATCCCAACAGAATACAGGACGTGTGTCATAGATAAAAATAGTACAATAAGGTTTTCCTCTTTGTTTCATGCTCGCGGCAGATGCAATATTTTTCATAGAAATATTGGCATCTGTGATTTAATGGGTGCTTGTTTTCTTACCTTACTTCCCAGTTGAAAGGGTGTCAACTTTCCCCTCATTCAAATCCCTTTCTCTACAAGCTGCCATTATTTCGCTCACATAAAACCTTAAAAGGAAAAAATAAGATTTAAACGATTAAAAAGATTTCACCAATAAATATTGTTAGGACTTCACTTATTTAAACTTGGAAGTCTGTAATTTTTGTCGCGGATATAGCAGACGTTTGATACGAAAGGAAGAAAATTTTGGGATACCCACAACGATTGAATCGAAATTTTGAATTGTCATAAACTTTGAAATTAAAGTCAGTGTGACATTCTCTAATTTGATGCGCTGATCTCTTTTATGATTGAACTTTGTTCGGTAGAGCACTTACACAAGCACCCTATAGGATGCGGTTCTCGCCATTTTTATGTCCAGCTTGCAAAACGTGAAGACCTTACATCAACATTTCCCACTAATATCATTTGCCCGACAAGTCTCGAGGTTTGAGTTGGTACACATCTAAAAGTAAACCTTGAAGCTTTTGATGATTCTGGTGAACACTCTCTTCAGAGTTGTGACACAAATTATGGCTGTACAGTTGATGGTTTTGCTGTTTAAAGCTGCAAATTTGGTGTTTCATATTTCGCTTGTATTGGGTTTCGGAGGTAAAGCTAGCCTATTGAATTCATGCCAATAAAAATTTTTGTCAGGTATGCTTTGGCCTCCAGGAAAGCTGTAATTCAATCCTGGGCCCCTCAGTGAAATTGTTTAGGCAAATCTGCACCTTTCACTCTCGCCGCTAAATAGTTCCACTACCTTGATTAAAAGGAAAACAGATTTCTCTGCGTAACTGTTCATGCATAACTAAAACTTTCTCTGACGATTTTCTGAAAGGTTTACAAAAATGTTTTTTTTTTCGTTTCTTCATCAGCTGTTCGACTTAAGCGGAAAACCCCTCTTGATGATGCTTTCTAACAATTATCACAGAAAGAATGTATTGTTATCACGGGATGTTGTTTTCAGCACAATCCTCAAAATTTACATGTTTTGACAGATACTCAAGATGTATTTATTGTTTGCAGTTTTCTTGATGAGAATTTATAACGGTCAGTCTAAGATTGAAGTCTAATACCATCCTTTCATTTCTGTTTCATTCCAATAAAGATATTTCATTTTAATCCAACTTAAACATACAGTTCCCACATATGGAGCGTGTCTTCAGGACATGCATGATATTATTAGCGAAAAATATGAAACGTTCGTCTACCCAATAGAGTTGCTCTCTACCTGATCTTGATAGAAAAATTATTAAGAATTAAAATCGGACCGAGACGTGGAGTACGAATGATACAAAATACACGAATCTTAGAATACATGTAAAGTTTCATCCAGTTGCAACCGACAAAGTTGCTCTTTCGATCTCGTTTATGACCAGCTAGTATGCTTTCAAATAATGTTAAACAAATCAATTTTGAAGCCTCTACGATGCAAAGGTTTGAGGGTTAAGTTGAAAGAATGGGAGTATATGGGCTGCTGAAAGACAATGAGGTGAGTTCTCATCCATAGTCTTAGGCTGGATCAACAATGGGGCTTTTAGACAAAGACAGTTGAAGAAACAAAGACCCACTGGGTTGCTATATCAAGCCTAGTCCATCAAATTGAACATCATTTGTATATCACTATAAATCTTAAAGGAACATTAAGTGATCGGAAAAATAATTAAATTAGAAGATTTTACCGACACTCTATTATCCAACAGAAGTGTCTTAGACCACGGTTTACCACCGAAGATAATTACCACGACAACTAACTGTATAATTAGCCGAAGCAGTCATCATGGAAATGTGTGTAGATGAAGAATTACCTGTTAAGAAGACGTGTCTCCTGACACCTTCCATTTCATAAACAACCGTTCGAAAGCTGTTGAATGCACGCGCCTCTTTTTACACCTTGTTAGAAAACGGTCATGTTTTTCACTTCGGTAATTTTCAAAAGATCCACTTATCGTGCTTCACAGGTAGTTTTTTCACGGCGAGTTACGCCAGAATAATATGAAAAGCATACATGCATGGGAGACTTTTAGTCTACTCCCACGTAGAGACAGGTTTCGGGCCAAGTAAAATCATAAATCAAGCGAATTACTTTGAGATGACATGCGCGTCACACGCAATACCTTATATGCTACTTACAACACTGGAAAGTAAATACTTAGATAAATATCATTTTACCAAAGAATATTGAACGAATCCAAGCCACTAAATCCTTTCCTTTAGAAATAAAATGACTTAAGCTCATAGCATCTGTGAGAAAATTTCGAAAAAACGCCCTTTTCCGCGATTAGACATCTGGCCCCAAAATAGAAAAAGAAACAGTTTAGAAATTATTGCTATTTTTTAACAAAATACGAAACCAGTATTGATTGACATTGAATCACCAAGGAAGCAAACTGTCCCATGAATGATTTATCATTTAACTGCTATGTTTGACTCTACTTCATATCTCTGTTTCATGTCCTTTCCTAAAGAGATTTTGGTTTTTATCGGCTCCGAACAAACCTGAAACCTGGGGCGGTGTTTCTCACGAAAGATCCAAGCTATGTCGAAAAAAATTTTTTAAAAAAAGATTGAAAATATTGTTGCAAAAATAAATCTAAAACACATTTTTAAAAGTTTAAAAACATCGATACTACTGCGATTCCTATTTTTTGGGTACAATTTCAATAGTACAAAGACTTTTGAAATCACGAGGCGAAAACTTTTAGGCATGGCTAATCATGCTGCGGTGGTTGTTTATTACAGCACTACATGGTTTACCTTAAGGTCCAATATAGGATTGCACATATTCAAAGGGAAAATTTGCACAAATCTTTCCGTTTTGGAGGTAAATCCATTTCGTGATATAAAAAACCGATTTATGAAATTTAATAATGGATTGACAGTCAGGCGCAACACAGTCAGTTCTCAATGTGAAGTATTTGTCTCTGGGTCAAAAACTGTGACGTTTAGTCGACGTAAAATATGGTTTTGACTTCAAAGTACTTTAAGGGTTAAACCTATGAATAAAACACGCAGTAGGAAGTGAAACTTATACGAGTATTTCTTCGCATCTTGGTACGTGATACAGCACAACCCCTCGCTATTTTCGCATGCGGTTGGTGTATTCACAGCTTTTTCTCATCTTCCCTTGGTGAAGACAATTTAATGACGAAACTCTATAATGTGAAAAGAGGAAAAAGCTATCAAGGTAACATTACTTTATAGTTATCAAAGGTAAAACTGGCATCGATTTGGTTGCCTGTAATATAAGTGTTAGCGGTATCACTCATAACTTTCAAAACTCCTTTGGTTGTTAATCCTTCGACATTCGACTGTCATACTGGGCGTGCCATCCCAAAGGTTTTTTTTCTTGCGAGTGATTGATTTTTGATCGGGTAGAGAATATTTTATCACACCTGCACAGACCTCTTTTTTTTTATAACTCAAATTAAGCTTAATTATTTTAATCCTGAATACTGCTATATTTTAATGCTTAGAACAATCTGCTGCATGATTGCGGTTTGACGGTGTACATTTAGAACACAATCGTTCGTGAAATCACACCGAGAAAGAACTGGCCACCATTTCAGTCTGCAACAGGGAATGAGAAACTCACGGAACTGATTAAAATAGTTTATTTAATGTCATGTCTTCCTCTTCAGTGCAATGAAAGTAAATTAGAGATTACACGGCCAAAGTGTGAAAAATAATTAAACATTTCGCAGCGGTACACAGGGCGATCTTTTCGCGAACAAATGCGAATGCTGTAAGCAAATTGTTGATGCGTACTCCGTATTCACCTTGTTTGTTCAGTTATGAAGATTTTCTCGACTCTGTTGGAAGCACGATAGGTTTTGCTGCTTTTACAGAGTTGTAGAAGGTTGTAACATTTAACTCATCAGTTTGGATGCACTGAAGGTTTTTACGCTGTCATATGAAATCGGAAATCGAGGACAACTATGTACACTGATACCCTGGGGAAAATGTCCCGATCGAGAAAAAAAAAATCCCTAATTGTATTAGTCAAAGGTGCTCGGGAAAATTTACCTTTAGCCGAAAAAACTCTTAAATGTGTCAGTTACTAACATATTCAACCACAAAAAGGACATTCGGTGTACGAATCGGCAAATGAACTCGGGATTATGTCTGCTGTTAGAGATCAACCTCTTTAGCGAGGCTGACATTTTTCACACCTCGGTAGAGATTTTGTTTACGGGCAATTACGCTTGTTAAAGGAGCTGCTAATCGGTTTCAATAGCAAAGAAACTGAATATTCTGTTATGCGGGAGCTACTGAGTTAGCACTGCCGTTGAATGTTACCGCATCTGGAAAACAAAACATTGTACACGAAGCATCCCCATGCATGAAAGAGAACTGTACAATAGGCTCTTCACGAAACACAGACAAAATTTCATATATTTGTATTCTCATTTGTTGCATAGTTTTTGCACAGTAGGAATTGAGGGGAAACTATATAAATCGATTCCCTCGTTGACACATTCTTACGAATCTTAGAGGTCTGAGATGTTTAATAAGCGAATGATTGCTGTTAGTCAAACCGTCTAAAAGAGCATGGAAAGCGGTGGATAATCCAAACTTCGGTCATTATCGACTCAGCAAAAAAAAAAAGGTTTTTCTCTCGAACTAAGAAACAATTGAATTAAGACTTTTTAATACAAAACTCTGCGCAGCTGAACCGAGATTTTGATCGGCTCTTTTAGATGAAAGAAAACAATGAAGGCATTGATTATACCTCAAGCGCACGTTTCAAATACCACTTTAAGAATACTTGCTTACGAACAACGAGTAGCCCATTCTCTAAAGATTTCAGATAGGACATAATACAGCGTTACTCTATCAAGTAAAAGATGATATTCAAAGTGTCACTTGTAATTTGTGGTGGGGTGAAATGATTTTTGTTTTGAACGAAAGTATGCTGTCGTTTTCACTAAAGGCTGACGCGATTTACTAAACAAAGAATATATCTGCTTGGTCTAAAACAATCAAACTATACAGATGTTATTTATCAAAGAACAAAAGGTTGTTTTGCTTCAGAAATAATGGTAAAAAGGCGGCTAAAGTTAAAAATATCTTGCAAAAATAAGTAGCAGTTGGTTGATGATAAAACACAAACCCTCCAACTCTGTGGCGAAGAAGAATTGTGGCTCTTATTGTCGGAAGTTTGTTTAAAGAAAAACCCTTGATCTCTATCGATCTTAATCATGCAAATTTCTCGTTTTGCCTCGCAGGCATGAATGTGTCGTTGTATTAATTGTTTTTATTAAATAATTTGCTTAATCAAACATATAACTTCACAATGTCTTTACCACTCAGTGACCCTTGAACATGGCTTCATCAAAACACCGCTAATGATAATCACGAACAAACGCTCGAATGTCTTTTCCACAGTTATTTATTTGAAAAAATGTAGTCAAGGAGATGATTTTTTATTCCCTTACTGATGGAATAAATTCATTATCTTAACAGACTTAAGTCATACTTACGCAGTTGTCTTTGTGACAAAAGAGAAACCATTTTCGTGTAGAGGCACTTTTTGCCATGTACTAAGAGCGGAAGAGTCTATTGTATTTTGCCGTCTAGGTACAAAGAGATGGCCATAAGGCGCTCAGCAAGAGAGTGAATTTCATCAGTACCACATTTATATTTGCCCAGTTTAAAGAACGCCTTGCAAACAGGAAGCTCTAATCATTGTTACACTCGAGTACAGTTTAGCACAAACTCGGCGGTGCAAGTAAAATATACTACTGAGTCCAGACTTTGGTAACTATAAATTTATTGTGACAATGAAAACGCTTTTTCACAAAACCTTTTAAATATATACTTACAAGTGAAAGAAATCTCGATAAATGGAGTTTTGCGTTTGAACAGCGTTTTTAACCACCGGAGATTTTAATCCTACTAAAGAGAAGTGCATAAGAAATTTAACACAAATTTCTTTGACTAAAATGCCGCCTCGCACAGCGGCATTCGATAAAACGACGAACGAGATTGATATTGAGTAAAGATAAAAACAAGTAAGTAAGAAGCGTAAACTAGGCTGAATATTCTTTGAAGATTCGTAAAGTGGAGAAGTTCGTTGGCGAGAAACAAAACGTTCAAAGTGACGCAGTGGAAGTGCCTTCGTGTCTCTGTTTAGACGAATCGGCTTAACACCTCATTTGTAACCCGTTGCTGTCTGACTCAATTCCTGAACGAGTTTTCATGTTTTACAATTATTTACAACTTCACAATCTTTCAGTGCTTGTTTGATCGTAAAGAACTTGTGACGAAAGTCGAGGTTATGTTATGCGCAGACAAAGAAAGAGTTCAAATTGCAAATGTAGCGGAATAAACCTTTCGCCGTAATTTGTAACACTTCGATGGCTGTCTAACGCTCCATTCGTCCGACGCAAAGGAAGAGAAAATTTTTATACACCTTCAAGTCTGCTAAAAAGAGGATTACAACAAATTATAATTGATTATCTCTGAACGGGTGTATCTCGCCTATCTTGTACATCCTCGCCGCATTCCTCTACTTGTGGGAATCACGGGTTTGTTGTCCTTTTTCCATTTCATACGCCGATTTTGGAACCAAATTTTGATTTGTCGTTCAGAGAGCTGCAACATCGTGGCCATTTCTGAACGTCTCTCTTTCGTAAGATACCTCGTGAAGTGAAATTCTTTTTCTAATTCCAGAATTTGGTTTCTCTTGTAAGCCACTCGTCGGCGATGCTTGAAAGGTTGTTTATAATGCCATGGTACATCTCTCTCGTCTTCACCGTCTAAATATTTGAACAAAGTTGAATTCCATGAAAACATGTTCTCGCATATGAAGAAAAATTGTTTAATTCAAATAGATTGTAATACTGAACTTAAATATAATGAATTTAAATATCAGAGTTACCTTTTGATTTGCATGCAAGACTGATGCCAAGGGTTTTAAATATTATTTCACCTTTGATTTATTCTATTTTCCATTCAAGTTGACCCGTAAGTAATTGAAACGATTGCACTATCAAATTCGTTCAAACTTCAAGTATACAATTAAACGTTTCCTGAAACTTATCTACTTAGATGCCGGCTGAACTTGACTCATCGTCTTTTTAACAACTAAATCTTCCGTTTGCTCACCTGTTTTGTCTTCTGATTCGCTGGCATCTTTGGCTGATTGGCAAACATCATCGTTATGTTCAGTGGATTCGTGCGTGTCTGTAGAAGTTTCGCTGGGTGATTCTGGAGGAGTTTGAGAGCCGACCGAAACAGGACTGGTACTGCTTTCTGAGTTTGTCATTGGGTTTGGAATGCTTAGAGGAGGGCTTGCAGATATTACCGGCGGCCTGTGGACCTGAGAGTTACGATTTAGCGGGAAAAACGGCGGGGAATAGTAAGAAGGAACACCATATCCATACATAACCGGTGAAGTGTTGAAGTAAGGAGGTGGTCGAACTCTCTGATTTGCTTGGTAAAAGCAGTCCATAGTACGCTCGCGCCGTTGTGCTCAAACGAGTAACTCAAAGTAGAAATGACTAGGGCACCAGTCTGGCGAGAGCAATATTCGCTCTCGCTGTGGTCATAATTTAGTGCTGTAATTAGATAGCCAGATTAATTACATGATTGGCTCCTTAACAAATATGTGACGTCATCGCTATGCTGACTTGGTAAACTGCTGGCGCCGTCGATGCTGCGCGTGCAACAGACCGAAAGAGTTGACACAAATGGGTGATAAATTTAATTAAAAGCCTTCATATAATCTCTTCGTAGATAAATTATAAAGGCGTGGAAAACAAAAACGGAATATTCGAGTTTAATGAAATTTATTATAACAAATTTCTTATCTCATTCATATCGCAATAAATGTTGATTCTCGTTTCGCAAAAATTTCGGACGGGTGGCCTCGCTGAGCACACAAGGTCTGACAAGAAAGGTAAATTTTTGGCACATCATAATTTCAAAAAACATGGCATATCATCTGCATTTTTGGCAATTCATGGTGCTACTCAATGAGAGAGAGGAACATCTTCAATGCATTATTTATGCAGCTTCCCAATCTTACAACCCCCCTAAAAAAGACCGTTATATGGAAATAAACATATTTTTGTACAGGACAGAAAGGCTTAAAATATCTGTAACTAATCGTTGTGTCTCTTAGAGAGGTTCCAGTTGTCACAGCTGGTTGTTAACAAGAGTCGTGTGTATGGATGATAAAAGATCCCCACTAACCCACAATCGGAAACCAAAAAATGCATGCTCTGAAATGACGCGTGCGAATGAAAGCTGCAAAACAAAACAAAAAAAGTTTTCTTTTGGTCCAAAGTTATAATTAATGAGTGTTATTAAAAGGAGATATGGATCTAAACTCAGTTCAGCTATTCAAACAGCACCTTTATTAACTTGCGATCGAAGAAAGAAGACCGCGACATTTACTCCGAACCTGGCGCGCAATTCATAAATCAATAAACTTGCTTGCATGTTCATTTTCAAGTGACACCTTAATTCAATGAGCGCTCAATCCAACTTGTTTGTAATATAAATTAATCGAACTCCTGAACAAATTCAGTGCTAATTTGGACAACGAGAGCCAAATTTATTTACGTATTCACTTTTTTTCACGGATGAATGTCATGAAAGGCTGCATGATAAGCAAAAAAAAGACGCTTGGAAACTTGTAAGATGTCAGAACAATTTCCAGTTTTTGACAGGAGCAAGAACGCTTTAGGGAAGACGGAGCGTTTCCTCTGAGACTCCATAGAAGTGTGACGGTAATTTTAGTCGTCTAAGGAGACTAGATGTCCTGGAAATAGTGCGAATAGCCGTTAATCATGTGTGAAAACTAATGAGAAAGGAGACTAAAGTCGAGCGCGTGTAGCGCCGACAAACTGACATGGTCTTGCGGTAGAAAAAAATTTGAAAAATAGCCAATGAGCATCATCCATCGAAATGAACTACTTTGAGAGAATTACTGAAGGTTTTCGATTAAAAATAAAAGGATGTGTTAGTGATAATAATTCTGCTTTGCAGGTGAAAGTCATAGTAAGTCTAAGCTTCAAAACAACCCTGGATAGGGGAAAGCTTAACATCGATGAAGAAAAAAAACCTGTTTTTTATTTCGCGTAATACAGATAAAAAATGACAACAAAGGATGTACCGAAGCTGTTTTTGTGATCACTTTCTTTTGGTTTTTTTCGGTTAGATAATACTGGCAATTCCAATCTGTGAGTCGATACCCAGAGCTCGACAAAGGCAACTGGACCCTTTTGTAATCTGTTATGGTTTTCTCTGTTTTCAAACAGTACCCTGGGTGCATTCAAGGCACGGACACTGCGGCGCCGGGGGTGGGAAGAACTTCATACGGGCCGCAGCGGGAACAATTCCCGTCGGTCTTTTGTTTTGGCCACGCAGCCATTCATCAAACCTGACTGAAACACGGAGCTCGTTTATTAAAAACAACTTTGTTGAGATCATGGAATGGGTTGGCTATTTACTTATCGCGTGAGTCTTCACCACAAGAAAACTTTGGAAACATTCGCATTGTGCGAAGTCAACCAAGCTTGGAAAACGCAGAGATTTAGTCCCACCGGAAATGCACTAAACGGTAGCCATCGCTTTAATCGCTCTATGATTTCGTCTCATTAGAGCTTAATAAATTACGCATCACTCCATCACATAGGACATGTTGTTAATCGATCTATGTCCCGCTCAGCGTGCGCCTGTCAAATGGTATACTGACCCCTTAAATCAAATGTGCTGCATTTTGTGTTCATAATTCCTTTGAAGTTTCATCCATACGTTTATATAAAGTGTTACTCTTGTTTTCGAAGTGTTTTGAAGTCATTTATTGTTTTATTCATGTAAAGAGTCGCTTAATTAATGAATAAAAACACAACAGCGGCCAGGCACAGTTCAGTGACTTAGGAAAAACTAAAAGAGGCATGTATTCAACATAATTTAGATAGTGTCACAAATGAAATTAACCTAAGCTTCGATGATCCTGAATAACAAATGAATTCTTGAACAAAAAACCACGGTCAGATCGTCAGCTGTGCCACGCAGGTGCTTTACACTAGTTTCCAACCTCGACAAGTTTCAAACTGGTGAGAATATGCGCACAAAGTCTAAGAGTTCTTATTGAAATCATTCAATCATTGTCTCTATAGCATTTATAAATTAACCAATGCCTTTGAAGTGTTAAATATAGTCCTAGGTAGAACGCACTCTAATGTGAAACTTTTAAACTTAAAAAAATGTACGACAATTTTAAGCATAAAAGATTTCATGTGCCAACAAATCAAAAGTTGTTTGACCAACTAACCTCTACTACATTTCCTTAATGTTTTAAATCTTCACACAGGTGAATAAAATGGCTATTCCAAACATGTTATTTTTACTCTCTATAAATACCTCATTTCCGTAAAACCGGCTAAGTATTTCCTAATCGACTTTTAGTTCTGGCTTATCCAGTTTACTCTCTTGTTCAGATACAAAAAGGGCAGATTCCTATTTTTCTACATGTTTCCTTTTGTCGGTTTATACCTTAAAAAAACAGATTTTTGTGGTGGACGGAAAAGGTACAAATATCTTCAAGGGAAATAGGATACTGCTATGAAAATTTAGAGCATTTAAAGTAAGCCTGCATACTTCAGGAAGTGGGAATTTATCCGTTTCCTTTCCGGAAATTTTTAGAAATGAACCGACATTTTGCTGGATGACAAAGCTTATTTCGTGAATAAAGAGAACTTGAGGCCCTGATGGTAGGAAAATAAACTTCTCAGTGGAGAACAGACCCAGCCACCTATCTATAATTCTTGTTCGCGTGACGACATTCCATTGGAAAAAATAGACTTCAAAGTGAATGGGTCATCTAATAACGGATTATTGTACTTCCAAAATTTAATATGCGCCCTATGAATGGTCGCTGAAAACGTGTTGGCGAACTTTTTATCTTGCAATGACGTCAAAAAGTTTTATAAATTTGAGGAAATCAGTGAGTCAACGTGCTACTGTGGTTTGGTGAATGGAGATGCCGAGACTGAATCAAAATAACAGCAAGACATTATAAATAGTTTATAACCTCTTGATTGCACTCAGTGTTTTACCAAAACGGTTTGTTTTTTTCAACTATCTGTCGTACTACTTTTTCACTCATTTCATTTTTGATCTTTGCATCAAACACGTCAAATCACTAATTTCGTAACAACACCTATACCTTCCATCTACTCTCCCTCCGCCCATGATTTCGGCCTAAATTGAAATATCACAAAAAGTGATAAGATTGGGTAAGAGTGGATAATGTTTTAGTTCGTTTGATCCATTTTTGTATTTTAAATCGTTTAAATGGTCAGTGACTACATAACTTTAGAAGCAACGTCCACAAACGTGTTGTCATGCAGCAGGATCCATCATGTCAGAAAAAGAATCAGCAATAGAAAAGATCCGATATATTTGCAATTCGTGTTCAGATGAGGGGTTTTTTTCATTCTATCAGATTGCCATGAACGAAAAGAAGGGTTAAGTGGATAAAAGCGACAAAAATTTGTGTGGTGTTCGTTGTCATCTAAAAGGTTTCCAAGGAACTTTCCGGAATATTAGCGAGTCCTAATCACTCGATGCCATGGCAAATAATTTTTTTATAAGAAATCTAGTTTTCACCAGAGTCACTACTATTGTTAGATCGGGTTCCATCGTAGGGGAGAGAAGCTTGTTACCGCACGCAAAAAATCTCCCATACGACATTTTTCCAAGTCATTTATATAGTTTACAACAACTTATGCACTGAATTGACACTTATAACCAAGTACAAAAAATAAATTCTTAAAATACCAGTCACCTCCCTTTCAAATTTCTTGGTGATATTTTGGTTGTAAATTAAACCCATTGGTTCAAAACCAGGAGCTCATCACTCCTGTTCAAAACTAACTTTTTTTCAACGATTTACACACGACATCTTTGTTATTGATTGAAAATCATAACATAACCTTTTAACCGATCGTCATTTTTGAAACAAACATTTACACTACAAGAAACCTTCCCCGCTTGGCGTGCCCTCTTTCTTGTGAAACGCTTGCTTTTCTTTTTCTTGCGGCTGTCTTCAGTTTGTTTACAACTTGGGCCATGTCTTCTGAGGAGCAGTAGAAAATGTAGGTGGGCCATTCATCACAGCCCTCTCCGTATGTAAACTTTTTCTCCACTAACCGCATCCCAGCTCGGCTAAATAATGTCTCTAACACAGGGAAAACTGTTGGGCAAACCACATTCAGTCCTTTCTCGAGCGCGTAGCTAAAAGCGGAATGAAGAAGCAGCTGGATTATGCTTGGTTGTGTGTTTCTGTAGTCCTTGGCTACCGCCCCTCGTTGCACTTCCACTAACGGTTGGTCGGCCTTTGGGCGGAGAATTCTCTTCATGGACGGTAGTTGACTGGCTGGGTACAGTTCAAGGTCAAGCTTTCCTAAAGAGTTGTTCCGTTGGACTGCTCGGGTAACTCCGATCAGGCTATCTCCTTTGTACGCTCCAAACCAAACAGATGAGTCGTCAAAAGTATCGCAAAGGATAGGTTTGTTTTGGTCGTCTTTATCGATACGAAAACCTGTCGGACTATCACTACGAAAATCCCAGCCCATCTCACTAATATACACCTCGTATAAAAGACGTCTGGCTGCATTTACGGCATCATAGTCGCTCAAAATTCGGACGAACAAGTCCATCACTGAATCCTCAAAGCTTTGCTGTATCAGAGAGAAATTCTGATGATTAATTGTGTTTTTGAAGGTGTTCAGCGATATTGACGGGTTGTACAGGATCTTGAGGTAGTTATAAACCTTAACATCGCGCACTCTGAACTTTCCCGCCGAAGTTCAGTTGCGATGACTTTGCACGTGCACCAGAGAATGTCTCATTGGTCATTTAGGAACCTTGTTCCAAATTTGGAACTGAGAGCACGTGCATTTTCTGAGGTTAACGTCAACTCAGGAGTCTTGTGACCTGAGGCTTGGCAACCGAGAGCCTTCCCGACGGAATGTGCGAATTCTGGTTTATCAAATTTAGAACCTATCTCCCGAATTGTTTGCCACTGGAACGGAAACTCTGTGACAGAAATCTTTGAGTAAACCCACCAGAAAAGTACAACACACAATAAGCAGAAGATAGTTCTGCCAGCCATGACTGCATTTTAACCTTACCAGTCTGGCAATTCTGCTGTGAATCAAAATCAATCATTTGTGAGACCGTCAATCCTAATAGAACCAGCATTATCATCCCACCTGCACGCATCCGTTTACTGTCTTTGTTTGTTTAATATTTCTCGCCTCCCTTAATCTGATTTTGCGTCCTGCAACAGACACCTGTGCACTCAGTCTAGCACAATAAACAGACTCTCCCCCGTTGTATTTGTTTGAGGAAGACAATTGTGCAGTCAAACTTGTGACCCACTATAATATTCATGGGCTCTCGACAAGACAGCATATATTCAAATTGGTGTTAAACTTAAATGCTGTGTTAGCGATGTGATATGTTATACGGATAATAGCCTTTCTCTTGTATCGACCCACAGTCGAGGGCCGGTTACCAGTGTTTTACCGCCGCCTAAAAAAAATGCCTCCTACCGCCGCCTGTTCAGCTTGCATTGCGAGCAAGCTCTCGTGACAAAGTTTCGCCTTAAGCCACAGCCGCGTATAATGCCATCGGCAGCCGCTCATGGAACATTTACTGAAACCCCAACAGGCAATTCTCATTGGAAGTGCGTTCATAAAAACCTTTTCAGCCTAGAGGGGTTTAACGTTGTAATAAAATTTCCGTTAAAAAAAAAAAAAAAGATGTGACTTTACTGACGAGTCTTTCGACACTTTAAGTCGAACATGCAAAAAATGGTTTCATTCAAATTCAAGCTCGTTTCTTTTGTTTACTATTGTCAAGAGTTTGTCTCACGAGTTGAATAAAGAGCTGTACTGATGACTGAAACTCGTGACTGTTGTTAAAGCAACTGTGTAATAGTTAATCGGTATGCGCAAATGGCCGCTACTGTACGGACTGGTACTGAATGAAATTGACAAAGTGAATAATGGTTTACTCTGGGCAAGCATGATTTGGTAACTCGAAAACTCGACGGGCTTTAGATTTTAGATGATTTTAGTTGATTTCTTATAAAGAATTATCTTAAATTTGCCAAAAGGACTGTGAGCAGATATTACCAATTAGCAAAGCGGAATCCCTGCGACGGAAGGCGATTGAAAACCCACGTGCAACTCTGCGCTCGGCCTCAGGTTAGTAACAGATCGGTTGAAGAAATAAAGGGAGTGTTTTAATTTCTTTGCAATATCAAGGATAATTATACCAAGATAAAGAAGGAACTTGGTAACTTATATAGTGGTTTTGGTTTCCTATACGTGTGCCATAATAAGGACTTTTTCTCACTTTTAACCTTTACACACTAACATCAGTATGCATATTTTCCATAACGTTCTCTAAACCTTTCCCATGGTGCTCACATGGAGAATTTTTTATTAACGATAAACGTATTTTAGTGATCATTTCCCTTTTTTCTCGTGAACTTAATGTTGGATTTAAGGATGATATTGCAAAGAGAAATTACAAATTTTGAAAATTTCCGAAATTTAGAGAATTTTAAAACAGCCATTGATTTAAAATGCATTAACGTGTCTCGCTGAGTTTAATTGTAAAACAACAGACCTGGCACTATACTATTTACTATTCTGTAATTTTTTTATGTTTTGACCATAGGTTATGCATGCATAGTTATATGTAAATTTCAAATGAACATGTCCCTAACATTTTTTGGTACTGAATTGCTAAACGTACTCTTCGTCCAGCCGAGACACAAATTTTCTGTCAGTCTCTGCTGACTTTTTGCCATTCAGACAGCGTAGTTGGATCGCATTAATCAACTGCCTTGTACACAGATTTTACCTCAGAAGAAAATAAAACTGGCAAATAATGGAAGAGGATTGTATTTTGCTTTCTTTACGTGTCATATTGTTTTGTTTGTTCATTTCCTTGTTTATCTTGTGGCTAATTGTTGTAAAAGATAAACATTAAGCTACAAATGTTTTAAAATTACATTAGCCGTGACCCCCAAGGAATCTGAGGTGCACCTTGCTTGTGATATGCTTCGAAAATATTATTTTAGATCAACAGCTATTTGAATCATGAACGACGAGTTTGAGAGGCTCATTTCAGGTAAAATTTTACGCTCCCCTCTCCCCCTCCCTCCGCGATTCATCGCGCACTGTTGTTCGGTCGCGCAGGATGTAAATGAGCCTACAACTCACACACGCTTATTTTCTCACTACTTACACGTGTCGCAAAATTTAAGAAATTTTCTCTTTGTACAACACACAGAAACAGCGAATGATAGTATAAAGAGCTGGAAATACGCTGAAGTCATCAACAAGTTATCTCGGAACGCACTAGTCACAAATTCATGGCTTTTTTTGTCTTCTGTGTAGTTTGTATTCATGATAGATAGGCTGTTCTGTTTGAAAATTGTTAGGAGAAATTCTATGTCGATCACCTTCAAGTATGAAAGGATTAAACGGATTATAGCCTTTTCCTAAGTACAATGTCAATCATTCCCTTTATCAGGTTGAACAGCCATCTTGACTGTGTCGTCCGTTTGACGGACAGAACAATTAAAGTGCGATTCTTTACCTAATTGAGGGGTAATTCAAGTAAAACCTCGATTAAATCGTACAATTTTCGCCTAAAACATGGAAAAACGTGGTTCTTCACTTTCGCATTCAATAAATCGACTTCTAGGCCGCCGGACGGATGATACGCACCCCGACAGAATGAAAGCGTATTCGTCTAACCTACCAGTATACAATGAGAACAGAAAAGACATACCTTTGGCAGTCAGAGCGGAAACCGCCGAACATGCCAGATCTTCATCACCGAGCCAAGCGCAATGTCAAAACATCTGTGTTTTCCCCTGGATGCAGATTCGCAGGGGGAAACGTGATAAAAAGAAAAGAACGAGTAAGTCAATCTTCAGTTGTCTTTAGTAAAAATGTCATGTGACTATCATTTGAACCTTGTTAGCACTGGCAGACATTTACAAGACAGTTTGCTTGTCTTGTTAACAAGCTGTCTTTAGTAATCAGAGAATAGGTTTACCTAGAAAATCTCAGATCAGCTTTATGAATCCACAAAACGCAAGTTTAGTACATGCTGCGCAGTCCCTGTTCAAAAAATATTGAAGCGATGTGGCACACTTGAATATTCATTTATCGCCGCCGATTTTCCTGTCGCAAAACAGTCCAAGCTGACAAACTACTGAAACATACATTACCCAGTGCAAAATTCGTGTGCTCCATAAATCTTGCATGTTCTGATATGATCATAAAACTGTAGACAATCTTAGTAAGATGTAAGGATTTGCTTCCTGTGATCGTCATTCCTAGAAATCTCTGTACATTCGTCTGAGTCATTCTTCTCAGCCTTGTGGAGAGCAACACTCGGAGACATGTGTAAAACCGTCGATTCACTCAAACGTATCTTCGATAATCACCGTCAGAAACAAGAATGAGTAAATCTACCGTACTGCGCAAAATATTTAGTTCTGATTCTCGAATATGCAAATTATTAATTTGACACCTCTCTCGTCGGGGACACCTATTAGCAAACAGAGGACACTAAGTCTTCCTGTTTATAAATGCCTTCATTGTAATAATGTTGATTTTTACCACCGCTGTAATTAAGTATCAAAGATACCAGGTTTTTGTTTGATATGTGGTTTGATTTGAAACAATAAAACTGCGTCAGACTACTTCTAACCTCCAAACTTAGGACTACATGCAACGAATGGGTGATCATAAATCCAACTTCTTCAAACAATTTCAACAGATTACAAGGTACAAGGGTGAGGATAAATTTTAATCACATCAGCTGGTTGTGACATGGAGTTTTATAAACACACATTTACCGGATTTGCAATGTTTTATTTGAAAACAGAATTTTTATTTGAATGTAATTACTCGCATGACAATCGGTCTGCCAGGTGATGTTCACGATCTTGTTGATAGTTCCCTTACGACGGCTAACCATGAACCTAGGGCTCAGCAGAAGAGAGCAAATGTATCATTAATAATGTAAAGAAGAAATAAAGTGCTTCTGATTGGCTGAAAATGAGAATAACACGAGCGCAAATAACAAATGCAAAAATACAAATACGAATACAAATTACGAACGCTTTCAAAATTATGTCTGTCTAGCCTTTCTGTAATGTTTTTTCGTGTAAATTATTAAAACATGATTTAGAGTGCAATTTGGTGTAATTTTCAAAGACTACAAATCGCACTCGCCCCACTACGGAGTCGTACAATTTTGTTGTCTTTGAAAAATTTACTCGTACTTATTATCACCAAATTACACTCGACATCACGCTATCAGCAATATTAAGTCTGGAAATCACGCGCTTTGAAGAGTACCATAGACCCTGTAATAACAACACCCCTCTTTCTCTCTGAGAAGTTCCCCCCCCCCCCCCAAAAGACTACGAGTTTCGATATTCCCTTTATCTAAACAAAAACCCTCCATCTTCCTCCTCTCAGTAAGGAAAAACTATTCAAAAAAACTTGTCATAGCTCTATGGACGCGGTTATAGCGCAGAACTGCTATTCATTTAGGCTTGATGACGTTATGGGTATATGTAATTATGAAGTTTGAATCATTTTATATATGGTAGGTTTTCACTATCGAGGAAGTGTATAATCTTTGGTTTGTATATGTTACAGTTAAGAATTTTGAACGAGCACCCCCCCTTCTGATAAGGCCCTCATGGCAGAGGGGCTATTGGAGCATTTATGTCAACTAGATATGGTTGTCTTGGTATAATACATCTTCAAATAAAATCTAACTTCTATTTATTTTCACTTTGAATGAACTCTTGAACAAGGTAATTCACAGTTCAAGAATCTTGAAAAATATTTTTCAACCCTAGACAGTTATTATCTCAAAGGGTTTCTCTTCACTGAACACCTTGAGGGTATATTTCATCCATATAGTTCGTGAATCGTAGCACACTTACCCTTCTCAGAGCATCTCACCACTCCTCTGGGTCAGTTACTGCTATCCCTGACCAAACGACTTGAATCGACATGAAATACGCCACGTTCAGAAATTTTAGTTTAAGTTATTCGGTGTATCCCATACACCCCTTAAATATCTGTCTCCATGAGGGCTAACTATCAAGAATAGTAAGTAAACTATTAGGAAACTACGCCAGCAACATAATGAACATCCCTGAGGTCTTGTTTAGTCATATCTTGTTTCGGTCGATAATGTTATTTTCAATTTTTGATATGAACGGGTGACAAACACTTTTAAGGGCACAGACAAAACCCAAGTCATGCATCACTGTTGGTCCTTTTAGATCCCTTTGGTGATGTAAAAGGTCTCCTCAGTACTCCACCAGTTCCACCAATCCTGTGCCGCTATTTGGGTCTCATACCATGGGCAGTCCTTCCCAGGTAATTTAGAGTCTCCGGCCCCCGTTTGCCTTTCCTATCTGATGTCCTGGACACAGTTTGATTCGTGACATCTTCCTTATCCTTTCTTAACATCTGTCCGACCCAATGTCAGTTCCGTTTAGTTATTTTTATGTCATTAACCCTTTCCGATAAATGTACATTTGCTAACCAATTACTCCACATTTACCACACTTGATTTCAAGTTCTTCCAATTTGAAGCAAGAGTGGTTTTTTTGCATGATAAATCCTGTCATCTGCTCGGCATTTGAAAGAATGTTATATTGTACATTCATGATCATCCTCTTCTCACAGGTCCACTTTGGTATTTTTCCGCCTCATTTTTCAGCCGGTTTCCTTCTGTTTTAAGACATTTTCTACATCTCAAAAACAACTAAAACGATATATGAGGTAATTCCTCTGTAACGATATCGTTCTCTTTTAAGTATCCTCAAACATTTCACCCCTATTATTTGCCATCATCATTATGATTATAGCTATCATTTTTATCATTTTTATTATCATCAGCGTAATTGTGTTCGACGTTAGGAGAACACATACTATTCATGTCGCTTCTTTTTGGACTGTGTTTAGGCGCTATCTTGTGTGACTGATCATTCGCCTCGATTTCATGCGAGTGCATTGAATCCCGTGGGTTATTGAAGTGAGTCTCGCGGGTTGACTTGTACCTAATGTGAAACTATTACACAAAATGTAAAAGTTTGTTCAAATTATTTCGATTTGACCATCACCATTGCATCGAATCTATAACCAAGATGCTATACTATCAAACCTTAATGTTATGTTCAACTTTGCAACTGTTTTATGACATTGTTTGAGTGCATTCCTGAAGTCGGCTTCCCTGAATATTCCAGGGCGATCAGCACCAAAAACAAATATTATTTTACAGGAGATAAAATGTACTTTTAATTGCATGGTCATTACTAGTTATCATTGTTATTATTGTTATTATTTTTCTAACTCGCGTTTTTCGGTGTGTAGCATTAAAATCTTAAAGTTAAAAAAATACTTTTGAAGGAATGGACTATTCAAAATATTGCGGCTGTTTAACGAAGCAAAAAAACCCAGTTATGGCTCAATAAGTTGTGATCATTTTTCCAACAGAAAAACTTATTATGAGAACATCCCTACCCTAAGTTCAGATCATATACCTGTAACTTCGAAAACCAGTGTGAATATCACCGTTTTTGAAAAACTTGATCAGAATCTAGAATGATCAGAATCTTTTGCAAGTTTAGAGGAAAATCGGGGCTGGTTGATTTTCTCCATCATTTTGCTTGACGCAATGCAGTCCAAGGGCACATTCCTCAAAAGTGCCATCAACCAAATGTGTCAAATGTATATTTTAAAATCAAATCTTGGTAAAAGTGGCATGGGTTTTAGCTGGGAAACCATGCAGTCCATCCTGTCTCCCGCTAACTGAGTCTCAACCGAAATGCGTGGCTAGATAGCTTCTCTGTTGGTCTTGTAGGCGCTCCGAATCGGACCGCCAACGAAAGTTTCACGCGGGAGTCATGACACGTTTTCAATTGTGTCGCCCGATTTGTCTTAAAACCAGAAGTAACCAGTTTCCAGCTTAATTGGGAGCAATAAGTACTTTTATCCCGTAGACACAGTGGCTCACACAGGTGTTAAGGCGTTTATTGTTTGTCTTTTTATAGTAAGGGATATTTTAAGCTTTTCCTGTAACTAAGAAAAACACTGTGCTATCAACATTACTAGACAGTGAGGTGCTATTTTTTATTTCGTATGCTAAATTTCTGTGCTTGTATTTTTCTTTTTTTTTTTTTTTTCTTAGTTCCTTAATAATACCTTTTATCAGGAGCCCATCACTTGCTTTTATTTAGCTGTTGTGGTAGGCTGAAGGAATGGATATTATGAATTGAGTAATGCTAAACTGCGCAACGAAATAATCCTCTTTCTATTAACGGTTAGTTTCAGGTTACGAAGGTTAAATTATAAATGGAGATCGTTCTGAGAACATAAAACACTTTGTTGACGATCAACTAACAGCGCCACAGACGGATAATTAACCATCAAAAGTAAGCTCAGTTTTCAAAAGTTGCCGCAGCGGTGTAGGTTCCATTTCCATCATTCCATAGAGAAGGGTGATGTGATTCTCCAAGAAGTACAATGGGCTCTATCATGTCCCAAAAAATTGCCTTTTTAACGAGATTACTCGCGCCGGCGGTTTATTTGACTGAGTCTTTCTTTTGCCCACCAAAGCAATGAAACAGTTTCTTCAGAAACTGATAATTTTGCTCATTTATTTGTTTGGACGCCTCTTCGGTTGAATTTGCGCTTCCCTAGAGGGTACCCCTCTAAATTCTTGGTAGGGGCCGAATGAGACCCCGTTTCTTGCTATTCTGCCATTGTCAGACCGAAAGATGCAATTTTCTGCAGCCTGGCTTCTGAAACTTCCACTCTGTTCACGAAGCCATTACGCTTTGTTGTAGCGCCATAAGCCTCATAACAGCGGCGAAGTCAAAAGTTTTAAAATGTACCTGAAAATTCTGAATCAGCTTGGATGACATATTTTGCTGACCTCTCTTTCCGTTTTATTCATAAGTGTACGCGCACACGTGGCGCACTTAAAAATCATACTCTTATTATGACTAATCTAATCGAAAACCATAACTGTTTTCAGACCAAAACGGCTCAAAAACCATATCCTCAGGGCAGCGGTACCGAAATGGGTAATACAGGGGAGAGCTTCTTCAAGAGCGGAGAGAGACTTGGTAGCAGAGTCAGTTTTATTTGCCGGTATTGGATAATTAGCTGAGCTCGCGCTCGACGGTCTTGGATAAATGCCAAGGGGTGGGGGACGGGAGGTTTGGACACTGACGGGGGAGCTTGCCCTTCGAACATAGTCAGCCGGTGTGACAGGGTTTTGTTTCTGATCAAGTCGACCGTTCCCTTGGTCCACTAATTGCTTAAGGTTTCATGTAAGAATTTTTTTGCGACCACTAACTTCCTGTTTAGAATCACTAACCGACTGTTGATATTCCGAAATATTTCAACTACCAACGCGATCCAGATTTCACCGCTGTGTCGCTATCCTAAACATTTAATCAAGGAGACCCGAAGTCGTCCTATCGTCTCTTCATTTTCACAACTTACTTCAAAGGCGAGAAAATTTCCGTCTTTGAATTAATATTCCACTGCGCCGTTCCCTTAAACTAATTAGCACCAGACATTGGTGCGCCATGTTTAATTTTTTTGGTCAAATAATCTGTCATGTGCTATTTGGTTCATGAATAAGTTAAAACGCCCTTACTTTACAAAAAAAGAGTTGATAAATATCCATATTCCGTTTACAAGACGGTTTCACACGCTCGTACTGTACATTCAATAATGCGGCAAAGTACAAACCTCCAGCACTCATTCGAACTGATTGTTATGAGGGTGGATAGGTTGGAGTCCGAATGTCTCGCGCCCATTCTTCCTTATTAATTTGAATTTCAAAAGAATAATTTGCATTTGAACATGCCGCTGATATGTGTTAGACGGTACATTGTGTAAATAGATTGTGATTATGGCATTTCATCCCAAAATTACTGTAAAAAATGTACAGGTCATTAATCCTGGTTAAAGACCGTAACAGCGGGAGATAAGTGCTCATCGGCTTAGTTGGTTAATAAGTGATAATCAATTATGCCAGTGGCTGTCTTCGAGGATTTAGACACTGAAAAACACCATATCATACCAAATAATAGGCTTGTTTCTGGATTCGAAAGTGTGTACGCAACTTAGGCGTTCGTTAGAATTTCCATTCTCCTTCAGACAAATAACATCCAACTTCTGCATTAAATCAGAAAACAGCATTTCTCTCAGAAGCAAAACAAAACTTGAACAATGTTTTGTAAGCCGCTTAATCTGATTTTTCATGAAGCTCATTTTCACTTATTCGGAGCTTCTTAAAAGCACCCTTGCATATCTAGAACCACACCGACATAGCATTTGTTACATAGGAAAAGGTTTTGATAAAATTACCAGAGCAAGCGGCAAATGAGTCTGTGTTTTGACAGAAAATTCTGTTTGATCGATGAGGTATCAAACCAAACTACGCGAAGGCAGACAACAAACACGTACAAGACTCCACATGACTGAATCTTTGAATTTGATTTCCTTCCACTAAACTCCTTATTTCTGTTTACAAAAGCTATTGAAAACTTAAGTTTTTAACAAGAGCTTAGCAAAGATTAACTCGCTAACAGACTTAAGAAATTTGTATCGCTATTAACCCCTTTTCAACGGAAGCTCCTGGGTTGAGTTTCAAGAAATTTATGTTACAGAATTTGTACGATTGTGTATACGTAGAATTAAAAGGAAACATCATTTTCACGAGATAAGACAAGCTGCATTAAATAGTACAGCGTTCAAACTGTTCCGACTGTTAAGAAGATTTATGTTTCCGCTCATGGCATCTGTAAATACCTTCAAAAAACGACGGCTTGTCGAAAATGATGAATTACTCGGAAAAACTCTCTCAACTCTTTGTGTATCTCGTTACATGCCATAAGTGAAATCTCGAGGCACCTCTAAGCAGTTTGATTGGTTCACGGCGAATCACGTGCTCAAAGATAATACATCTTTCTTTCTTTAGTTGTTGGAGTTAGGACAATAATATGACTTTTACCTATTGAGTCTTGTCAACAGCAGGGATCGATTTTAGTACAGAGGTCAAAAAACTGGTCAACTTTGTATTGTCTACTATCAAAAACAAATTCATCTTCTTCAAGACCCGTATTTAAAAGCCCGGTGTGTGGACAGTGAATATGCAGAAGGCAAATACAGAGCGTTGCCAAGGAAAAAACGACCACGGCGCGGAGTCCGATGAGACATCTTCCCCTAACTTGTGCAGCTCATGCGAGCGCTTGGATGATGATGCCACTGAATTACCGGCACAAAATGCATCCACTGAAAACGGCCTTCAAGAAATTTACCCTTGGATGAAGGAATTTCGCTCAAAAGGTACAAAGCAACGTATAGTAGTTGTAGGTGATTTTTGTCCTAAACTTAAACGATACCTTCGCAAGTGGGCGGAGGTCAAAAACAACCCTTTCGTCGCAAAGCCGATTTCTGTTGTGATTTTTTAAAAATTGAAAACAAAATCTTGCGAAAGATGTGGAAACGCATGAAATAGGTTTGGTTGAAGAGTGTTTGTTTCGTGTTAAGTTCCTTAATTGTGGATTAGCGGAAAAGAATGGCTCCAAGAATGGGCTCGCCAGCATGGCGCTTCTCCATTGTGAAGCAGTTTGCTTCGCCATTCGAAGGTGCGAACCGTACTATTTGTGATCCTTAACAAACAATTCCAGTTATTCTACCGGACAGATCTTGTAAAAGAGAATTGATAGCGTCGTTTTGTTATGCTAAGACAATTTTCTGTGGTGTTTCGAAGCCTTAACACGTTGTTGGCGCCAGAAGGAAAAAGACCAATTGATACGCCATGTTCAAATGTGTGGTAATCCCTTCTCGCTTGCTGTGCGGGGCAACAAATCGTTTTGTAAGTCTCCGACCTGTCGTAATTAACCACAAAACAGTCTCTTCTCAGATACTTTTGCCTTCCTTCCCCCAGTATTTTGCGTTTTGAGATCTACTAATGCGACGATATTTTTGATTTAGTGTGTTTTTATGCATACCCCATTGCATCCCGAGGGCATCACATGTAATTAAACGAGCGGTTCCATTAATTTGAACAAAACTCCTGAAAATTATATCGTGTTGTACTAAGAAGTTGGCTATCATCCTATGCCAGGCTATAATCTTGTACTCTTCGTAAGCGAGTAATTCTGCCTAAAAATCGTACTGGAATTAATTTAGTGCCGTCGAATTTGCGTTTGTACTTTCTTCGACTTGAAATATTTCATATCAATTCCGTTAGGAAAAGACAAAATATCACGAGATTGGGCACTCAACAGTATTCTTTATTTCGCCTTGACTAAAACCTAGATGTATGTTGTGAATTCGCCTTTCCCTCGTAAAAAGCCGTGGTTGAGATTTTAAAAAATGAAGACACGTTCTCAGCCAAAAATTCCGAAGCATCGATTCTCTATTTTTTACATCGAGCGTTGTTTCATACTTCTCCACTTTGTTGCTAGTTTTGTTTGATAACTCGGATAAAAGGAAGTCATTTGCTTACATCTATAACAATGCACTGAACTGATACTTTAATTAGAAGGTATTGAGCTTAAACTTAGTTCATGAGCTAGCGAAGAATTAGCGATAAAATTCAATTGCAAGTATTTCCGGAGTAGAACAATCTTTGTGATTTACGGTTTTAGAATTGTCGTGAAACTCCAGTAAAAGCTATGCCATTAATTCAAGGTTTTACTCTAAGAGGTCTTCATTGCAATAATTGAATATATATTACCGAAAGGACAAGATGCATTTTGTGTATTGATATGCAAGATGAAAATGAGACTGGTAATACAGGACTGTTCTTGTTGACTTTGGTTGATCAGTGTTTGAAGTGTAGTTCTCTCAAAGGTCATCATTTTCGTCCCAATGCACCTAACCAGGTAATCTAAATCTTCTTTCACTTACAATCAAAATTATAGATATTTCTTTGTTTACAGGAGCACCACAAGAGAAAGCTGGTGATGATAAACTTAACCGAACCATATACAGTACAAGACAGTTGGTTGAGTTGGAGAAGGAATTCCACTACAACAGATATCTTTGTAGACCTCGTAGAATCGAAATTGCTCAGACGCTCGGACTCACCGAAAAGCAGGTGAAGATCTGGTTTCAGAACCGCAGAATGAAATGGAAAAAAGAGAACAAAAGTGTCGAGAAAGCCTTGGAAAATGAGATTCAAGAACGAGTTCGACAACTTAGTGCACAAAATCCAAACGGTTTCGGCAGTTTATCATTGATGAACTTAAATTCACACCCTAATTCGTCTGTTTTCAACGAATCAAACTCTTTTCAGCGAAACTACAATCCGTATTCTACTCCAATGCAAAACTACAATGGAGGAGGATTCATGGAAAGGCCAAGGGCGATATGGAGTCAAGGACCATTACAACATTTTTAGTAATTATCAATTATCAGCGCAGCCGCCGTTAGATGCTGGCTTCCTGTTGTACATTTTTTTGACAACCTCGTGAGCGATATTTCGCCCACCGAGAGAGAGAATTAACACTTTGAGAATGAGTCATAATTCTTATGCTATTTACAGTTTATAAATTTATTTCGTTCCTGTTAGAGAGACTCGTGGTTTTGTAGCGAGCGATATTTATTTATTTCCGTTGTGAAATGATGTCAGTTTAAATTCGGGTTAGTATAAAAGCAAATGAATAGTTCATTTGAGTTAATGTTCTGTAAGCTTTTCTTCTTAACCTTTTGTAAGCTAGTACCCCCTTCATTTATTGCCTTTCACGTGCAATGCTAAAACAGAATTTGTTTGATATCAGGTCTTTTCAACTCTTCTCTTTCTGTCCTTATCTATGGCAAGGACATCACACAGGGAGCAAATGAGATAAAATTAATTCCGGTTGTGAAGTAGTTTTTAACACCTTGTGGGTTCTATCCCGGCATTAGTTGTTCTCTTTCTGTAAAAAAAACTGTAGCTAAGTTAAAGAACATGTAAGTTGCAACGTTTAGGATTCGAGCTTCAACGAGCTAATGGACAGTACTTTCGATTATCGACCATTGCTCAATTATAGGTCAAGTTAGATGCTTTGTTTGCTTCTCGTTGCAATCAGACTTTGTTCTCGTAGGTGATGTAAATGCCTACAACGAAAAATTTTATTGCAGAATGAATTTCGAATACCCGCCCAATAATTCTTTTACATTCTTTCATTCATGCATTTTGTTGAACACAACGTTTCTAAACAACTTGAAAGTTTGGTCATTATGTTGCCAATTATTAGTTTGTACGTGCAATTGCGTCTTGCATATTTATTTAAATGGATGAATATTGTTAGGTTTTATGTTATAGTAATATATTTTGGAACCAGAAGTTATTTGTTGTTGTTGAATGCTCGAAGTTGACAGAAAATTGACAATAAAAAAAGTCAGGAGTTTGGCTCTAAATTTTGACGACATTTGCTATGCAGCTAAAGTGACGAAGCAATCTCCTTCGCGAATCACCAATACATGTTTACATTTCTAAGGAATTAGGCTAAAATCAACCTGCAGCTTTCTTCAGGCCTCTACTACAATTGCATACAAAGATGATTCGTGGTTAAGATTACTTTCCTACTTTTTTTTCTCTCTTTTGTCATATTATAAATTTCTTCATTCTTATGGTTGTTATTATTGTGGTTGATATTCATGTTTGTGGTGATTCTGTTACTCTAGTGTCTCTCAGTTTGGGGTCAGTTTTCTCTAGGATTCTCATATTAGTGTTGGACTTAAAATTAAGCAAAATTAGGCCTGAAATGCAAACTTGTAGCAGACTAATGAGAACTAAAGAGATAGAGACTGACTTCAGACAGAAGGTAAATCTAGCCTCGGTTTATTTGACCAAACCAAAAATTGAACGAAAATTATTCACGATGTCTGGACAAAGCCATTTTCTCAAAAGTGCTTTTATTCATTCTGAGGTTACCTCAGCTTTCCCACTCCATAGCTAACGTTTGAGTTCAACAAACAATTTCCACAAACTGGTGAAATCAATAAAAAACCACACTAATGTGACGTGTCTTCCAAAGGTCGTCAGAGGATCAACCGGTTTGCAAAATGTTCATTCGACCGCATGCGCGCGACCTGGGACCTGTCTCGTTAACAGAATGACTGTATAAGAATTTGTTTTGATGTAAAGGTCAAAGAAAAAAAAAACACTAAGCTCTGATGCTATCTCATTTCGGAAAACATCTGTCTTGCTCATTACCGCAACTGTTCGGGGACAGCGAATGATGGAAAGAGCAAGCAAGCAGTGTTGCCAAGGTAAAAACGCCACAGGAAAAGAGTTCGGCTCAATCCATGATGTCACTCCTGGTTTTGAGAATGAGGCAGCTGATAGTTTACCAAAAGACGACTCAGCGGGAAGCAGTGTTCAAGAGATATATCCCTGGATGAAGGAGTTTCGCTCGAAAGGTAAGACGGCGGTTCCGTAGACACTTTCTATAGTCATTGAGTGAACAGGAACAGGGAGGGTGGGCGTAGGTCTGAAACAACAATTCTTTGTGCAACTTATTTCTACGGAAATGTTTAAGAAAATCGGAAATGAATTCGTGCGAACAAAGAGGTGAATCAGCGGTTGAGTGTAGTCGAGGAGTGTTTGCACGCTGTGAACTTCCTAAGTGACGGATTAGTAGGAGTGTTAGTTCGTAACTCTTGTGGTTCTTCGCCGGACAACAATGGTGATTCGTTACGAAGCTTCGTCCGTCACTAACGGAAGGTAGGAGCCACATTTTCACAAATTGTTAACTAATTCATAACATCGTGCTGTTGGAAACCCTTTTTCGAAAGAGGCAGATCTCTAACGTCTTTCATTTTCAAAGGGAATTCGAGATTGATGCTCAAAGAGGTTGTGTGAGGATTCTGAAAGGTCCGAGTTTGGAAGCCGTCTCTTAGCCGAAACAAAGCGCGCTAGAGTAAAAACGAATTATCTATTCTGGCTATGTGAAAAATTTTGTTATTCTATAGGAAATGAAGACGCTTATTTTACCTGAATAGATCTCTTTATATTGATTCCCTTATTGTCTCAAAAGGGTCAACACGTCTTTAGCGCTGGTCCGCAGGACAAGAATCCATTCGATCGCTATGTTTAAATATGTTTTAATCCTTCCTCTTGCTGTGAAGGGCGACAAATGGCCTTCTATACTGTTTGACCTTTCTTTCCCAAGAGTTTGTATTTTGTGGCTAGAGAGAGACACATTGATATGACTATATTTAACATTTCGTGATCAATTCAGATTGCTCATGTTGAGCTGCATGCCAAATGGCATTGCCATTCGTGGCCATGATTCCGAAGGCCTCACGACTTGCGTGCAATGAACGGCTCACACGTATTTTTGCCATTAGAGGCGGACATATTGTTCCTTCTTGTGCATTGAAAATAAACTCCACATTATGAATTTCAGACTGTTAAATTTACGAGATTCTCTGCTGCTTGTGCGCTTATGGTTTTGGAAGTTCTGCATTCTTGTGCGGCTTTTGACTCTGCTTCATAAACAAATGTCTTTTTAAACGCTATATAAAAACAAAGTTATGTTAACAAATTGGCAAAATGATGATTTACAGTTTTAGCAGTCTATGCGTGTTTCGGGCATCTCTTTAAACCGATTGCGCTTGCAAATTACATCTAATAGCCGTTATTTTCATTATCAACCTCGTTGCCGCTAAATGTTACACCTTAAACGGTGCTTACCGTCTACATATTTGTCCTGTATGAAGTATTATTTTTTATTTAGTTGCGGGAATAATTCAGAAGTTTGCCTTCTTGCTCTTCTCCGCGTCGGAACAACCAAGGCTTTCGTGATACCGTTATGTTAATTCTCCAGAACTGTGTTCCTTCCGCAGCTAATGACACATTTATCCGAAAGGATTTCGGTCTTCTGTTTTGCAAGCCGAATGCAAATGATTTGTGTGCGTAGTTATGTTTCGTTTTGAAACTTGCTTTATTCACAATCATCTTTCCCTTAAATTTCCTTTTGCAGCTTTTTATATACTTATGTCATCAAAAAGAAAGACTGCTTATGAAATTAGATATAGATTACACCTCAGTTTTACTAAACATGATCCGTGGAAACTGCTTGCAAACTGCAAGTAATTACTGCAGATACATTGATTCTAAAGGATGAGATATATCCGATCCTGTGTAACTCAAACGCCGTATGAAAATACCGAAAGATAAAGATGTATTTCATGTAAAACGGATCGCACCCACAACAGTCAGACTCTAACAGAAGCCTATTGTTTGAGTCCAAGGGTGGGGCTGCTTTGTTATAATTAGTACTACCAATCTGACAGAAAAATCACGAACGACAATTACAACTTTGCTATCTCTGTGTTTAGGAGCAGTGCAGGAGAAAGATGACAGAAAACTCAATCGAATCATCTACAGCACAAAACAGCTGGTAGAATTAGAGAAGGAGTTTCATTTCAACAGATACCTTTGCAGACCGCGGAGAATCGAAATCGCTCTGTCGCTTGGACTCACCGAGAAACAGGTCAGAGTTTGGTTCCAAAATCGTCGAATGAAATGGAAAAAAGAGAGTGAATGTGTTGAGAAGGCTCTAGAGAATGAAATTCAGGAACGAATGAGACAACTCAGCGCTCAAAATTCCTTCGGTAGCCAGTTATCCATGTTGAATATGATAAACGTGCAACCAAATGGGTCTCCACTTAACAAATCGATGCATTCTATCAATCAATACTCCGTTCCAATGCATCTGAAGCACGATGCAAGATATCTGGACAAGCCGAAAGCGATCTGGAGTCAAGGAACACACGATCATTGGTGATTACTAAGCATCTGTTTTGGGATTAGGGTTTCCTTTGGCTCCCCACCAGAATTCACACCTCGTAAATTACAATTAACTAATTTACAGCTCATTAATCTTGTTGCGTTTATGGTTCTGTTTACGATGAAGAACGCATAGGAAAAATCATTTGCCTTCTTCAGTGACGTTGCAATTATCAAAGGTTCTGTTTAATTCGCACTATTGCATAATACACATGAAATTGAATGAACCATTTCAATTCTAGATTTAATATTCAGCTCGTCTTTAATAACTTTATGCTTAGTTATACACAATTGTACCGTATTCACCTCTCATTAGGGACCTTAAGTAAACCACGACGGTGACGGCAACGAGGACATGGAAAAACAAAAGATCTAATTGGAAGAATAATAGCTCAGCACATGCATTTTAAAACTTTGCACATTTCTTAGCCGTCCTAGACAAAAAAACAACGTGAAATCGCCACAATTTGCGTCATCTGCGAACCGAAACCGCGACGGCAAATTATTTTTATTTCCATTTGGAACAACGCTTCTTTTATACGTTATGCTGAAGTTGAGGTGTGGCGCCGTATGAGACGGTAAACACATGCAGCCATTTTTGAAATTCTAATTAAAGGCAAAAATTCATTATTTTGTCGAAGTCTTCTTTGGCGTTGCCGTCCTGACTGCTTAAGGTCCCTATTTTCACTTCAAGATTAACGAAAACGAAAGTTGAATAAAAAATTATACATGCAGGAATGAAGGTCGTTACCAACAGAGATAAAAAAATTAACATGCATGGATTGCAAGTAAGGAGCTTGAAAGATACGAGATGTTTCATATCGAGAAACCCCCATTCACCCTGGCGATTCCTACTTTACAACATTTCCAGCGGAGGGATTGTAATTCACCTTAATTTTAGCCCACAATTAAGCATACGTATTGTCGGCTTTCTCAAAGGTATGTAAGAAGCCGAATTTCGGTCATGCCCAGCACTATGCTACTGCTCAACTTTTAACGATGTCTTCATACCTCGAACTCAATCCGGTTGAGTTTCCAAGTATCTCAAAAGTCGCAAAATTTACGTACATACACTCAGCTATTAACATCTTTCAAGTAAATCTTATGTCTGAACCAGAATACTTTTAAATCGAATGAATTTGTGCATTTTTTTGACCAAAGATTGCTGGCTTGACCTTTTTTTTTTTACATATTGTGTTCACGGTCGTGGCTCTGTGTTGCAGAGTAATTTAAGGCAAATAAGATGCCGCTCCCATTAATAAGTCTCCGTCCCCGGACGTTATACCGCCCAGTTTTTTCGTAAGCCCACCTTACAGCACTCGGAAAACTTTTTTCGCGTTTCCAGAGCATCTTTGTCACATTTAAAGGCGAAACAGTGACGAGCTTTGTTTCATTAAGAAGAGCACAGGAAGTGGTTAGAGTAGGAAAGCAAAAGTGTAGCTGGCAACACGAGTGTTACTTGAGTGTTTCCTTAGCGGTCTACCGAGACCTTTAGCTGTTTCCTAAGTAAACAGCATGGAAAATTCTACTTAGCAATCAGATTATGCGCTCGAGATTCTATCGCGTGATATTGAATGAGGGCGAAGCCCGATCAAGTATCATCACGCATAAGAATCGAAGGCGAAAATCTTATGGTTTTAGCAGAAATTTAAAGGCTGTTCAAAATTTAACAAGAAATCAGGCTCATGGTTTTATTTCATTTTGTTCACAACCCCACATTTTTTTGCTGCTGACTCTACTCACTGCATGTCTATCACGTGTTACATTGCAAGTAGCGTAGCCAATCAGATTGCGGTGTTCGTGACAAACATTAATAGATTTACATTTATATGGTCTATGGTAGAGAATCCTACAATCCCTCCACACATGCATTTTGCATGAGATAAGTTCAAATGTTTTGATTGGCTTAGAAGACAAAAGTTGTCAATTTTAATCTGAACGATTAATAAGGAGCTTAGTGCCTTGTGTCCGGTGGAAGAGGGAGGAGTTGTGGCTCCTGAAACATCAAAAACCTCACTAAAACCTTGCGGATCGAGTTGAATTTTAAGGAAAAATTCGATTTATTGTCAAAGCTGGCGATAAAGTTTGAAACACTAAGTTGCTTTGACTGAGTATACTCCGAGTACAAAAGACAATATCAAGAAAAGCTTTCAAAACTTCAATCCTCGGGTGTGCGTTGTATTTGTTCAGGTTTGTTTCACTGATTTGACCTGAGATCGCCAAATGCAGTCAGTGAGTCTTACTACACACCGATGAACATTATCGCCAAATGCAGTCAGCGAGTCTGACTATACACCGATGAACACTATGTAATAAAAAAAGCTTACAGTTTGAACCCAGACAGATCGATTGGTGTTTCCAGTCATTGTTTAAAGTGTTAAGTGCAATAATTGACTTGGTGACACATAAGTATAAATAAATAAATACATTTATATGGAGCCAAAAATCGACTAGCTCTTCTTTCGCACTGCTTTTCAAGACTGTCTATAAAAATGAGAAATGAGAAATTAAGAAAAAAATTAATCTTAAACAAAATGTTATCAGCAGCAACAGACAAGGCTAAGATAATTATCCTAGGTGCAAGTGTCATAAGTATAAATATCCAAAGGAAAATATCTAAATATATCAACATTTTGGAAGAAACTTGAAATATATGACTCTAAGTCCCTTTTAAACATTGACATGGAATTGCTGATCGAATAAACTGGCATTAACTTACTGAATAAAATATATATTCCTTGATAAATTGAGACTAGAACTCTATTGTACTAGTCATAATTCGATTACCATTTTGTCGAAAATCTGGCAAGATGAGAACTGATACTGTATTTGCTAACAATAGCCTTCCTTCGTGCTGTCCATGATAAATGCAGACCAGTGTCTCGTTTTCCTTTGCTGGTTTGTAACCTTGCTACTGGACGTTCATAATTCATTGTATTTCAACCAGCAAGAACGAAACTATTTTAAATATATGCATAACGCCAATTGACTAATTTCTAAAAAGCATAGATTTTTCTGATTTAAGCGACAATTTTTAATGATCACGAAAAGCGGCTTCCGGCATTAATGCTAACGTTATTTCAAAATGTGTCTGGATTTGAAAACTGGGAGAATCATTCTGTTGTGTATTAGAAAAGAACGACGTTTTAAAAAACATCAAGTAACCTTTAATCGTCAAATAAACACAGTGAAAATCGCATGAATAACCGAAAATTTACACTCGATTGCAAAAACATTGACACTCAATAAAGCGTTTATAATGAACGATGGGACCCTATGGCTTTCTGGGTACATATTTACACAATAGCCGCAACTAGTACGTGGTGAATAATGGAATTTAACCACGCTTTCTTGAAAGTAAAAAAGAGATTATCATAACAAAATTTTTTCATGACCTGTAAGCAAAGGTGAATCACTGACTATAAATGTCGTTTAATATTTCAATAATTAACGGGTTTTCCGGTTTCGTGTTGTTGGATAAATGCTTTCATTTTTCCCCTCCTTTATTAATACACAAAAAAAGAGAAGAGGATTTCAGGAAGAACCTCGAAGAAAGTTGTGATGGTTGATAGCTTAAATCAGAGAGTGAGGGTGTATGAGCGTTGCGAAATCATCCCAGAACTTGTTATGCCAATAGCTCTGGCCTAAGACAAGATGATCTGAGAAGCTCTAACCTGACCCAATACCGAACTGGTAGACACAAGACTCGACAGATATGATCCGGCGAAAATACCAAGGTTTCTTAATCAATAATACAAACTTATTTGCTAATTCGTGATATTTTAAATCCCCTTTCCAACGAAATTAACGCGTATATTAACACAAATCTTTCGTGATTTGTTCCTTTATTTAAATGTTTGACACAGATGAAAAATTAAATTTGAAAATTTTCCGATTTCTTTTACCTGTGTATCATATCTCCAGCGTCTAAGCGATATTTTATTTCTGACATGGTGGATTTTTAATTTAACCTCAGTTTCTCAATTATTATAAGACCCTAAGTGTCAGTCTGGTCTGAGTCTTGAACCCACGACCTCCGCCGCCGCACTGCAGTCATGCGCTCTACCGCATGAGCTAACCGAGCGCGGTTAATCGATTGACCCCTGTTGGAAGAACGATCTCTAGGCCGATTTACAGCTGCGAAAAGTGTCATTGATTCCATATGTGTGATATGTATATTCTCCCACTCTATTAAAATAACCCAAAACGTAGTGATTTGATTTTTTTTTTCAGCCGAGAAATAGTTTATAGGACCTCCCTGTCTGTTGGAGATCGTTTTTGCCAAGATCATCAGAGCATAACCTCGAATCTTTGGTGTTTCGTTCCTTCCTTCAAGCGGACAGGAGGAAAAGAGTTCCTGGGAGTCTGGGAACGAGGTTGAGCAAACCTGTGCCTTTTACTGACTAAAGGGACTAATTTGCGGAAAAAAACCGTGGTGGTGTGTTGTTCAGGGTTTTACAAGATAATTCATTTTCATCAACTGAGTTAATAACGTAAATTTGTCACCGTAAAGAGTTCCTAAGATGACGTTTTGAGCAATGGTCCATTGTCAAAGCGATTGATTAACTTTCCCTGACTGCTTTTTTTGCGCAAAGTGTATGGCAAAATGAATTGAGAAGAGATTCCGCTTCCAAGAGCATTTTCTTGACGAGGGTATGAATACATTCACAGCTTCATACCAGAGCAACTAAACCGCATTTAATTAATTACAGGTGCTTGTCACGTGACAGCACGAAAGAATACGACAACACGATCATTTTCAGCACGGTCGATACAAATATCCAATTGGATGTTTTGATTAGTAGTAGTACAGTATCACTTAACGTAAAGAAACTACACTATAAATCGGGACAAAGGTCGTAAGGATATCAAAGCTTCCGGTTCGCCTACTCGACCGCCCACGCGACCTAGTGCTTCCCTAGTTGAGTACATGTTTGCGAGTTCAGATCTCTAAACAGGCAGAGGTCACACAAAAAAATCTTTTATCAGAGACTTATTTATATTAAGCGCAGTGTGTGGACAGTGAATGATGCAGAAAGCAAGCAAGGATCAGGATCACTGTCAAAGAAAAAACAACAGTGATGAGTCGGGTGTGACGTCTTGTGATGAGTCGGGCTTGTGCCAACGATTGGAGAATCAGGCAGCTAACTTACCAAACAAAGATGCCACAGGAGAAAACAGTGCCCATAAAATATACCCATGGATGAAGGAATTTCGCTCAAGAGGTGCCTGTAAAAAATTTTTTGTTCTTAAACTTGGCATAAACAGGGAGTTGGGTGGAGGTGAAAAACAACCCCCTCTATGCGCAAATGATATTGATTTGTGCAGATGTTTCCAAAATCAAGGGCCAAGTATCATAAACAATGAGCTATAACATAGACTACATAGGCAAGATGGCTTTTAAGAGTATTTCGCTCGCTAAAATAAGTTTATAGATAGTGGACTACCGGAAAAGGTTCTTTTAGGTGGTGGTGAAACCTCGGCTGACGACGTAGAACATCTCTTAAGAACAAGTATGAAGGGAGCATATTTAAGGATTTCATTTTATCCTCGTGTTTGTTTCTCTATGAGCTCTTCAATAGAACTTTTTCATATTTACGTTATGGCTAAATCTCCGTGGTGTTTCAAACTGAACCATTTGACTTGTCGCTTACCCTAGATGATGAAAGACCACTAGACACGCCATGTTCTAATATGTGGCTTGGCAATCCCTTACCGCTTGGTGTGCGGGGCAGTTGTAATACTCTAACCTATCGAAATTAACCACAAAATTGTCGATTCTTGGGCATTTTGGCCTCATCACTTTTGAACAGTATATTTGTCAGAAAAATATCCACCTATATGAAATGTTTTGTATTCGTGATTTAAAGTATGGCTCTGTGCTGCATTCCGAATGCATTGAATTCCGAACGCAACATATGCCCGGCCGCATGCAAAGTTCGATTTGCTTAATTTTGATGTAGCAAAGTTTACCTTTGGAATTAAAACAATCATTTTATCGATTAACTTCGTTTAAGTTCAATTTGATTCCGTAAGTCTCGAATCTTTCTCTCTTTGAAAACATACCTCAACTCCTCTGTTGCATTCTTGGGTGTTGTTGCATGATTTTATTAATAATCAATAGTTTAAGTGGTACTGACTGTTGTGAAGCTTTACTTACTCAATAATACACTTTGAACCTCTCTTCCAATGAACTTCAACTTTACAGAAGCTCTATATCTGGGCCCTTGGCAATTCAGGCGAGCTTACAAGCAACTATACAAATTGAAGCTATTAAACACGACTTTATGGTTCTTCTCCGATCGAAGATAAATTTTACTCTGCACCTTTCTCATTGTCATTGCAAGCCGGATGCAATGATAATTACATATATTTCTCTTCCAAAACATATTAGTCAAAGTATTTCACACTTAAAAATAACCCCACTCCACACGCTAGCCACAGCAAATCTGTTTAGCCTTCTCGACGCCGTCTCCTTCCGTGAGGAGTTGATCCGACGAATACCATAATGTGTTGTTATGGTCGAGAGACTCCAAGTGAACTCTTCGCATTAATTCAAACTTGTATGCAAAAGACCTTTAACTGTTAACAGCAAAGTGAAAGATTTATCTCCATAAAATTACAGCGAATTCAGTTAAAAAAAAGGAGGCATCCATGTCAGTTGTATACTGCGGGGGCATTTGTTTAAAGTAATGTACTATTTGCTCGAAGTGTGAGTCGCCAAAGTTTTATGCAGTTGTAATGATTGAAACTAAAAAATCTTTTTCTTTAGGTGCAACACAAGGAAAAGATGATAAAATGCTCAATCGGATCATCTACAGCTCAAAACAGCTGGTAGAATTGGAGAAGGAGTTTCACTTCAACAGATACCTTTGTAGAACGCGGAGGATTGAAATTGCCCTGTCTCTCGGCCTCACCGAGAAACAGGTCAGAGTTTGGTTTCAAAATCGTCGAATGAAATGGAAAAAAGAGAGTGAGTTCGTAGAAAAGGCTCTTGAAAACGAAATTCAAGAACGATTGAAACACCTTAGTCACCAAAATAGATATGGCTTCGGTAGTTTATCAGAGGCAAGCATCACCTCTCATTCAAATTCCTTTACGTTCCATGATTCGATAAACTCCTTCCACCTTCAAATACATGGCGACAATCACTCCATCCCTGTGGAAAACTTTAGTACAGGTTGTATATCTACGCCACAAGCAATCTGGAACCAAGGAACAAGTCAACATTTTGACAATCTTTAATTGAAGTTTAGACCTTTACCTTGCAATGCGTTTCATGGTGGTTTCCTGTTAAATTCCCTATCTTGCCAACCAAGCGTCAGAATTCACACATTGCAAATCAAAATTATTATCTTATTTACAGCTCATTAATTTTACAGTTTTCTTCCTCGATAGCTTTTTACTCTTAGTTGGCTCAAAAGTAAAAGTGATGTGTAATCATACGAGTTTAGTTTGCTTTGACTTGGGTAATGAAATGCACGACGTAGCTGCATTTCAAAGGAGCGCTGGAAGCTCTGAAACGCTTACATGTACGTTCGTATTTTGAAATATTTTTACCAATCGTTCTTAATAAGCTAGCCTATGAACAAAGTTTAGCAGATGATGACCAAGAGAAACTCAAGTTATTAAGGTCATTCCATGAATGAATGCGGCCTCGATGATGCGCATTACAAGCTAAAGATTGTCGAAAACAGTTTGAGTTGTTCTTTAAGACCATGTCTGTTAACGATTAGCTATAAAGATAAAAGCCAAGCATTTGAGTTGTTATCTAGAATGGATACAAAAAAATTTACATAGTAATAAGCGAATTTACGAGCAAATCCTCGACGCCGATCAAAAGGTCAACGCAAATTTCAAATAAACGTAATTTGATAGAAATCAGGGTACTGAGACAATAAATCGTTAATTAGCGTAGTTATCTGTGTTATTTCTTAATTCGTAATCTACTTTTAGGCTTCTGACAGGACTACCCTGAGTTTCTTCTAAGGGTTATTTTAAATACAGGTGTCTATCTAGCCAAACAGAGGAGAATTATCTGAATATTTTTTGCTGCAGAGGTTCGATATTAATGCTCTAAAAGTTTAGCCAACTACGAAGAGCCTTAAAAATCAGCCCCTCTGTACCTGCTGTGTCTAACAAGATCAAAGCAATTGAATTTGACATGAAAAGCTAAGATTTCAAATTAATGTATCACTTTTAGTTTAAATAATGTTATCATTCAACTCTTCGCAATGCCATCTTTCTTCGAAACTACTGAGCTGAGGTTTCGTCAAGATCAAATCAAAATACTATATTGTCATATTGTATTTAAAAATATCATACTGTGCTACATAATATCACACCACTCTATGTCATATGATATCATATCCGTGCTATTCATCGTATGGTGGAACATTACGCTGCATCATGGTATATGATAATTAATTATATTGTACGAAGCTACATTCGATTGTATTACATTATGTGATAATTTATATCACAAGTATTATATTTTATACTAGTTATAGTTCTCACTAGAGCTGCCCCCGCCCTACAGTACCATTTTTTTTTTTTTTTTTTTAGTTGGGCTTGTTGTTTACAGTTGTGTAGTTATGACCATTTGCGGGAAAAACGTTGATACCTTGCGGCCGTGCAAGCGATCAAATCGAGATTTTTTTTGGTTACGATCAACCGAAAACACCTACATTCTCTCTTCTCCAGTCTTCCTCTGTACTAGGACAAATCTCGTGTCAAAGACACCGATCCTAAAAGTCCTCGCGCGCGTGTCTTTTTACTGGCAGCCCATGACCATTTGCGGGAAAAACGTTGATACCTTGCGGCCGTGCAAGCGATCAAATCGAGATTTTTTCTGGTTATGATCTACCGAAAATACCCACATTCCCTCTTCTCCAGTCTTCCTCTATATTACGCGGGGAGTCCTAAGGTGCCTCCTCGGGTTTTTGGCCCTCTGGGCCAAAAACCCTGCGGGGGCAATAATTGTATTGTATCATATCATCTGCTATTATGTTTATGTTAAATGAAATTACATCCATGTGTGCATTTATTTATCGATTTCTAGATGGCAGAGCAAGTAAACAATTTCGCCACAGATGGAGCTGGCAAAAGATACCCTCAGGCCAACGAGGAAGATTGTTCTACTTTCGTACTTTGTGTTTGAATTCTACACCACTCAAGTTTTTATTGCCCTGGTTCGACAGTGAAATTCCTTGAAATTCCGAAATTAACACTACATTACCATTTCAAAGTTCTCTGCCAGAAGTTAAATTCTAGAATCCTGAAGTATTTGTTACATCCGCTTTTTGCTAATGAATTTCTTCCAGGGAAAATTGGAAAGAAAAATCATTTTCCCACATAACCATCCAGAAGGGAAATTAATTTTTGAGAAGTCAATCTCTAAAGGGCCGTAAGTTTCAAAGCGTCAATCTTTCCCTTTGATAGGGACCCTTAGCAATGAGGACGAAAACGTGGACGACGACTTGTGGGACCGTTTGCGTTCTGGGACGGAATGGCCGTCTTCGGCGGGAAAACGCGAGATGGTACCGTTACTCTCATAAACTTCGTGGATGATTTAGTGAAGAGCCAAGCTTTCTGGCCTTGGTTGTTCAAAGGGTGGATGACGCAGTACGTTTTGTTAACATTTTAATTCGTCCGCCGGATAGCGATTTATCCGTTGGGTAATGTTATCAACCCCTAAAACAACTTGGGCCCGTACAACGTGCACGGTACGAAAACCAGCACTCTTTCCAATCACGTTACTTTACCGCGGGGAGCTGTGTGACTGGTTATAAGTGATTAAAGGAAGGTAAAAATCTGTTAAGGTGAGGACTCTAATACAAATGGAATGGGGATTCTTTTCGCTTTCTGTCTGCTTCCCTGGCCATTAAATGTGGTGCTACTAATCTACAACTGTCATTTCCCAGACATTCAACAACAGAAAGGGGAATTATGGGACAAAAATCTCTCGAAGTGACGGCTATGGGCATGGAGAAACCGGCAGACAAAAATGCAAACGCTCAAATCAAAGCCTATTTTTGTTTAAAAGCTTTATTTGCGATTTGCAGCTGATTAGAGGTAAAAAAAAAAAAAAGACTTCCACTTTAAGACCAAAACAAGTCTGTCCGTGAACCCACCACAAGAAACCAAGTCAGAGGACAGCGCTAATTACTTCAAACTGAGATCGCACAGGATTTAAGCACTCTATTGGTCCCCCAAGGGTCTCTCTTTCGTACCCCATAAACTTAGGTCGGTAATTAACGATAGAAAGGTACAAATTATGAAAATATTTCTCCCACATAGAGCAGTTAATCTTTTCCCTCTGCAAAAACACCCTTCGACGAGATCTCTGCAACAGTCCCTCTAGGAAATTGTCCTCAAATTTGTGACAGAGTTAACAACAGACGATGTTCGAAAAAATACGGTTGATCATCAGCGATAGTTTTTCGAAAATCATCTAAGGGCAACTCCAGTTCGTGCTGAATTCGACCAACTGGTAAAGCGCAAACACGGAACCCTTGCTTTGGCCTTAGCACAATTCCCTAAAATTACAGATCTACTTTAGCTTCTATTAAACTACATTTAGTACTTGCTGATTCGAAAATTCGAAGAGTCTTTACATATACATTCAATCTACATAGATTGGAACCCTAAATTTCCTTATACTGGCAAGTTTACAAAGAAAAGTATCTATTCACCGAGGTGAAGAGTTTTAAAATTTTTATTTAATTCCATATGATATTGTACGAAGACAACTTAAGAAAATTTTTACCTCGATACCTGATAAATACTTGCATACGTCAAACTTTGAAAAAAAACGCGCTAAACCTTGAATTCCATATTAAGCGTTGAAACGCCTCATTCTGAAAAGTTTGATGTAATTTTGATGCCAAGTAAAGAAGCCTGGTTTCATTACTCCAAAAGTAAAGGCTAAAAAAAAACTCAAGCAAAATCAACAGAAACATACTTCGATTAAATGAAACCGATAAAAGCTCGATCAATCACACATTTCTTATACTACTCTTTTGGAGCGACAATTTGCTCAAGCGCGAGTCCATTTTGAAAATTTTAAGTCTCACGAAAAAAATCGTAAATTTATAATGATGCAATGCAACGTGGTTTTCTGCCTGAGCGCTGAGCCGGAAATTGGACAAACTACTCCAAAACCGCGAATGCCTTGGGTACAAACTCTTTTACATTATGGTGTCTCGATGGAATAATGTCACCCAGAAAGGCAAAGGCTGGAAGTTACATTAGCTTTCTCTATGCTAGACAATTGCATATGGCACATAACACCTAAAAATTTAATACATCAAGTTTTATGATTCAATAAAATAGTAAAATATACTGCCAATAAAACAGATTATGCTCATCAACTCGCCTCGAAAACAAACAACAACTTTCACTTCATGCTGTAAAAAAAATCTTCGATTAAAGTAGTTCAGATGCCATTAATTCTAGGCCACACGCAAAGTATGCGAGTGGTGTTCACGGAGTACCAAATACAAAACCCCTCGTGCGAGTTTATCTCACGTTAAGGGAGAAGATCATCTATGAACTGATGAAATCTAGCGTGATTTACATGGAAATTAGAAAAGGTTTACTTAGCTAAAAGATCAGTCATGCACAGCACTGATTGGCACGATTCTTCAGCGCTCCACGGCCGACTAAAGACATGAATGATTGCTGTAGACTGAAATAGAAACTCGTCTAAACAATGTAGACCACCTTTAGATGAACCACTCTTTCTTCTTCTCCACGTCCTCCTCCATGGGTTTCCGGGTGGTGGTCATGTCAATGTACGGATCCGTGCTTTTGAGCTCTTCGTCGTCTTCGTGCGTGTGATACTCCCCCTTATGTCTTGCCCAGTACCAGTATATAACAATCAATAAAACCACCAACAGCAGCACCAAGATGAGCACTACGATCACTATGATGGCTGTCTTGTTGTCATCATCAGTACGTCTTCCAGAAGTCGGGTCATAAGGATTTGTTGACTGGACAGAGCCACCGGAACTGCCCGGATCTCGCGGGGTGGGTGGGTTTTCAGGCACCTCCGGCTCCTCGCCACACTTCTCTTTACTATCTCCACTGATACCAGAGGCCTTGTAATTCTTGGTTTTCCCATCGTAAACATAATCCTTGATGGGACTTATTGTTGGATGCGACTTGTCAAAACTAAACGGCGTCACTTTGACACCCGTGAGGCAGCCCTTAAAACCAGTATCACCTTGCTTTCCAACGATAATCTTCTCCATACGGGGGAAAGGGTTTCTTAACCGGTCGTTTTTCTCCTCTTGTGTGTCCTTTCCATCAACGGTGAAATTAAGTTTCTCGTTTCGGCGAACAAATGAAAACGTGTGTCTATTTCCATCACAGAAGTCATCGTTTTTGGAGGGGCTTATCTCAAATTCACCATCACCCGACGTGGTGGATTCGAAGGAAAACACGAGATTCTTTTTCGAGTTGATTGAAAACAGAAAGAAATCTTGAGTGCCCTTACTGGTGATCTTAAGTAAGTCCCCTCCGCATTTGTCTTTGGAATTCGCTTTGAAGCCAAGAACTATGTCTACGCCGGGGACATTCTCAGGGGTAGGGTAGGTGTATGTTATCTCGCTTTCTTGTTCAGCAAACGATGCGCCATAATCTAAACACAACAGCAGGAAAAGACATTGCTTGTAACAACAAAAAGCATAGCAAAACCTATGTGGTAAACGTTTTACTAGGAAGGGGGGGGGGGGGTGGTGTGTATGTGTGTGTATGGCGAGGCCCACAAAGAGTGTGTCTCAAATTCGGGTACCAACACCAGGAAAGGGGGAGGGGAGGGGAGGGGAGGGAAAGCTCTGGGAGCATGTTAACTATCCAAATATTTGGACATTTAAGGACTTAGAATTCTACTTTACACATTCTATACATGTAAAGCAATGTACCAGTTGGTTTGCAAGGTTATGACAAGCAAAATAAAGGCAAGATTTAAGTAAAGTATAAAATTAATCCTCAGGGAAGAACATCTGGTCTGATTATTACCTTTCAGTTTATATAACATTAATCAATGTGTTGTACTGTAAGAAGAGACGGAGGAGTGAAAATCAAAGGAACTGGTTTGTCAGCTGACAAAGAACCCTGAAGATAGCATTAGGCAAGGACTAATGTCACACCCCTTCCCTTCCCTGGATTGAATACTGATCTATTGCTGGTCCCTGGTACTCATGGACAGAAAAAGGTTTGTGTACTGAAGGGGATAAAGATGCTGTCAAAATGAAGTACCTTTCCCCTGAACCCAACATATAAATCTGAAAGGACAGGTGGCTGAAAAGAAAAGGTGGCTGACAGAGGAAGTGGCTGAAAGGAGAGCTGGCTGAAAGGAGAAGTGGCTGAAGGGAGAGGTGGCTGAAAAGAAAAGGTGGCTGACAGGAGAAGTGGCTGAAAGGAGAAGTGGCTGAAGGGAGAGGTGGCTGAAAAGAAAAGGTGGCTGACAGGAGAGCTGGCTGAAAGGAGAAGTGGCTGAAGGGAGAGGTGGCTGAAAAGAAAAGGTGGCTGACAGGAGAGGAGGCTGAAAGGAGAGCTGGCTGAAAAGAGAGGTGGCTGACAGGAGAGGTGGCTAAAAGGAGACATGGCTGAAAGGAGAGGTTGCTGAAAGGAGAGGTGGCTGAAAAGAGAGGTGGCTGAAAAGGGTGGTGGCTGAAAGGAGAGGTGGCTGAAAAGAAAAGGTGGCTGACAGGAGAGGTGGCTAAAAGGAGACATGACTGAAAGGAGAGGTGGCTGAAAAGAGAGGTGGCTGAAAGGGGAGGTGGCTGATGGGATAGGTGGCTGACAGGAGAGGTGGCTGAAAGGAGAGGTGGCTGAAAAGAGAGGTGGCTAAAAGGAGAGGTTGCTGAAAGGAGAGGTGGCTGAAAAGAGAGGTGGCTGAAAGGGGAGGTGGCTGATGGGATATGTGGCTGACAGGAGAGATGGCTGATGGGATAGGTGGCTGACAGGAGAGATGGCTGAAAAGGGAGGTGGCTAAAAGGAGACATGACTGAAAGGAGAGGTTGTTGAAAGGAGAGGTGGCTGAAAAGAGAGGTGGCTGAAAGGGGAGGTGGCTGATGGGTTGGGCAGCTGACGGGAGAGGTGGCTGAAAGGAGAGGTGGCTGAAAAGAGAAGTGGCTAAAAGGAGACATGGATGACAGGAGAGGTGGCTGAAAAGGGAGGTGGCTGAAAGGAGAGGTGGCTGAAAAGAAAAGGTGGCTGACAGGAGAGCTGGCTAAAAGAAGACATGACTGAAAGGAGAGGTTGCTGAAAGGAGAGGTGGCTGAAAAGAGAGGTGGCTGAAAGGGGAGGTGGCTGACAGGAGAGGTGGCTGAAAAGAGAGGTGGCTAAAAGGAGAGGTGGCTAAAAGGAGAGGTGGCTGACAGGGAGGTGGCTGAAAAGAAACGGTTGCTGACAGGAAAGGTGGCTGAAAGAAGCTTCGCAATGATTACAAAACCAGGGAAGAATAATATAAGCAAAAAAAAATCTGGACACTACTCTTCTCAAGGAAACTACCTTAACTTACTGATTTACGTGTAACACAGACTCACCCAGAGAACAGAAGTATCCATAGAAAGGAGTTAAACTGCAGTCACATTTATATACATTATAGTTATCCACACATTTACTGCCAAGTTTGCAATGATCTTTGTCACATGCTGCACCACAACCACCTTTCACGTAGCTGAATTCTTTGGAGTTTGCTAATCCCTCCAAGTCGATCAATTCACCATTAATGGTCTGTGAAAAAAATAACAATGCCCTGAAGAGGAGTGTTGATTTCCTTGAAATTCAACTATAACTACCAGGTTCATAATGCTACACGTTTGAATACAACTGTTTACATTTCAGCATAAGCCCCAAAATTCATCAACTTTTTACACTCACAAAGATTCCAAAGTTGCTAAACTTATCACATATGAACCTAATTTACATGTAGCACCAACCTACAAGCACTCTATAACACTGCAATCTGATTGGCTATGCTACTTGCTATCTATTTTGAGATATATGAGGAGTTAAGGGAGTAGGGCATAAGGTGAACTGATTCTTTGAAAATTTGAATCAATTTAAGTATACATTTGTGAGCTTATCTTCACCTTACTTTTTCATAAAAGCTTGGTAGATTTATACAAAACAACTAGATTAGGAGTTCGAGACTTCCATCACATGATGAATCAATGAACACAAGGCCCTACTCAACTGCCACGCAATAGAAATCTTGTACTTGCGATCTAAAATTCTAGAAATCCAAAGTTTGAAATTGGTTGCTTATGAAAATGAAAACAAGCAGAATTTTTTATCAGGGCCTATGTACAAAGCAAGCTCCTGACATTTCCCCCCTTATTTTCTGTAAGAAAAAGACAGACTAACAATAAGAGCAATGGTCTACCATAAGAGAATCGCACACAAGGTCCCTGGATGCTTACTGATTACAGGTTTCGCTGCACAGAAAATGACAAAATCCCTTATTCTGTTAGTTGTGCATGTAAATGTAACTTAAGTACTGAAAAATTCTGGTTACCAGCCATCAGTTGACTGATCCTTTAACCCCTTAGTGTGATTTGCCTCTAAGTTCTCCTCACAATATCATCCTTCAATCAATTAGAAAGTCATGAGAATGAAGGAAATGATCACCAATTTAAGAAGCTCCTGATTACTAAATAAACTCTCTTGTCAGTACCATGGGAAATGTAGAGAGAACACTGTAGAGAATATGAATACCAATGCAAGGTTGTACAGAGTTAACCCTTTAACTCCCATTAGTGACCAAGACAAAATTTCTCCCAACAATATCAATACAATATCAAGCAGATAAGTGATGAGAATAAAGAAAAGATCACTTTGGGGATAATTAGTTGATCTAATACTGAATTCTCTGAAGTAACATTATAAGAATTGTATGGTTAACAGTACTGGAAGAATTACAAATTTGATCTGGGAGTTTAAGGTTAAGGTGAGTACACCACCAAAGTAAATTCAAAAAGCTGTCTCCTCCAAAGTGCAAATGCTGAGAAATATAAACTCCTCAAAAGCTGCTACAAGCCATTATCAGTGTTAACTTATAGGAGACAACCAACTAAGTCTCTAAAGAGTGATAACCTGGAAGAATAGCAAAGTTGATAAAGTGAAAGATACAGGTATTTATGTTACAGTAATTGCTTACCAGTCTACGAATGCAGCCCACAAATCCTGCTGTAACATCTCTGGGGTTTGTTCCAATATTGAGCTTATCATCCATGTTTAAGTCTTTCTCTAAGAGCACAGGGTTCTTTTTCACTTTTTCTTCTTCATCCAACTTCAGTCCAAATTGTAACATGTTGTGATAAACGGTTACTGTGTGCCACTCACGATCATTTAGTTTCTTGTCATTTCCCAGAGACAATTCTATTTTCTCAACTCCATTGCCGATATTGTAGTTCAGCCTGATGCTGGTTTCATTGACAATTTCCAACTGGAAATAATCTTTGGTGTTATCGCCGTTGTACAGTATTGTTCCCTTGGCATAAGGTGTTTTAAACAACAGAGAGATGATCCCATGAGAAGGTGGGGACCACTTATCAAGCTTTATCACACCATCTGCGTCAATGATTGTTGCTGTATTTTGGGTTTTTCCTTCACAAAAATAACAACAAAGATGTGAAATGTTTGAAAGACTACAGTGCCATTCAATTAGAAGCTTCAACATCCCCTTCCCCCTAGAAAATACTATGCATTCACTAGTCTAAGTTACAACTACTCTATAAGCTAGTGGTACTGTTTAGGCTGGGGTTTGGAAGCTATGTGTTAATTTGGAATAGTAGGTTTATTTACGGTGAATACACATCTCAGGGTTCTCAGTAGAATTTTGTACAGCCGTTGCTTTGGTAGTTACAGGCGTAACCCTAATATACACGCCCTTTGGGCGTGTAACTTGGGCCCATAGGGCCCAAGCTGCTAGGGGGGTCCGGGGGCATGCTCCCCCGGGAAATTTTTTATTTAAGATGCTCAGAAATGCTTTTTCCTTCATTTTGGGGGCATATTTTCTCATTTTCTCCAAACAAGTTTAAGTACATTTTGTAATCTGTTCAGTGGCTTTGAACTACGTAAAGTTGAAATTATCTCTTATCAAACTGAAAACTACACTGCAATATTCAATGAAATATTAACCTGCAATAACAATGCTTTGCTTTCTGAGTTAATGGCATTCATTTTATACAAAAATAATTATTAGGTAACCAGTCCTCTCCAAATGGGGGCACCCACTTACAAAAACTAATTCTCAAGGCCACACTGACCCAGTAACTGCTATATATCTAAACGAGAAAGAGTATAAGATAGCGCAAATATTTGTTAATGAATGAATCGGCCATGTTTTTGCACGTGGAAAGACGACATCTGCGAGAGGCCTGGGTTCAAATTTACAAATTCAATATGGCGGCCATATTCAACGTTGCGGAGATGTGAAGCGATTGTTCGGTTATTCTATGGTCTGCAAAAAGGCTATTCACTTTGACAACTAAAACCGAAGAAAGGTACATTGCGAAAGCAACTAACAGTCAATAGTTTACCCAGCAATTTACTCAAAAAGCCGTTCTTTTATTTGCATTTGATAGACGAATTGATCTACTGGTTGAAGCACTTTGACAGCCGTAACACTTACCTGTGACACCCGTGACAGGTGTTACGGGTTACGGGTTCAACTGAGAACCCTGCATCTAAAAAGATTCACATCTCACCTGTGCAGTATAGAGCCTTAACGGAAAAATTTGCCTCCCCTTCCTTCACATCAGAAAAAACCACTTGTGTTACAGGCAGGTCAGATGTAGAAGTTAACCACCCATGATCTCTCCTCCAAACATTGTCTCTTGCATCACAGTTGCACATCTTACTTTTGTCTGAACAGGTCTTATTCACTCCACAAGCACAGGATTCCATACTGGGTGGGGCACCTCCCCAGTAATACTTGAAAAGTCCATTACTAGCAACCCAATAGCCTGTTTTGTCTTTCCCACCAGCATTGAGGAGTCTAGCACCTTTGCATCCAAAGTCAATGTACTGCTTGCATGCTTCACTATTCCTAGCCAAGGCTTTTGCTGTTTTTAAATTAGGAACATACTTTATGTCTTCAGTATAAGGCTGGGTTGGAGTGCCTTTATCACCAGTGGTGATAATCTTCCCCCCTGCTTTGTCAGTTTCGATTACTGTGACTGCTGGATTGGCTGTCATGTTACAGGACAGCCTTACAGACACCAATGGACCTGGCCCATCCACATCAACTGTATATTTACTATTAGTGGGATTTCCACCTAGATTAATGAGTCGCCTTTTATGAGCCTCACAATTTTCTGCATACTCAGCTGTGGGGAGAACATATGCATAATAAATTTGGTCAATACAAAGGTAAAAATATCTATACAGTACATTGTATACAGCAAGCTACAGAAGGTTACTCTACAAGTTTCACATACTCAAAGTCAATAATCTACTAGTTCCCTTACTACACATTAGACTTCTTATGAAAACCCTTATTGGTCAAGAGCATACAGTCTATAGACATTAGCATGTAAAGTTGACTAGATAACCTAATATCCACAACAGATATTGGGTTTGGCATTACAAAGTCTGCTTAGTTTCCCAGCCCCTTGTCTGTGCCCATGTCGTTAAACTTTTGCAAACTCAGAGAAGTGTCTATTTTTGAAGATCATTTAAAGAATGTATGAGAAAACAAATATTTAGTTTTCAGATGATATCAAAAATTATCAAACCTCTTGTCTGTGTTACCAGCCTCAGCCTTCAGCAAAGGCAGATAATAACTCAGACCTCTGCATTAGTAATTCATGATGTCATGCTCATCCTCATCCAATAACAGCTTATCAGTGTTGTGTAAATCACAGCATTAAAACAGCGTTCAGTCAAGTTCCCCTGACAGTCAGCAAGTAATCATTTAAACCTCTAACCCCCAAAAGCGATTAACTTGTAACTTCTCCTTACAATTCCAATATGTCATATTGCCAGCAAGCAATGAGAACAGACTAGTTACAGTCAGCCAGAGGGGTGTTCTGTTGCCATAACACCAAATTCCATTGTGTGATTCACAAGAAAATGTATGGCAGCCAGTAGGGAGAAATGCTATTTGGATCTTGGGACATACAGGATTGAATGAACATCCTTGGGTGGGGAGGGTTAAATGTCATATCCAAGAACAAAAGACAACGTCCCAGCTTAAGTCTAGCAAAGTAACTAATGAGCTTCGGCATTTTACACTCTGACAATTTGCCATACATACTTAACAAATATTTGGTAGTGACAAACAAAAGAGCAAAGCCATACCAAAAATGAAAGAAAAATTCTCTAATTTATGGACATACATCATAACCATGACTGAAACCCTTAACACCCAAACATCAATATTCATCTTCTCCCTACTGTCCTCTATACATTTCCTAAGGTGCTGACAAGGAGACTTTGTGTAACAATCAAAAGCTTCTCCAAGTAGTGATAATTTTGCTTAGAGAAATCAGATGTTAGTCACTCTTAGAGGTCCAAGGGTTTAACAGAACTTTGTTGCTAGATAAGATGTGGTGTGGTGTTTAAGTACACCATAACCACACCATCTCATCTTACCATTATGTTATACAATCAACAGTCTACAAGTACTTACCCCACTGGCACACTTCTCCTTTGTAGCCAGTGCCTGGGCAATTACAAGTCAGCTCCTTTCCATCAGTTGTGCATGTTGCACCGTTCAAGCAGGGGACAAAGACACAAAGATCAGTGATGTTACATTTGTCAAATTCCACATTTTTGACGATGTCAACTCCCTTGACTGGCTTAAAGTCATTATTATTGATTTTAAGGTCTCGCATACAGCCAATGAAACCACCAGCTGTTACATCAGAGTGGAAGAAATTATTCCCCACAGGTTCAGTTGGAGTTTTTGTGACTGGTAATTTATTTTTACCTTCCAACCTGATGTTGGTGGCAGAGACAAAAAATTCAATAGTAATCCAGTTCCCAGAGTCAACCTTTGCCTCATTAACATTAGTGGAAAGGGTCACTTCAGTCGCTGTGCCCTTGACAAACAAACTCAAAGTAATACCACTTCCTCCAAACTTTATGGTGAAACCATTCTGTTCATCACCTTGCTTAAGGAGAGTTCCAAACTTCTGATATGTTCGGAACTTAAAGCTTCCAGTGACATCAGTCTTCTTGTCAATTGTACAAATAAATGCAGAGTCTGATTTTGAAAAAGTGTATGGCTGAAAGGCTACTGTTAAGCACCCCTTTTTCATATCAACTTTCACGCTTTCAACAACACCCTCCTTGAGGAATTGTATTTCACGTGGAGGTGTAACTGTCTCGATCCGAAACTCCACATCAGTAAGACAACCCACAAAGTAAAGATCTGCTTTGACCCCTTGGAGGCTTTGGAAATTAGGTGCTCCTCCAACATAGATGGCAACATCTACCTCAAGCTTTTTATAATTGGTGGTAATTTTACCCCTCTTCTCTTGCGATGTTTTGTGATCTAGCGTGACATTTATGACAGTTTCCTTGTGTACCACTTCTACAGTATGAGGTTTTCCATCATTAAGATCTTGGCCCAGTAACAATTCTTTGCCAACATTACTTCCACCAAGCCGTACACTGTACCTGTGAACAAAAACATACCAAAAAAGTGAACAAAATTATACAATAAGTTGAATTTTATGTGCACTTGGATAGGTTCCAATAATCTACTGGAGGACAGAGGCATGAATAATGTCACTGTTAACAACACTTTGCCTTTTTTATCATATAATGCCTTATTGTTATCAATAAGCTCCTTGCATGCAGCAGACTATATAAAAGCTTGCCATCTTCACTGCACATTGTAATAATACCATCAGTTAATATTGTCTGACAATCCCTTTTCACAGCTACATACCTTAAACTTCCACTATAGAGCTCAACTGTGACATAGTCTCCACTACTACCACCACCCATTTGGGTATGGAACAACAGTCCAGAGGGTTCAACTGTCTTAAACTGAAGAGTCAAGATGTCTTCCTCAGAGTTGATTGGCTTCTCGTTAGCAACATACTTGAGGTAAGCATTACCAGGGAATTCGCGGTCAACTGATAGAACCAAAAATCAAATAAGCTTAGATACTCACTATCGAGTGAAGAGCAAAATTGTTCAGTTGTCCACCTTAATGCAAAACTCTCTCTAAACATACAACGTAACCCTATCATTCAAGTGGGAGGATTCCTCAACTTAACTTAAAAGAAAAAACAAACAAAATACACTTCAAGTACATGTTGGATTTAATTCCTTCTAGGGTTCTTGTTCCATTTTTTTTCTGAAATTTTGCATTATTTTCACCTTGTTTTTTTTTGGTTTTGGATTACCTGAGAAAATATCATTCCACTTCTGGCACAATTCAAACTGGTGGATTAAATTAAAACCAAAGAAAAATTTGAACCTTCAACATATAAACTAACAGTTACATGGCAACTTAGAGTCAGACCCAACTGGCAATAACATTTTCAATTACTGACAAAAACTTCAAACATGCCAAAAGAAACTGTATGTAGAAATCAAGTTAAGTGGTGAACACAAGTTAAACCTAGTCCAACACTTAACAGATTATCAACAATGATAAAACTAATGATACCAAACAACAATGGTGGTAAGGCCAAAGAAGAGGAAAAGAATGACAAAATACCAGAACTTAATACCACAGAATAAGAAAATGTTGAAATTCCCAGCCATGGGATTTCCAGTTATATAAGAAGCATTACGAATTGTCCCAAAGAGGCTGGAATAGAAAATGGTGAAAATTGCTGTGGATAACTCAGTTGAACTCAGACAAAAAAATTACTCTTTTGATATTCTGCTGTTAAAGAAAAGCATTTTCCTGTATTTTGGAGCAGAAAGTACCATGCCTCTGTAGCCACAAAGTTATCATTTCCATAATTAATTAAAACTGGATTTGATGCATCCATCAACAAGTAAATTAGTTCCATATGCAAATTGTAATCTTTAACTTATTAAATCTTTACATCTGCTCACCATTCATTAGACAGTGTCATCAGTGTTTAGATGTACATATATAATCATTCTGTACAAACACAAATCAAAATTCTAAGGAGAAGTGTGCCGGGTTGAATCTTGAGAGATCAACCCTCTCCTTTTGCCAGTTACTTGCACATTAACTCGTAAAATTGCTAGGCCTTTAGAGCACAACATTAATTTTTGTGATGCATTCTGTGCTGAAACCCCTTCTTGGCTGATGATGATGAAAATGGTAAATGAGGTGTATAATAGAAAAGTAAATTATTGTTTAATTTTCAGGAGACATACATGTATAAAGAAAATATGGAAAGGTAATTTGAACTTAATTCTGTCTGAGATTTGGAAAGCAGCAGGCTTAAGTCATCTTAACAGCCTGTCAAATCACAAGGTACCCTGCCTTCAAGGAAATCCCTACAATATTAGAGTCTACCTCTGTTCTATGGTTCATTTGTAGAAATTTTGAAAAAAGAAAAAAAGAAAAAAAGAAAAAAAGAAATCTTGAAACTTTACAACAAACATTTCAATAGCAATAACTACCATTAATGCAGATGCACATTACATAACTACAAAGAGAAATTGCAAAGTGAAAGTATCTTAAAACTAAATAAATTGCATGACCTAAAGCAGTTTACATCACACAAACTTCCACAACAAAGGTTACAGTAATTGTTGTCCTCGATGACACATGTATGTGATGAATTTAATCCACCTAGGCTTCCTGTGCACAAAGATCTGTTTCCAGTAATTTCAGAAACAAGCAACAACAAGAAGACATGTTCAATCATGAAAAATGCAATACGGGTGACTTTTAGGCTGACTCCACTTTGGCCATATGTAAAACTGATTCCTTTGGTAACAAATATTCATTTTCTTTAAGTTATGGTTTTAAGTAGGCAAAGGTAAATAATGGAGAGAAAGATAAAACAACTATGACACCTACACATTAACTGCAAACGTCAATTGGATCATATTACTCAGCGTGAAAACTACGCTTTCTCTTGTTCATCCAGGTGAGTCAAAGATCTTATCGAGCAAGAATACATTCAATACACAAACATTTTAAAATGATCTTCAGAACGTCTGTCAAAATTGATTTTAACAGATGTTGATAGAAATAACATGTGCGAAAAAATATTCAAACAAGTTTTTCATTTTTGTATACATGCAATAGCGTTTTAGAGAGCTACAAATCATATTAACGTTCCTGGGAACAGAGTCAAACTCTGTACACCCATCAAGAAATAAATAGCTGAAAAAACTGCCGCCAACAAACGTTTTATCGCTGCTCTCAATTTAGTCAAACTTTCATGACAAAATAAAGCAGAAAACTAGTCAACATATTGCCCGATTCAATTGGCCACAGAAAAGAACAACACTGATAGTTAAATCAGAAATGAATAAAGCGCTTCACGAATATAGAAACGTTGCGAAAGTAACAATGTTTTCATTGTTTCTGATTTCATAACACAGCCACGGGTGAAAATAGCGAGATAGGAGAATTTTACCCCGGAAAACAAAGGTGCACAAATCGCTGAGCAATGATATAGGTGTAAATAACACCTTCGAAAGTAGCAACATTTCTTTCTTGATCGGTCAACCACCGGGTATTTCATCGAAGCAGTTAACACATAAGGCAAGGAAGCTTTCAAAAAAAATGAAATGAAACTCTGTATCTCATAAACAAACCCATAGTTAGAATTTTTTCCAGTTTAATGAAATACTTGGTTCGATGCTATCAGAGAAAGTTTCAGTATACTTCATTACTCTGTGCAGTTTGCTCGATAATAGGTTGAGTTTGCAAACACTTTTATTTTCTAGTTTTAAGAAAACCGTCATCGTACAAAAATGCTTCCTATGAAATTAACGAAAAAATACCTCAAGTTTTATAAAAACATTAGCCGACTTCGCCAAAGCAATGCCAAACAACCGGAATTGCTTGGTGAGGTCCATTACCTAAGCGCAAAGACAGTTGAGCTTATTACAAGTGTAAACAGACCTGCAAAATACATCAGCGCTTAAGTATAAATTTTAAAAAGATACGCTGAAATATGAAACGTTAGAAGGGGAACAGTTACGTTTGAACAGTTGAACTGATATCAACATTCTACAGATCATGAACATCGCTTAATTCGTTTTAAATCGAGACCAAAACAAGAAAATTTGTCAAAAATTGTGCAAAAACAAAGAATAAACCACAAATGCAGACACCAAATTTTCCAATAAGCTTTAATACGCGTGTATTGCAGTAATTTTTCAAAACTTATTCGCATAAACAGTTTAGGAATTGTTCGCTTGAACATCAGAACAAATTCCACAGAGGTCCTGGCCCTCATGGACTTCCGTAAAATAACAATTAAGAGGGACGCAGAAAAGATCGCACATTCTGTAGCACGAGGATGAAAAGAAATCAAGGCATCACACTGAAGATTATTACTGCGGAATTACCACATCACGAATAATTTAGGGCACAAATGTAGGTGGGACTAATATCTTTACTTCTGTTTCTCGCTTCGGCAGAATACGAGCAACAGTTTAGCGCTATTTCGAGAGAGAAAATAGCTTCAGCTCCAAAATCAAAAATAATACTCACTTGCACAAACGACGAACAAGCAGTGGAATAACCACAAACCAGCCGCTAAGCTCCTAAAACCCATCATAACTCCACAGAGCAAGATGGTGGATTCAAACAATATGCAGACCTTAAACCATGCTCGGTAAGTCACGTGATCATTTACAGACGCTTCGTTGCTTACATTCCTGGTTATTCAATTATATGGTTTGCTATTGGCCGAGCCACGCAGAAGTTCGTATTCTGATTGGTCGAATCTTACTAAAATTTGAATACAACAAGGTGGGGCATGGTCACGAAATGTCACGCAATGTGTCATTTGGAAAGGGGCCATTCTCGTGATCCTCATTTAAAAAGTTCAAGGATGTGAATGCTGTGTGAATGAATCTCGTGACGGAAAACCGTCGCTGGTAATGATTTACACGTAGAAACGTGTTCAGCTCATATCCTTAGGGAAGCTACTGTAGTCATTGCAAAACTTGCACCTAAACAAGGCGAGTAATTTGCGAGGGCTTTCTTACCTCCGCTGAAACTCTTGAATGGAAATCTAGACGTTTAGCAGATACCTCCTACCACAGACCCGTATCTCTCCAAGCAGCAGTTCGAGAATCCTCGAATTTTTTTTAGCATCAACCAGTTTTTGGCTCTCTGAGAGACCACAAACTCATTTTCAGTGTCAATTTGGTTTCTGGCTACTGATGATTACCTCACTGACGGGCTCTTTCAGTGTTAAAAATGCTCTTTAGAGAAACATTGACCACGCACTGCCTACATGACTGTTCTTTTTAGATTTGATCAAGATCTCTAACTTCGACATTCTATTTAGGGACTTATTTCACTTGCTTTTCGTCCTCCGGCTGAGTAGTGGTTCCCACCCAACCTCTAAAACCGCCCTTATTTTACGTGCGAGACCGGAATACTAGGAAACCAGGGAAATCGTTTTTAGCGTCCCAGAAGGTTCCATCCTTTGTTCCTTGCTTTTCATTTTATACATCAAAAACCTTCCAGCAGTTACTGACTATTGCACAGTGAAAATATAAAGTAATTTAGGCGCGCTGTGAAAATAATAGCTCTGCAAGGACCCGTTTCTTGAAAGTCCCGGTAACATAACGGGCCCGAATTCATATTTTAGAATAAAAAATCCAAAGAATATAGAATCACGTTCTGTCACCATAACCAGTCCATTTTTCCCCTTTAGCTGTTAGTTTAATGCTTTCTTCTCGTGAATAGATGCTCTTAAAGAATGGCCATTTTCAAGGTCATGATTTAAAAAAACGCTTTATAAAATAATTCAAATAGTACGCGCGCTCTGATTGGCCATAAAACCATTTTACATGAGCGTATGTAAACAAGCGTATACAAGTTTTGCAGAATATTTCGTTCCTCTTTCATTAGTTATTTTATAAAAGAAATGTAAAATGGTTTCCGTGTTTACATAGCCTGATGTAAACACTTGGGAGGTTGGGAGAACACTCGATAAGCTGGAAACCACTCCGCTTCGCGTCATGGTTTCCTACGCTTATCTCGTGTTCTCCCAACCTCCCGCGTGTTTACATCAGGCTATGTAAACACGGAAACTATTTTACATTTCTTCAATGTAAGCCCTGCTGAACAATTCAGTATGAGCTTCTTTTGCAATCTTTTTACATTGAATGATTAAGTCACAGCAGGAGGCAAAGTCATTGTGTTCCAGACACGGAAGGTTTACACCGACGAAGTTAGATGCTCTTCACTCTGATCGCTGTCACGCAGTTCGTCGTGTAAAGGAGATGCATGGGATATGTCTTCTAATGTCTCCAAGGTCCGCCGTCCAAGGGTCTCCGGAAGAAGACCACACAAGCACCCAGAGGCACAAGCAAAGCCACTCATCACAGCAAATGGGATCACGGGGTGAGTTTTGTCCTGTTGAAATAGAAGAAGAAGATTAAAGATGGAGCAAATGGGCTTGTTCGAACAAAAACAACTCTTGAACGACACGCATAAACCTGAACTAGTAACTTAAGAGCAATGTTGGAGAGTTACTGTAAGTAAGCGAGACACCAGTACTTCAAGAGAGTCACTCTCAGAATTTACTTGTTCAGACTAGGTTGTTACTCGCGTATGGTAGACGGCTGAAGATCAGGACACCTTTCCTCTCGACACCTTTTCTGTTTCATTTCATAAACAAAGCCCGAAACAGGGGTCGCAGCCACCGAAAAGAAGGTAGGATCTTTTCTTCATTAAAGAAAATGTAAATATCTATGTGCGGTTCAAATCTAAAACTCTAAATATGCGTTCAAGTTCTCCTCGCAAAATTAAACAGTAAAAAGAGTAAAGGGGATAAGTTTCTAAAGAAACTGTGGTGCTGCGTCGGTGGGAGAGTATAGCAGGCAATTTAGTGTTAACAACTGAGTTGAAAACGTAAATTAGCCACCGTAAAGGGTAAAAAAGCTGACGTTTCGAGCGTTAGCTCTTCGTAAGAGCTCTGACGAAGGGCTAACGCTCGAAACGTCTGCTTTTTTACCCTTTACGGTGGCTAATTTACGTTTTTAACTCAGTTGTTAACACTAAATTACCCAGTAAAAAGAGTGCTCTATGAAAAAATGCGACCGACTTGGCTCCTTAAACAGACTTGCGATCGTTACTAAATTGCCTCACAGTTGTGACTAAAACAAAACACAAGCGCTCTCATTCGATTGTGTCAGTAAAATCAAAATCAAGAAATCACAAAAACCTATCAGAGCAAAAGAAATTGTTCGAAGGAAAACGCAAGTGAGTAGGCGTGATTAGTCTTTGTTTGCCATCTAAAGCCGGGCAGATTGAAGTTATACTCACCAGTAAAACCACAAATGGAGCAATGCTAGCACCAGCCTGATCAAATGCAGCCATACTTCCCATTCCTAAATTCCTTGTGAGAACAAAGTAAAAGAATTTAAGTTTTCAGCAGACCCTAGTGGTCCATTCAACTGCACTTATCGTGGTCTCTATAGCATGAAGCGACTGGGAGTATAACTACTCCCCCGGCATGGAGGTTCGCCGGTACTGTAAGAGTAATGTGTTTCGCCCAGGAACTCATAAACCCAGACCTATAGACCCGGAGTTCACCACGTCTATTACATATAAAAATAAAAGAGGTGATTTTCATCAAATCCTAGATTACTTTGTTCCTTTTCTTGACTTAGTAGCAATAACTGAGAGCTGCCCGCTTAAGAACGACAGCAGTGTAAGCTAGGAGAGGTTTGATTTTAAATATTTTATGTTTTGCAATTCAACTCTCCCCCACTCTCAGAAGAATGAATTTAAAATAATTCCAGCAAACTAAACCTGATGACTGTGGGAAGGAGCTCTGAGGAGAAAACGTAAATTGTGCTGAATGACGCATTGATGCAGAACTTTCCAAGGACTGTGAAAATGACACGTGCAGCTGTGCTACCTAAAAGAGGCAGAACACTTTATCATGAAGTCATTATGGAAGTATATTCAACATAACTTAAAGTTACAACATACTGAAATAGAGAAACGAATTATCAAGAGAATGAATCAAATCGAGTGGCAAAGTGTGGAGCGTTTAATGAACCAATGAAATTGAGATATCAATTAATCATTTGGTAACCTTGCCTATGCAACAACTTGACCACAAAAAAAACGTTTCAACAAAGTACGAAATTTTGAATGACAAATATAAAAATATTAACCACACCTAACTTGAAGGCAAATTCAAAACGCCTAAGAGTGTTACAGCCAGGGTCTCTTAAAAAATTCAACCATCACATCGCACGAATAACGCACAATAAAATTCAAATTAACCAATCAGAACTTCAGACCAAAGCAGGCAAAGGTGACTAAAAACTCTGATGAAATTTACTGCACGTTGTCAGTAACTGGTTTGGTCACTTTAAATCAGCCCAATTGAACAGTATTGCACTTTGTAAGTAAATGAGTAGGTTTACAAAGTAATTCTACAATTCCCTCACCTGAATCAGATTCTGGAGGAATTAGAGAAACAGTGATACAGAACACTGCTGCCAGGTTCATACAAAGGATTAAAGCTCTCTTTCTACCATAAAAACTTTTACACAAAATTCCTTTTTCCCTGGAATAATAAAAACCCAAATCAATATACCTCGAACATCACTTTATAGCAGGTTGTGTTTTACACTAACTGAGATGGCCTAAGTGGCTCATTAAGTAAATCTTTTATTTCCTGCCAACACACACAACCACTATTTAACACTCTAACCACCAACACTGCACTAACCAATCTTTTGACACTGATGTACTTATTGAGTGATTACTTTCATCCTTAATTGACTAACAAATTGACATGACCAGCAGAATGAGTGGTAAGATGGATTACTAACCAGCTGATTGACTGACTGACTGACTCAGATTGATTGATTGACTGACAGACTGACTGACATAGCAACCAACTGACTGAAAGGTGATTGATGCACTAACAGACTGACTGACTGATTGATAAACCAACTAAATGAAGGGCACAGTGACATACTCACCCAAGGAACCACCACTCCACCTTAAAACTGACCGACTGACTGGCTGACTGATTGTCTATCAATTTACTGGCTAACTGAAACGGCTACAATTTACATTCTTTCCTTCATATTTGCCTCAAATACCAATTTCAGAATAAGTCCTTGATTAACATTTACTGCAGACCATGAACAGTTTTAGCTACACCAAGATATTTTTTGTTGTGCTGATTCCTGTTGACTTGCACAACAAATTACATTAGGTAAAATTAGGAACTGCTCATCAGGTCTGCACAACCTCACTTATAAACAGCCACACCCCACCCTTGAAGATGACACAAGAAATTTTTCAATATCTGTATGGCCAATTTCTCCCCCCCTCCTCCCCCCCCCCCCCCACACCCAACCCTATCCCCCTAATCATTAACAGACACTTACCAACTCATGAACCAAATAACGAAAAAGTTGCTGGGAATATCAATAGCACTTGTGAGGAAAAAATTCAAATAAAGGTTTCCACCTAGCACTCCAACACTCAAAAGTACTCCATAGTAAACCATGGAATTAGTAAACCTAAGAATTGTTTAAAACATTAAATTAATATCTTGTCTCAAACGCCTGAAAGATAAACATTTTCCTACAAGTTTTTAGAAAACTGGTTTTGAAATTTAATATAATTGTATTTAGAGGAAAAAATTGCTATCATATATAACTGATGATAATTGAACAATGCTGTTCCAGAAAGTTGACTGGCTCAGCAATTGTAAGTACAAGCTAGTCAAGTATGGCTCAACTAGACATCACTAGTACATCATTAGGATTCAGTTTTATGAGTTTTGCTCCATGTACAGCACAAAAAGTCTTCATTCTCCAAGGACTCAGTTTTCCAGGCACTGCATCATGTCATGTTAGCAAGTTCAAAAGTTAACTTTTTACCAAACATCACCGCTTTGGTGAAGAAGTTACCCAAAAATTTCTTTCATTGCAGAGAGAAAAGGAAGAGCACTTACAAGAAAGAACTCAGGAACAGGGGATATTATTTGTGATCACCCATCCAATAAGCAACCCCCACCAACAGGGCTTAAGTTCGAAGAGAAGCACCAGCACATGGCTCATGAGCCCATGGCTAATCTCGACATCTCACAAACACAACACTCAAGCAAATTTCTAAAACAATCATGATCTACCACAGGCATTACACATACTGAAAGCAGCAATGAGCCTTGCTTATTTTATTTTTCAGGGGGGGGGGTTGTCCTGGAAGCATTAATAACTGTAATTAAGAAAGAATGACATTTGAATGATATGTCATTGAAGCAGCCAAGAGGGGGGGAGAAATCAGGGGTTTAAAAGTAACTTGAATTATATTTTGTTACTATTTTTTTTAATTGTAAATATCAAAAATGCTTACCACGCAAACCAAAGAATAACAGTCTGTATAAGCTGGATCCTGGTATGAACCAAATCCAAAAATCCACCTTCTTCTACAGCATTGTGATTATTCTCTGCAAGTGCAAGTTTCTCAGTGGGAAGCTGTTTTTTATTTATGGTAGCAATCAATGAAAACACCTTCCTTGCCTCACCTACTCGGCTGTGAACTATCAGCCATCGACATGATTCAGGTACCCACCTTTAAGATAAAACATTCCAAAAAAAATTCTAGGTTCACATTTTCCACAAGCTTTTTTATGACATCTGTGTTGTTTTCCATGACCTACAAAGAATGTTATTCTTGCAGTTCTCAAAGATATCATTCAAGGTAATTTTCATTGACTTATTTCCATGTGATAGTTTTATCTCTACCTCATGATTTGATTTTCCTCACCTCCAAAATATCAAAAGTAAAAATGCTGGGGCAGATATAACAATTGACAAAGTTCTCCATTCACGTATTCCATATGCCAATCCGCTCAGGATCATAAGTGAAGAAGTATAGAAAATCCAAACCACTGTCCCAGCTAAACTTCGGTGTTTTGGTCCAACAAACTCTGTTGTAAGCACATAAAGGGTTATATAAACACCTCCTTGAAAGAACCCTGTTATTCCTCTTAGAGTCAAAAACAGCCTGAGAAAAATGTCATATGGGAAGTAAAATAAATATTGCAAATATTGCAACAATTTCATTCAAGTAATGATTAAACTTGTGTGGCCAATCACAGCTAGGTCAAGTAGACAGGGGCATAGACAGGATTTATCAAAGGGTGGTCACACTATGTCATACAAAGGGTACTTACTAGATTATCTTATTGACCTCCATGATGTGTTTTAGGTGGAGGGGGGGTCATGCACACCCCACAACCTCCTCTAGCAACACCCCTAGTAGATCAAATACTTGATGCATGATGTGCATGTTAATGCTAACATACGATTCTTAAATCTACTGCCGTTTGACATTTATATTATTCATTAAATAAAACATGGTAATTTACAAGGATTTCCAGTCCTGGGAAAAATGCCATTACTGCTCACATATCAAATTACAATAATCTAATTACAATAATTAATTACAATAATTTTCTAACTGCCTCTGATATGTCACCAATTAGCTGTTGACACATCGCCTGCCTTTTGCCCCACTCCATCAGATAAATGAATGAATGGCAAAGCGCTCACCATTCTCAATCCAAGGTTATTTGTCTAATTTTCTTGTCAGAAAAAGCCAATGGTGTTTACATTTATATAAGACACAAAATAATACATGGTTGCTTATTGATGTGGAACTTCACTTCCTGTATTCAATTCATTATCTCATGCATTTGCTGTAATCACTCATGAAATATCAAGTTCAACACTCAAAGAGAAATCCCATATCTACAGACCCTTATGTTTTACTCTCTACTCACCATAGCACAGGAACAAAGGAGCTTGCTAGTGAAGACACAGCAACAAAAAAAACAGCAGGGAAAAGAACTTGTTTTCTACCAAACTTGTCTGACAGTCTTCCAATAATAAATGCTCCTGGAATCCACCCAATGAACAGTATAGATTGTGACAGGCTTGCATAATATTCTGCGCCACAAATAAGGTTCCACTTGAGTAAAAAGAAAAAAATGAGAACAAAATGATGATGTGTTTGAGGAATATTCATAGCCACAGAGGGTTAAAGACTATCTGAACATTTGGCTAGCCGTCTGCTTGCATGCTGCACATACCCTTATCATAAAGTGTTTACAGTTCAGCAAGCCATTTCATGTTCATCCTTTATGGAAAAGGTATAATTATAATTTTAGTTCCAATAATTTAATATTAGATCAACTAATTATCCCCAATTTGATATTCTTCTTTATTCCTATCACTTAGCTGGTTGATATTGTATTGATATTGTAAGGAGAAATTCTTAGTCACTCATGGTAGTTAAAGGGGTTAACCTTTTCACTCCAATGAGTGACAAAGAAATAATTTCTCCTTACAAAACCAAATTTTTTGGACTAACATTGTGAAAAATGTATGTTAGACAATAGATAAACCTGCTACCGAGATCTTGGGGCTCAAAGGGTGAAAAATACCCCTCCATCTATGATGCAGAATTCCAGAGCTTCTTCAACTATCTAAAAGGCCCAGGGGAGTAGTCTGAGAAGCAAGTCATACAGTTCCTCCAACTTAATTTCCAGTGAAACACCCCAATCTCCTCTCCCCCCCTTTTAGGAACCTCGCCTTAGGGTCAGATAAGACCCAGGGTCAGATAAATTACGCCGGCATAATTTTTGGCAGAATGTAATAATCAGATTGGCAAGCATGATACTGGCATTTTGATTAAACTTGTTACAGTTAGACAAGAGATAAATTATGGAGCCTGAGTAACGTCATCAGTGAGCATGGTTTTCTCTCTTGCAGTTATGGAATTTGATCCCGTAAAATGTTTTGTTCTGAACTTCGCTAAGCCTCTCAATCTTATGATTTTCACCTGTTGGGCCGTAGGAATGGGAGAAGGGAGATTGAGCAAATCTTCGAAACTGTTTTTATCAAATTAAGCATTATTAAAAATTTTGAGCATAATTTTCAGTAACATGCGATGTTTTCAGGGGTGACGCTCCAAGGCATAATGCTCAGATTTTCGACCGTAATTCATCCGACCTTTGACTAAACTCCACAGGTCATTGTTTACAATCCTGGTCAGACTTTGCACAGGAAGTTTAACCTCGAAACATCTGTCCAAACTTCGAGAAAAACAACAGGCCAACCTCAGTGATGATAGATGTGAACTCGGTGGTAAATTCCCAGTCGTCAGAACTCATATTGCATCTGGCTTTGTAAAAGCCGTCGTATGAACTGAACGTCTCGTTTCGTGTACATATAGAGCTGTTTCCTTTGCACCGCCATCTTGGCTCACCCCCGATAAACACCATAGAAACCGTTTGGAAGGTCAGTACGAAAATTATAAGGCCAAGAAGTAAAGAATTTCGCTTTTGAAAGAGTCCATAACTTCCTATTTCTTCCAGGATCTCGTCGGTATCCATATCAACGATAAAGGAGGATTGGGCGTGATTAAGATAACACTCTCCTCTTCTCCTCGGAGGTCATCGTTCAGTCGTGTGTCACGCAGCGTGATAATAAATTAAAATAAAAAACTCTCAGGGGTTAGGACAATTCAAGTTGTTGTTGCTCTTGACAAGTTAGGTTGTATTTTTGTGAATAGTAATAAACATGAAACGAGTGCATTTTTTATGTAGTTACGTGTAACACGAGTGCAAATCACCAATAGCACGCGTGCTGCCAAAATTTTGTCCGTCTTAACTGTCTGCAATGCGTTTTTCATGTATTATGCCATCAAGTAACAACATGATTCCTTGTGTGATTCGATGTAAATAAGCAATTGCAATTGCATTCGCCCTACGGGCTCATGCAATTTCGATGTTTTTAAAAAATTTACTCTCGCCCAACACCAAATTGCACGCGTAATCATGTTGTACCCATACTAATTTGGTGTGGAAAAGCACTTGAAATTTTCCACGACTACTGATTTTGATGTCTTTGAAAAATGTACTAGTTCTTATTTACACCAAATTGCACTCGAAATCTTGTCATTACCTGTAATATCCAGACCTTGAGCTAAAGGGGCCCCGGTTTTTTGTCGCTTGCCCTGCCGGTTTTTCTTCCTTTTGCGATTCTTTTTTTTTTAATTTTTTTTTTTAATTTTTTTTTTTTTTTTTTTTTTACCCAAAATAAGGGGGGGGAGGGGGGCGGGAAGGTGAAGATCTCTGGGGATCTCTCCCCAAGCTCCGTCTCCATGTAGCTGCAGGAGGAATGGAATACTTGATTAGTTATCATGTTTATCTGATTTCTAACGACAAAGACAAATATTGCATTGAAGCAAGCATTTCAGACTTTTGACTTGAGAAATATTGTAACGACCTGTGCAACTTGAAACCGGAACAAATTCCTGAGCAAGCTCACGTCGAGAAATTAGTTTTTTTCAGTCGTGGCAAGTAAATACTTTCAAAAGAGCTTCAGGAAAGAACCGAGGACGAAATTCAGCTGCTTTTTCGGACAAAAACTCACAATCTAACGACAAGGCCACAACCAAGTACCGTGAAAATGTTGAGACTCCTCTGGAAAGATGAAAGTTAGGAAGAAACCTTTTAATAAGATTTAAACTAAAGAGACCTTAGCCCCCCCCCCCCCTCCTCTAATTTGTTCTATTTTTTATTTTTATGCAGAACAAAACAGTTGATGGTGGCTCAAACAGAGGCTTTCCCATCAACCCTCAATGTTCCCTGAGGCGAAGCCAATGTTTTACTAGAGGCCACCCCAAGAAACTCAGACGCACTGGTGGTTCAGTGGTAGAATTCTCGCCTGCCACGCGGGAGGCCCGGGTTCGATTCCCGGCTAGTGCATTGTAACCTTTTGGCCGTGCTTCCAGTCCGATGAAAAACTAAACCCATACAATACGATCTAGCTTAGTTCTAGAACTACCAAATGCGGTAAAGAGTTTATTTTTAAAACATAGAACACTGAATGAAAGTCTTAATGTTTTTTTTTTCTGTGTTATTCTATCTTGAGTTTAACACTAGTGCATTCTTTGGTTAGACCGCAAGACATAGCCTTTGACACTTTGTGCCTTATAACCTTGAGGGAACACGTATGTATTGTTTGATGATATGAATGGTGGTAAGAATTAAGAAAAAAAATAGGAATACTGGAAGATCTCGACAGCTTCTGGTTTAATAAAGTGACGGCTGGTAAATCGCGTTTTCAAATTCTCTGATAAAAGACGTCCGTCAGTTAACTCAGGCAAGAGCCAAGAAAAACCGCTTTTGAAGCGTTTTCTCCTTGTTGGAGTGCCGGTAAGCGATTCCTTTTCCTTCTTCACTCATTTTTTTTTTCTGTCGGGCTTATCGTCCTCACGAATGTTTGTTTCGTTTCTTTCCTTCTACTTTCTTTTTTCCTTCTTTTGACCGAATGTAAGATACTTAAATTTTTATTTTTTTCAAAACCAAACTCCCGTACATGATGTTAAATTGAATTTTTTGGAAGGTTTGCTTTGTAGTCAAGGCCGTGCGCAGTTTCTTTTCGACGCACTGAGTTGACACATGCTGATAATAACTTATGAAGTATTTGGTTAGATTTTTTGTCTGAATTTGCCGCCACGTTCTGATAATCACTACTTGTTGTTGTTGCTGCTGTTCATGTTCACGTGCTAATATTTTTTTTTCTCTTCGATCTCGGGCTAAAAATTTCCATTGAAATTTCAAGTAGGCTTCATCTAGGATGTTCCACATGAACAGAGAAAAAGGCAGACTCATGACTTTCATCACAAGCTGGGCAACTATTGTAATATGACATGCACTTTAAAATAAATACACCATGAGGAAACAAAGAGAACCGTGTTTCCTTATGTTCTTATAAGGAAACAGGAAATAAACCTTATCATCCTCATGACGCGCATACAAAAAGCATATTTCGTCCATGGGGAACATAAACTAGTTTCTGGTGGTTTTTTTTTTATATGTATATTTTGAACAGCTACAAACAAATATACCACCAGATCTTAGGCGCGAGCTCTAAAATTGGCCCGATGTTACGCGTCTGTCTTTTTTCACGTGACACAAGTATACGATTTCAAGATTTCGCTGATGCAACTTGACTAAAATATCAACGAGATCGTACATTCCTTCTGGTCTTCGCCAAAGGGTAGCCTGACTATTTCACGCAACAGGTATGAACTCTTATCTTTATTCACATCTATGGAGTTGCTAACGTGCTTTATGCGCCTTCTCATTCCGAACAAACGCATTTTGATCAAAACAGAAAGACCTGGTTGAATGGAAAATCTCGATATGGCCTCAAAATTGCGTGTCCTGGGCTTAATATCAGCTCATAGCAAAAATAAAAAACATATTAAGACCTCTCGAGTAAATTGCTCTACAGACTCCTCCAGGAGAATAAGTTGGTAAGCTCTCAGAAGATTGAAAGTTTATTCTAAGCAAATCTTTTTCTTTACTTCTGATTTAAATGGCTTAAAACGAAAGGAAATTACCACCACTACGCCAGTGTCACCCGGTCTCATTAGTAGTTTCAAAATGGAGTCGAAAGCGTAATTATATAATTATTGGATTTAGTATCAGTTGAACAAGGGTTAAATCAAAGCTAAAGCAAAACTTTCAAAATACTCCCGATTGTGAGGAAAAAATGAACGTAATATTTAAGATTTAAGCATCGACACGGATATATTTAACTCTGTGACTATCCCATTACATGGTTTTGAACATACTGATCCAAGAAAATTTTAATGGTCCGTAAGGCTCCAAAGATGAAGTCCTGGGTATGGCGAAGTCTTGGAAAGCAACTCGAGGTATCGTTAGCAAGGCTGAGGGCCCTGAGAAAGACGAAAAAAGGCCTGTTTATTTAGGGGAAAAATGAGCAAATGCTTCCGGTGTCCTTTTTTTGAGGGCCTGTTTATATGGAGGTGGAGAACCCCAGGTAGGTGAAGTAACCCGCCTGGCCGTGGTCCAAAAATAGCCCGCGTTTACTTACAATCCGGGGCCGGGGTGAAGTTTCTCGAGGTTATTGTCGCGCTTGCAATCAGGGATTTAAGATGTCACCGCGGCGACTTATTTTAAAACGTTGCCAAAAAAAGTTATTTACAACATGTGAATGTACTCTTAAGTTCAAAGTAAAAACTTGACTAAATTGCCGTCGAGTCTTCATTGCTAATAGGACGTTAAGTTAGTGTTTTGATGTTTCAGCTCAGTATGGGACGGCTAAGAAAAGGAAAAAGTTATAAAACACATGTGTTTCGCTACCCCTTGGCTCATTTTATCTCTCTGTAATATGAACGTGACCCCGGCTAAGCGGGTTACTCCATCTTGAGCAGTTTACATAGCAAATTGTCACCCCGGCTGACAGGGTTACCATACCAAGCAGACCGGGCAACCCGCTCAGGTGGGTCACCCCACCTACCATATAAACGTGATTAAGATAAAATAAGAGATTATATGGACAGGCGGGTTACCCCACCTAGGTGGGCTACCTAACCTACCTGGGGTCCCCAACCTTCATGTAAACAGGCCCCTAATTGTCAAATGAGCTTATCAGGGCATGTGTCATCATGATAAGAATTTTGGTGATTGAAGCTCTTATCTAGCGTTTCAAATTACAAAAACTTGATATTTTTGGAGTGGATAGCTTTCACCGGTTGTTCATTACTAAAGGTTGTTCCTCCGGAACCTTGACAGGATTTACTCAACAATCTATTCACGTTTGATTTAATTGTCGAGACACAAATCATCCGATAATAAAAGCTCTGCAGGGAAGATAATACATTCGCCAGTTCTCAAGAAACATTATGTACGTAGCTCTTGTAGGACCTCTTCCAGAGCTAATGCGTGATAAGACTGGGACGACTCTTCCGAGTCGTTCCAGTCCAACGCATACGGATTTATACAGCGGCATTTTTAGAGTTTTCCTGACAGATTGTAGGTACCAACTACATTCCTGGAAGGAGAGAGGCCTGGTGAGGATGAAATGTCTTGCCTGAGAATATAACTCAGTCAGCAAATCAAAGCTCAAACCGGAATTTTTTGATCCGAAGTCCACCGCACTACTTAAGTTTCCTTCCTCTGATAAAATCTTTTCAAATCATTTCACAGAATGGCTTTGACTGTGGATCAGATACTGGAGCGAATTGGTAGCCTCGGATTTTATCAAATTCGCCTGATTGCTATTCTAAGCTACATAGAGTGGTTCAATATAACATTTCAAGTCATGGTACCAACGTTCATCGCCGCTGAACCTAATTGGATGTGTGTGGCCAATCACCGCTCGTGTAACCTGACTGGGGAGTTTAAACCCGGTGATGACCTGTACATGAAACGATGTGATATGCCGAGAGATTCCTGGAAATTCGCTGATGATTACACGTCAGTAGTTACTGAGGTCAGAATTCATTAGACAATAGACAAGTTCTTGAGATAGTATGTTGTAGGATCCGGGTCACAGAAGGCCGACGAACGACCGGGAGAGGAAATCGGCGGGGTTTTTTTGCAGGAATTACAGGAACCAGATAATGGAGATAAACGAATGATTGGACGAGAGAAAATCGGGAGAGAGAGGGTTCGTGAGAGGCCCCTTTTTTTACTCTTGCTGACTGCCTAGAACAGGCCAAAAGTTTGCACCTGAAAGGAAAACTTTGGTTTTTCCCTGATGGTCTTGCGGCACGTATTTGAGCCTCGTACAACCTTTTTACTTTTTTGTTTAGAGGATATGATTATATGGCGACTCTTCGAAAAAACGTAAAAGAATGTTTGTAACAATTTCTTATAGTTCGACTTGGTTTGTGACAAAGCTCTGCTTGGAACCATTTCGACTTCACTCCTATTTGCCGGCTGGCTTGTGGGCGCGTTAATTGGTGGAGTTTTATCAGACAAGATTGGCAGAAAACCAGTACTGTATATAGGATCAATGACTTGTAGCATCTTCGCCTGGTTGGCTGCTTTCCCAAATGTCTTCTGGCTTTTCATTTTATTCAGGCTTCTCGTTGGCATCTGTCTCGGTGAGTGAAGCTTTTCTTTTATCTTTTCTTTAAGCTTAAAAGTATCCCTTTCGTCTCGAGTTCTTGGGAGCGGTTCACACATCTTAACTATAGCATTTCATTGCTCCGATTCAGCGCTTCTGAGCTCCGTTGTTAATGTACTCTCTTTAATGACCGACATGCATTTTGATGAGGTTCTGTTTCCGACATCCTCCCCCCTCCTCCGCACTTGACTCTACAGAATTCGCTGCGTGTCTGTTCGATGTCAGATGACGTCTTTAAATTCTATTACTCAGAGCAAGAGAGAAGCCAAATCAACTTTTTCTCACAGAAAAAGCGAGAACCAAAAAAGGTTTAAAAAACGGTTCAATGTTCACTTAACAGGGCACAAAAGAAGATCAAACTGGAGAAAGCGGGAAAAATCTAGCCCGTCATTTATTAAATCCATTCAAATTCTGTCCTTTATCGACTGATAACATAGAATTTAATGATGAAAACTCTGTGTTGAAGCTTATGACATTAGTGGAAAGAAATAGAGGGAAACTGAAGAAGTTCTTCGTATAAGCTTTGCTGATCTGACGCACCGTCTATTCCATCAGGTGGTGGAGCCATGGGAATCTACGTGCTGGCCACTGAGTTCGCAGGCGTCCGACATCGCCACGTGGCTGGTACGTCACTTTGGTATTCATGGACCCTGGCACTAGTCATGTTAGCAGGGCTCGCTTATGGCATTCGTGACTGGAGATTCCTTTCAATCACTTGTGCGGTACCTGGACTTATTTCCTTCATAGGCTGGTGGTAAGCGTTTTCAGATGAAAATCTCTTACCTTTGTTAATTAGTTTAAGGGCCTCTTCAGTTGAGGAGAGAGCTGTGTAATCTACCGAGGACACACCCTCCCAACGGGTACGTGCTGCTAAACAGGATATGGTTTCCGGGGTCTTGAATTTTAAACAGGGTATACATTTTCAATTTTTCCCTTCTTGAACAGGGTATCTTTGCAGACCTTAATTCTTCAGAAGGGCATGGAAAAAACCATCCCCATGTTAACTAACTTCAAGTGTTGGTGGAGGGGGAGGGGGGGGGGGGTGGCCTGCAGAGATTAGTGCAAAAATTTAAACTTTGCTTTCTGTTAAGCCTCTCTGATAGAGTTTCCCATTGAACTTTTTCCTGCTTAACTCTTTAAGGTTCACCCCCGAATCATCGAGGTACTTGCTGCTCAAGGGGAAAGTTACGGAAACTGAGCAAATATTGCGACGCATTGCTGCCACAAACAAGAAAACCTATCCAGAGGAGCCTTTAGTGGATCCGAATGCTGATGGCAAGCAACAGGATCTAGGTGACGTCAGAGATTTATTTCGAACAAAAAAGATGTTGCACAGGACTCTTGTTTCTTGGTATGCCTGGTGAGTGCCGGTAGACTAGTGAGTTTAGTTTCTCCGCGAAGACAGGTGCTTGGATTTATGTTGAATAACCTTCCACAATTTTCTTTTAAATTTTCTGTGTATCGTATATGGGCTGTCTTCAGTCTGTATTCAGCTACTTTCTTACAAGTTCAAACATTTTTTAAAAGGTTTTGAGCTCCTTTTTGCCAGGGGAAAAGTATTTTCAGGGCGTATTTTTATTTCAGATGGAATTTCCTACCTAAAAGACAGTCGAAAAGATGATATAGAATTTTCAACTGATGAAAGATAATGAGATTTTTTTACAAGAAATTCGAAAGTAATTTTTTTCACCAGAATTCCTTTCTTGTTTCCATTGTTGTCTTTTTGTTCTATTTCGTAAAGCGATTTCACGTTGCCGTGCATTTGTTCCCCTAAAGATCACAGATTACGTCAAAATGTGGTAGGAACACAAAAGTGCCACATTTTGGCAACACGTTTTGTTGTTTTTTGTGATCTCTTACTCTTCCGACCAACGGCAACACGAAATCTGTTTGTGTTACATAATAAAGAAGCAAAAAATGATTAATGGTGATGCTATCGATGCGTCTGTTCTCCAATAGTAAGAACCAATCAAAATACGTGTATAATTCAGTTTATCATACATACAGTTTTCAATATAAATTTGAACAAAATACACTTCTAAGAGTGGAGCATCCCGCCCGTTACAGATGCTGTAAAAATCATAAAGATTACCTTGTCAGCAACAAACGCGCACTGATTTTGCTTACAGGTTTGTAAATGCCATGGTGTATTATGGTGTATCGTTCAGCACTCCAACTCTTGGCGGCAACATTTACCTGAATTTCTTCCTGTTATCCATCATTGAGATTCCTGCAAATTATGTTGGCATCTGGGCCATGGGAAAGTAAGTCTGTAACGCATGCCATCTTTAGTTTAATTTTATTTCGTGAAACTTGTAAAAACTGGAAACCATGGATCCGACTTGCACCATCCTCATAACTTCCACCGGACTAGACTCTTGGTGCAAAAAAGTTGGCCTCTTTCCTTTGCGTTGAAAGTTCAGTCCGGACGAGACATTACTGATTTTACATAGGGAAGGGCTGTTAAACAGGATCCTGTTTTGAGGAGATTCGATCTCATCGCTCCCCTTTTCTTGTCGGAACCGACCTTTAAATTTCAGGTTCATGGACCGTAATGATTACAATTTCTATTTTGATAGCCTAAGAAGCAAGTCGTTGTCGTTTGAAAAAATAATCTCGTTCTTTCCTCACGTGAAATTTTCTTTTTTGCTTACTTTGTTCATTTCAGGTTTGGTCGTAAAAAATCGCTGATTTACTGTCTGATCCTTGCTGCCATTGCGTCGACTGGTGCTGTTTTGTTTACTATGTTCGATCCAGGAAATGACAAATGTAAGTTTCGAAGGTTGAGATGGACGGAAACAGAGTAAAAAGACACCGAGTGGTGAAAAGAAGATGAATGACCACTTAGCAGTAAAACAAAAGACCAATAACGTATCTCAATTCCACACCCGCCAAAATGAAAAACTAACATTGTTTTTACTGTGTTCTTCTACTTTTGCATGTGAATTCACCAACCTAATTTTCCGTAAAAGAAACTCGGACAATTGAGGAAAAGGAATCCAAGGAATATCCTAAAAGAGTTGCTATCAGTTTCAATTCTGTCGCTAGCATGAAAATTACCAAGGAGATGTGTGTTCTTGATTTCAGAAAGCGCCATTAAAATAACAAAGTGACGATTGGAAAAGTGTAGGGGAAAACAAACTCCAACTGTGTAAATCTACATTTTTTTAAAATCTTTCCATGTATTTTTGTTACTTTGTTTTTCAATACGTGCACTTTTCTTTCACTCTTCGTGTATGTTTTTTTCCCCAATCCCTCCCTTTACTTTTTTAATGGCCTGGCTTTGTCAATTGAAGGTCTTTTGTGTTTTCAGGTTATGCTGCTGGTAAGATCATCATGGCTCTTGCTGCTAAGTTCTTTGTATTCATCTCGTTTGATGCAGTTTATGTTTACTCCGCTGAACTGTTTCCAACGGCCATCAGGTTAGAGTCCTATCTACCTTTACTTTCCGGTACATTTAATTTCCACAGTTAATAACTTTTGATGACCCAGCATTATGAAACACGGATTTATGCAATCCACCTCAATGCGCATGTCGTTGAGATCCTTGCGTTGCTCGATAAAGACACTGCCCCTAGGGGAGGGTTCAGGAATTTTTCGAAGGAGGGGGGGGGGGTGAGGGGTACCCCACAAAAGAATGACGCAACTGATGGGTGACGTCAACAAATTTTAAAAGCGAACAACGAAGAAGAAGGCCCATGATTAGGGACTGCTGACAATGCAAAGAAAGCAGTACAACTGTTTTTTTAATAACTGTGAAGTCGTATCTAATTACGTAGGCCATCTTGGGGGTGGAGGGGGAAGGTGCACGCCCCTTGCACCCCTCCCCTAGATCCGCCCTCCTGATTAAACAAGGTCGGACCGTTGCAAAACAGGAGTGCCTGGTAAAACGTTTCTTTGCACGACGTTTTTGTTTGCAGAAATATTGGAATGGGTACCTCTACATCCGCTGCCAGGATTGGTTCATTCTGTTCACCATATATTGTTCATCTTGTAAGTATCATGCGCAAGTCAACGACATGCAAATCCATACAAAGGGCCTGTTGTTTTATTGGAAGTTAGCACTAATCTTTAAAACTACAGGAATTGACGTTATTTGTGGGTTTTATCCTAAAGTAAGGCAAAAGTAAAAACAAAACAAAACAAAACAAAACAAAAAACAAATATAAACTACCGAGTTGTCTGGCAAGCCATAAACATTGAGTATTTAAGGGAGAGATGTTTTCGTCTTGTCACGAGCGTGAGACAAAGAGAAAATTGTGAGTCTCCATGAGGAAACGAACCTCAGACCTGCGCTCCGATGCTCTATGTCCTCATGGGGACTCGGAATTTTTTCTTTGTCCCACGTTCGTGACAAGACGAAAGACATCTTTCTCTATTTCATTACCGGGCTCAAAACTTACCATCTCCCTTATTCTATTGAGCGTTTAAGTTACTCTCATCTCCGCGTCAATCGCCGGATCCTTTCAGCCAATAAAGGGTTTCTAAACGAAATGGCCACATTGATGTTTGGATACTTTCTGTCTGCTGACTCTCACGACCTAAGACTTTTCCGCATCATTTATTTTCTCACAGACGCGCGTACATCCTCTCCTCCCCTACGGCATCATGGGAATCAAAGCCTTGTTAGCCAGTCTATTGTGTATGACTCTACCGGAGACGAAAGGAACACCCACTCCTGAGACGATGGACTCCGAGGAGGGAGTGGAACTAGGGATTCAAAATATGGCCATGGACGACATACAGCTAAACGATGAAAAGGAACAAGTAAAAGATCGTGAGAAAATGAATAATGGGAAAGAGAATAATGAAGATAAAAAGAGAGAAAAAGAGAATTGTGGCAACAAGATGAACAGCAGTGCAAGCATCGGAGACGATTCTTTTCATGACACTGCTTTTTGAGATATGATTTTTCGTCTTTGTCAGCTTAACATTCTCAGAGTGTGATGCGAGGATTTTGTATTTGAGCTGTCTATTTTTAGGGTTTACCACATATACATCGCTTTTTAGATTTAGCTGTATCATTAGTATAGGTAATCACATGATTTCGGATGCAATTTGGGATAAATCAGCACCAGCAAATTTTTCAAAGGCTAACCAAATTGCACGAACCCGTGGGGTGAGTGCAATCTGTATTCTTTAAAAAATTTACGGATGGTCTGTTGTTACAAAGTATTACAAAGCGTGATGGTCTGTTACAAAGTGCGACGAGTGTCGCGCTTGGGAAATGTGTTTACTTGGCGGTTAAAATCTGTCTTCGGGAACATTTTTATACGTGGGTGAGGCTGGCAGATTTTAGAAAAATTGCGTTAAACAAAAGAAATCACAGTGGCATATGTCAACGCTTGTCAGTGAACCTTGCCGATTTGATGTTTCTTGTGCAAACTATGGAAAAATTTTTCAACAGGACACATGATCGCGATATCTTTCTTCCCAGCAGTAAACATGCAATTCTCAACAAGTCAAAACACTGATAGTTACCTCACTAATGCGACTGTTCTCCTTCGACTAAAAAGGTTTTTTTTCTTGTTGCGGTTACGCATTTCAATTGTCTTTTTTCTCAAAAAATTGAAAACTTTCCCTTAGTGCGACCCCTGCCTTCTTACAAAATGTGAAATTTCATAACAAAGCGCGATAATTTTGCTACAAAGATCGTGACAGGTATTACATGAAGCGAAGACCATAACAAAGTGCGACAGAACCACTAATCAAAAAGTCGTTAGTTGGACCCTTCAGTTGCGAACATCCTGTCTTTCTTTCTATCGAGCATGCCTGTGTCACTGACAATGACCTCTGGGGTACTCCCTGTGATATACCGCGGGGGGTGTTGACCAATATTTTCAATGTTAATTCTGTTGCTTTAGGGTAGCTGGGAAAACCTTTCCCAGTTCCATCAGCTAAAAGTTCCCAAAGGTAATAATCGGTCACACTGGTGCATTTAAGTTTCCGGTGAGTGGACTGTCATCAAGTCACGTTTCCCAGGGACAAAAGTCTGTAGTGCGACCACAACAAAAAAAGAAACGGTTACGGCCGCCTTTAATACCTCCCACCGCTGTCTGGCCTCAATGTTAGGGTTTCGCCTTACGGCTTCCTTTCCAGGCACAGCCGCTGATTACACCATTGGTAGCCACTTGTGGAAAAACTTATTGAAACTCATGGTACTGCGGACCACCATTTCGAGAAATTTGAGGGGGAAAGCGCCCTAGGAGCGAGGTTGAGGGAGCGCATAACAGTAACCCCATCCCCCGCCCTCCGCCCGTCACTTATTATTACATTTGTAAATTATCAACTGAGGAATGCATTGTTCTCGTTATTTGACCTCATTTCATCTTCAAACATTCATTATTGCTCGGAATTTTACGCATCCTTGTGGCTTACAGGCGAGTTCTTGAAATATTTGAGACGATTACAAGCAACGTGCCCAAAGGTAGGGTCATTTGCAAATATTACTGTGAACATTAGTTGAATTCACAGTTCCTCTGGAATATTGTATATTGCACGAAGAGGCAGCCTTGTTACATGATCGGCACACATTCGTTGTGTACCTGTTTGCACTGGTATCCAACATTAAAGCGAAATTAAGTACCGGCTATTGACGTGCAAAGCTGCATTAAGCAAAGTTTTTGTCTCTTCTGTGTGGTACACTTTTCGATTATAATCTTCCCAAAAACTTTAGAGGCAATCATAGCAGCGGAGATGAACTTCTCCAGCGCCTAAGCCAGACGACAAAAGATAGGCCGCTCCAAGGATCGCCCCTGGGATTTCTTGGTTCCGATTTGCACGCTAAAATGGCAAAATTAAACGGTGAATTGACCCCTGAGGGTAAATGAAGGCCAAAAATTTGGCAGGTGTTCTTGAGTACTTGGTCTGTGCAACTGTATGAAAGTAAACAGTTTTTGAATGAACACTTACTAGTTTATTGGGATGAAACCTAGTACTTGAGTATTAACTCCTGGCATTTATAATACGCGAATATCATATATACGCGAAATTTTCCTCGGAAACCTGTACGCTCTGGTCTTTTCGTGAATATATATATGAGATTATTCGAATGTTGTGAAGACTTAATTGCATTTGACCTGCTGTTCTCAATTTGCTTGCTTAGTCAATTTCTATGATCGGGAAAAAAATACTGGTCTGGTTTTCAAACTGTTATTAAATGAGCAATTGGCGATAAATTTGGCCGTGGGAAAGAACAGCAGACTGTGCAGGAAACTGTAGAAGGTGGGTCAGAATTGGTGAAATCCTCATTTATTAAACTACTTTCGTGTTCAGGGCCTTTGGCACCCAATTTTCGCTTTGTTTCATGTAACCTGCACAGTCAGTAGTTTTGTGAGCGCTAGGAAAAGTTGAGCGACAGAGCCACGCGTAATAGCAGCAAAATTCTCTTGTTTCTGTCACGTTTAGATTCATCGAGTACCCAAAAATTCGTCAGCCATGCAAGCTAGATTCATATTGTTACGTATCACTTGAACGCAGCTGGCAACTGGTGATCATATTCATATAATTGTGAACTAGTGCAAAGCACAAGAATTACGAAGCGCGAGGGTAAATAAGGCGCGCGTGTGTCCCCTTCAAGGAGGAGACACGCCTCGCACGTTTACATGCTTACACGTGTTCTGCCATGCGCATCACCGTTATTCACGTGTTTCTTTGGCGGGGCGTTTTTTTTTTTAATAGAATGTATATTTTGTCTGAAAATTAAAAGGTTAAAGACTTTTTTTGAGCCGGATTCTTGTTTTCTTATCTTTCTTTTTCTCCTTCTTCGTATTTTAGTCCCACCTCGAAAACTTGGTGCGATCGCCTTGAAACTGAAAATGGCTTTGAGTGTGGATGAAGTGTTGGAGAAAATTGGCAGCATGGGTTTGTACCAGATCCGTCTCATAATCATCTTGAGTTACATTGAAATGATTAATTTAACATACCAGGTGATGTTGCCCAGCTTCATCTCGGCTGAACCGAAATGGATGTGCGCCGGTAATAACAGCCATTGTAACATTAGTGGACAATTTGACGCTACGGATGAACGGCGATGTAAAATACCGAGAGAATCCTGGAAGTTTGCTGACGATTTTACATCTGTAGTCACAACGGTAATTCAACTCACTCAAACGTAATTAAAGTACAAAAGAAAACCTGTGACTGGATGAAAATTAGAGGCGTAAGTAGTGACCTCTTAGGAGGAGGATGTGACGGAGAGGGTGAAGTAACAAAGGAATTCAGAATTTTCAAAAGAGGGTTTTAGTATCATAAATTCTACCACAAGAAGATTTTGATACTAGGACTATTCTGCGCAATATGATGTAAAATATTTTTCAGGTTTTAACTCTCTTTTAGTTCTTAATTTGATTCTTTCGTATTTGCACTGGTTATTTGTGCTGCTTGCACATTTGTCGGGTTTGCATACAAGCGCTGTTAAATCTCTTTTGTTTTTATGTATCTGTTTTCGAACATACCATTTATACCTCCGCTATGTTATGCATTTCAGTTTGACTTAGTTTGTGATAATGCCATTCTGTCGAGCCTTTCCACATCTCTCGTGTTCGCTGGCTGGTTGGTTGGTGCACTTGGTGGAGGTGTTCTTTCTGATAAAATCGGCCGTAAACCCGTTTTGCTGATCTTCACGTTTACTACAAGTTTGTTTGGCCTTCTTGCCTCCTTTCCACATCATTTCTGGCTGTTTATCCTGTTCAGACTCTGTACAGGTTTAAGTATAGGTATAGAGTTCATAATATTTACGAATTTTTCTCTGATTATACGTTTATTATTGCTATACTTTTAACCGTATAATCTTATCTGTAAGCGTGCTGGACCCTCGATTGAAACGTACAGGTTCAAGTCTTGAGAGATGGACCACATCAAAAACTGATATTGAAAGAGACTTACAGTTGTTTTTAAAAATAATTTAAAAGAACCCAGAGAGATAAAATGTCTAGGAAGAGCTTTATTAAAAACAATATTTCAACTGTTCGAACAAAATACGTAGGTTGAAAATTGCTGATTCGGACTACACTATCACGAAACATTCAATGTGAAATAGTTTATTGAGGAATGGTCAGTCAGTCATCCGACAACAACAATGTGACGTAACATATACTTATTACAACATAGAATATGCTAGCAAGTCTAACTTGAAAAGCTTGAAAAATTAAGTGTACCACGCCAGATACGAAAAACCACTAAAAAACCACTCTTTAGATGTGGCCAAAAAATATGTGGAAATGTATTCCCCATCTAATGCAGTGGCACGGAACCTCGGGGAAGAGGTACAAACAAACCCATACTCCATAGAAAAAATTTAACTAAATTGTTGACAGCAAACAGAAAGACTGACTGAGCTAGAATGATTAATATTCCCCGCTAAAACATTAAATACTCAAAACTCTCCCCTGAGAATGCTAAAACCTCTCAATCGTGCCATCAGAATAGTAATTTCTGACTAATTCGTTCCTAGTCACTCAACCGTCAGAAATTACATGTCCTACAGGCTGAGACAGTTAGAGAACGGCCAGCAGACTGACCGCGTCGCGTACATGAATGATTGTTAAATTTTATATAATTGCTAACGTCAATATCTGGCTTCTGAATATTGCACTAATTCACGGTAAAGCAGCGCTTACTTCTCTTAGTATGAACAATATTTTTTTGTTCTTGTACCAATTTTTTAGGGGGCGGATCCATGGGAATGTACGTGTTGGCAACAGAATTTGTCGGCAAGAGGCACCGGCATGTCGCTGGCACGTCACTGTTTTACTCGTGGGCTCTGGGTCTTGTTACGTTGGCAGGATTAGCGTATGCGGTGCGTGACTGGAGGATGCTGTCAATCATGTGTTCTGCACCCGGCCTGATTTCTATTTTGGCGTGGAGGTGAGTAAATATAAGACTTTCCAAGCAGGGGAGGGGATGCACAGGAGTGGCATCAAACTCGACCTGTGAGGTAACGCATAATGCAGCAAAATATGTGTGAATTTTATGAGTTCTGGAACTCGTCGAATTCGCAATTATTGTTTCTCGTGGTACCTTCATGGCTTTAGCTCATTTTTCTGTCTTTAAACGAGACACTGTCACAGAGTCTCTACAACTCTTTCCATTCAGACGTTCAAGAGGTAACAGCAGAGGGTAAGGAAAATTTAGGATCCAATACGTCCATGAGGAGAAACACTAAACTCCCGGTCATCTAAGACTGAGAAGACTAAAAACTCTCCCACAGTTTCCAAGTTACAAGGCAGTATGACTTTTACTACACAGTTGGATACGAAAAAAATTTCTATTGTCCTTAATCTTGTGTCAAGGTTTGTTCCGGAATCGTCGAGGTATCTACTACTCAAGGGTAAGCTTTCTGAGACGGAAGAAATCCTTCGGGAAATCGCAGCAACAAACAAGAAGAAATACCCAGAGGAACCTCTATACAACCCGTGTGCTGATGGGAAAGTTCAACAGATAGGTGACATCAGAGATTTATTTCGAACCAAGAAAATGGTTCACAGAACTCTGGTGTCTTGGTATGCCTGGTAAGTAAGTAGCAAAGGTGCTTACGGCGTGTTTCAAAGAGTTTCGCAAGACTGAATTTAAACCAAAGGAAAGCGCGGGAAAACGCGAGAGATCAATGGTTTTTGTATGGATCTGATTGGTTGAGAAAGTGAGTTTTTTGAGCCAATCATGGAGCGTCCTAATTCAAAGCCAGCTTACAGACTTAAAAACTACTGTTTATCTTTGCTGTTGTCAAGAATAATTAGCAGATGTGAGAGCTGTAAAAATACTTTGGTAAACCCAGGACTAGTGTCCACAACAAATTCTTAGTGATACAATGTTTTGCGGTCATCTGGAAGCTTTCCTTTACAGGTTTGTAAACGGCATAGTTTATTATGGTGTATCGTTCAGCACTCCAACTCTTGGTGGCAACATGTACCTGAATTTCTTCCTGACCTCCGTTATAGAGTTTCCCGCCAATTTCGTGGCCATCTGGATCATGGGAAGGTGAGTGGTGACAGAAGCGCTCAGTACCTAATGCAGCTTTCTTAAGGCGGGAATTGTCCTGTCAATCAAACTTTTTTTTTTATCAGAATGTCAATATTTCATTCTTCCCTGTGTTTTTATGTGCATTAGGTTCGGCCGCAAAAAGCCTTTGGTTTATTTCCTGATCCTTGCTGCGCTCGCCTCAACTGGTGCAGTGTTATGTACAATGTATGATCCGGGGAACGATAAAGGTATGATTCATACTGGATGAGGTCGTACCATCATATTTGCTGGGTTAACTCCTCATCTTCTCCCTTGTACTGTCCTTTTCATTCCATTTCTTTTTTCGAATGTTCGACCAGATTGACAGAACAGAAAAAAGCGAGCGATAAGTTCTAATGACACGACGAAGGAACTGTAAAGGATTGTAAAAAAACTTTCAGTCGATTTTAGTCTGCGATCAGTTACCCTAGGAGCAAAGCATGCGCATTAGTACCCTTTTGATGAGTACGACTTTGTTGAATCAGCGATTTTTCCGCTGTTTCATTCGAATGGAAAAACAAGTTGTTAAAATTCGTCACCTGTCCCTCATAAGGATTCCAACCCGGCCTGGTTCGATGTCGCGATTGGGTGCTCTTCCAAATGAGCTATTCAGAACTCTTCGGCCAGTTAAACTTCATACTTAGTTCTTATCTGACATGCGTCCTGCATACTACTGGGATTAACAGCATCGAATGGGTTTTACAAGGAGAGAGGTCTTTTTTCGGTATGCTGTTTTTTTCCCTCCAGCAAAACTATGCCTGCAACAAGCTAAACAAGTATCGATGCAAGTAAAAAAGCCATGTAGCACGTGCATGAAACTGATTTGTTTTTACCCTTGCTCTGTTTTCAGGGTTCATGGCTGGTCGTATTCTTATGGCGATGTCAGCAAAGTTCTTTGTGTTCATCTCATTTGATGCCGTCTATGTTTACGCTGCGGAACTCTTCCCAACAGTCATCAGGTAGAATATTTCACTCAGAATGATGTAAAATTTCGCGTTTTTAGTTTACTAATGACTTCTACAGCATTTGTCAGAAAGGGCCTTTAGTAACTGTCTGTTACAGAAAAATTGGGCATTTTTGTTTTCCTAACTAACTACAATGCATCAGGTATTATTTTTCACTCAACAGCGTAAACTTTTAGCGTTTTTTAATTTACCAGTGACTTCGAGAGCTTTTGTCAAAGACAGTGCCTTAGTAACTTTTTGTTATAAAAACATTTCGGGCACTTTTGTTTTCCTAACCAATTACAATGCCTTGCTTGGTGATCGTTTTGAGAATGCTTTACGCTCCACACCAATATTCTTGGCGATGATTTTGTGCAGCAAACAGAATACCCATTCTGATTATAACTTTTTGGTTCATCATTCTTCACAGAAACATAGGAATGGGCACATCAACAGCCTCTGGTCGGGTTGGCTCGTTTTTATCTTCTTATGTAATTCATCTGGTGAGGATTTTTTTCTTTTTTTTTTTTCTTATATAAAATAGACCAGATAATTACACTTCCTTGTTTTGCTTTGCCATTAGCGCGCTTTAATTAAAATTAGATGGGAAAATACCGAAATAATTACAACAATAAATCAGAACAAAGATAAACTTGCCAAGAACTGATGATAACCCAAAGTAAAAGGATGTAACAGCTTCAAGCACGGGAAAACGCACGTGACCTTTACGTCGTTGGGTTTGTTTTTGTATCTGATTGGTTGAGAAAAAGCGCGTTATCTGAATCAATTGCAGTGTAGAGAAAATAATCGCAATACAATCCGGGTTTCCTTATAGCTTTCATTTCAAAATTAAACTTATCTCGTCTGCCTCTGATATTTTACTTTCTCATAGCGATTTACTCACCCACTCCTCCCGTACGGCATCATGGGAGGCAATGCATTGTTAGCGGGAATCCTGTGCCAGACTCTGCCAGAGACAAAAGACTTGCCAACTGCTGAAACTATGGAAACCGAAAGCACAGAAGAAGCATATATGGCATTGAAATCAGCCGTAGATTACAAAGAGAAGGAAGACGCCGATGGCAAGCAACTCACCATGGCCGACACGGTGAAAGACACCACAAACAGCAGAGCAAACCTCGTAGATTACGCTACATCTTTGTGATTGTGTTTTCTCTTTTAGTTTATGTTTATCTTTCCGAAGTACTTCTTTTGGTTCTCCTTCAAGTTATGACAAGTGTTAGTTTTGGACTTAAATGTTTCAACGAAGGCAGAATCTGTTGAGGTGATTCTTCATTATTGCACTGCGTATGCTGTATTGCGCAATAAGCGCGCGCATTCGTAGAACATGGTATTGGTTTTTACAGTCAATGTACGAGGTAAATTTGGTCTATTAGATCTCTTTAACAAACACGGTGACTTACTTTTTCATTGCAGTTATCGAAACAAAGATTGGTAGGGAACATTCAAGGAAAGTTACAAAAAATCGTTTGACCTCTTTTCTTTCTGTGGAATCACCTTTAGTTAATGAATGATATCTACTAGGTGAACTGACTCTTACAAATTGACCTTTAAAATTCTTCCTGGTCATATTCCAATAACTTCTCTCTACAAAGAAGAGATTTTCTAATATAGAACTATTTACTGTACGTGCGTCAGTTTCGCGACACTATTCCTTAAAATGAAAGCAAACAATGCTTACACTGCCTTGCTATAAATTCTAATGCGCGGAAATTCCCTTACTTGTCTGAGCCGAAGAAAGTGAAAAGTATTTAGGTTATGTTCCAGGCTTAAGAGGACATCCTACTTTGGATAAAAACATTTTTTTGCACATTTTTATAACTTAGGAAATCATTTTGAATATCTTTTTATCTCTTAGGACATTACTCTGATTATCTTTTTAAAAAAAATAATCGAAATTATTCTCTTTCGTGACAGATTTATCTCTTGACTAAGCTCCAGAATTAGCAGATTTGTCTATGCTTCCTTCTTCAAAAAGTATTGTATTTACTCAGCTTTCACGTCTGACCGACATTTCCCTCGGCAAAACCATTTAGATTCGCAGTTACAATTCATAACGATAAATGTAGTTTTTATAGTGAGGTCCGAGTAGTCCTGAAAAGGAATGGTTACCATGGATACGGTGACATTTCGGGAATCTCTAGCAATCTTTATATCGTAGCCCCTCAAAATTTGTATTTTGCATTTAGTTTTGTTATAAAAAATACCAACAATTAATAAAGTGCTCTTTTTTTCTCCACGAGCGATCTGTCGCGTGACTTCTTGCTCGTTAGCTCGCGAGTGCCCGTCTGAATAACTCACGCCTGTTCAAAACGCACTCTTTTCACCAAGGATAGGGTTGTATTTGGTCAGTGGCATTAACTAAATATAAATAAACCAGCTTTAATCGAACAGTTTTAATAACTCCTATGATTAATTAATGTTACTATACTATACTACTATACTAGACTGGAGAAGTCCCTCCTTTTTGGCGAAGTCTGGCGCGCGGGTAAAAATAAAAAACAAAACAACAAAAAAGATAGAAATTGGCGTCAACACGTTGTACGGAACTCTTTTGGTACTTTTTGCGTACCTCTCTCCTGGAGTTCCGCGCGGCGCGTTATCATCAGTCTCCTTTTCCGCCGATTTTTCTGGGACGCGAAACGGACTTCGCCGAAAAGGCGTGACTACTTGCGGTCTAATACTTGACATGTAGTAGATTTTTGTAACTGGAGTAGAGTTACGAAAAATGGTGAAAAGTGCACTTGGTAGAAACGATCGATCGATGGCCTTACAACCCGAATTTAAAAGAGAAGACGATCTTTTGTACTAGTTCCGATTAAATGCCCACTTTTCGTATCAGTAACTTTTAAAAACGCAATTGGATTTCCCAATGGCTCGCTGGTATACAGTTTTACCTCTGGAAACATGTCGTCTAGAACTCTAAAATCTCTTCAAAAACTCAAACCACTGCATGTACGCCAAACCGAGAATGTCTACTCAAAAACTACTTCTGTAGTAAAGAAAGCCTGCCTTAGATTAAAAGCACTGCTGTTTCCTTCTGTTCCTCTAATAAACAAGCAGAAAGTTTAAGTAAAATTTTCCGTCCAAGAAACTACAAAGTGTTGGGAATTAGATACTAATTTACATCGTTGACGCTGACCAGGAGTGGACTTTAGGTACTAACCCTCTTCCTAGCTGTAGATCTCCCTACATTACAGTCATTTTCTCGGGGTCCTCCTCTTCGTCTTCGCCTTTTGCTGCCAACAGGCCTAGATCAGTAGCGCCGGAAGCTTCAGCACCCTTAAGTGTCTCGGCTGTCGGAGTGTTATTAGTCTCAGGGAGGAGAAGGCACAGAATTCCTGCCACAAAGGCATCTACCGCCATGATAATATAAGGAAGCTGAACCATGTACTTACTCTGCAAAAAAAAAGTTTGTTCAGGTTGGGTTTAAGCACTGCTAAGGGTCATGTACGTTATTTTTCACTTCAGTCTCACAAATCAGTTCTTTAATTCTTAGTTCATCATAGGGTCGTACATACCAAGCTTAACACAAATGGTGATGTGATCGCACCAAAACGGCCCGCAGCTGAAGATGAACCGAGGCCGATATTTCTGTGAGAAGAGAAAATTTTTACTTTTAATTACTTTTAGAACAAGACAACTTCCCTTTCGCACTTGAATTCTTGTCCGAAAAATGCGGGGACCAAAACAATCCGTTGTTAGCAGCGCCGTTGCAGAACCGAGTTTAAATGGCTATTAAAAATATAATAATCGAAGGTAAAACAAACTTTAATTATTCTGGATGACAATTTTTAAGTACCTTAGGATTCATGGTTAACGAACAAAGGCAAGATGGCGAGAGTCATACAAGCATGTGGCTTGCCTGACAAAATCACTCGCCCCTAGTTAAATTTAGCGCATGCTACGCAAGCTAACCGACCACTAACCATAGATCAGTATAAACGAAACTGGCAGCTTTGTGTACCACTTAAAGATTTCCAATAAGAGAGGGGAAACTTTGTTTGATAACTTGAAAATAACGTTCGCAAACATGTTCCCTACCGCACTACAGTCGGGAACAACTCTGAGGAGAACACAAAAATGGCGTCAAACGAATTCATAACAGAGAACTTCCCAATCATAGCAAAGATGATACGTCCTGCTGCGTATCCTACAGAGTAAAATTGAGAAAAAAGAGAAATCACTGACAACGTAAAAGGGTATAAGCAGGATGGCCTGTGGTAGGCCTTTAGTTACTTAAACAAAGCGCTGTAGTAAATGGTAATGCAACAGTAGCGGAGGGGTGAAAAAAAGGGGACGGTCCTTACTCGACCCAAATTTCCGTCAATCTTCGTCAGCCGATGTCACAGCGTTTTGGGTATCCCAAAACGATGTGACAGCGCTACTACCGTACCGTTTACAATTTCGGCACGTTTTACGAAATGAACGGCAGGGACAGGTAGGAGAACAAAGGTGGACAAAACGAGAGAGTTAGGGGTGTTAACTAGGATCTGTCGATTAGTATTCCTGTTTCTGCAAAGCTGAAATATAAGAAAAAATTGTTTCTCAAAGTGGGCCTAGAGATACAATACTATACTACCAAGAATGTAACTGAGAGGCCAGTCCTACCTAACAGTGGGTGAAGGTCGAAATGTGAAACGAGAAAAGAAAGATTTTGTCCAAAATCCACCTCACCTGAATTATCAGGATCAGAAGGAAAAACAGTAACTAATAGATTTGATATGGCTGCCACAACTAAACCTATCACAACTACTTTCTTTCGACCAAATCTAGAAAAGAAAAAAAGGATCAGAGGTCAGTAAGATACAACCAAAAGTATTTTCAAAAAAGGATGAACGAGAATGCTTAATGAAAACAAATTTATGTTGCAGTGAAAAAAGTAAGAAAATTACTAATGAAACAAAAAATGGATGAAAATGATATTATCGATCGCTTTTTTACAGTTACTTGAAAAAAGTGGAGCATATAAGTGCCCTGAAAATTATCTGAGCTTAGTGCATCGGCAGGCCCTTATTATTAGTGTAACGGCACAAGTGTTTTTTCGCCCGCGGGAAAGTTTGAGACCTTGTGCAATGAAAGCCGTTTAGAGCTCTGCAAGGGATCTGGGCGTTAGTGTCAGACCCCGGTAAACCTCTCCCCGACCCGTGTAAAATCTTCCCATGTGCGGAGAAACGCGCGTCCAGCTGTGAAAATAACGAAAGCAAAATGAAGTTAAGACAGAGATTACGATTATGACAACCAACCTGTTCATGGCGTAAATAGCGAAGGCATTGCCAGGAAGTTCGACCAGCGAAGTTAGGAAAAAATTGAGATAAATGTTACCACCCAACATGACAGAACCTAACGAAACACCAAAGTATACTTGTGCGTTGACAAACCTGTTAGGAAAAGAAAATGAACTGGTTAGAATTTTACAAGATCGTTCCTTTGTGGAAGGTAAAAATGTCATTCTGTTTTGTCGAGTTCTGGGTTCCAAGCAGGAATTGTCAAGAAAGCAGAAAACAGACGGTGCGCCTGCAGCCAAGAAGGATTGAGATAGTGACAGATGTATGATATCGAAAATACGTCGAGTGGCGACTCGCACAACATCAGCAATTCACTTGTACCTAAGATAAATGAGAGTAAAATTTTACAAAATATATCTTAAATAGACAAGTTGATAGCAAAGATCCCGAAGTAGCCACAGGAAGCTTTACTAGTCAGGTGCCTATTTAAATCGTGTATTGTTACATTTTGTGGGTAGGTAAAAATATACAGGTAGGTACACTGTCAATAAACAAATTACTTTTCAATATGGGGAATTAGAAAAATAAGTGAATAACGAATAACACAAACAAACGACACTTTGATGAGTAAAAATAATTAATCGATAGAATTTAAAGCTCATCTTTCGATTAAGTGTCGTAAAACGAAGCGAAAGTAATCATCATGGCCAATCAGAACAAAGCAGTCGAGAGAATCCAAAGTGAATACAAGCAAACTGCCAGAAGCGCAGCAAAACTGGCGTGACCAAGGCGTGATTGGCTTTATTTTTGAATCTGATTGGTCGAGAAAGTGGCGCGAATTTTCTGAACCAATCACAGAGCGAAGTAAAGCAAAACCAAAGAAATTCCGGATTAATTTCGACATTCAATTTAAAAAATTGCATAAACTACAAATAAATCAACGCACACACAGGCAGCTAGAGATAGATTATCAGAATAGTTTATAGAGGCTTAAAAATCCTAAATTTATTCTCTCACCAAGAGATCCAAGAGATGATAGTTTTCTTCGTCATCGAGCGGGATCCAAACAAATCCATAAACCCAGCCTCCTTCTCTGTAGTCCTCTGATCGTCAGGCAGACCCAAGTTCTCCTCGGGCATGGACTTTTTGTTGATTTTTGCCACTCGCTTAAGAATGTTCTCCGCCTCTTCGACTCGTTGATGCGTCGTCAGCCAGCGTACTGATTCAGGAACTAGTCTGTATTAAAAACAAATTTTTATATTTACGCCGTTTGCTTGACTCAAGCAGGTTCCGACCACTATATAAAGCAATCAAAACTCGTCGCCATCTTACATCCAAAAGATGAAAAGCACGAGGCCTGGTGCCGAGGTGGCGATAGAAAGTTTCCTCCAGTCCCTAATCAGGTAAGCCAACAGAGCCACCAGCATCAAGGCCCCAGTCCAAAAATACCACGCAAAGGTGCCTGCCATGGCGCGGTGATTGGGGTCCACGAATTCAGTTGCCATAATGAAGAGGCACACAATGGCTCCCCCTGCATTTGTAATCACAACAGCCAATCAGAGCCAAGGAAGATTTTAAAAAGAGCTAATGAGAGCTCAAAAAAAAAACTGTATGAAGCGACTTTCCAAATCGCAAATCGTTTTAGTTTTGCTCTGATTGGTCGAGAAGGTGACATGCATTTGCCTTACCAATCATAGAGCGAATTCAATTGAATTCAGATCTATGACGGATCAAGTCTGTTAGTTCGATCCTATCTAGTGTTCTGTAACTACCATTCATACATACCGAGACCAAAGCCGATCATGAACCTTAGGACAGCATATAACCAATACCAAGGAACAAACGAACTGACAAATGCCACCCAACAAACCATACTGCATGAAAAGAAGAGAACTTTTCGGCGGCCATACTTGTCAGATAAGACACCGAACACCACGTTACCAAAAAGCCAGCCTAGGAACTGGATCGAGGTGGTCACCCAAGCCAATGTGGACCAGGAACACACCAAGCGCCACTGTTGATCAGAAATCGAAGGTTATTTAATTTGCATTCCATAGATAACGTATTTTTGGTACTGGTACAGTTTTTCGATGTGAAGTTTTAAACTAAGGGAAGCGGAGGGAGGGGGGGGGGGAGGGTGGAAGGGGAAAAATTAGAAAGTAGGTACTTATCAGAACTTATAGCCTTATCAAGGGGACTTATTGGAGATTTTACGGCGTGATAATTCAAAGTGAGAAGAAGTTGGGCCCACCTCTGTGACGATGGATGTGTATGGTTTAGTGAACTCCCATTCACTGTCATCAATATCGCATCTGAAATCCTTGTTCGGGTTATTCGATGACATATCGAATTCTTCTAAAAAGGCAAAAACAACAACAATATGTTAATAGAACGGAAATCACCGAACAAAGTGAGGAACAAAAGCTTGAGAAATTTGATTTTCAGAAGAAAATCGCTTTAAAGCCAGAAAGCAAGATAGTCAAACACACTTAGAAGCAAAAAAGGAAATCGATAAATCAATTTATAAAACCCCATTGATGCCCTTTCATTCGTCCTTCCCCTGAGGTAACGGAGAACACGGCTACTCACCTGTAAAGTTGCAAACGGTGCTGTTTTGAGCGCACTTCCAGGGGGGCTCTAATCCAAGGAACGCCATGATGAGGGGCTGAAAGGTGACAGGCACCATCATGATACCCACCACAAAGACCAGCATCCATTGGAACCGTCCCATACCCCCAATCTTCGTAAGGAAGCCATCCACACTGAGTGTCATGGTGTGGGGTTGAACTAGAAGGAATAGAGATCATTGGAGACTAATTTTTTATAAACCATTTGTTACACATATGCCATATTTTTCTTGGTTTGAATGTCACCGTATGTGGGGTTTCCAAAGCAGGCCAGCCAAACTCATTTCAAAATGGCTTAGCAACGCGACATGTAAATTAGCTAAAGACTGTCTACCGTTTTAGTGCCTGAAGCAAATGCACTTCGAAAAGGCATTGTGCGGCAGATGAGGTTATATTGTGCTCATGTGTAATATAATTATAGATTTTAACCATGTTGAGACGTACAGCCTAGTCATTAACATTAAATGGACAAAACACAATCCAAATCCTAAAGTGTGTCAAATAAGCACACTCGAATTTCGGCCTTGATTTTGGTAAAAGTTTTAAAAGCTGGCTCGCTTGTATATGTTGTGGTTCAATTTTATTCTTGTTCAAATTTAACTTTCCTTTGTTTCAAACTCATTATCATACATTACAATACCCAAAAACAAAAGAAAATAAAATTTGAACCAAGGATAAGATTGAACCACACCATGTATGTTAAGTTTGCATAGCCTCATTTGTGTAAGCCAAAGGCTCGAGATCATGCAAAATACTTTGAGACAGGGCTCCTGTTTGAGATCATCGTTCGAAGCAATGACTCAAGATGTTTGTGTTTGCAGTGTTGACATACGAGGAAAACTCGCTGGAATCCTAAATTGCTACATTTCAGTTTTTCTAAATTTCAAACATTGGCAGGTCGACGATTGAAGATTGTTCTTCGTCACATTCAAATTTTCATGTATTACTAGAGTTAAACTAGCTTCAACAAACCCTTCGTTTCCCCCCTTTCTTCAACCGATCGAACGCAGGAGGCCGCTATCACGAGCATGCAAGCTGTTAATATTTCATGGCCAACCGTGTATTACATAGTAATTGTACAATTAGAGCGAAACTCGCACATATCTATAAAAGTGAAATTTTAATCGCCGACGCACGGTTTTGGCAAGTGTGTCGTACGTTATTGACTGACCAAATCGAACTTTTTAGCTTTAACTATTCAAGCACAACATTATAAAAAAACTGTAATCAAATCTCTACTCTTTATAACAAGCAGAAGACATCGAACACTCACCTTACGCAAAGTTTTCCTATCTACTAAGTTAAACGTATCTTTGGCAATCTACGCAAGTTGTAACCCGTCGAAAGCAAAACTTGTGACACAGATAACAAAAATATACACCAGACTGACTTTGTTAATGTACATTTTATGCAAGGCGCCTGCACAACAAAAGCGGCATTGTGAACATGCAAATTAACGGAAAAGGAAAAGTATTGTACTAAAGAACACCTTAATTTTAAAACAAAAAGGTCATAACAGGGTCATATGAAGAAAAAAAGGGCAACAGGAAAAAATGTGTAAGACCTTCTTTAAGGATTTAAAGCGACAATTGATACAGGCGCCAGGAAGCCTTGCTATCTTTGTCACTTTAACAAAAAGAGGCTAACCAAACAAAACATGAAGAAACAGAAACAAACAACTCAAAGACAGAAAAAGAAACTCGCTTGGGGGCCTTAAACTTCTCGCTGCGCTCTGACGTATGTCTCTCATCCAATTACGCTTTAATGGAGCACACAATGTGCTCTTTTGAGCCTCTCTGTCAAAATGAAGACGTTTCTTGAAAAGGCGTTTAATTTTTCAATGATTGGTATCTTAAATTAGTAGTAACAATTTTTGCTATGCATTACGAGAGCAAGGTAGATAGAAATCTGTTCTTTATGCCGGAGCCGGGTAAATTGTCCGACGGATCCGAAACAGTCTGCTGAAACCCGCTCAGAGAAATGGTGATTGGTTTTACAACAGCGTCCACTTTCGGAGACCAGAGGCGGACTTAACTACCAATTTTCCCGGTAGACCGAATGTCTGCTTCAAAAGAGAAACAGGGTCGTTAAAAGTCTAGAGAAGTGATGTGTTTTTATTTCATTTATCGATTTTTTTCGTAAACAAACACTCTATTAGAATGGTTGATATTTTTTTATGATATTTTGGGACTATTTTGGATCTCAGCTTCCAAGAGCTAGTTTGGAGTTGAGTTTATGTCATGACAACAAAATCAGATCTTTCGTGACACTGCCAGTTTGACAGCATTCCAAAACTTGTTATGAAATTTCTGTTCAGCATCTATCAAGTCATGTGTAAGGAAACCTCTGTTGGTGGTTTCTCTGTAATGGAAGATTCCATCGCTGACCGCAAAGTACGAAACAAAGATCTGCTAGCATAACAGATCTGGGAAGCAATTGACTTTCTTACTTACCTCTAAGAATCTGTCAGCCGTTACCTGTATACTATATGAGCTTGATCTGCTAAGCTTGAAAACGTGCCACTCAAATATCTCCTCAGTGTTTTACTGAGTCATTATAACAGTCAATTTAAAATATTGACAGACATCTGTAGAGTTCACGATCTTCTTTGCTTACCTTGCCTGTGAAAGCTTGACAGCGAATTCTGATATGAATTGCGGTTACCTCGCAGGATGTTTATTATTCCATGGCAGTATGATCGTTTCGTCCCTAAAGTGTCGAAAGGTCATCTGTGCAAAAATCTTCCACCATTCTGGAACAATCTTGGATAGGCTATCCGCCCATTTTTGAACGCATTCAGGCGGGGAAGGGGGGGGGGAGGGGTGTGGGAATTACCTACCAGGTAGGGATAGCTATCCCCGATCTTATCTAACGTTGTATAGAAGGTAAAAGATTTTAAGATTGCACCGGACTACTCTGACATCTAACGTATCTCTTTTTCTCTTTTTTGAATTTGTTTCACGGTAATACACAATGTTACTAGGTCACCATCCGTTTCACCTACAATTTCCCTTCCCCTCTCCTCCCCCCCCCTGCTAACATCGGATTACCTTGCGGAACGCGGTGTTTAATACTTGCGCTTTTTCGTTTTGATAAGATAAAGGTATCTCCTGGGGTTAGAGTTATCATAGTTGTCTCTTAACGCCCACTCTAAGAAAATAATGTATGCTGATTATGACGTACCTTTAACCTGTGTTATGGTGTTTCAGTCGAGACACAAAATCGCCGTGTTCTACAGGAGTTGATGATGACTGCGAAGAATAAATTGTTACAAACACCAGACTAAATCTAATGTCTTTAGGATACCCTACCGGGCCGTGTAATCTGTATAAAACACGACTGCTCACTATTAATGCAGTACAGATATTGAAAATTTGCCTTATATATATAACGATAAACTAAAGGCATCAAATGTCAGATGTTAACTCTCGCTGTAAAAACACTGGGTATAGCACTGCGATGTACGGACCGCAAGGTATTCTTGTGTAGTGCGATGATCATTAGGTGGGCGCGGTTTACCCCCTCCTCCAAAATTTCACCCCAGCAGACACTATTTAAATAATGATAAATCCCGGATACTTTAAATCCTGTCTAAATTCATCCAAAGGCACCACTAGCCCGTGACGGCCACCTGCTAATGTCTAAGGTATGTCTCGGGGGATCAATATAGACCTACGGACTGAGGAAACCATGGTTATACTTTAGAAGATAGAAAAAGGTCTTTCTAACAATGTCACGTGTTAACTGGGGGGCGGGGAGGGGACCTAGGATACGCTACTACTTCATTACCAGAAAGGGTGTGTGTTACGTCAAATGTGTTGCGCACTGAGAGTTATTTCAGTCTTAAATAAATAAGATGTAGCAACGAAATAACTTCCCGAGAGCAATGGGAGTCATGTGGAAAACCTCTGAGAATGAGATGGAAGTTAAAATCATGACCTCTCTCGGTCTATTAAACCTCAAAGACTTCATTCGTAGGATACCTGGGTACGAAATTCTTAACTATAATTCAAGACACGAGCTGGAGAAACTCGAACAAGAATGGCTTCTCACCGAAAGTTGTGAATAAGCTTTTAAAAGATCACACAATTGAAATGTTTGCCTTGATGATACTTTCCGGTACCTGTTTCCAGCACCCGCTGTGATTGAGCCAACGAGGTTAACTATAAGCCTATACCATTCGAAGCGAAAAGGAAAAAGGAGTGGCAAAAACACAATTCTATACAATAAAAATGCAAGAAATTTGCAAAGAAACAACTTTATTTCTCATCAAATACAACTTACATGTTAGGAGAGAAACTTACCAGCTTGTTTTTCATTTTAATTTTTTTAATCCTACAGAAAATTTCATTTTTTTTTCTTAAAAGGCAAGTCGAGTTTTTAAAGGCACAGATGATGATATTAGTGTTTTCACTGATTTATCACGCGATGATATTCAGGTGACCAAATTTATGTGTCTCTGGTCTATGTGACCTCTCTGAGAATAGTTCTAAGCCTGGAGTCAATTTTTGTCCCCACAAAAAAGATTGATAACTTTCTTAGACAAAATTGGGATGATTTGTTACAACTGAACTGGATTGGGATTACACTGAAGCATAGTAATCAGACCTCTCCTCTAGGGGTAGACAGTCAAACAGTCAAATGCAATCTAATATCCTGGCTATGATATAACTTCCTCAAGTTACTATAATCCCCCATCTCACGGGAGATTGTTTCCCCACAATTGCTAGCTTGTTCTTCATTAGACCTACACAAATTTTCTAACACATTCAACTCAAAACAAAGGCTGTCAGCCTACAGCAGTTAAATTAAAAAGCTCCTGTCTTTCTGTTCTTTTCTTATTTAAATGTGTTTAAGGAAAACAGTTTTATACACAGCTCTGACAATGACAAAACTAAGAATTGAGACACATGACTCCCTATAGTGTAGACAAGTCTGCTACCCAATATAAATGTTATTAACTTCCAGGTTTACAAAACCACAATCTGAACCAATTTTTATGTCCTTAATAGAAGTCACTAATTCAAGATGTCTCTATGGTTTTCAATACAAGTTTGCTAACTATTTCAATCTGCTAATTATCATTACTATTCTAAAATGGAGTATTAGGTTTATTAAGGTGCCAATGTCAACACAAACCAATTGCATATTATCTACAGTCTCCTCATTGGCCCCCATTAGATAACTACCAAGTCATTTACAACTAATACTTACTACCCTTTCCTATACAGCTGAGATCTAAATGTCAGTAAATAATACTGCAACAATACTACAAAAAATCAATTGCTCTATGCAACAAGAGTAGGTTTTTTTTCATGAATCTATCACACCTTTGATGAGCAGATGGAAACTAATCTAAAATAGGAAATTTCACAAATTTGTTGCTAGACAACAAATTTCTGAATTTATGCTAATTTAGGAGATTTAAGATATTTTCTTGATTTATAACTAGGCTAGGAAATCTCATGCAAAGAGCTAGAGTAAATCTGATGGGCTGTTACAATTCACAAGCAAAATATCTCAAACAATTGATCAAGAAGGGATGAACTGTGCTAAGATTGATTGTTTTGACTGTGTAAGTACATATTTCTGCTGTTTGCTAACATCACTCTGCAGCTATGATTCAATTCAAAGTCCAGCTTACTAAAATGTTAATTTTACCAACTTTATGAGTTAATGTCGATCTGTTTCTATATGTGTTATTTCCTACATCTCAAGTCTACAGCAGCAGCTTCCCTATTCTTTGTACACTACACACTTCCAAGCTTCTGAATAAGATGCAGTGGCTGTGAATGCCTGTCTACTCTGTTGTTTCAAATGTGTTCAGTTCTCTTGCTGTAACTGTCTGTCACTCACTGCAGCTACAATTAACCTGCATTAAAAGTACACAGAGTTAGTGAGTGTAGGTAAGAGTTGTCCAGCGTATGCTAATGCCTTTAGATCCAATTCACAAATAATTAAAAAATTGTAATATCAAATATTAGAAATGTTCCTAATAAAATCACTATTTCATAGTATAGTATCATTTATGGTTACTTCAAATAAAAAAACGCATGGAATCATCAGGAGCATTTTAAACAGATGCAGGAATAAAATTAAACATCTAACAAAAATATTAAAAATTACCTATCACACCTCGTGACAGGAAAGACAGCAACAAAATGTAGCTAAAACTTAACAGCCAAATGAATAACTGCATATAAAAACAACACTACAGAACAACAAATACTCACTGTACTCTTCTATTCCTGGAATGAATCATTTCAAATTGTCAGTAAAAGGACATTTTCATGACTTATTTGTTCTGTCTGAATCATCACTGTAAATCTGAAGTATCAGGACTTTCGTGTATTTTGATACTAAAGAGACATGTAAATGATAACATTTTTTTGAACAGAATCAAGTTAGAGATCCTATTTTTGAGGAGCAATACTTAATTGTGTCTGTAGTTCCTAATTTATATTGGTGGAACTATGTTGTTAAAATTTGGATGATGATGACCTCTGGATGACATTGATCTTCCTGTCCAAGAAACCTCTTTGAAAAACAAGAAAACCTTCATTTTTTCTGATGACAGCTTTGATTCATGCTTAGGCGAATAAATTGCAAAATATTATTTCATGACATTCAATTTATTCACTTTCATGAAGTGAAGCACAACTGTGGATGGAGTTGAGAATTGTTCAAAATTAAACAAAAGATACAACACAATGTATATGATCTTACCTCAGTAAGGTCTGAATCCTCGATTATTTTTGTCACCTCCATTTGCACCACGGCTATTCATACGATTGGCTGGACCATAGCTGGAATTCATCTGGCCATAGTTACCCATCTGATAATCACCAGGCACTCCTCCTGATCCCCCAACCCCACCACCTGCAGCAGCAGCTGCTGCAGCAAACTGATTCCAATCACCCATGGAGGGAAAGCCTCCAAAGCCAAATCCAGGATAGCTGCCATAAGCAGAAGCCATTGGGTTGTTCATCCCTTCATATCCACCAACAGAACTTCCACCAGTACCGCTAGAGCCTGCCATAGCTGAGGAGACATTGCGCTCCCCGGCCATGCTGCCCTTTACATCTCCCATACCATAAGGAACTTCATTGTAATTATCTTTGTCATAGTTGCTAGAACTACTATGGGAATGACCTCTTCCAGAGGCTCCCCCACCACCATAACTTGCACCACTCCCAGCGCCGTACCCACTTCCGGCTCCAAAACCTCCCGTCCCACCACTTCCTCCACCTCCTCCTCCTCCTCCTCCTCCTCCTCCACCTCCCCCTCCAAAACCGCCTGGGCCAAACCCTCCAAAACCACCAAAAAAGCCTGGCCCAAAACCACCAAATCCCATACCATTGAACCCAAAACCAGGACCAAAGTTACCCATTGCACCAGGACCAAATCCACCAAAAGCTGCCGGATTGAATCCACTCATTAATGCAGCAGCTGCTGCTGCAGGATTACCAAACCCACCAGCCCCAAAACCACCCATGCTACCAGTACCAGGCATCCCACCAGTCCCAAAACCGCCACCATTACCACCTCCACTGCTGACAGGACCTCCAAAATTCCCTAGGAAAAAAAAAAAAAAAAATTAATGTTAATGATAAAAACACACTATTTATCTTATTAACCGAAAATATAATGCAAAGTCAGATTTTCTCACGGCAAAACTACAGTGCACCTGATTAAAGCTGAAATATCTATTTCAGTTCTGCCCAAAAATAACTCAACTGTCTAAGAATTGTGCAAAATTTAGACCTGTAGGCCATCTCATTTCTCTCACCCTTCCCCTCTTTAACCAGTTTGCACCCACATTTGTCAATTTGCTTCCGGTTCTCATTTTGCTTGTGCTCTGGACATGGATTTGAGAGAAAATAGTCCAGACACTGATAAAGGGAGACCAATCAACTATTGTGTATCAAGACCTACTTGAAGCCTGTATTTACAAAATAAGGAAACTGACGGTGTTTGATTCTCCAAAAGTTTCAAAATGTTTCATTCTTAGAAATGTGGTCACCTCTTCCACCAGAGCCTCCATATCCAGAATTCATTGCATTGAAACTTCCACCACTGGAGCCCCAACCTGGGAAACCTTTTTCCAATAAACAAAAATTAAAACTGTCAACACAGATTTGAGTTCAGCACACAGGAGAGCATTGGCCAGTAGCTTGTTGTAGATGAATTTTGAGGTCATATGTGTGAGTGAAGTTCTTTGCCAATTTATGTTGAGCATCACTGAAAGACAGTTTTTATACTTAACCCTTAGGACTGACCAGCATCTAATTTCTCCTTACAATATCACACCTGAATCGAACATTAAGGTCATGAGAATGAAGGAAATGGTCATCAACTTAAATGTAAGAAGCTCTTGATGGATAGACAAATTCTCCTCATCATTACCAAAGGAAATGTACAGAGAACAGTATAGAGAATATGTATGCTGATTTTAGGCTGTAAAAGGTTAGGTGTGAAAATGGTGACTACCAATTGGGAAGGGGTGGGGTGGGGTGGGGTGGTTTGTGGTGTGATCATCTACAGTCCTAAATAGTAAGTGGTTTAAACTTATCTTCCGTTTCGAAAATTTTTTAAAAAGATTATCTTTACATATTTTAACGGAGAATTCCTTTTATAAAGAACTATGCCTGACCTTCAGAGCTCGGAGTATTCAGTGCTCCGTTTGAGCGTCGTGACTCCTTTAACTCTTGTTCCTCCTTCTTTCTCATGGTGGCTTGAGATTCTGCCTTCTTAACTTCACACTGCTTAAGCTTTATTTGATGAAAACTGATCGAACAAATGCTCTCAACCACTTCTTCATTGTCGAAAGTGACGAATGCAAAGCCACGGAGCCGGCTGGGATTTTCTTTATCTCTTTTGAGGTCGATATCCAATATTTTTCCCTTGCCGAATTTTTCACACAAGCCAGTGAAATATTCTTCCACATCTTCCTCTGTGGCCGTGCTTGCCAACCCACCGACAAAAATCTTTCGTGTCCTCGACTGAGCTTCGCCCTTGGGAACCGACCGTTTTGGTTCAATTTCCCAGTTATCCAGCTCGTGGTTTTTCACTTTCAAACAATCATCAACAGCTTGAGCGTTATCGAACGTGACAAATCCGAATCCACGCGAAGGCCCATTTTTGCCTTCACGCATAATAACACAGTCTACGATGTTCCCCCACGCTGAAAAATACTCCTTCAAACTTTCTTCTGTTGTTCGCCGATTTAGACCACCGACGAAAATTTTTCGCAGCTGCTCAGGTTCTGAAGAAGACATGATTTTCTTAACTTTTTCACTCTCTCCCGATAAGTTCCAAGAAAATGGCGGATGGAAGTAACACTAATTGATGGGACCACGTGTTTAAATTGTAACAATCAATCCTCCTAATTTGGAATTCTTTACAACAAAAACAAACATGGCGGCTTCTGCCTTGATTGTTCCTTTGAAGAGGAGGAAAGTGAATGCTGAAGAAGAATTTTGTGACGAATTTTTGAAACTTGAAGATGACCTTTGTAAAAAACTATCGCCGCTTGTGTTTTCTTCTCCAATAACGCATGTGTATAACCCGCTTGAATATGCCAGAGAAACGCATGAAGATTATTTATTTTTATTTATTTTTATTTATTACAATTTAATGGCACATATAACTTACTACTTACTTACATACTTACATTAATAGATAATAATACAAAAGAGTAAAAGGAAAGGTGCCATAAGGATGGTCCGCAAAAGAGATAAATCCCCATGCACGGCAGACCACCTTTAACAAAAAAAAAAAAAAAACAAATCCAAACTAAAATCAATCAGATCTTGCAGTCAAGTAATCCCTTACACCCCTTTTAAAACAAGAAACACTTGGAGCCTGACGGACCGATAGTGGCAGCCCATTCCACATGTGGACAATCCTATTAAAATAGCAAAACTTAAAAGTATTAGTCCTCGCGTAGTTCTTTTTTAATTTAAGTTCGTCCTTACCCCTCAACGAGTATCTTTCCGAATGCGAATAAAATTGGATATAAGAGGATATATCTATATTAATATACCCATTAAGAACTCTATAAAAAAATAGTACATCAAAAAAGAAGCGTCTGTCCTCTAGAGATAACAGGTTCAGTTGTTCTTTACGAGTGTTGTAATCATCATCAGTTTTTAGAATAAACTTGGTGGCTCTTCGCTGAATCCTTTCCAATCTGTTAATGTTTCTAGCCGTGAAGGGTGACCAGACAATAGTACAGTATTCCAATTGGGACCTTACCAAAGCACAGTACAACCTTCTTAACGTGTTAACATCTTTCATACCCTTGCATGTCCTTTTAATAAGGCCAAGAATCTTGTTAGCCTTGCTTGATATCTTATCAACATGAGCATTCCAGGACAACTTGTTACTAGTAACTAATCCAAGATCACAGAATTCAGATGTTTCTTCCAGAGAGCTCTCATTCAGCTTAAGGTCAGAACGAAAAGGCATACTTTTTTTCGTGATACGCATCAGTTTGCATTTCTTTACATTAAAATCCATTAGATTTCGCTGACTCCAGATGTGTAGATTATTCAGGTCAGATTGAAAATCATGTTGGTCTGATGTACAGTTTATCAGTCTTGATGTTTTACAATCATCTGCGTACAGTGCGATTGTGTTTCCAGGCATAACCACATTAGGCAAATCACTAATGAATATTACAAAAAATAATGGCCCTAGTAGGGAGCCCTGTGGTACACCGGATGGGATGATTATGTCAAGAAGTACTGCAAAGCTGGGCAAAAAGTGCTCTTTTTGGGAATGAATCCTGGTCCGTTTGGAATGGCTCAGAACGGGGTAAGCTTGTATGATGAGTAACTCGTCTGTTAACTAGTAAGTGCGGCACTTTTCCCGTGAAATAAATTCTATGAAGCCGAAATTTGATCAACAAGCCTGTTCCCAGAGCAAAGCTCCCCTAAAGGTCTAGAATCTCCTCATGCAATATTTTATCGTGATAGACATCTGTTGAGCAATTCTCCATTCGAGCTGCATAAAATATTTACGAGAATGTTTGATACATAACTTCCTCTAGCTGGTAAGTCTATTTTCTCAACACGAGAATTGAAGGTTTTTAAGATCTTTCCTGGAGTTAAATAAAGGAGACTGGTAACTTGTACTGGAAACCAACAAATCAATCATATTTCAAGTATAATATTGCAAGGAGAAGTAAGTAGATGTAATAAAGTTTAACAAATTAACTTAACGCATCAAAGAAAGACTTTAGGATCTCCTCAACAAGGAAGTCAATCTTGTAAAACTGCCTTGTAAGAGAGATGCTTTTCATATGCAGATTAGCCTTAAATTTAACAAGTCAACCTCCTTTAATATCAAGGTCTTTTACTCATCTTTGTCTTTGAAATCTTTAAATAATCATTCTCTTGGTAAAGGTGTTTTGATGACAAGAAAATGTTGATTACTCTGTAAAAGTTTGTCTTCAACAAATAAAGGAAAAGGTCATTTATTTGATATCAAAAGAGTATTGTGCAGAGTGATAAACAGCTAAAAAGATTGTTGAAATTATTTTGCTTTCATTAACTCCTGTTTATTTGTTAGGTACCTTTTGGAGATACCAAACATGTCATAGATTGGCTTAAAATAAAAGGTAGTGTGGAGAAACCAGTTCGAGAGCATCCTAAAAGACTTATACATGGACTTGACTGTACAAGGGCAGAAGTCAGTGGTAGCCGACTTTGGGGTTTCTTTCAAGAACACTGCAAATCACCAGAGACATTTTTTGCCAATTGTTTCATTCACAATTATTGCCCACTGGTGTTTATGAAATCAAGTGGTAAGAATGTTACACCTCCTCAGCTGCCCAAGAAAGAGAGAGAGACTTTATTGGAGCTCTGTGATAAATCTCTGGCAGATGTTGTAAAGTTGATGGGAGTAAAAATTGTTGTTGGTGTTGGGAAATTTGCAGAGGAAAGAGCTCAGAAGGCTTTAAAAGACAGTAATGTTGAAATCTATTCAATCATGCATCCCAGTCCAGCAAGCCCTGCTGCAAATAGCGGTTGGAACAATATTGCTTTAACAAAACTCACAGACCTTGATCTCATGTGCTACATCAAAAATGAACATTTAAATCCAGTATTGTCCTGATGATAAACCCTCTGGTTAATATTCACTGTAAACTATCATATTTTGATAAACTTTGATCCATCAGAAAGATGATTGGTACAACGAATGATGCATTCTGTATATAGTTTGAAACAATTACAATTTTTTTACCTACTTATCTTTCTGCCTACTTGATTAAAAGAAGCTAAATGTTCATAGTATTTTTAATTAGTCTACATACATGTAATAAGTTCAGTTGTTGTGCCTAGAAATAGGCTACCCAACCAACAGGATCCACCTTAACCTTTTCACTCCCAGATCAACCAAGTAACTCTCCTTACTGTTTGCCATACAATTCTTGTGAAGTTAGTTTAGCAAATTTGGCATTAGATCAACTAACCATTTGCTGACTGATGTTTTTCTTTATTTTTATCACTTGTCTGCTTGATATTGTATTGATATTGTTAGGAGAAATTGTCTTGGTCACTCACTGGAATTAAAAAGTTACAGGCTTTTGATTTTAATTTGTTTTAAAGCCAAAGGGAAATTAAGCACAGTGGCAGATCAGAAAAAAAATTACAAAGTGAAGTTAAGTAACACCATTCTATCCCCAGATTACAACCAACCACTCAACAGGAAATTGCTCTTAAGTGATAGAACAATATGCAAACTTTGACAAAAATATCACCAGTTCCGGTTGGTTGAGGGTAGTATACACATACTGGACCATTATCTAGAGCTTATGCTTCATATCAGGGAAAAATGGGGGGGGGGGGGGTGCAAAAGATTTTAAATCTGGAGTTCCCATCTATTTCCATGGCCCCCATTGATGAACAAACCTGCTTTGAGTCACTCTCTCTGATAACACCTTTACCACGTCAGTTCTAAGATGATAAACAACTTTTGGCTTTGATCTGACAAACTCTTCCCCTCATTTTGTTAAAAGAGTCAGTCATTATCACTGACAACAGTCCTTTTCAGGACTGCTTGCTCCTGAAGGAGTATACAACACAACTCAACTGATACTCCAAGATTCAAACCAGCAACTTTACAGAAAGTAATCAAACATGTTGTGGTTTTTCACCTTACTTTATTTTTTTCCTATGAAACTCAATAAAACCGCAAATTTTGTGACTACAGAAGAATATACTTCCTATTCTACTTGTTATTCACAAAATAATATCTTTTATGAATACTTTTTCCATTGAAACTACTATAACTCAGCCAATAAAAGATCCATTAGGGCAATATTAATAATGCTTCTCTCTTCTTGTATAATTTCATACACTTTGTTACCCTTAGATCATGGAATTTTTAGCAGGGAGGTTGAGTGACTAATGGTAGCAGGAAATAAATGCTAAAAAGCATAAAAAAAAGACTAAGCTGCAAACAGTTTCTCATGTATAACTTTTTACAACTGTAGTTGAAGATGGAATACTACCTGGAAGCAAAAAGTTCATAAAAATTTTTAAAACTTAAAATTGGATTTATAATCATTATATTAAAATTTTACTTTTCTAAAAACAAAAAATTACAAAAATACCAAGAGATAATTACCTGTAATGCTAATTAAATTTAGTTCTAGTCAAATGACGGGTTACATTCAAATCAAAGGTGTTGATACAAACATATAAAATTAAATATAAATTTAATAATTTCACACATAAGAGAAACTGTACAGTGACATTAAAAGCAATTTGAAATATCTTTTCTGTTGAAAAGAAACCTTATCCTTGAATATCTCCTCTCCTAATCCATGATCCAACATAACACAGGCTTCAAAGTTGCTTGTAAAAGAGCATGCATAGAATCTCATTTGTTGACATTGAATGTGCCCATGACCTTTTTAGTACAAATTTCATGAGTTAATAATTTAATTCCCTTCTCTGGTCATTTCATTAGGTAGTAATTTTATCTTAAAATATATTTACATTAGAATGCTGCTTTGTCTCTCCTTTCAAAGCTTCTTTTGATTCATTTACTCTGTCATTTGTATGAGAAATAATATCTGTGAACTTTTTTGCAAAGTGGGCAAATTTTTGTGCATATGAAGGAACTACAATTGGGTCTACTGTGGATTGATGCAGTCTTTGACCCATGTAAGTAGCTAGGCTCCTAACTAAAATAACCATAATAGTTATTACTATAATAAGTGCAATATATTATTCAATCAGTAATTATTTCTTTCATTTAAATTATGTGTAAAACCTTTGTGATTTACTTTGCTGACCTTATATTTTTCAAATCTTTGCATTATCTGTTAACATCACCTCTCCATATGTTATATATAAGAGCTTTTAATCATAATATTTACCAGTACACTATACTTTTCCTTATGACACAATGTTGGACAACTCTTAACTATAACTGCAGACTTACAAACTGAGTGATTCTAATAAAAATTTATTAATACTGCTTAATTATCTAAAAGCATTGCTAGAGTAACTAATTTTCAAGTAGTGAGGCCAATTATTTAAGGAATGAGTTCCAACTAAATCTTGTGAATTTGGTTATAAACTGAGAAACTTTACTGCCTTTAATTTTATTCATCAGGAATCTTCCACACATTTGATTGCCCTAACTTCAGGTGCTATGTTTGCCTCCACCATTAATTTCACTCCAAACCATTTGCTCTGGACCTAAAAAAGGAAAATATGAAATAATGAGGATCACATCCATCTCAACTCAGCTCTCTTGGATGATGCATCCTTAAGAAAGACTTGGGAGAGTGTTACAAGGAGAAAAACCTCTCACAATGGCCTCTTATCCTAACCCTGGGTAGGGTAGAGGAGGTATTTCTTTCTAGACATAAAATACTGGGGAACTGTGAGTAGGGAGGAATGAAGACTAAGCCCAAGGGAAAAGAAACTAGAAATAAAGCCCACATAAGTAGCTGCCAACCTATTCCCAGGAAATACACTGAGAAAAATACACCCAAATGTCATTTTCACATTGTTTGAGGTTTGGAATATAACTGGGTGAAAACATCTTGGATGCTATGGAAAAACTTGGCGATTGAGAGGAAATAACCTTTAGAAATTGTTATAAAAAATCAGTAAATAAGTAGGAGTTTAATTCACCAAAAAAATTAAAAATTGCAAAATCTCACACAGGAAATTGCATAATTTATGAAAGCTCTAGTTTTAAAAGAACTGTACCTTCTCAAAATGCTCTGTTCTGAGTTCTGAGTATTCAATCAATATCTGCCTAAGTTCTACTTCTTTCCGCCAATCAAAGTGAGCAAGCTCAGAAGACAAGTCTTTACAAAGAAACTCAAGGTTTGTTTTAGCATCTGCACAGTTTGAGTTTGCCTGAAAAAGTTGGAAAATATTTTATCAAGACCAAAAAAAACACAAAATGATCAGAAAGAAGTAAGTATACATACAGATATTTATGTTAATATTATCAAGATTTATGTAAATGTTTCATTGCCATTTTAATGACTCAGCAGCAGAAGTAACAAGCTCTTGAATTCATCTTGTAAAAATGATGAAATAAATTAATAAATAAAACAAATAATATCCATCCATTGTTGCCAGTATTCTCTAAAAACTATTTACATACAACTTGTAACCATTGTTTTACCTCTGCCCATTTATGTGTCTGACTGGCATGATCAGGGTTGTCCTCATCTGAACCAGGATTCTGAAGTATAAAGCAAACAAATATGAACACTGGCTGTCTTGTTAACTTGAACTAAGTGATTTAACTAGTAAACCAATGACACAGAGTTGGAACTGGGAGAAATGTATTTAGTTAGGGCGTAATTTTGCACATTGACAGTGGATTTTTATTGATACATAAATTCTTGAAGGCAACCTCCACTCATGGGATAAATTGTCATTAATTCATCAAGAAAGATGTTTCAAGCTAATATTTGTTAGCATAAATGGGAGTAAGGTATTTAGAACGAGACAAATTTGAACCAGATATCATCCATTTTCAGGTGAAATTTTTTGTACATGTAAACAAAATAACTATTGTTTGAGATAATAGTTGTAATCTATGTTGTCACACAATTGGTAGATTCAAATATTTCTTGTTTTTGTTTTCTACTGTTTTCATTCATTCTGGTGGTTGTTTCCCATTTGTTCTGACAACTGTCAAATCACAAAACATTTTTGTCAGGTTGATAACAACTTGATCCAACAGAAGAAAAATTTAGCTATTCACCACCTACCTTCATCTGTTCATAATTTCTGACTTCTTCATCCCAATGTAAAAACATCTCTACAGCAGTCTGCACTCTTTGAAGAAGGACCTTAACACAATGATATCAAACAACATATAAATAACAATAATTGGGCTAAGCTGGTGTTCAATCAATACAGAACTGAGGTAGCAGTCATATCTTGAGTCACAAGGGTGCTCAAGAACCATGAAATCAATTGACCTTTTTACACCCTAACATCAGTATCCACATTCTTCATACTCTATATTCTTCATCTCTGTACATTTCCTGCAGTTCTGACACTGAGAAATTTTTAACAATCAAGAGCCTCTTAACCCCTTTACTGCCTATGTGAATCAGGATTCTAAGCCTAACCTCAAGTAAAAAGCAACAGTGAAAAAAAAAAATAATTTGGTGCTAGTTACACAGTAATGTGATCATATGTCATGAGTTCTTTTTGGCTCAGTGTTGTAAAAACCACAAGTTAAGTTATCATAACAGGCACTTAGAGAGAAGGAAATAAGACATAAAGCTTGTGGAAACTCAACATGAAAAAAGTAAACTGCCTGAGGCTCATGAAAATACAAGTGGAAAACTGTGGAAACTGATTCAGAAATGAAATACACACACACCTCAGCACTCTTGACATAATGGTGAACACTTCTCAGGTCATTTACAATCAGTTTTTCTTCTGCAGTTTCCTAGTCAGAGTTATCAACAAATCAGTTAGTACCCTCTACAGATACTCTGTTATACATTTATAGCTTGTTGGACAACACTTCATTTCCACAATCCCCCTTGGGGACAAATAAGCCATTGGCTAAGACATCAAACATCCAGTCACAAAAGGGAAATAAAAAACCAGTCCTCAGTCCACCAATCAGTCATTCAGCCATTCATTCCTTCATTCACTGATTCATAGCATCAGTCATTGATCAATCCAGGATAAGGAACAGCATCAATTCTAAGAAAATATAATTCCTTTATTTTCCACTCACTCTGTTATTCTCCAATTCAATGCAGATTTTACTGAGAGCCTCAGTAGCAACCTGGAAAATAAAGTAAGAGCAAACTAAGGTTATTCAGAAATTAGCTCACAGTAATTATAATTTTGACAAAGTCTAAACTTCATCATATTTAAAGTCTAATATGAAGAAATTCAGAATAACTCAAGAATTTGAATAACATTCAATTATTTCTCTCACTGATTGAGTTTACTGACAAATAATGATAATAGTACCTTTAAATATGTTTCTGCAGGTTCAAATTCTGCCAAAGATTTAAACCAAACCCCAGGGCCATCTAAAAATGAAGAACATTTACAAAAAATATCTGTGAGGGCAGAGTTTCACAAGATGCAGCAGTAAATCCTTTAACTCCCATAAGTGACCAAGACAGAATTTCTCCATACAGTATCAGTACAATATCAAGCAGACAAGTGATGAGAATAAAGAAAAATTTCAATAGGGGATTAGCTGCTGATCCAATACCAAATTCTCAAGAAATTGGTATTGGTATCACAAGAATTGCATGATGGACAGTTAGGAGAATTACTAAATAAATGAGATCTTGGAAGTGAAAGGGTTGACAACATTTGAGGATAGTGGCTAAATGTTGTTCTCATGGGTTCAAATCCTGTACAAGCCTGAATTTTTTTCAGGCCTTATTTCAACAACTAGTTCAGCAGTGTTCATAACTGCTAGGATCAATTCTATATTTGTTTCTTCAACCACAGTGCACACATGATTTTCATATGTTTACAGCCATTATTCACCACTTCGAAGGTTTATTTGGATCCAACATAAAGACCAGCTCCGACCTGGGTTGTTAGCCCAGTTGGTAGAGCACTGCACCAGTATCACAGAGGTCATGGGTTCACATCCCGTATGGGCCTGAGCTTTTTTCAGGCCTTATTTCAACTATTAGTTCAGTAGTGTTCATAACTGCAAGGATCAATTCTATATTCATACCTACTGTGTTCTTGTTTAGACTATCCTCAAGGTGTGTGATCAAACCATCAAGATTTTCTGCAAACTTTTCCAAGTATCTCTATTGTGAAAATTAATACAACAACATTGAAGCTCAGATTTGTATTTATACAACACATTAAGTTCTCAATATTCTTCCAAATACAGGAGGCATCTCTAATCAGACCAGAAACAGGGTCTTGGAGACATTAACAAGGCTTGCACTATTTTGAAGTTAGAAATTTCAATGACTTCCATTACCTTTACCAATAACATTTTGAAATTTTTCATGACCTCTGATCAAAAGGGTCTAGGATTGTATATTCTTCTGTCAATAATGACTCTTTATAAAACAACACAGCTGTGAAGCTACTTGCATCAATCTGTTTCATTATCAAACAGAATTAGTTCCGATTCTGATTTAGTAATTGATTGAATTTTGACTAATAATTTACTGGATAAATAATTACTCATAAAATTATAACAACCTGACATTTGATCACAGGAGCATTCTGGTCACATGGTTCCTGTTTCAAAGTCTTCTCAGCCACATTGTTGACTTTTTTCTTTTTCTTATCTAGTTCCTCTCTTGCTTTCTGTACATCCTGAAAGTGATTTATAAAACATCATCATCAACTGGGAAAGAGTTTCTGAACATTTAATACCAGCATAAACTTGTTCAGAAAAGACATACTAAAAAATTATGCCCTGTGACATCGGGTCATACACTGTACATGTGTGATGTCTTTTTCTGAAGCATGTGGCAACTGAAGATATTCCTACTTCTCCTGGTTGGAATGCAAGTCCAACATTCACATTATTCACCCACATTTAGTCAATGTTACCTCTAACAGTTTGCTGTTTCCCACTTGTACTCCAGAGAGGAGAAAAGCACATGAAGTGCAACAGTATCTTGTCTAACATAACAACACTTATGAGCTGCCGAGACTCTAACCTGAACCTTATGATATGCAGGGAAGTATTCTAAACAATAAGGGACTGACTCTCTAACAATGACCTGCTTTAGAAAAATGAATTTCAAAACATTTGTCTTACCTGACCCTCACCAGTTAAAAACAGGTTCAGAAGATGATGTTTTCTCAAAATCTGGAAAGAAAAATGGACATAGCATTAAAGAGAAGACACCTTTTTCTGTGTTAATTTCTACAAAAAACACACAGTTTATATATAAATTTTCTTACCTTATGGGCACAAATTCGTGACAGAAATCTTTGACCCTCTCTCATTTTTCCTAAAAATTAACAATTCAGAGAGTTGTTAAGTGAGGATGGCCTCAAAAAGCAAAAAAATTCTAATCTCTCAGTGTGAATCTAAAGACAGAAATAACAGATTCAATCCACATAAGAGAGAAATCACTATTCACAATGCATTCTAGAATGCACTGATTAAATCAATCACCTAACCCAGCCATCTGTATTGCATATTTTACAATTTCATAAACCACTAGCCCTTGTTTGACAGTAGCAAATGCATTTTAATCTTTAATATGAAAAACATTTTCACAAAGTTCCAAATTTCTCCAATCCTCACTTTAGTGCTCTATAACTTTAATATCATCTCTAACATCAATTACTATCTGTTAAACTTCATGTGAGACTGGGAGGTTACAAAAACAATTGATTGATGTCCAAGTTCTCAACTGAATGGGAATTTAGCATTTGCTAAGTGAGGATAAAACTGAAACTCCCTGAAATTCCAGCAGTTTGTTTCTCAATTTCTCTTGCCTAATCCTCTTGTAGCTTTGCTGCTGGTTTTTGCAGTTCACCCACCTTAAACTCTCACACAACGTATGACCATGATTGAAAATTGACAACATACTTGACCATGATTGAAAATTGTATACTAGACCCAATATTGTCATTTACCATGTAACGATGAATGTGACACCATTGGAGGTACGATTCTCTCTGGACAAGCTTCCTCCAGTGCTGACTGAAGCCATTCAAAATCACCTTCACTGCGATAAACCTCATAGTCAGAGAACTTATAGTCCTCATGAGTTGTCTGCAAATACATTGTCATTAATGTAAATTTTAATTATTATAATAATTGAAGATGAATTGTTAAAATCTCTCTTTAGGACCCCTACTTTATCCCCCCCCCCCCCAAAAAAAAAAAAAAAAAAAATCTGTAACTCAGACAACTCTCTGCATTGATTGCCATACATTTTCATTTTTAGAGCTGAAAATTGTTTCTTATCAGTAGGTATCCCTCACTACTTTACCCTCACCTCATCACCTTTCTCCTCAAAAATGTTTGTAAATATGTATATTATGGAGAAATTTCTAAAATGAAATACCTAATTATCATTTAATATTTTTTGGTCACTCGTTCCTGCATACTGCTGATCAACATTGTTAACAGAATCAAAGAAATAACCTGTACTTTTTGTAGCAGTCAGTCAGTAATCCTCTACAACTATCAATGAAATAAATCCAGATTCCTTACCTTTGTTACCACTTTAAAGGTGGTATTTTTCTCATCAGTCTCTGAACAGGTCACTGTAACTCGAAGCATGTCTGTTCCTGGTGTTGTTGGACTAAAATGGACCAATCAAATCATTGATAATAGATCATAATTGATCAAACTCATGAAAACCACTCACAGAAAATGATCTTACAATGAAGCTCCTGAATAACATGTATAGCTCAGCCATTTTTGCATAAAACCTTGACAGCCTCTATCAGGTTACTTCTGATGATACTTTCCAATGATGACTACTGATAAGTAGATACACTACATTCATTTTCTTGCTAATTAATCTAATTTTTGATAGATATGACCCTCTACACTTACGTTGTAGGTCGTTTGTCTGTATCTTTTGATGAGCAAACCTTAGAATGAGTAGCCAGGTCACCCACCCTGCAAGGTCAGATAAAAAAAATCTCAACTACTCAACAAGCTGCATTTTCAGTAATAGAGGTGAAGAAGAAACCACAGAATACTTCCCACAACTAGAAGAAAAATAACTTCAGCTGAAAAAATCTGGTCATGGAATTTTGTGCAGTAGCCATAGAATTCTACAATCCCTTAATTATAATATACATCCTAAGCAATAGATAACACTCTAGTTTAAAGGTCCAGGACAAAGATGATGAGCATCTTTAATTTTTATTGTTCAGGCCCTTTTAGAAAGTGCTCATAGAACATGTTGCAGTACCTCATTTTTTCATGGCAGAGAGCACAAGAAAGCATTAAGTCATCTGATGAACTTTCAGATCTGGTCTGCAATAAGAGCACAACAACAAATTTTTTTCAGTCAGTAGACTGAAATAACAGTTATGACCATTCCTGGTAACTATGATAGAAGCTCAGTGAATGACAAGCATCCTAAAAAGAAAACTGAGAGCTATAAGAAATTTGCTGAGAATCAAGCAGTTGCACCATGAAAAATGTTTGTCTGAAAGGGTTAAGTACTGAATATAAAGAACAGATCTATAGTAGCCATCAGTACAAGAAAAACTGGATATTTCAGCTTAATCATTAGTCAAGGTACACTGTATCTACTGCATTCAAACTACTTTAAATCTGATGATTTAGATCTATCAACTAAATATTTAATGTAAATTGGCCACCAATAAGAGTTTAGCCCTTCATCAGAGTAAGGTCAAATTTTGTGGGTATTCATGAGTTATCAAAACAAAATAGAAACCTTTTGTATTAATCCATTTGCCTGTGATTTTGTCTCCTTTTGAATAATCTTCTCCAGAAGTTTTATCTGCAACATTATCATCATGAAATAATTAATTATCAGTATCCATAATGTAATTTCAGTCCAGCTTAGCAGCTCAACAGCCAGAAAGAATGTAAAAAAGATCAAAATGAGATATAGAAGGACTGTCAGTGGTAATACATGAAACCCAAGGGATATATTGGCATTGTGTGGACAGCCAAGCACAACTGAACCACTCCTGACTGTTCATTCTCCCTTCTGGCTGCCACACATTTCCTTGTAAATCAGTTAAGAGAATTTGGTCATCGATAAAGATGACAACTTCTACATGATAAGTTTAAGTATTCCCACTACCTGTTTGCTGGATAATGTATAGACATTATCAGGAGAGGTTACATGTTAATCACCTCTAGGAGTTCAAATGTTAAGTAAAAATGGAAGTCGTCACCAGGGTAATGAGAAGGACTGTGGTTTGGATTTTAAAAATGTCATTCATGACCTTTACAGACATCCCTCCTAAAAACCACAGTCAAGAGGACAATCACCCTACACAAATGAAATGTCAATGTGTGTTCAAACTATACCGCTGATTTATTGCCAGACTTGTTTATCTGACTCTTAATGTCTTCTACTTGCTTTTGGTATTGACGGCTTCTCTTCTGCTCCTGAAATGGATAGAAAGTGCAAAATATGAGAAGCTACTTACAATAAGTAATTACACTGGCTGACAGGATGCAGCAAAGGGACATAGAGAATTAACTCTTTCACTCCCATAATCTGCGAACTAATTCTTCCAACAAATACCTTACATTTCTATGGCTAGCCTTTAATATAAGATTTGGTGTCATATCCTCTATTTAAATATATAGTATTACGAGATTTTCATAAAGATCACTCTTGGAAAGTACAGGGCTATCTATTGTCAGTCATGGCTGCTGTTTTTCTTAATTTTTTAAAATTATTTATTGCATCCTTTGAAATTGAAAGGTTAAATAGTTTTTGACAGAGCCGTCTATAATAATCTCAAGTGCCTATTAGGACCAAGGAAAATATCACCAGGAGCCTATGAGAACTCAAACTAAAAACAAATGAGCCGCCTGAAGTACAGGAAAAAGGAAGTGACCAAGTCTTGATCTGTTTTTGATTTGCATCTGCTCGTTAGAAGGTGGTGCAAAGTTTCCTGACTGATCACAGAGTGAAGGAAACCAACACCCATGTCATCCTGCTTTGCTTCTGACACTCAAAAGAAAAATGCTCCAACTACCTCAATTAAAGATTCCTGTGCAATTGCTAGTTCCTCCTTGGTTGAAACCATTGTTTCTCCAACTGCATAATACCTGAAAAAAAAAGTGAATCATTATCAAAAGGGAAATCACAGATAACTTCAAGTTTTCTAGCTCAAACAAAATCTCATGGTGAACAGAAACTAAAGCAAAGATCAAACAAAATAAAAAAATTGCACAAAATCATTTTTGTCATTCAAGTTCCAGCTATGGTTGCTGCTCACTTCCTTATTTGATGAACAAAAGGATTTTCTAAAAAATCAACAAGGTAAAAGGTAAAATTGAATCTCTAATATATGGACTGTCCTTCTTTTGAGTAGCTTTAGTTTATGTTTCATTTGAAAATCAATGAGTGTCAACTCTTACAAGCAATATTTTTATCAAATAACAAATACACCAAACACTGAATGGAAGAAATTAAATGCATCAGTATAGTTAGTGACTATTGAGAATCCCTTTGATCAAAGTTACAAATTAGGGAACTTGTTTACAAAAAGAGGGTAGTATGTGATTAGCAGACTGAGTATGTTTAAGAGTACTACATGTTGCTGCACAGCTATTAAAAGGTGCTGTGTATTGATCATGCCTTAGGGCTGGACAAGAAATATGAACTATATACAATTTATTAAATGGCAAGGTAGTCCTCAGGTAAATCCAAGCATTCTAGTTGGTCTTACTTGGTCAGAATTTTGCCATGCAGACTGTTTCCAAAGAAACATTCATTAGCCATGTACTTCAATTCACAAAAGCAGCAAATTCAGAATAAACAAGTTTGGTCCAAGTCTCATATAATAAACTACTTAGTAATCTTGCTTGCTTAAGCCATACTGGGGAATATTGGCCCTTGGTTATCTTTGTACAGACCATACTGAGCTTGGTTCAAACTGCCATGACCTCACACCAATACTTAAGCCATACTGGGCAATATTGGCCCTTGGTTATCTTTGTACAGACCATACTGAGCTTGGTTCAAACTGCCATGACCTCACACCAATACTCCCCAGTACAGCCCTTGTACTTGGTTAAAAAGAAGTTATTATTCCATCAGGTACACCACCTTACAGATAAAAAACTGTAACAGTTGTACATTTAGTGATTGTGTTTTTTTTTTACTCGATGAAAACAAAACAAATAGAAAAAGCTATTAATGATAACCAACATAAACAATTACTTAGCCTTTTACAGAAATATCAGAATAAACATTTAATAACACCCAAATCTTAACTATAGATACATGAAAAACATAACAAAACAAATGTCATTAGTGCAAAAGAAATTATTGACCCTCTTTCTGTAAACAGTCACCCTTTCAATGCTGTTAGGGTGAACACATTTATAATTTATTCTAATTATTTATTAATCACTCATTACATTTCAATACATTTAAGTACATAAAATTCACACTATCAGCAAAGGTGAGCTTTTTGTTATTAGCTTTTGGTCTCAACATAAGAAGAAAAAAATCTAAGTTAGCATAACTCAGGACCACAAGCCAAGGTTAAATGAAAGACACATTGTTAACCACAAATGGCCTAAAACGTATGCGTAACTGTTCTGTAGCTCCAATTTTAAGTGGTTTTCAGAGATTTCTTACTGTTGTAACAGCTGATGAACAAGCTGTAAATTGTGCTTGTACTCTTGAGCAGACCTTCAAAATCAATAGCAATGTTAGGGCATCTAATTGTATTTATCAAAAGAGGGTACCCAAAAAATCACCTATAAGCTAAACAGTTCTGTCTCTCATTCAATCAGAAAATCTAAAGGCAAATAATCTATTGACTTAATTCTCAATTACTAAATTGTTTGAAAACCAGTGTTTGATGGTGTAGTTTCATTTTCTATATCATAACATATCATTAATTTAACCCTTGGCTCCCTGACATCAGTATGGATATTCTCCAAACTACTCCCTACATTTCTTAGGGTTCTGACAAGGAGAAATTGTTAAACAATTAAGAGCTTAGTTGGTGATCATCTCCTTTATTCTCACGAACTTAGTGTTTGATTTAGGGGTGATGTTGCAAGAAGAAATTAGATGTGAGTCACTCTTGGGGATTGAAGGGTTAATTATTGGCTCTTGTTTGAAATTAGGTGCACAGGTAGAGTCTGAATGAGACACATAAAACTGACCATAGACCCCTGGACTGTTGCTAATGTCACTGACTGTCATTTGGACAACCTAAATGATGACTACTTCTTAGATTGTTGAAACATCAGCCATTACTGCTGACAACAGTCCTTCCTTAAGATGATCAGACAACACAATCAACTGATTCCAGTTCATTGCATTTAGTTAGAATTAGTGCAAGCACAAATTTTATTTTCTATTGTTGTAACAAGACTGGCCAGGAATGGAGGGTTAGAAATCTACTAATTTGTCCTTGTACTGAAAACTTCTTCTGATATTCCATCAATTACAATTGTACAGCTTTTAGTTACACAAGTCATTAAACTTTTAAAAGCATTGTCTAGTATTGTCAACACTCAGATATAAAAGGCACTTAAAAGGTTATAAAAAATCAAGATTTTTCTCAATCATTCCTTTATTTATCTGTTAGTCAATAAGAACAATTATCATTATCCATTTAGCAAACTAAGCATAGGTCAGATTTAGATATAATTTCATTAGTGATTAAGTTCATTATCTGAAGATATGATAACTCTCAAGTTCTCAATTGGCTTGAAAATTAGTAATATATTAATTTCGTTAATAAAACAATTTACGATCCAGTAATGAAATTCAGTACCTATCTAAAGTAGGAAGATTCCTGTTTCACCCACCCCCCCCCCCACCCCATTGATTTAGCTTAATACAAGCCACAGACCTTTTACTCTCTACCTCTCTCCTACAAAGTTCTCTTTGCATCTTGATACAGTTTTAGCAGCAGTCATACTGAATCTCATGACAAATAGTTTTCAGTAAAATAAATATCACATATTCTGGAAAAACCTTAAAATAGATTAAACCCTTTAACTCCTGTGAGTGACCAAGACAGATTTTCTCCTTTCTATATCTATACAACATCATGTAGACATATAATGAGAATTAAAAGAATATCAATTATAGTATTACTAACTGATCCAATACCAAATTCTCCAAACTAACATGATGAGAATTGTTTGGCAGATGGTAAGGAGAATTACTGTTGAGATCTTGGGAGTTAAAGGGTTAAATAGTATTAAACACTCTTAAAAGGCATGTGGAGAGTCCTTCTGATACTCACCTTTCATGAAGGGTGGCATTTTCTTTGTAAGCCTCATCAAGTTTTCTTTTTAGTTGTTCAACTTCTTCTGCCAAACCATCTCTCTCAGTTCTGAGCTGGAGAATTACATTTCAAATATAGTAATTAGAGATCAGAACTTATAACAGATAGAAATTGGAACAGGATTTTTAAAACAAACTATCAATGGATAAGGTAGAACTTGAATCTAGATGTAGATTTTAATGCTGTTTTAAAGGAGACAGCTTTAATCTAAGAGATCAGGAATCCCTTGCAGGAAAAGGAGAGACAAAGAAACTCAAAGAATATTTGGCACAAAAAATTCTGGTTCTGGGTACAAAGCTAAAAATTCATTCCATTCTATTGAAAATATAATGACCGGGGAAATCAATGATTTTTGAAGTAAACAGCAAAATAGGTGGCTACAGGAAGCTTGATCTCAACTCTATCAAGACTACAAATTTCACTAATAGGAAGTTCTTGTTGACACCCCTCATTGATTTAAAGTTCTTAAACTAAAAATGATCTAGGTCAAGGGACACTGAAAAATATTTAACTATTGGAACCTCTCATGCACCTCAAGTCAAGCCAAACACCTTCTTCAAGACACTCAGTCAGATCACTATACTTTACACAAATACTTGTAGGTTTTTATAATAAAACAACTGTCTTAATTTCTTACATGCATAAGTCTAAGGGAGGCTCGGTGATATTTACGTCTCATATTATCTTAAGTTCACGTGTTTTTCGTGTGAATAAAGGATTCAAGCAAAACATTAAAGCCACACCAACAATGGATTTATTACTAATTCATATCCTATGAATTTACGATCACCTTTTTCAATTAATTCATGACAAACATTTCGTGGAGACATCAAACTTCAAATAGATTGGGAATTTTTAGTCTAAAGTTATCTTATCTGTATTGAAGTTATATTATCTATCGGCATGATCTATCATGAGAAATAAAAATCGTTTCTAAGTTGACCGTTACGTCAAAGAATTATTCATGAACGACACAGATACAAATTCTTCACACGAGATCGAATGTTTTGCACATCCGATTTGGAAACTGACCCATTTGGGGAATCCGTATTGAAATAATTGAAATTATTTTGATGGTAAACTTAGCTTCTGTCCTTCATGCACCAGTTAAGCAATAACATTATCGAGAAAGAGACATGCGAAAGATGCGTGTCTTCAAAAGTCGATCGCAAGAACTTTAGAATGCAAAAAGGTGAGTTTACCTCGAAAATGTTGTCATGACTTGCTTCATCATGATCACCGCTGGAAACCGGGCAATTTTCTTCTTTGCGTGAAGACATTCCTTCGTTCTCTTGAACGTCCATCTCAATTATATAGTCCACCGGCACAATACCACGCTCAACAGTCAGGTATTCCTTCGTCTTGAGCAGCGGATTGTGTCTCCAAACCGTCCTCTCAACATTGACCCAATAGTTGTCGCGGCGACTCAGAAATGTGAATATTTCACCTATTCGAAAAGACAGAGGATTTGCACCATCGCTGTAACATGTATCTGCTGCTGTAAAATCTCTCAAGGCCTGCAACAGGCGAGATTGTCGATTATTTTTCTTTCGAGAGGCAAATTTTGAGCTCATTCTATCTCGCAAATTGCGATTATTTTAGTCATATATTTAGGATCTCAGTGAAAGAACGGCAACAACACATTCCTTCCAGGAATAGAACCGAAAAAAAACAGTGTACTTCGAAAAAACCACAGAGTCTCATATTGTCAAGCTACTGTCTATATTGGCCAAAATTGTAAACAGAAAAAAGTCAAGGGATTAAAAATACTCACCTCTCAGACAATCTCAAGGTCTTCACTCATTTCCCTTGAGGAAACTACCCACAATGCCGTTGCATAACCGGAAATTCCATCACAAGTAGTAACCGGAAGTGGCTATTTGCTGTCCTGACCTCTGTCAGGCCTCTATAGTTGACCTCTTCCATTCGTTGTGTGTGCTATTTGTAGATAATAGAGAAAGGAATTCCCTCGTCGTACTCAAGTGGTTTTTAGGATGTGCGCCGTCTGATTGAACGAGGATCATATTTCCCCTGGTTTTTAAGCGTGCGCGGAGACTGACTACTTCTCCTAAGAACGGGTAATTCCTTAATGGTTTTGATGAAAAAAGAACATATTTCAAAAGTATAATGAACGAGCTCGAGAAAACAGTTACTTTGACAATCGTCTGCGTAATTATGCAATCCCTTCTACCTCGCCAAGGAGGATGGTCCGCAATATCCCTGAACAATTTTTAATTAATTCGCTTATCAATGCCCCAGCAAAAGCAGATATTAGCTTATCAAAAAACATCTCAGTTCATTGGTGTTCCAGTTTGTTGCCTCTAAGAGAGAGAAGACCTACATAGGAGACCTGGGCCAAGTTAAGAATGTTTACCATGACGTCACGTTTGTATGTCAAAAAAGATCCGCAAGCAGAAGTTCATATCACAACATGGCGGACGAAAATCTCAAGGGGGATTCCACAGAAAATTCGACGGGATCTGAGAATCCTGACAATCAAGAGTACTACGAATGCGTTAGAAAACTCTTGAGGCCTGTGGAAAATAGATGGCAGTACATTCAGAGTGTTCTTTTGTGGCAAAAACCATCGCACTCGTTGAGCTATTTCATTGCGATGACAATTCTTGTCGGGTAAGTTGTTGGGTAAGAAAAGAATTATTTGTTATTGTGATGTGCTGATCGAGTGGCATGTCGCTTCACAGGATCATGGCAAGTGGGAAATTCCGTCTGGTACTACTGCTTATAATATTAATGGCGTCATCACTTTTGATGGAAGATATCAGATGTAAGGTGTGGCAATGTGTACAAGGTACGTCATAACACTTCGTTACAGGTAGTCCTGATAATTTGAATCTCTCTGCAATTTGGATGGTCTTCATTTGCATAAAACTTGGATCCAATCAATAATTATTTTGTATGATTTTCTCCATGACACAGGTAGATTTGATGCTCTTACTGATGAAGACAGGTAAGTGTTATTTAAAGAACAACAAGGAAGCTTCAAATTTTGCGTTTTCGTTCTATAAATCTCGAGTTTTAAGTTTGTTTTATAATGTTTTGATATCCCGAAGGACTGTTTAGAACTTCCAAATGGCTTACCCCAAATTGGATCTATTATCTATTTATGTTCCACCTGTAATGAGATAAACAAATGTCCTATGAACTGATGAACATCGACTAACTTTGTCCCTTAGTCGTCAAATCACGCTATCTTTCCCTCGTCTTTGTGAAAGACTCGCTGCGATTTGGAGTTGCTTCGCTGCTTGGCGTGAAAAATTGAACAAATTAAAGGCTGAAAGCACATACAAGGTATGTCATCGATTTTCCCAATTTTATATCGATATTTTCTGTTATTTTTTCTCCCTAATTTAAGATCAGTATTAATTTCTTTTTCATTTTGAATTGACATTGATATTAATATTATGGTAATGACTATCTTGTTTTTCAGTACTATGCCGTTCTTTTTGGACTTTTATTGGTAGTGGTGTTTGCTTACCAGTACTTGCCCCTGCTGCCAATATTTTATATGCAAGGTGAAGTTTTTTAATTTTTATCTTGGTAAGGTTTTGTAGATGAGAAAGATTGTCATATTAATTTATGATAGATGAGGAATGAAGGTAATGGACAAATATAAAACCTTAAAAACTGGTAATTTATGATTGTAATAAATTGTTGCTTTGGTGATCATTACTTTTATTGACAACACAGAGGATAAACTAACTTTGTTACTTTAATTCCATCTCAGGGGGTACTACTGGCTCATTCTCAAAAATTTTTAGTCACATTTTAAAACAATATTTTGGTTGTTCAATGTATGAAGCATATATGACATCTTAGGGAAAGGTATCTCAATGACCCTATACTATTCTGAAACAAAGCCAAAGTCCTGAAGGCAATCCATCCAAAAAACTGTATGCATAATAAGGTATGGGGTTGTGTGGAAATCTTTCCATACCTGTTGTAATTAGGGATTCAAAATGATATCAATGTGGCTGATATGAAGTTCCTTGGGAAGTGGAGATTTGGGTGTTGTGGGGACTGTTTTCTACCAGTTTAAATGATATTAAAAAAAAAAAAAACTAAGAACATTTTTCTCCCTTCTTTTTTACATTGTAGCTTGTGCACTGTACTTTTGGCCCATCATTAAGTACAATGGAATACACATAATAATAAAAAAGGCAGTGGAGCCATTTTACCGACCATTTGTAGTCCAATGGCAAAATACCAGGACAAAGCGAACAAGGGATGCTGTAACAACAGGTCTGATTAATGAATAATGAAAATTCACATTCTTAATGCACCAACTTGTTCATCATTTCGGGGTATTGTGGTACATCAAAAACCACAGAACCTTCTTTCATCTCCATGAAAACTGAAAACTTGGAACTAACTAACTCAAAAGTAGAAAACCACCAAGAATAATGTTTGGAAACCAATTGATGCTGATTGAAAGTTGTCCAAGTTGTTTGGAAAATTCACGTTTTCAAAAGAGGGATTCACCTAAGGCTGCAACATATACTAAACCAGAAAACCATACAATTTGAATGGACAAACCAAAAAAATAAGATCAAAGATGCTCAAAACCAAAAAAGCCAGTGCATACTCTGTTTTCATTGTCATAATGGTGCATTTTTTAGTTTTTTTGATCATTTCACTCCCAAGATCTCATTAATAATTTTCCTCACTATCTGTTATACCATTCTTTAAAAGTTAGTTCAGAGAATTTGTTACTGGATCAGTGAATAATCCCCTAAATAATATTTTTCTTTGTTCTCATAACATGTCTGCTTGATATAAATTGTAAGGAGATATTCTGTCTTGGTCACTCATGGGAGTTAAAGGGTTAAAACTGATTTAGTTATTGTAATAATTCTTCCAAGGAACTAAAGGAGAAATGCCAGCTGACAGTGACGATGAGTTTGCGAAGGATTTCAGTCCTGTTGCTGATGATAGAGTGGTCAATGAAGATAAATTTGTCCCTTCACAAGATGAAGATTTCAGGGAATCAGAACCTTCTTCCTCAGCACCACCTGTGGAGGTTAAACTCCTAGAAGAATTTATTTCATCAGCTGTAACTCAAGGCCTGAGTTCTATTACAAGCAGAAAAGACAGCCTGGAAACACAAGGTAGTGTACACAGATTGGATCCAAGATGGCTCTTTAAATTTAATCAAGTCTTCCAAGGGTTATTATTTGGGTATGGAAAAGAGCTTTTGATGAGAGAAATGGGGTAGATTTAAATTTAGTTAACTTCAAAAAATCGGCTGTTTGAGAGTCCTGCCAATCAATGTGGTATGCATGTAGGTAGGTGTTCCTTTTAAAATGCATTTATTTGTTAGGTATACATGTCTAGGTAAATCCAGCAAAATAATAAAATTCTGGTAACATTCTTCTACACTTTTTTTGGAATGATTTTTCTTTTATGCTTTTTTCCCAAGAAATTTCTGCACAAGATACTCCAGAATCTGAAGTTGGAAGCCAAAGCTTAAACAGCTCTACTGTGTTTGTTGATAATCTACAATTTTCATCAATAAGTCAGTTTGGGGATACTTTAGAGTTGGAGGAAGGTGAGTTAATGAGGGGACTAGAATTTCCAGACATTGAAAGAGACTCAGAATCCGACACTGAGGCTGTTCAACCAGCTGGGAAATCACAGGTGGACAGTGAGCCAACACATTCAAAACAAATGGATGAGGCAAAGGAGTCTAAAGAACAAGTTAACCAACAGATATCAGAAACACTTGAGAGCACCATGAAAGAGAGTATATCTTCAGATGTGTCGGATTATGAGATGTTGGACCCATCAGAAGCTGAAGGCATGATTCCAACTGATCAAACAGACAGTGGCAATTCCAGTCGACTGGGATCTGCGACTGACTATGTTGGAAAGTGGTTGGGGTATTGATATGATGTGTCATTTCAAAATATTCTGTACTTGAAAGATTTTTTGGGGCTGTGTAATTTTTAAATTCTGTCAAGTTAATATGCATTTTATGCTTCCTATGGAGTCTACAGCTGTTTGATCTTTTTGTCAGTTGTGAAACAGATTAAACAAAGTTGAGAGCATGGGCAACTTCCTTTGTGCATGAAAATCTCAATGGCAATATGACTCATCTTACCAGATTATACTTTCAGAATTTGGGCTCGGCTGTCTCCATTGCTTGTGGGGTGCTGTAGCTGGAAATAGCCAATTTTTGCCATATGGCATTCATGTTTATAAGTTGTATGATGAATTTTCTTTTCTTGTAAGATTTTTCTAGAAAACTTTTTTCTACACCTGAGAGCTCAGAAAAGCACAATCTCTCATGGGAATGTAATGGTTAAAAAGCTACAATACCTTGTCTTTGCAGTTTTTATTAGGAAATGAAGATACCTGTAGAAATGCTATGCAAATATTTAGCCCTTGTCGTAGTTTTTAGAAAAATCTTAATTTAAAGTTTTTGGAGTTTGGAGTGTACTGCATATTTTTTTCCATTTGAGAATTGAGCTTACCAAAATTTAGGTGTGACAGGCTTGTGAATCAGCCCATGTTTGAGAGAAGTGCCTTTGCAGTCCACCAGAGACTGGAGTGAAGAGGAACTTGAGAGGGTGATGAAGTTAAGCCTACTGAAATGACAAAATAATAGCATATTCGACATGAAATTTGATAGACAGTCAGTTAAGTTTTATTCAATTATTAGTGATTGCAAATGCTTCTTAGTATTAATTTCTATTGGGGTAATCAATGGCAAGTTTGGAAATTTGAGTGATCCAATAGCCTTTGGTGCCACTTTGTTTGGTTTAGAACAGAAATTGCTTAGGCTGTATTTGTTGTGAAGGTCTTTTCTTTAAAGAAAGCAAGACTTAAAAGGATGGCTTTCTAGAAACTATAGCTCTAACAGGTATTATTTATTCAATATACCAGCCATCATGCATAGTGTAACACTTGGTCTGGAACCAATTGGGTGTTGTTCAATTTTAGGGGATAAAAGGAAGTTTCCTTGTTTTGCTTGTAAATTAAATTAATTTTATCACTTGTGTAGTCATAATAAGGAATGAGGTTTTTATTAATATAATGTTCTATAAATATGCGTGTGAGATAATAAATGGCAGTATCAGCTTATTAGATAGTGACACAATAAAAGCTGGTCTTTGAAGTTAAGTTTTCAGTTTCATGAAAATTGAAATGTCAGTTTTTGACAGGAAGCCTTTGCTTTTAATAAAAAATAGCATGTATGTAGGCCATTGTAAGAGCAGCAGAGCATGGGTGTCTCAGCTCACTGGAAGATTTTTGACAAGGTGGGGAGAGGTTTGCTTGAGGTCTGGCACTAATAATGAGTTGCTAGACCTTGCAGACCTATTGGTATTGACTAAGAGCGAGATCCAGGCACTGGTCAGTATCCAGCCAACTTGACTGAACAAGCCTAGTTAATAAAGGAGTTTTGTTTTAAAATACATGACAAAATAATTGCGAATGAATCCATTTCGCTCATTCTTGACTGATGTCAGAATGTGTTTTGCAACTTCCAACTATTGTAAATAGCATACATTGTTCTTTTTTTGAAACCCATCATAATTTTAAATTATACTTGTAGATTCCAGAGATGTCTACATCCTTGAAGAGACAGAGAGCAAATAATCAGGCAAGGGGAAGGGAAAACAAACTCTACCTTCCAGCTGAAGCTGCTGAGTTTCCTCCCTCTTACTTGCCTATTTGCCCATAGGTGTCTGAGGATCAGGTGTCCCTGACAACTAGCAGAGTCAACCATGTGTTTACACCAACTGTTTAAACTTTGCAAGAATTTAAACCAAAGCTGTGTTGTTTGAAAGGGGGTTAATGTTAATCTAGGATTAAAAGTTAGCTTTAATTTCTCAAGTAGAGAAGTGTGTATTAAGAGCTCAGGTTTTGTTGGGGTTTATCTCAATATGACTTGCAACTAAAAGGAGAAAATAAAAAAGAAAACTCCTTTACAAAGCTATTAACATGAATTAAAATTTACACTAATCCCAGGTTTGGTTAATCATGTTTTGAACAACCTGGCCCAGGGCAAATCTCACGTCATAAAATTCTTTCCAGAAGAAAATGGTTGGTTCCCAGGGGAAATCTTAACTTTACAACATAAATACAGAGCAACGAAAGCGTTACTGCTTTCTTCCTGTTTGCCAAACACATGTGGGCAAATAGTTCATCCTTGCAGCAAATCTAGTTCTAGTACAAGCCATTACAACCAAAATGGTTGCAGCTTGGGACACAAACAATTGAAACTTTGCCACTCCTTAAACTCTGGCCAATTTCTCAAATTTTAAAATTGTACTAACAACCTTGAAAAAGGTACAAGTTATTCCTTTGAGATTAATTGTTTACACAGGGCCTCAAAATAATCAAACAGAATTGTGGGGCTAAGACAAGGAAATCTGGAATCAAAAGTGTACTTTTGTATCTTTATAATCAAAACAAAAATCATTAAACAGCAAAAATTGCAAACTGGAGTTGAGCTGGTTTATTGTTGAACTGTACAAGTGATACAATTTATGTCTCCTGCATTTCCCTGAGACGACGCACTGCACTTCTCACTGTCACAGCAGCTGTGGTGCTAAAATAAAAGAGAGAGAAGCTTTCATCATTGTGCATCAGAAAACACAGAGAAGTTTTTGTTATGAAAACAGTCTAGGTCAAAGAAAACTTTGGTCTAACTAATGTCACTCTATTTCCCTTAAGATGGAGACCTTAACCAGAAAAAGAGGGTATCCTACTTTTGATTCTGTAATTGGCAGGCTCTTCAAAGTTTAACACAAGAGTACTTTTACAAATCTGAGATATGTAGAAGTAGTACTAACATGACAAAATTAATTTCTGAACAAATAAAATTGAAATTTGCACAAAGCAGAAACCAGTAAGACCTCAACTTGAGTCTGCTAAGTGCAAAAGTCTATTAAGTTCAAGAATCTGCTTAATGCAAGTTTCACTGTGGGAGATAAATGAGTGTGGAGAAAGACATGTCGTCACAGTCCATTGGCTTTTAGTCCCCTTTTAATGAGGAATCATTTATGCAGTTTGTAGCAATGCTTGGGATTACAGCAGAACCCAAAGTTTATGGGTATTCTTTCTCACCTGACAACCCAAGCTCCTCCAGCAACAGTTTTTCCACATCCCCTACAATACCAGATTCCCACACATTTCCTTTTCAGGGCTTCCTGGAAGAAGAAACAAGATGCAGGAAGGTTTTATTATTTGTAGGAAATGCAAGTCATTAAAATAAATCTAAGTGCCTTGTGAAAGCATCCAGCTAATTCTGATTTTACAAGTGAAAGCTAATGAGGCACAAAGAGCTTGTAGGCAAGTGAGGCATTATACCTAGTGCTGGTTGTTCACAGGGTGGTTAATACTACCCAGTGGATAAATCTCTATCCAGTTGATGGTACAGTAAGTTGCATTGACACTTGTCTGCTGGATAGCAATTTATCCATCTTTTGAACAACTGGGTCCTGGTACATATTGTACTGTCAAGAATTCTACCTTCTGTCACAATCAGCAATATCAAAATCACTTGTTGTAAATGTAGCGCTAGACATATGGTTAAAAAATGTAGCTATCCAACTCTGATAGCACTGTTTGTCAGCTGTTATGAGGTTTCCTCACTCCGATCACAAAGTGAATGGAGAGAGTTGACATTAACAACACTGACAACAAGCATTCGACTTAATTGTGGTGTTCTTCTTTGGGTTGACATTTTTCATGTACGTAATTAAATGCTTTACGGTAATAAATATTGTAACGGCAGGCTAATCATTTGATCCGATTTGAGAAAAATACAAAACACTCTAGTATGGTGTAAGACCTAGGATATAGAATGATCGCAAAGTTTTCGAGAGTTCTCACACCAACTAGCGAATTTGTATTTTTCTTCGTTATGTCAGACTTACTTTTCCGCAGAAGACACATGTGTACTTCGAGTGCTGGGTGATTTCCATTTTCTTAACCATTTTTCGAAGTGAGGCACCGTAACGAGTACCATACTTTCCTACGACTCCGACCTTCTTAGTTCTCTTTGCCTGGAGAGACGAGCGAAAACAAGTCGTCGATATTACAAAACACTCAAAACTATATATATAGCTAACAAAGACAATAACTCTGCTTTCATGGGAAGCTATTTATTACTCTCGATGGCCTTTCATTTATGAAATAATCCAAGGATTTTTACCCACCATTTCGCTCAGAGAATCGGATTTGCAGTAAAGAGGAGAAAGAGAACCATACGGGGTTTTAGCCTATAATTTATAGTATGACTGTGAACTTTGGCAGCGGTTTTATTTGTACTTCAGTTAAGAACACTTGAAATTATATGGCGCGAGGTACAAATTTGGCGCGGAAATCTATGAAGTGAAGTTTTTGGAAAATGAGTAAGAAATCCGAAGAAGAAGGTATATTAAAAATAAACTGGATGTACGATGTTTCTTTTTCTAGATAAAATTTTGTTCCACGTCTGAAATTGTGTTCTTTGTGTGAATTACAGCGTCTCAAGCGGTGTTGGCGTATCTTACCAAACAGAACCGACCTTATAGTGCAAGTAAGAAATGTCAAACTGAAATATGATTATCTTGCCTCCATTATATAGGATAACACTACTTTTCCTCCGTTTTATACACAATTTTTGTGTAGGATATAATAATTACGCGTCTAAATAAAGACTCCAGATTTCATTATCATTGTTACTAAAGCTTATCTACCTATGTATGTTTTTTTGCAGTTGATATTTTCTCGAATCTGCACAAAGAGTATGGAAAAACGGTAAATATACGCACTTTTGAAATTCTATTTCTGTGTTGTGATTCTTTCATTCTTTAACAGAGATCAAAGGGTTGCAAATAAGATTTTCCCCTCTATTTCCTTCAAAACAACTGCCATAAAATACAATATATACAAACACCCACACATAGTGTGTGAATGAAAGCCCTGCACTCAATTTATTTCTGATAAATTGAAAATAATTGTGTTGCTTCTTTTGATAGGCAGTACAAAGGAGTTTAGAAAAACTTGCTAGTGAAGGCACTATCACTGAGAAGATTAATGGGAAGCAGAAGGCATATGCACCTAAACAGGTGATTACAGTAGTACCTTTGGATCAATATCAGTATCTGGGCAACTGCCCACCTACCCCTCCCCAAACCCAACATTAACCTTAGGTTGTTGTCAATTGACTGTTTTTGAGTTCAGGGAGGGGTAGGATCCTGATATTGATCCGTGCCTTTTATCTGAAAGACTTACAAAAATTATAAATAATTGTTTTTCTGATTATACAAAATGGTTGCTTTTTGCTTTCTTTCCTGGTTTCCTAAGGAGCCAAAAAACCAACCATATGATATGTTTTGTCTTTATTAGTGCTATCATAGTAAGTAAATTGATTTAGTTAGTAACATTTTCAAAATCATTATTTGGTTGTCTGCAGGACCAGTTTGGAGACTATGATGAAAATGAGATCAAGAAAATTGATTCACAAATCAGTGCATGCTCAGAGAAATTGAAGAAGTTACAAGAAACATTGAAAACTCAAGAGTCAGGTAATGATAATTGCATAAGTTTTCTTAATTTGCCATGGTGTAGCATATTTAAAATAAGCAGCTGTCAATGGCAGCTTTGCTGTAAGGGGAAACCCCAAACATAAGAGCCTTCTTGAAGACTAAACAGAGGGTGATAAGAGGTCTTAAAAGTGGAAGTAGACTGCCAGTAAGTGGCTTTTATCGCAACCCCTAATATTCATGAAAAATAACAAATGACAATGATTATCAAGGATGGTGCAATAGTTGTTGGAATTTAAAGGGGCTGTGTCATGTCACTATGGTTTCCTGGGAAAGGCAATTACAGAAACATTCTGTCTAAGTGTCACAATCAAAGCTTCAGACAAGGATATATTTCTTGTGAGCTTTCAATAAAACTAACTGTTAAGCTTAGCTGTTCAACCTCCAATTCAAATGGGTGATAACCTTCTTCAATTTTGTCCATTTGTGTCTTCCTTCATGTTTCCTACATGTTGGCTAATTATTCAAAAGGTGAGAATTGTAGGCAGCATTTTGTATGATATATTTTGCTTATGCTTTACTGTGATTTTTAGGGCATGTATCAAACATGTCATTCTTAACCCTATATGATTTTAGAGCTGCGCAATGTTAACAGTACACTTACAACCAAAGATGCCAAGGCCAAACTATCAGAGCTCACTCAAAAGGTATTAATTTACATGCTGCAGTCAAAGCTGAATGCGAAACTTGTATGCAACAATGTATCTGATTATAGTTATACATCTATTTAATGGTATTTATTTACTACAATATTTGTTATTTTAAGGTGATTTTTTCGTCATTTACTGCTTTTGTTTTTGTCAATGACTGATTCTCTTCTCTTTATAAATAGTGAGAGGAAGAAATGGTGTTTGAACCAATACATGTTTGTCTCAGGATGAGGTCTCTGTCAAGACTGAACTAGATTCACTGTCACATTCTATCCTGCCTAGGAGCAGTAGTATTGGAATAGAATACAAAATTTAAAGTTCCCTTCCCTTTTTTCCTTTTGCAGTGTGACAAATACCAGGAAAGACTCAAGAATATTAAGTCCAGTGAGTTTACTTTTTCTAATTACATGCAGGTGCATGATAATGAGTTTTTTTGCATCCAGATAATTCAAAACTTTTTAATACCTTTTCCTTTTTCAGCAACAAAGCATGTTACTCCAGAGGAAAAAGATAAGGTAATACTTCTTAGATCCTTAAAGTTGTTTGCAGCTTTTTTTTTTTTTTTTTTTTTTTTTTTTTTAAACATGAGAGCATTTTTCTTTCACTTCTGTTTTTATCTGTGATATCCTGTTCTTTAAAAAAGATCTATAAGGATCACAAGCAGTATGTCCAGATGTGGAAAAAGAGGAAGCGATTGGTATGATAGTTTTCTTTATTGACTTGATTTGATTGAGTATAAGTTGTTTTTAAGGATGGGGCAATTCTGTTAGAGGAGAAAATGAAGGAATTTAGTTTGGCAAAAAATTCAGGAGTTACAACCAAGGCACCACTTAATTATCCCAAACCATCACAGAGACAGGATGACTGAGTGTGGTAGGGTGTAGGACTTAAGCTCAGCAGTCCTGGGTTTAAATCTTGCTCTAAACACTTTTTTGGTTTGCTATAAGCAGTCCTGAGTACAGCTCTTTGATCCTCTTAGTTAATGTTCTACTTGTTGTGTGGGCCATGTAATGTAGTGTTCCAGAACACTTCAGAATTTTCTAGAATGATATGTTGTTTACCTTGTTATGCTTGAGTCATGCCCTTAGTCATGCACACTGATTTATTGCTGAAATTTGATGTAATCCTATAGAATGTTCTATGAATAAGCAATTATTTTCATTAGAGTAGCTTATGAAAAGCTGTTCTTGTTATCACATGACAATCTGTCAATTAAAAGTGTGTCACTTGCAGAAGTGTCTATTAAAAGCCACAACTTGAAGATAAATATATTGGTTCACCAGTAATTGTGTAACCCTTATGATGTCAAGTTTTTCTTACTTCTTCCTGACTATTCTCTTTTTTCCTGGAGATCCAAGTTCATTCCTTGCAACCCAGATCAGTGGAATGGCTATAATCACTCAACAACTTTTAAGTGTAATTTTAAAACATCAACTTTGATGTGTTTTGTAATTTATTTCTTTAGGCAACAGACATTTTAAATGGCATTTTGGAAGGCTATCCCAAACCCAAGAAACAGCTTATTGTAAGATGAATTTTCCTTTTTTTATAGAATGATTTTTTTTAAGCTATTTTTTTTGTATTTTATCATTTTGGAGTGTGTCTTTGAGTATGTAAACTAACCAGTCTCTGTAAGTGATGATAGTCAAGTGACTGCAAGACAAAGTTAACCCTTTACACTCTAACATCAGTATGCATATTCTCCACACTGTTCTCTACACATTTCCTAAGGTGGGCATAAGGAGAATTTGTTAATAAGCAAGAGGTTATTTAGTTGGGGATCATTTCTTTTATTCTTGTGACTTTGATGTGTGATTTGGGGGGTGATGTTGTACGGAGAAATTGGATGTTAACTGTGAGTGGCATTCCAGTGACTATCATTTCACTCCCAGGGGTGACCCAGGAGTAAATTCTCTTTTTAATTAGTCAAAGAGCATTCCCTTCCTTTTCAGCAAAGTCCTTTGCACAAGTGAAAAAAAAAATTGATGTTAGAGCACTGTTGGGAGCACCAGGAGTGAGGTGCTCAAAAAGAGAAGACTTCCCCCTTGCTCATGAGATAAAATCCTGAGATTCCTTTGGAGAATAACTTTAGACTGGTTATAAAGGAAACCTCAGCCACAATTTATCATGTCTTTGTTTACTTGCTTTGTAGGAGGACATTGGTATTGAAACAGATGAAGAGTATGGTGCTGTAATCCCAGGCTGTTAAAGGCTTTTTTCTATATGTATTAAATGATTTATTTTCTGATGGCAGTCCAGGTCAATATGATGAATATATTTAGTCAGTGCGTAGTTTCTTCCAATGCTTTACCTCACCCAGTGGCTGATCATATCATTCAGGCAGAATAATATCATATAAAATCTACCGTTATCAAGTATATGGTGCAGTAATACTTAAAGAGTTAAGGATGGTACCCCGTTTATTAGTGAAAACAACCCAATACAGAGAACAGAAACCTTGCACACAACACTCCTTTGTAAATACCTTTTAATAATTAATAGGCATTGTTATTAGTGTAATTATTATTCATAGAACCTTGATATCTTACATTGTTGTAAAATATTTTATTTTGTGAATTGATCCCTTTTCAATATGATTAGTTCTTTCTTTTACTCCCAAAATGTTGGAATCATCATCTTGTGAATGGATAGGTATGCATACTGTGTAATAATGTGTATACCTGTACCCCACAATAAAGAAAGGATTTATGTTAATTGTATACCAAAAAAAATTTTAAAAATTCCAATTTCCTTGCAAATTTTCCAAAAATAAAATTAATAATGCCATTTCAACACCACCTTTCACCTCTTAAATAATTTGTACCAACAAAGTACAGTTAACCTTTAACATTGTATTTTTATTGTGGAAAAACTACTCTTGAAAGTAAAGGAAATAATGTCAGTGTTCAAATTACATCTGTCTGATTATAAAAGGTGCAATCATAAATTATAGGTTTGCAGAATTGTTCATTTAGTTTGTCTCCCAAACATAATCCAACAACTTCATGACGTTTTCATAAAAAGTGAAAACAAAGGCAACATCAAAGACCACTCTGCCAAGACGAGGTACTGTTCCCTTGTAGAACCTGGAAAAGGAGATAAAAGTCTTCATAAGCCATTGTTTGAAAGTACCAGTAGATTTGTTACACTTCATTTTTTATTAGGATTTAGTAACCTATTAACAAAAACCCAAAGTTGAATTTCTATTGTGAAGGGGTTGACCTACATATTGTCCTTGGCTTGTTTAACTAGCAGCTTTGTTTTCATCTTACAAGTCTACAAAAATAATTTTACAAAAATAATTTTTACATACGCTTTCAGTCCTTCATATTTGATAATCCTCATTACACAATCTAAAGTGTTCTTGTACTTGTGTGCATCTAGACCCTGCAAGAGAGATTTCAAGAAACAAAAATGTCTTATTGTGTATGTCTAAATGGTAATCACACTGGTTCCAAGCCAAACCTCAATGACAACATGTAGATACTCTTCAAATAAGTGCCAACGTACAAGAAAATAGGGAAAGCTTTCACACAGGCACTTTGTTGCCACATCAAATTTAGTGACCATTCTTAGTTTTTCATTATTTTGTTATAGACAAGTCATCCGCTAAATGCAACAAAAATTAAAGAAGAAAAACGAGTATCAGCTTGTAAATGTTCAAGCAAACATCTTCAAAAAATATCAGTGTTCACAAACCTGCATCCTTGTTTTAACAACATCAACAGGAGTGTTTCCAAAGACACTGGCTGCCCCTGCAACTCCACCAATGCAAAATGTTTTTATAGAGCCAATGTCTACGCTAGGGTCACCTCCTTGAAGATAGTTCTTCAAGTTGGAATATACAAAGAATCGAATCATTTGATTGGTTCCCTGCTTTATTACTGTGGCTGTTAAACCCTTGTAGACTCCACCAAATCCTAAGATAAAGAAATCAAAGGTCAGCCAAAAGAAAAAAAAAACCTCATTTGGTACACCCATGATCCCAGCTGAGATCCAGTTGAAATGCAGATCACTAGGTCACCTCTCTATGATTGATTACCAGTACAAGTACCTCCTTTAATTGAAATGATTCAATTTAAATGTTACCTGAATAAAAATTCCTCTGTATATCTGAAAATATTTCACTTACCCTCTGTTCTCACAATAGTTCCAACACCATTAAAGAAACCCTTATATTTTGGATTTGGTTGTGTCTGATCATGAATAAACTTGACTTTGACAGTTTCCATTGGACACACTATGATGACAGCCTCTGCAACTCCTGCTCCTAATCCACAAAGGAGGGTTTGCACTTGTGTTAATTTACCCTTGTCATCTACCATGTTATTTTTTAGGAACTCGAACATTGCAAATCTGCAAAATCAATTACATAGCTTTCAATTTAAACATTATTAGACTGCATGTGTCTTTAACCCTTCAACTCCCAAAATCTGATAATCAATTCTCCTCTCTAGCTCCAACAAATTTCCTTGTCAATCAGTTACAAGAATTTGGTGTTACATTAAGATAACATCTTCTAACTGATAAGTTTGGGTCTTCTCATCACCTGTTTGCTGGATACTTTATGGATTTTGTTGGCAGAAGTTACATGTTAATTACATCTTGGTGTTTAAGGATTAAAGTCCACACATTTGTCTATGACTCAATGGACTAGTTGACCTCTTTTGACAAAATAACAAGAGACAATTATCCCTCACCTTACAGATGCTTTTGGTATTGAGCCATACAACAATGAACTAAGACCTCTGTAGAGTCCAAAAAACCCATGATTTTTTACTGTTTTAGCAGCACAATCAAGAGGGCCTTTATACATAGGCTTTGCTGCTCGCTCATCTAGTTGTACTTGGGTTTTTACATACTCTGTTGGAAATGTGCAGCAGATTTCAAGTCCACCTGCAATCCCTCCTGTTCAAAAAAAATATATCACAGAATTAGTTTTTTTCTGTGAAATATTTCAAAGTACAATCTAAAAAAAACTAGTTAGTTCATATATTCTAAACTTATGTCTAGCTTCAAGAAATATGAAGGTATCCTTCACATGATGCACTTGGCCCTCCCTCTCTCTTTCCTTCCCTATGCATTTTACATAAGATTTTTAAAAAACATTAAATGATGTAATTTATTTATTTACTGAAATATTAATTGTCCTTGAGAAAAAGGGGACAAAAATATCAACAAAATATTTTGGAACAGTACACATTTTCCCTAGCAATCAATGTCAAAGTTAAAGTTGGCTTCCAAATTTTTCAAAGAAAATCATCATAATTGTGTCAATAGCTTCATTTCTGACAATGTTCTGTTTAATTTTATAACACAACACACTTTTCAAAATTTCCCAGGCTTTCTCTCTCAACTTTGGACTTTTCATCATTATTAGTTTTATATTCTGCCCCTTCTCATCGGGGATGAGAAGTCACGCAAATCGGAAATTGCGCAATGGGTGGTACGGAGGTGTGTCACTTCAAGATGTTTGTTATATTGATTCTGGGTTCACAAAAAATTCTTGAAGTTTCCTTGACACGAATCACTCTTCTTCCCAACATTTTTTTTTTAACTATGTTAGCCTCAAATGAAACGCTAGTAAGCTAATTAACGATTAATCGCGGAGTGTCAGCCGTTATTAAAGATTTCAACGCATTCTGATTTACGGTATATTGTGTAAAAGCGACCACGTCCACAAGCAACAATCGCACATTGGAAAAATTATTCTGCCACGTAGAAAAAATGTTATCTCTCGATTTCATCTGAACAAAACGAAAAAAAAATCGATATATGTTCAATGATATTTCATAAGGCCCTAACTACGATAACTTTTCGAAACGTCTTCGACGCCTTTCAGTGAAATAAGTCATGAAGCTACTTCGACCTTTGTACTTTCAATGATCTAAGGCAAATTGTAAACAGTAACGATAGAGGGATAGTGCGTCAACGAAAAACGTCCGTTCTCTCTGCGTATAATAAAAACTGAAGCATAAAAATTTAAGGTTCTCGTGTTTAAGCTATAGTATAGTCGCTGAAACATGCCGTAACGACAAATGGTCCCCAAACTTAAACAAAAAGAACACTCACTCTTTAAGCTTACTCAAAACATGTTAGTAGTTCATTGATCGCAAGCACTTGAATATTCTCCCACGAGTGATAGAAGCAAGCTGGTTCAAACAAACAGATATCATCCTTTAAATCTGATTGGCTAAATAAATCTTCACAGCTGACAAACTATAGAAATAACTGCTATAAATAAAAGTGCCTCACCTGCGAGGATAGCTTTCCCTGGATGCCGCTTGCCTTTTCCTCCGCCAGCTGGGGCGGCACACAAAAATTTCCTTCGATAAAAAGTAGCAGGATCGGGCATGGCAGCCAGTGCCCCTCGATTGCTATTTTCTAGAGAAGACATTGTTTAATATGTAACACTAAGCTATAACCTCCCTTTCAAACCTTCCACAACAAAACCTTTCCCACGTGAAACACGAATCGCGAACTAATCTCGGTTAAAGAAGCGCCGCTGGTCATCACCCCAGTCCTCATCCAGTCCTCATGCATGGCATGACCATCTACAGAGGCTCGTGATTGGCTCAAGAATATCTTGTGTTTGTTATTTTGCAATGTAATGTTACTTTTTTAATGTAAATTTACTACAGCGTCACAATATACATGGAATGCTGTCATTTGACGAAAGCATTCAAATAAAAAATTATATCGCCAAAAATAAAGCGAGTTTCAGTGCACGAGTGCCGGTCACGGGTTTATCGACAGCACGCGTTAAAGGAGATATCTGCACGTGCCAACGCATGAAACTAAATTGGGATCAGTCAGCTTAAGAAGAACGGAGAAATGGATAGCGTGTCTTACTTTTTTACTTTTTTAAATTGACAAGACGCGTGACTAGACGACGATAGCTTTGTCACCGAAAAAAATTACATTTTTGAATTCCGTTTTACTGGAGAAGTGCTATAAATAACTGAGAGAGAGTTCAAGTGTTTTCTTCAAACATGAAAAGAAAGTGGGCAAGATGGCAGACATCGTTGATCGGTTCCCTTGTTCACGAACTGACGTCACAGCTTTTAAACAGAGAGACTTGTCAATAACAATTTGTCAGAATTGTTGTTGACAATTGCAACTATATCAAATATCATCTATTTGTACATACTCTTGGCTAGTTAATATTGATCAATATTTTTTAATATTTGTATACGCATAACCCACATTTCATCTTGTCTTGTATTTTTAGTTTGTCGAGCGTTTTTAACATGAGCCTCTGGCTCGGAAGATTGTGCAAACCCTTCCCACGTCTTCGACATTAAATAAAACATTCTATTCTTCCAATGTAAATACTAGTAAACAAGGACCGCCCTCTGAAGGAAACTGCAAAGGACTTTAGACGGATTCTACCTCTGAAGACTTGTTTTCCTTCACTTTTAATTAACCTTGGCCACATTCTTAATCAGACTCCGCAAGCAGTGAAGTTGCGCTGATTTTGATGAATAAAAGTCTAATCTGGACGGTGGGCCATTAACTCTGCTGTACGTCATTAAGAAAGAGACGGGGGTTCCCGTTCAATGGACCGTTTAAAGATCTGCGTCATGACTCAGTTTTTTTCTGACACGAAAGAAAGTTTACCCCGGATAAATGGAAACCATTAAACAAAAGTTATGTTGGCAAGGCGGAAACCACAAAGGTAAGAACAAACAACAAAGGAACGAGGATGTTTCAGGGTAGAGGTGATACGCACGGATTCCAAATGACCTTGCAAATCTTTGAGGTTTTCTTTTCTTTTCAATCTATTTGTTATTTCTTTTCAGTTTTGCGATAATGAGACACAAACACATTTACAATTGTTTATTTCTGTTCCCTTTTTTTTTGGTGGGGGGAAAGGGGGCGAAGAGAAATGACCATAGAAAATACACCGTGCGTCGACAGGTCAGTAGAATCTAAACCTCGCAATGGTTCTTCATGCCGGCTATTGCACATATTTCTCCCGCAAGAACACGTACACGGATCACGCACACTCACGTTTACTTCCACCAAACTCTCTTTACAATTAACCAAATATGCTCACTTCAACAAACGTATCTACGGATTTATATACAAGTAAACTTACTCAGCGGCAAAAAGTCTAACAATATTTCTCAGTGAACATAAACCTGACTGGCTTCAGTCGAGTCAGTCTCTTAATAAAGCGTTCAGCTCTTGCATTTATTCCCAACTGATCCACAAGAACACAAAGTTTACAGGGGAATCTAAAACAATTTCATCATATGAAAGAATTGAGTGACCTGGCGAGGGAGACTAATATACCTATTCTTAATGGACTAGCGCCCTAGGAATACTATAAACACGACTTTTCTTAGATTACTTATCAAAAATGTTAGAGTGGCAAAAATGATGAACGCAAGGCGAGGTTTACTGTCCGTGATTTCGATTTAGTCTCAAGGGTCTAACCACAGGAGATAATACTACAAAGTTTGCCAGGTTGTGCTTCTGGGCGATGCTGTCTACGAAGACTAACATTTCTGTTCTTCAATCTCAGTTGGACAGACTGTCTGTTTGACATCATTTAAACTGCGCATTATAGTAACAAAAGCTTGAAACATGCGTGGCTGGCCTAACATGCGAGGAAGAGAGGAAAATTTATCAGAGTGCAGGATCTAGTAACGAACAAGAAAGAAATGCCCGAATCGAAAGGAGGCCATATTTCTTCAATCTGCTGCGTAAACCGTGAATACCATCCCCGGACTCAACGATTCTACTTTACGCTTTCTCTGCACTCGAATTTACTAACTCCTCCCCTCCACACCCCTGCATAGGCCGGCCCTCCGTTTCAAAGAGATTGTCGTTTTTACCGTCAAAGCTCGCTGATTCTTATGTCGCTGTGAGTCGGTCTTTAAGCCGAATCCCAGCACAAGAGATACAAAATTGAAAATCTGTTTCCCGTGTTCTTGAAATCAAATCTTTGTATCTAATCCAGACGCGGCCGCTCCCTGTAAACAAATAGCAACAGCAAAAAAAACAAAAAAAAAAACAAAAAAAAAACCAGAAATTAATCTTTCAACTTTTGTCAGGATTTCAAAGAAGTGTGGTGTGAAGGGATATAAAGGAAGAAAAAAGAGGACGCCGAAACTGAGGATAGGAAATCTGGGAAATTTAACCCACAACATTTTGATAAAAATGTCTCTATTGAAAACCAGGAACCGTTAACAGAGTATGTATAACAGAAGAACACGGTGGAGTTGGCGTAAACGTTACCTAGACCCTCATAGCAACCCCCAATTCTCCTTTAAATATTAATCTGATGATATTCCATGCTCTCCACACTGGTAATCAAAAAAGGTTCGATTGTGATGTTGATTATAAGCCCCTTCCCATCGCACTAGGAAAAAAAACTTATCGCAAGTTAACATTGCTAATAGTCGTGTCTAACTAAAGGAAAACTTGTCTTCATTATCGCTTCAAGTGTGCTACGCTAGGGTCTGATGCACATCCCACTGTTATTAATGTAATCGCTTTTAATGAAGTTAAATGACCTGCTGTTGAGTTCCCCACATGATGTAATTAGCTTTTGTAGCGGCTTGGTATTCCTCTATCAACTGTTGAACAACTTCTCTGTAAAAGAAACAAAGCATCAAATAATTATGTAACAGGAAGACCAATGCACACATTTATCGATCTGATCTAGAGCGCATCACTTTCGTTTCCCATAAACTAGTTGGGCTCTACTACCAAATGAAGAAGAGGCCCTGAGGGGCCATTTCGTCGCTTATAATCTAAGGGTTTAAACCTCGGAATAACAAACGATTCTTTCTCTTTGCAAGTTCCCGTTTCTCACCTTGAAGCATCTAGCTCGTCGAAGTTGTCCTTAAAAATCTCCTCCTTTTTATAATTTTCCAAGAAGGCTTCCCTCTTCCGAAGTTTATCAAAGAGTCGGCAGTTCTTTTCAAATACCTGTTCACAAATGCGTTGGTGTGAGTCAAAGCGAAATTACTCCTTATTTGATCAAATAAACAGCTAGGTATTTTGCTACATTTCGAAAATGAAAAAAATGACTGAAATCTAATTTGACTTACAGTTGATATACTTGTGTGATTTGCCAACATCAGTCCGCTCACTCTGTGTGCTGTCTGTACATATGGAGATTTTCTTGACAATGCAACCTGAATTTATGAAACAAATTATGTCACAAGGTTTAGCCTTTCAAGCAGGAATAGATGCTCTCTTGATTTAATCAGTTTGTGGATCACATTTAATTATTTGGGGAATGTCACCAAAAGTAAATCAAGATAGAACAAGCAGCATCAAATGAAGTGCGCATACTGTTTCTGCAAGAGGTAGATAGCTACCCCACCCCACCCCACCCCATCCACCCCACCCCACACAGGGCATAAGTCATGTGACCAAGTTAATAATTCAATTTGACAGTGAGGTCAAGTGGAAGGAGGATAAATAAAGGAAAATGTTTAACGAGCTGAATCAGTCATTGGATTAAAATTATAAGTTTTCTTTAGCAAGCAGACCCACCATATATATATATATATATGCTGTTTCTTTTTTCTGCAAACTTGACAATGTGAAAGGAGATCTTGAAATTTTTTAATTTCTTGTTTTTGCAATACCTTGTTTGTCTTTTACCTGAATACTGGCAGGTCCCCATGGAATGAATTCTGCAAGCTTTCTTTCCCTGATCCGCTGTAGACTCTTATGAACCTTGAATACAAAAAACACTTGCTCTTAAATAGCCTTTTCAATAAGCCAAGAAAATGACATCTGATTCAACTGATAAAGTAATATTTATGTACCTGAGTGGGGTCAACTTCGCCTTGGATGATGTTCAGAATGGAGATGTAACAGTGGTTGTGTTTCCTGTCTCTGAGTGTTGACACCATTACATTTTTAGGCTTAAAGAAAGAGAGAGAAATTTCAAGAAAAAACTTAATAAGGAGATCAACTTTATATTCATCTAGGTAAATCTGCTGTTGAGTATATAACTTTTAAAAATCAATAACATCTTTTCCTGTTTGTGATGACAGCTCTCCTTACCTGTAACAACCTCCTCATTACATCAAGGACTGTTGTTTTACGGATGTTAGCCACCTTAAAATCAGATAGAGAAGAAAGTCAAAGGGAATGTAAATGAAAAAATTTATACATTTTTTTTATTGTCATCAGATCTAGCTGAGAGATTATCTTCTTTGCAACCTTTGTTTAATCCCCTTGAGGAACAGTCTCTATTATCATAGAAAGCATGTTCATGATAAGACCTATCAATAAAAAGCTACAAAGGAAACCAGGAGAGATAATATATAGATTTAGCCAAGCCTAAAAGCGGAGCTCACATTTTTTTTCCCCACACATTTCAAGGGCACAATGCCTTGCCCCGGCCAGGACTTGAACCTGGGTCGTCTGACTCAGAGCCCAGTACACTGACCACTGGACTACTGGACAAAGCCGTGGCGTTGGCATGCCCGCGGTACAGTAGACCACGCACGCTAAAAGTAGCACCTTGTACAGTTGTACAGTCGTACATCCAAATTTTTTCGGCTTGATGGGTTACTAATATTTTGTATAATTATGGGGCTGCCCTCTGTGAGCTCCACTATAATGGCAATATAGTTTAAGCTCTCTCAATGCACCCTTTAAGAGTGATGTAAAACTGAAGATAACCTGTAGGCCCCAGTAGTTCAAAAGTCCGATAACACTATCCATTGGATAAATCTCTGTCCAGTGGATAACATTATACATTTTGCTATCACTTATCTACTGGATAGCAATTTATCTGTTGGATAGCGTTATCTGCCCGTTATCCAACTAGGCCCAGAAGACAAGACTCTCATTCAGAAGACAAGACTCTCATTCAGAAGACATAGCTCTACTCAAAGTTACTTCATGCTACATAATCTGGGCCCAGTTGTTCAAATGCCAATTAGTGCTAAAATAGGGTTAAATTTCAATCAAGGTTTCTTTATTCCTTTGTTTAAAAGCCTTTTTGGGATAATTTTCCCTTTTCTTTATAGAGCATCCAATAATCAGATTGTGGACAAAAAGAATTACACTGAATTTTATTCAAAAGCTTTGAGATATGAAATCAGATTTTGCACTAATGGCTATTTTAACTTAGCTTTAAACAACCCAACCCTGCTAACAATGTAAGTCCATCACAGATGCCCTCTTTTCTTAGGGTGTCTGCTTGCAGAAGAATTAGCCACACTGCTTTTATCACTTGTAAAAGACCATTTAACTAAACAGTTAAAAATTACCTTCTGATCAGTAGTAAGTGGAGTGTACCCAGTCATAAGAAAATGTAATCGTGGTGTGGGAATTAGAGATGCAATCAAACCAATCAGATCATTGTTCATGTAACCTGCAACAAAATTTTTATAAAAGGAATGAATGAACAAAATCTACAACCAACTGCTTCCAGTTGCCTTGTTTATTGAAGGAGGTATGCATGTCCAATTTAGCTATAGTATAGCTACATGTTTAGCTGTCTATCTTTTCAATTACCATATTTTTAAAAGGAACGAATCATACTGTCAGGGTAGAGAAAAATTAAGGATTTTCTCAAATTTTAATGCAGGCAGATATGTCTAGAAAGTGGATCACATTGGGTATAACCTTTAAAGTACCACTGTGTCATCTCCTCGGTCATTGACTTGGTAATAACTGATGAGCCTAACCCTTGGCTCATCAACTCATCAGTGAGCCTTAGCTCACCTTGAGATTGTATCAAATGGTGTCAAATCGATTTAAACCCAAGTTAAATTATTCCCTAACATACATAAACATTGTTAGCACTACTTCTATGATTTAAACAACTCATTCACCTGGATATCTAAGAGTTGTTGTACTTGTAGCCATGATTGTAGATACCTGTTACAAAAGATATTAGGCAAATTATAGCTATAAGCCTAGTCTAGAAAGGTTTGATTTTATCTCCTTCCCTCTTTAAAAAACCAAGAGTTCAGGCTCATTGGACCAAAGATTGAAGAGCAGACTTTCCTACAAGACCAATACTTTTTCATCCAATTTCTTTTTCAACAACAACTTCTATCAAAAGGTTTGGCCAACCTGAGTGGCTGAACTCTTAAATGCTGATATAAAATAAATGATGAGGTTAAGGTAAATGCCATGACATACCAGTTGATTTACTTGAGAAAATGTTGGATTTTGTATGTGCAACCTGTCTGCTGCAATTCTGTTGAGAGCTGTATTGTCAAGAACAACCTTTAAATGAAATCAAAATTGTAGTCATCAAACGATAACCCATGGTCCAGAAACCATATAATTTTGAACTCCAAAATCCAAAAGTACTTGTGATACTAAGATGAGTACATTTTGAGATTCAAAACACTAACCTTACTTTTTGAAAATTGTGCTCATATTACATATATGCTAAAATTCTGAGAACAAATTCCTATCCTTTATATCTTGATTCTGCTTGTAACCTGGCAATTTCCTGTACAAGTTGGTGCAAAATATTGTCCATAATACATACCACACAATCTGCATTTTGAGTGAGTCGCTTGAGTGTAAGTATAGAGTTATATGGCTGTACTACAACATCACTAATGTCTTCCTGTGAAACAACAATACACTTATTGTCAGAAATACACAGAGAACAGGAAAGCTTCTGGAAGGTGATCATATTATCCATTATGACATGGATTGTCAAGTCTATCTCATGAAAAAGTGCTCAATGTACTATCCAGCAATTTGTCTACAAACTTAGAGAACCAGAAAAATAATTATTAAGAGACAGTTTTTCACCTGTTGTGGAAACACAGAGTATGTTTGAATCAACTTCTTTGGGAATCTATTGAAAGAAATATTGAGTAAAAATCAAGTTGTGAACTTCTCTAAATTACTCTCACTTTGGAAATATCTATGAGGGCTGACACATGGGCTATGCAAACCTCATTGACACCAATAAAACTTAATTCTACCAATTAAAGAGTCTAGAGAAGATAAAGCAGAAATCGCTAGCTTTGTTTCATTTGCTGTTATGATTTGCATTCCCAAAAAGCCTTTATGTTTAACTGCAACATTAAAATTTTACTGTACCTGTCATTAAGTTTTTCTAATAGATATGATCCCATACCAGATCCTGTTCCACCTGCTATGGAATGACACATTACAAAGCCCTTCAAAAACAAACAAATAATAATCAGTTAAACAGTCCACCAGTTAGTTAGCCATAGGCAAATCAGTTTGTCATAAAGACAGTAAAGACATTCAGCCCCAAAGCTAACAATTCAATCAAACAGTCAGTCAATCAGTTAAGGAAATATGGTTAGGCAACCTGCAAAAAATCAATTTAATCAGTCACTTTAGCAAGTGATTGATTAAGTCAGTCAGGGTGCCAATGACCTTGTTGTTAAATAACTTACCGGTAAGTGTTCAGACAGCCATGTCTTTCAGAATAGAATCTCAGAATGACACAGGAAAAAGAATTAAGTGAAGGTACTAAATTCTACTCAAACAAACATACACATTACCATACCTCTAGACTATCACTCCCATCAGCCTCTCTGTCAATTATATCAAAAGTTTCTTCATGAAGACGTTCAGCCTGACAAAGTAAAATTGAAAGTTTCTTCTTTTTAAAAAATTATTAAGACCAAAATTTGAAAAGGTAATGTACAGTATTCTTGGATGTGTGGTAAGAGAACTGGATCAAGTGCATGGAGCTGGGGCTTGTGGGTGAAATTTCTGGAGAAAAGACTACCTAGTTGTTCTTTGGCTTGACTTTTCATTCAATTTTTTTGATTTCCAATGAAAAATAGCTGATACTTTTAAAACCTCTCTTAAAACAACAGTATACGAAGAATATATTTGCTCCATCCCATCATTTTTTCCACAGGACTTCACTCTGCCCAATTTTCTAGGTCTGTGTCCAAATGTAAGGAAGTAAACATGTGAATAATTAGTCCATCACCTGTGAGTATCCACTGGCCCAATTGTTTCCAGCTCCTCCACCATGCTTTGATGTGTACATATTTTCAGGGTTATACAAGTTGGCATATGGTGATGATGTGATTGCATCTATTACTCTTGGTTCTAAATCTAACAGAACTGCTCTGGGGATGTAGTGTTCATCATCTGCCTACAGAAAATAGAATTAACCCTTTAACTCCCAAGATCTGATTGTTAATTCTCCTCTGTAGCTGCTACACATTTCCTTGTAAATTAGTTATGGGAACTTGGTGCTAGATCACGATAGCAGCGTCTACCTGATAAGTTTGAATATTCTCATTACCTGTTTGCTGAAGAATGTATGGATATTGTAGGGAGAAGTTTTATGTTAATCACTTCCAGGAGTTAAAGGGTTAACAGACATTGCTTATAACTCTTTACACCCTAATATCAGTCCACATTTCCAAAGGTACAAAGGGAATTGGTTTAACAATGAAGAACTGCTTCAGTTGGTGATCACTTTCTCTTTTCTCATGACCTCAATGTTTGATTCAGGGGTAATAATGCTGGGAGAAATTAGATTCTGATCACTTTCGGGGGGTTAAAGCTTAAAATCAGTAAATAACACAAGCTCTTTTTCCATACGTGTTAAAAATATGAAGTAGCTTTTCTTGCTGTACCTGATAGAAAAACACATCTTTTCTGTCAGTTCCATCTGTGGCAAAATCTTCAAGGATTCCATCTTTAAATCAAGAAAGACCAGTTCATAAAAATTTCGAGACTTAAAAAAAAACCCTCGATCAACAAAGTATTTTCAGTCTACAGACCAGTTCTGCAAACAAACTAGATTTCAATAATTAGAATAAAGAAGCTCTCTACGATTAATGGAACGTATACCAATATAATCGAGTTGGAAAACTAAGCTTATATATTTTGACTAATAACTGAGCACCATATTATAAAATTACCTGGTCTTATTCCATGCTCAGCACAAAGCTGCTTCCAAAACTCCATTCCAACTAGTGAATGAAATAATATGAGCTACGTTGAGAATTACAGCTCATAATGAGGTCCATGAAAAAGCTTACGAGTGAAATATCATAACCCAGTGTCCAATATGTACACAATCACTAAATCCAGCTGGTAAAGCTTAGGAAATTATTTTTTAACGTTAGAAATTAAACTCACTTTGATTTCCACATTGTCCAATTTGCAAAGTTATAATTTCACGAGGCATCTCGAGTCAAATTGCAACGGTTCAGAAACGAAAACCTTGACAAGGGCCAAGAAAGTCAAAAATGGCGGCAAATATATCTGACGTGTCAGCGGTAGTCCCAGAAGTTTCCGGGTGGGAATGGGACGGAGTATGGGGTAATTATTTCGGCCAGTTTTTCCTCGTACTCCAATTTTCTAAAATACCTGGAAAAAAAAGTTTTTATATCATCTCTCTAAAATGGTGAAGATTAAAATGCAATAAAAGAAAATTCACAAATTTGAGGCCTCCTCCACTGACCAATCATAGTAATAGAGGGGCCTATGACGGTTCCTATCTCTACCCTCCCCTCCCTTCGAATGTTAATGTTGTTTACTCAGCTGCTGTCTTCCAATGGCCGCGAAAGAGCTCGTCGAGATTTTGCTTCAAGTGAGCGAAAAATCTGCCAAGATTGCGCGAGCATGGCGCTGTCAGGAGGAGCTTTTTGAATTAATGGTTGAGGAAAAAGCAGAGAAGGAGAAGAATGAGCGGTTTGTTCGTGATTTTAAAACGCTGGCCGACGTTCTGGTACAGGAAGTAGTAAAGCATGATGTTTCGCTGAAAGTGAGCTGAATTGATTGTTTACATTATTTTGTGCAATCGTTCTTAAAACAAGAATCTATTCATCATCGGTGTAATTTTTTTTTCTTATCATATAGTTTCCTGAACTGAGAGGCCATATTTTGGGCGAGGAATCCAACATATTCAAAAACAGCTTTGGCCAAGAAATTAGAATTGAGGTTCGAGAAGACTCGGAATCTACTTCAAGACATCTGACTACAGTTTTGTGCGGAAATGAGATTGCTGCTCGACTGCTGGCAGAGCTCATTCATACTGATATCGTTTTGGAAACGGAAGAAATAAAAGTAATGGAGGAGCAGTTGGATTTTGAGCTTCCCCTGAATGAGTTAGGAATCTGGATTGATCCAATCGGTAATATAATTATATTGTAACAAGTGCAATTAAAAATATTTACCTTGGAAATTTAAGGTGGAGTGTATTTTTAGATGCTTTCGTATTTTTAAAATAAGAATTTCTTAAGTTAATTTGGTAAGATTTAGGCACACCCCATACCTCATCATGGATACAGTTCTTGGATAAAAAAGGGTGAAACTTAAAATAGATTGCCTTTGGAACTACGGCTTTGTATTTCAGTAGTAGTATGGGGCTGTGCGGAAATCTTAACGTTGATTTTGAAGTGCATTAGTTCAGGCAAGGATAATCCTGAATTACTGTTAGGCTTAAACGATTTCCTGTTGAACATGGCGTGTTACCCCCCAAAATATCACTTAACTCCATTATGAATAGTTTGGATAGGTACTGTAACTCATATTTCCCCACTGTCATAGCTAATGTTTTGGATATGACAAATAAGAGGCATTTACAAGGGTTTCATTAGGGTTGCTATTGTCCCATACTCCAGCACCCTTTTTGAATCATACACAAACTTCTTTTTACAGATTCTACATCAGAGTACCTCAAAAATTCTCCAGGGAAGGAAGTTGATGGCATTGTAGTTTCAGGTTTACCTTGTGCTACTGTTTTAATTGGAGTATTTCATCTTGAAACTGGTATACCTGTGGCTGGTGTGATCAATCAGCCATTTTCCACGCTAATCCAAGAGAATACAACCTCAAGATGTTGGAATGGAAGGAGGCTCTGGGGAGTAAATCATGCTGGACATGCCTGTTATTCCCTGGGAAATAAAAGGAAATCCAATAAAGCATCAACAGATACCCAAATTAGCAGTACTTTTAAGGTAACAATAAGTGGAAGTGAAAGTGAAAATGTGAAGGAGACTCTAATGTCTTCAGGAATTAGATTATTTCCAAGTTCAGGTGCTGGCAACAAACTCCTTCATGTTATTGATGACAATGTTGACTTCTATGTCCTTTCCAGTGCCTTTTCCTTCAAGTGGGATACCTGTGCAGCGCATGCAATTTTGTGTTCCATGGGGGGAGGGGTGGTAGGTTATAAGGAAGCCCTGTTATTGAAATCAACTACAAAAGAAATTGATAAGATAAGTCTTGATAAGTGTGAACTAAAATACAACAAACCTGATGATGGTATTGCGAAGAAATGGAGTAATAGCAGTGGACTGATAGCTTTTAAATCTCATCAAAGAGTTTTTGAGCTCTTAGAATGTTTTGGTTCATAAGGCAGACAATTATCAAAACAGAAAGAGATATGAATTAAGCCTTTAACCCCGAAGAGTGACTAGTTTCTAATTTCTCCAAACAATATCACCACTTAATCACACATTAATGTCGTGAGAATAAAGGAAATGATCACCAAAAAAAGAAACTCTTGATTGTTAGACAAATTCTCCTTTTGCAGCACATTAGTAAATGTACAGAGAACAGTATGGAGAGTATGAATACTGATGTTAGGGTGTAAAGGGTTAAGAGGTTAGATTGTGTTAATTCAGGTAGTTCTGTGTATTTTCAACAGCCAAGACCAATTGCAGCTTTTATTCAAGTTGAAATAGGTTTGAGCCAAATACTTTTGCAAATTTACTTTTTTGGAACAATTGTTTTTTATTGCTCTTCTGATAATTGCACCTTTGGTTACAGATGTATACTTTGTGTACAAATGTCAATTCAAATTTCTTTTGTTGGCCTATCATAAAAGCATTCTATGTAATGCTAGAAAAAATGCTGGCAGTTGAATTGGCAATTGTACATGCAGTAAACACCCATATTGATGTACAAGTATTGTATTGTTAAGATCAGTTTTGAATTCATATCAAATACATGGGGTTTTGTTAAAGAGCAGTGTTCATATTAGTTAGGAATTATTTATTTTAATGTATTTGAAATGTTTGTGAGAAGTTAGCTGGCATGACTTCATAGATGAGCATAATAAAGTTTCCCATTTATAATACTCAAGACATACAGTTTGGGTTGACTAGCATTTTGTTTCAGTCTCCTTTAACAAGGAATGACACATATATAGTACATAGATAGTAATATAGTTCTTTGTTTATATTATGGGAATCAGAAGTTGACAAAATCTTGAGAAAATCAGTGATATGGTGCTCAGACAAAGATGTGCCTGGATTGCAGAGAGAATTATGATAATAATTATTGTAAATCATAGTTTGTAAATTTAGTAACAGCAATACATGTATATGGGAAATTTTTAATAAAAAGAGGGTCATTTCTTTTTGCAAAGGCACTTGTCATTGTGACACTGTCTGTGATAATGATAATAACAATAACAAAATTTTGGTTGTTTCATAATAAAATTTACCAGATCCCCCTTCAATGACAGTTAATTGGCAGTTAATTAGTCAAATTACTACAAGTCCCCTGTTGGCAATCACTGACCTCCCCCCCTCCCCCACTTCCCTCATGCGATAACTTACTTGATTGAAAGGTGGGAAGTAAAGAGGCCTGGTTCCAACACTGTCAAAAATTTTAAGATGGCGGCTGGCGAGGCGGTGGAACTTAGTCAACTTCAGATACCTCATTTGGAGAATCTGAGGTCTCAGCTTGAAGAGGTAAGCATTTAGTGTTTCTTACAACTGAATTTTACCATTTGGATGCACTTTAAGCAAATGATTCGTTTCACTTAGGAAGTAAAACTGCTGGGAGATTCCATGAGCCAGCTAAAGATCGCCCAGCAAAAGTTTGGAGATTCGAAAGAAAATGTCAAGAAACTTATTAACAAGGAGTCAGGTGAGCTCTAGTCTTTCAAAATATTAAAACGACGTATTTTATTTTGTCTTTTGCCCGTACTGAATGACTTTTTACAAATTTATTCAACAGGAAAACCTATTCTGGTACCACTTACAAGTTCTGTATCCTTTGATCCGCGCATAACTGTTCTTTCGCTATCCAAATCTTGTCTTCAACGACAGTTCTTCTCTCAGTTTCATTAAAGAGGTAGAGATGTTGACCGATCTCAGGTTTTCAAAGTGAACACTACCTTGAACCCTTCAGAAATCTAATTCCAATTCCAATACCACGTGTGATCACTCATATAGGGCTGTTCATGCTAATGCTTTGATTTATTTCCAAAATCAGATCTCCTTTGCATATTTTTCGCCTGTCTTTGTATGTTAGTTACAAATTAGCCAAAAAAAATTGTGTCATAGCATGGTGACTACTGTTACTAGATGAATTTAATTAATCCAATGATCAAAGAATTGTTCAATAAAAAAATTGTGCTTGGGTGGGACATATGAAGGCAGGTTTTTCCAGATTTTGTCTAGATTTTGTCCAGGAGGGCAAGAATTTTAATAAATTAATCTTCTTAAGTTCAAATGCTTGGGGTTGTTTGGGAAGAAAGTTTAAACTTCAATTTGATCGATGTATAAGGAGAAGTCATAAGTTATTAATCCCTTCTTGGAGTGAAAAGACTTACAACAGTTAACAACAAGGTAGTATGGATCTAGTCAGTCATTTGACTCCATGTGGACTCTTTCCATTAATTAATCGCAATCTGTAAGGTGACTTCACCAGAACAGACTAGTGTGGTCCTGTTCAAATGCAAGGCCTTATAAATCCATCTGCCTTTATAGATCAGAACCATTTGAAACCAGCACTAAGTAAGGAATCCAATGTAATCTATAAACTTAGACTTAAAGTTGCAGACTTGTAAAGTCAATTTATCCTTAAGTCACTTCAGATGTATGTTCCTGGGACTCTTGAAAACACAACATCAGTTTTAGTAAACATTGGAACTGGTTATTTTGTAGAAAAGGTAAGTACAAGAAAGTTGTTTTTCCCTTTAGATGCTATAAACCACTGGAAAGTCTCCATTCTTTTTTGACTTGTTCATTTTAATGCTGCTTAAAAACTTCCTCTTGTATTTTTTTCAAACACAGTCTTGACAGATTTTAGTAAATTTAGCAATATTCTTTGAGCTAAAATTGTTTTCTTTTTCCCAAAAGAATAGAAATTCAAAGTTTAAAGTTTTCTTAGCTTTTACCTTAAGTATGAGTTATTTATTTCTTTGTTTTATTTTCTTATGTTACATTTAGGGATTAAAGGAAGCCGAGGAATATTTTGGAAGAAAAGTGGATCTGGTGACTAAACAGTTGGAACTACTGCAACCTAAATTAATAGAAAAACATAAATTAAGACAAGGTAGTCCTCTATGATGCTTTCTTCTTATTTTCCTCATTGTAGGAATGATTATTGTATCTTCAACATTTTGATATTGTACATTATGGTTTGTTTCAAATATCTGTATTTAGAGATTCCTTAACCTTTTAAATGTGATTTATTTCATTGATCTGTGTTTTTACCCTTCTTAACCATCCATAAGTTGTGTTGCCATCTTTTACTGTTGATATATGACGTCTTCACATAGATCATAATATCTAAAACCCAATTTTTTACACTTATATAGTTACTGGTTATTTACAAGAAGATTGTTTCTTTCTTGGCAGCTGTTCAGGATATGCTCAGTGCAAAAGTTCAAGCTCAAGTCCAAGCACAGTTAGGAGCCATTCCAGCAAAGACTTAGATAGTCACATCAACAAAACTTATTTGTCTTAAACTTTCGATCAATGCTTAGGGGTAGATGTGAGCTGGAGTACCTTGGAATGAAGGAGTTCTATGTAACTCTTCTCTTCTGGGCTGTGATAAGAATGTTTAATGTGTTTCCCCTTCTGATGTGCTTATTCAACATGTATAACATAAACTCTGTAAGTTCTGGTTTGGTACTTTCTTTTGCGTTCACATTTTGCCGCAGGTATATTATTTTTAACCCTTCGAATGTGTGATTTGCATTCCTCCCTTCAAGTTGTTGTACATTTCCTTGTTAATTAGTAATGAGAATTTGGTGTTACATCTAATTCAAGCAAATATCCTGAAACTGTTAAGTTTAAGAGATCTCGCTACCTATCTACTTGACACTGTAATGATATAGTACAGAAAAGTGAACATGTTAATCACTTCTTGTAGTTGAAGGATTAAATAGCTCTTATAAAAGGTTTTTAGATGATTGAAATTTGATCAATTAAATAAGTGATCATTTATGAAGTCATGCAGTTAAATTTCATAAGCTGCTAGAGTGAATCAGTATACCTTGTTCACTATATGCTAATGAGTTTGTCACAAAATGATATTGTGAAGAACAATTTAGAACAGATTTGAATACATCAATCCCTCAAGTGTGAAATAGGTCACAAGAATATTAGATGCATGTTGGAATTTACTGGACTGTACAAAACAAGTGTTATTCTAGTTGAGGACAAGCCATGAACATTCTGTGGTGCCAAAAGGTTATAGATATCCATGTATATGTGTAGGTCTTTTGAATATACTTACCTTTTTGTTTATTTTTGTTACTTTACATCACTACCACCCTACAATAATCACCACCCTTTGCAGCATTGCTTGATTGAATAAATGTTCACAACTTTCCTTAATTGTTCTTCTGATTAGCATTTAGTGAAAATTCATTAGCATATATTAACAAACAGGTTATACAAATTTACTCAACTGGCTTCTGCTTAGATCAGAAAGGAGAATCTTGACAGAGCATGGATTGATTTATCTTCACTGTGTGTTGCTATGGATGACATTCTTTACAAATTTAACCACTGTAAAAGAACAACTAGAGTTTACAGGTAATATTTGGTAGAACCCAGCAGGTTTTAACTTACTCTCATCAAATCATTTTTATTTATTAGACTCCTGTAGACCAAGTAGTGGACTTTGTAAGATCATCAAGTTAGAATGATTTTTAAGTGTGTGCAAAGTTTGGTTTCCTGAAATGGTATTGACAGGTGCAGGCCAATTTGCTATTTTTCTTTTCTTTTTAGTTCTTTCGTTTTAGCAGGTTAACCAACAGTGTAAGACATGATCAAAAGTAAGGCTATCAATGCCAGAGTTTACTTGTTTGTGAAAAGCACAACAACACAGTGATACGCCAGTTCTATGTGCCATATGAGCTTTATTACATTAGATGTTCATGCAGTGTAATATGAAGAATTTAGAAACTGAAATAAAAAAAGCAGAAAATTTTTTTTTTAATGGTTAGTTCTTTGAACATGCTGTACACTGTGATAAAAGGTTTAAGTTTTTAGGTAAACTATGTTGCTGCATCAGTGGGGAGTATCACAAGATTGTTCAGTTTCATCAACTGAGTTGATAATGTGAATGAGCCACTGTGAACAGTTTCTAAAGCTGATGTTTCAAGCATCTTTTAAGCTTCGTTTTGTGCTCTGATGTTGGGCTGAAAGTCACCGGGAAAACAATTTTCTGAGAAATTTAGGCCACAATAATTTTCAAATATATTGTTTCAAAAGACAAATTGCTTATTTAAACCAAACACACAACCTCATTTGCGTGGTTTTTTGATAAATATTGTTATTTATAAATTTGGAAATTCTGTTTAGACAAAAATTTATTTTCATAATTTTTAACATTCTTTGTGTTTGTAAAATCTAAAAACTGCATTGTTATGAGTACTACTTTCAGGTTTGTGTTTAAAAAAAACCCAGGAGCCAATGGTATCCTGCTTTTGTCATTGATTTTGACTTCAACTTTCTCATGACTTCTGCTTATAATAGTATGCACTGATAGTAAGCCTTGATTATCAGTAAAGCCTTCTCTTTCTGCAAGCCATTTGTTTTTTGAAACAATGTGTTACCATTGAAATGCCCTTTTAGTAGTTTTGAAGGGAGGATTAGTATTGCTATGAGACATTTTTAATGGTTGTTTTTTGCCATCATTAGGGAAATTAAATGAAAAAAATAAATGAATAGTATACTGGCAAAATCCATGAACTTAATATATTATTGTACCATGACTGATTCGACATGGGTGGCCCCGTAACGTTTTGTTCTACACATTTTACGCAAAAGAATTATTCCTTTATATTTAAAACCACAGGAAAATTGGTTGCTATTTTGATTTTGTCATAACAAATCCGTAGAGCTTATTTTATTGAATGGAAACCTTATTTGCATATTTTTTCATAAATTATTACAGTAAAGTTTACATTTGGCCGATCAACATGGCAACAGAGCACTATTCATCGAGAACATTGATTGCTATCCATTTATGACGCACAAAATTACCCAAACTCAATTTCGTACCTTGTTTACTTCGAGGAAAATTTCCAGTTTCTTTAACTATCTACTCGACAAGTTACATCTGATCGATTTGCTTCGCGGAAAGACATCAGTAGTTTTGATTCTTCATTTGACATAGAGACGTGACGCTTGGTTGTTACAGCAGAAATGTCGGACGGAGAAGCAGAAAACGTCAAGGTGGCCGTTAGAGTGAGGCCTTTTATATCCTTTTAACGACGATATAATCCAGCTAGTCCTAATGCAGCCAGTGCGACAAAGTTTGTGTGTATCTGGTTGTAGGACGTGTCAACGTAGCTGTTAGTTTATCCTTTCGAATAGTTTGACATCCCATATTAGATTATTATATTGGCCGTATAATTTTTTATATGGCACTCCACATTAATTTTTCCTCGCCCACTAAGAACGTTATTATCATCTTATTTCATTACGTTCTAACTTTCATGTCTAGATGTTTGCACAATCGTCACACTTGTTTTTTTTTTCGTGTACGCAACAGTAGGGCATGAATAATATTGATCTACCGTCTCTGACGGTTTGCTGTTCACCAAAACTTTCTAAACGATTTTCATTTAGACTGCTTCTTATTAACAAAAGTCACAGTGAAGTGAAGTTTGAAGCACAATACGACCAGCGTTAAAAAACAGCTGGTAAAGCAAGGTACAACGTTTTACCAAGTATCTTGGATTGTGTGACGCTGGTGAGAAATCTGAACCAAGGTCATAATGGACTACAATAGATTTGCAACTGAACGAGGGTAGAGGAAATTTCAGAAGCACTACACTTCCATTCCTCTTGATTGTAGTGTTTATATCGCAACTCAGTTAAAGTTTAAATAAAGGATCGGAGATTTATTTTAAAGTTACTAGGCTGGCCGCTCAGGGTTCGTAATCCACTCGAAGGAGACCATTGTAACTCCGTTAAAACGTCTGCACTTTTCTCTACAGTCTGCTAGTGATAAGCAACAAATTAGCAATCTAACAGCTTTCCTCAAGCTGGAGCTAGCGATTTCCTTAACACTTCACACAATAAACGTGAAAAGGCCCGAAATGCAACTTTGATAGTTGAAATGAAAGGTCAAACAACGTACTTAACAAATCCAGAAGAGCCTGGTGAAGAACCCAAAAAATTCACGTTCGACTACAGTTATTGGTCTCATGACGGATTCGAAGAAAAACCAAACGGCTACCTGGGAGCTACCAATCCAAAATATGCTGATCAGGTACTACAGAAAACAATTATTTTGTCAGAAGTGTGATCTTATGAGAAGACTGATGTCAGGCAGTACAGACGACTCAGACAATATCGAGGGCTCAATGAACACATCTTATGAGAAGACTGATGGGGTGATTCTCTCAAGGATGGAGGCCGGCTGCTCCTTTCTTACCAGTAGGCTGGGAAATCATGACCTGTGGAAATCAGAATCATTCCTCAAGTTATGGGAGTGTCAGCTCCCCTGACCCCATGCATATGCCTGTCACACTGCTTCTTTCACTATGACATTTCCTTGCGGTGCAAGGACAGACTTATGGCAGGGGGTCTTGTGACCACACCCCTTTTTTAAAAGGATTTTTCCCTTTAATTCAGTATTTGATGTCTTGGTGTGCTATTGATGTGGATCTTCATTTCAGCTACTCTTTGTAGAAAAAGCATCACTCAAAGTCTGATCCTTTTTTCCTCACACAAAACTCTAAACACAATCACACAATCACAGACAGCCACAGAATTTGTAAAAAAAATTTGTTATAGAGGAGGGGAGATTGACAAAGTTAGGGGAAAAAAAAGGCTTCAAATAAGATTCAGACCTTTTGTGCCACATTTGACTAAGAGATTGTCTATTGATTTTATAGATGAAAGTGTATAATGATCTTGGTAAAGGAGTTCTGAAAAATGCTTGGGAAGGATTCAACACGTCACTCTTTGCCTATGGACAGACTGGTTCAGGGAAATCTTGGTCAATTGTTGGATATGGTACAAACAAAGGTAACATCAGTCCATTCTCTCTTTCTTTTGCTTTGCTTTTTTTTTTTTATTATTATTTTTTTGGTGTTATTGACTTAACATTTACAGCATCTCACTTTTATTCACCTAGTTTTGATTTCTACTGTTTTCCCAGTTCATTACATTCAATTTGTCTTATTTACAGGTCCTTTAAAGGTAGAATCCTGAACAATGGTTGATTGTCAAGTCTAGTAGTTACATCTCTTTAGTAAGGAGAATATTGCCCCTGTATGGGAAGTAATTAATTCCAAAACAATTATTCTACATTTGATTACAGGCATTGTACCAATCTTTTGTGAAGAAATTTTCAAAGGAATTGATGAGAAAAAGCAAGGAGGAGATGAGGCACAATTTGAGGTACTGTTTAATTTCTTAGAATTTTGGCTAAAGATATTACACAAATTTGTGGTTTATCTGAATTTTAAAGGAAATTAAGTAACCACCATTTTAAGAAACCAGTTTTGCCGCACCTGTTGTAGTGCTGAGACCACCAAATGCTACTTTGACATCAATCAGGCTGCCACTTATGTATTTATGTACTTATTTGTATGACGCTGCTGAGCTGACTTTTCTGCAGGACACATAAGTGTTTTCCTTGGAAATGCCAACAGCAGGATTTATTTGTCAATAAAACCCTGTAATGCAAGAGCATGCCTGGATGGATGCCATACCATAACTGATCTCAGAGACTTCTGACATAATGTATACAAAAGATTTAAGAGATCAACAAACTCTTCAGGAGTAAAATATTGCTCACAGTTGATGTTAAATTGCAGGTGTTTTTCAGTATGCTTGAAATCTACAATGAGAAGGTGCGTGACCTTTTGAACCCTTCCACCAATAAGGGTGGCTTGCGGGTGCGCCAACATCCTTCAAAAGGATTCTATGCTGACGGACTTAAGACTGTGCCTGTTAGTGAATACAAAGATATTGAAATGCGCATGGAGGAAGGAACAACAAACAGGACTGTAGCAGCCACAAACATGAACGCAACAAGCAGGTATGTAATCTAAAAATCTGTTGTGGGAGGAATTTTGAATATTCCTTCCATGGAAAACTTTTACTGTTCCAAATCCCCATCATGTGGCCAAAAATTTATCATTTCTTGCTCTGGTGAAGAATGCTCTTGGTACTCGTATAGCCCAGGACTTTGTCTTCATGAAAAAATCCATCATACTGGTTTACATATTTTTCATTCATGATTTAAATTAATTTAATTTTGAACTTGTGAATTTTTCAGCCGTGCACACACTATAGTTGGTGTGAAATTCGTGCAAAAGAGGAAGAATGAGGCTGGGGAGGAGACAGCTAAAACATCTCTTATCAACTTGGTTGACTTGGCTGGAAGGTCAGTGGTTTTTTTTTGTCTTTGAAACTATTTTGCCTGTTTCATAACTTACCCAATAAGTGAGGTACAAAGGTCTTACCAGTAAATGGGGTATGCATTCTTTTCAAGAGTTTTTTATGTGGGTATCTGCCAACACCTGCAAATCAAAAGCTACAACCTTATTAGTCTTGCCAGCTCATATCTGCAGACAGATCTCATCTGCCTTATAAAAAGTAGAATAATGTGCAGTTTTAATTTACAGCAGTGCCATAAGTTTTGCTTTTTTGAAAAAGAATTAAACTGACAATATAAGCAAAGTAAACCTAAACAAATATAGGGAAAGAAAGGTCCCCTTCATGAATCATAATTTCTCTGAAATCCCTAATTTTATATGAAAAAATACTGGAGACAAGGTTTTATCAACTCTTCAGGAATCCTTTACAATTTTTGGTTGTCTCAAGATATGATCTGGTCCTTTCCCTTACTGATCCTGATTCTTTGAAGATAAAAAAATCCTACACCTCTGACTCCAAAAGAGTTGGCCCATAGATGTTGCTGTACCAACAATGATGTTATCTGTAAGTAATATTGCCAATTCAAAATTATCTTGCTGTCAATAGTGAGAGAGCAGATTCTACTGGAGCAACAGGAGATAGACTGAAAGAAGGAGCTGCCATCAATCAGTCATTGTCCAGTTTAGGAAATGTTATTGCAGGTCAGTAATGAACTCAAACTTATAAGCTGATGGAAACAGGGGGAGGGGGGGAGGGAGGGTTGGCAAGATGTTTCAAAGGTGGGATATGCGGTGAGGCATGAACAACATATTGAAATTTTGGAGCATATCAGGAAGTTTTATTGCTATAAGTCAGTGGTTTCTCACACCAGAAGGGATGTCTCAAGCACTGTAAGACTCCTCATATAAAATTATTCTTTAAATTTTCAGATATTAATTTATGTTAAATTAGTTACCAGAAATAGGGAAATTTTTAGAGTAGCAATTATTCCAATCCTATGTCGTGAGACAAACAAATGACTTTAATATGAAACTATCTTAATTAATTCTCACTGGTAACTCATTGATTAAATTTCAGCTCTTGTAGACAAGGCCAATGGGAAAAATGTCAGAGGTAAAGCTATGATAATTTTATTCAGTAATGCTCTTTAGAGATCGTTATACATTTTTATCATCAACAAGAATTTTATTTTCAGTTACTTACAAGTATTTGTTTTCAATTTTACAGTTCCATTCAGAGATTCAGTTTTGACAAAACTTTTGAAAAACGCTCTTGGTGGCAACAGTAAAACCATGATGGTAAGGAATGAACAATTCCATTTTCAAACTTGGCTTGTTTAACCCCATAGCCCCTAAGAGTGATTAGCATCTAATCTCTCCTTACTATATCACCCCTGAATCAAACACAAAAGTCAAGAGAATAGAGGAGAAGATCACCATCAAGCACCTCTTGATTGTTAAACAAATTCTCCATGTCAGCCTCTTTGGAAATGTATAGAGAACAGTGTGGAGTATATGCATACTGATGTTAGGGTGTAAAGGGTTAAAGGTCCTAAATTAATTTTACATCTCATCAAACCAGATTGCTGCCATCAGTCCTGCGGACATAAACTATGATGAAACTCTCTCAACCTTAAGATATGGTGAGTTTTATGCTGTCTTCTTATGCCTTTCTTATTGAAAGATTTTATAGACCTCAAGGTCATTAGCCTTTTGGCTATAAAGTGCTGCCCTCTTTAAATAAAGAGTGTACTTACTTACTTACTTAAACTAATTTATGAGCGCAAAATCATGCAAAAAACAAAAAAAGATGATCGGCATAGGCTTTTTTCAAAGAACTTATTTCAAGACACCAGTCTAAGACTCTTTTTTAGCCATTGTTTAGAATCTTGGAGAAAAATTAAGTTTTCCCTTCCTATGCCACAATAATTTTGTGATCATTTTTAAAATTACGCAAAACGGTGGAAACAAAATTTCTATAACGTTAATTGTGTACGAGTGTTCTGATAGATCATAACAGTAGAACATATCAAAATTCAACTTCATAATTCTATGACAGCTGACCGTGCTAAACAGATCAAAACATCGGCGAAAGTCAACGAGGATCCTACAGAGAAACTGATCAGGGAGTTGAAAGAAGAAAATGACAAACTCATGGAAATGTTAAAGAAAGCTCAAGCAGGCGAATCTGTGAAGATATCAGCCGACGATGACGATGATGACGGCGAGAAGGAAGGATTGTCTGAAGAGGAAATGGCCGAACTCAGGAAACAGATTGAAGAGGAGATAAAAGCATCTATGGCACAAACAGAGCAGGAAACACAGGACATGAATAAGAGTTGGGATGATAGAGTTGCTGAAAATAAAAAGGATATCAAGGTGGAACATTAACTGTTCTGTATTAGATTATTCAAATAGTGTTTAATTCGAATCATTGTGGCCACAATTTTGTTGCGTAAATGCCAGCAGGCTTCTTGACACCGCGATTACCTTCTTGGTGGTTACACAGAGAACATTTTTTGACCAGAGTTGTGAAACCAAACTAAAGGTATTGCTGTACAACAGTTAATAGGAACTCAACGGGCATCAACGGGCGTGATTTCATTTCGCTGTTCTAGGATAGTAGCCATTTCACTTTGACAAACTTTGTAATAGCCACCTCCTCAACCAATCAGATGCATAGTTAAAAAACCAAACGCGAGTACCCGACGCGTTTTCCCGCACATACTCTTGGGAAAGCTTGCTTGTTTTCTTTGTGGTCTTATTTAGCTCTTTCTGAATTTTTCGTTTTTCTGACTCGCGGTTTAGTTCACTACTTAGTTTTGGTTTGACAACAATATTAATCGTGAAGAGTACTCTATGAGCATGATACCTCTCAATAGTAGTACATTTGCGTATTTGTTTTTTCGTTCTGCGCATTGATAATTTTTGTTTATTTCTGACGTGTTTCCTGTGCGTTTCACCTGTTTTCCATCAGGATAAAGAAGCTGAAAAGAAAGAACGTCAGTCAACTCCTCATCTGTGGAACTTGAACCCAGATCCCCAGCTGACGGGAATGATTGTGCACATGGTTAAATCAGGTATGCTATATCATCTTGAATAAAGGTTATGGCACTTTTCTGCTTTCTGTGATCTCAATTTGTTTTACTTTTCAAATGCTAGGAGTCGTTAAAGTCGGCAACAAAAAGGGTGATCCGCCAGCAGACATTGTTCTTCATGGATTAAAGTAAGTTGTCTTTAAACATTGTCGGATATCAGCTTTCTTTACTCGACAACTTAATACACCGGTTTAGTAGAATGAGATTCGTTCCAGAAATTGCAGTAGGGCGGGGTTCAAATCCCTAGGGAGGAGAAATCTTCAACATCTTTTGTACCTTCTTTTTCTGGAGGACTACTCGTAATTGACATCGAATTACGATAAATATTTCTCATCATGTAATTACCTAATTTTTACCTATTTCCATATCCGTCTTGGTTGTTTCCATTTGTTTAGCATCCTGAAGCAACACTGTGAAATTAAAAATGAAGGTTCTAAAAAGATCACCATCAAAACCTTTGGCGAAGCTAAAGTCCTTGTCAATGGAGAACCGGTTGATGATGACGAAGAAGAAGAACTTCACCATCTGGACAGGTAACACCCGCTACAATGATGGGATATGTTTGCAGAATTTACGATCGTAATACGAGCTGCAGGGATCAATGTCAGTATATCTGAGCAACTGCGCGCCCGCCCTTCCCATAAACCTCTAACCAACCTAACTCCCCTAACAACTGGTAACAAGTCATTGTTAATTTTGGGGTAGGGGAAGGGTAGGTGCGCACCGGTCAGAACTGTTCATAAAATGCAATGGAGTGTTCAGCGCTAGACAATGAAGACGATAGTTCAAAACAGTCACAATCCTTCTAGTACTAAGAGCACCTGAGAGAGCTCAACCTCGCACACCTTTACACGCAGGTGATGCCGGAACTATTAGGTGTGAGACGGGCATGGAATAATTTGACAACGGAACCTGACTCTGACTTTAATTTCCCTGCGTCTTACATGTGTTTTTTTGGGTGTGTCTGTAGAGTTATGTTTGGCACAAGTCACCTTTATGTCTTTCATCATCCTGCTGAGGCGCAGTCGTCTTCTTTGAAGCAGGCGGACATAACATATGAAATGGCGCAGGAGGAAATCGCCAAGAACGCCGGACTTGACGTGGATGATCAGGAGTCAAAAGGTGAAGAAGATGTTGAGTTGGGTAGCTATTGATTCCGGTGGATGAATCAGTCAGTCCATTTGACAGTGAAATGTAATGTCAGTTGATCAGTCAGTGAGTCGGTCAGTCAACCAGTCAGTCGGTTGGGTGGTCAGCTGGTTTGTAAGTTACTCGGTCAGTCAGTTAGACAGTCGGTCCGGATGTCAGTTACTCCTTCATTCAGTCAGTAAATCAGTCAGTTTATCAGTTAGTCGGTCGGCTGTTAGTCAGTCAGTCAGTCGTTCATCAGCCAATTAGTTGGCTGTTCATCGTAAATCGAAGGAAACATTTCCAGCTTTAGAAATTCACTCCCTGTTGCCTTCATATATTCAGAAGCAATGTTGTTACGAGAAGATCTGGCAGATCTGATGCCGATGGTAAATGAAGCAAATGCCATCAGTCAAGAGTTGGATAAGAAGGTACTAAAAAAGAATCTCCATTTTGTATCTTACAATGCATGTAATACTGTGTGGCTACATTTGTCCAAAGGAGCCTCTAAGAAATCGTCATGAGTCTGATCTCTTTCCCTTATTTTCTAGGTTTCGTTTGAAGTCTCCGTTGTCTCTGCCAAGGCTCGCGGACTCCCCGAAGGAAGACCCGAGGTACATTCTCTTTGTGTTATTTTGTCAATTTGTGAATAACAGTGTGACACCGTTTATGTTGTCCGCTTCACACGATAAACTCATCTTGAATTCTAACATTATGCAACAAGGAATTCGCAATGCATGATGTTTTATTTTCTTTTTGCGTGCTAGCCATACGTAGTCATGCGGGACTTACAAACTGGCGTCGAATACCTCTGGCCAAAAGCCAAGTTTATCAACAGGAAATACGTCATGGACGAAATGTACGAAAATTTCGAAGACGGCGATGATTGGCAGCTCGAAGACGAGAAAGATCCTTTTACTGAAAGCCCGGATGTCGAGAGTCTGATTGGCTGTGTGGCTGTTCCTATGCAGAGTCTGGGATATGTGGTAAGCATGCCCTTATTGTTTGCTGTAATGATCTGTGTTATTTTCCCTTATTTTTAATTATCCTGGTTCCTTTTTCTGTAGCCGTAAAGCCTAAATCAAAAAAATACCTCGGAGTCTCCTGCCTTGCTTCTTATTTTCACCCTTCCATTTATTTTCGTTACAACTTGATTGAATCGCATCAAAGTTGATAAAGTGACCGATTGACGATAGACGAGGACATGGCCGGACCAAGAAGATTTTTATACCGTCTTTTAGATTACTGAATGCCGTGCACTTGTCACTCAAGTTACTTAAATCATTATTAAACATTGCCTCAATTCGTTTTCAGAAGCTTCTCATGTTTTCCAAACGTCTGATTTTTCGTTTTAAGGCAAACATGTCTTGATTTCTTCTTGTTTCCCTTTCAGCTTGATATGAGAGAACAGCTAAGTATCACTGATTATAAAGGAAAAGAACTGGGCTATCTTAATGTAAGTACTGTCTCGCTTTCTTTTTTATTCCAACCCGATCCCCTTGCCTTCAACATGGCGTCTATGGCCTCTTCAGCAACTTTGAACTTGGCATATCTGTGTCTTTTCCCGTAGGTAGAAGTCGTTCCTTTAAACGAAAATGGAAAAGAAATCACAGAAGAAGATGACATCTTTATTGACGATCCTAGTCAACTGGTAAATCTTTCTAAATTCTTAACTCTTAACCATCTTTCTTCCGCCTTGGTGCATTACTTAGTCTTTTCTGTTTTTCTCACCCACCGATCTTCAGTCATCGATAGCGTTAAAGTTGTCTAAGACGTTAAAGTCGTCTCGAGAGCATAAAAACGGCCGTTGTAAGGAATTGATAACTCATGCAAGAAAAGAGGATTCTCAAAAGATTTGACATTAAGCTCCTGGGGTGAACAGCTGAGGAAATTTGAAATGTGACAGTACGTGTTTCTCTTCTACAGGAAGGTAGAAAGCTAGTGTTTGTGGTGCGAGTGCAGAGTGCAAAGGGAATTCCAAAGCGCTACACGGTAAGATCTAAGTATTGATTTCCGTTTTTACTGCTTAGATTAGACAAAGGGTGACATCAGAGAGATTTAATGGGAACTGGTAATTAAAAGTTTAAAAACTTCGCGGGGAAAAAGGGAAAATTCCTTAAAATGTGACCCATAACTACTGGACCTCACCGGTTGAAGAATGCAAGTAGGATGTAGTCGAAACATCGTGAACCACATCAGAAGTTACTTCATCGTGAGACGATTAATAACACTTCGGTGTTTTTGTATTTCACCACTTTTTATATATGACTGCTGCCTTTTAACGATATCAAGACTCTCTTTTTCTCAAAACAGGACGTGTACTGTAAATATTCCATGTACCTTGAAGCGGATCTTAAGACGGAAGTAAAATCTGGAACAAGGAATCCCGAATTTAACTACGAAAGAACTTTCAGTTTTGAGAGAGTTCCACCGAAGGTAACTCAAAGTTTTAGGAGCCTCAAACTGAATGCTTCCTCTTTCAATTCCACTTTTGAAACTCGAGAACCAAACAGTTTTATAGGTACAATGTACCATTTGAAAGTGCTTCTCTGTACCGTTCATTTTAGGGTTTCATGAACTGACTTTAAAGTTAGAGCCACCTTGTACAGCATAATAAACTGTACCACAAGAAATACAGAAAGTAGCTTTCGTCTACATGCTCACACACAAAGGTGTCATCCTTACCATAGACGGAGAAGTTAAAATTACTTGGGTAAGGGATGCCATGATGTAATGCGGTTGCAGAAGATTGCTGTCATTTCGAAACTCCTGGGACTGGTTAGCCAAAATGGTGCACTATATTCGGAGTAGAATGACAGTCTGATATTCATGTAAGCATAATTTTCCGATGACGGAAATCTGAGAAAGTAGTAGCGGAGCTCGCAGCGCTCGTAGCGCGCGCAGTGTAACTCCTTACCTGTTATTCTTACTGTATCACTCAAGCCCTTTTTATTGGTCACATTGATTTCTTTAGTAGGGAAAGTGAGATTAAAATAGTCACATCACTTCTCGTTATTCCTTTTCAGTTAATCCAGTTTCTGAAAAACAAGGAGGTCATTATACAGCTCTGGGGAAAGCAAGTGGTCGACATGAAACCGGTCAACAAAACTGCCAAGAAAGGAAAAGATACCAAAGCAATTATGAGAGCAGAAACACTAAAGAAAAACGTGAGCACGAACTCAATACTACCTTAAGTTTTTCAGGCTGATTTCACAACAGACTTAAACAGGAATTATTTCCTGTGAAGTATGTTGACTGCAAAATTGATTCATTCTGTGAAACACTGTTCTGTAGGTGTCTCTCACTCCTGCTGTAGTAAAAGGAATGGCAGACAATGCAACATTAAAGAAGCAGAACAAACGACTCCAAGACAAAATGGTAGGTTGATGACTTATTTTTCAGTGTATCGTAAAGTAACACCATCCCGAGCGATTGCCTAAATTTTTTTCTCGGAGAGAGAGCTTTCCGTTTTCTCTTCCAACTGGTGAATTTGGCAGGTTTCCAGTCGTTGGTGCAATAACAATACCTGCAATCGCAGACTAATCTTTGGCAACAACCCTTAACAAAAATCTTTAGGACACTTCTAGAAACCAACCCTGTTCAAGTAAATTCCCCATGTTAAATTGTTTCCCTATCCAAAACAATGTATGTTATCCGCACAAAAAAAATAACAGTACTTCACAAAAACCGTCTTAGTTAGCACGGGAGAGATTCTAAGGAAATCCTTGTAAACCAGAAAAAGTTCCTCAAATTTCAAAGTCGATGGTAGTATTATTTTTAGTGTAGAGTATCGCACTCATTTCCTGACGCAGGTTGTTAACCCGCGTTATCTGCTTACAGGAACGTGTTGATCTTTTAGACGAACTGCGATAATGCTCCCTGAACAATTATAACTTCAGTCCTGTTGTCTTTCAGAATCATCTTCGCCAGCTCTGTGACAAGAAACAGTCCGAAGGCAAAAGTGATGTACCGGTATGTGCACTGTCTATGTTGACGATGAAAACATTTAAAAGTAGTGTGTTACAGTTCACTCTCACATGGCTTTATTTATTCCCTGTAGGGGTGAGCTTTTGTGTCCGAGTGATTGGACAATTTTTGAAGAAAAATATGGAAAACCCTTGCCCATCTTGCACCCTTAAATTTGAAAAATGTACCACCGTGCTGTTGGTCAATGCCAATTACCCCCCTCCCCACCCCTTAAAGTGTAACAGTCCATCATAATTGTCAGTTTCCAAGAAGGCTAAAGTTCGATCCTGGACGCTGTCGATATTGCTAATCCTAACAGTATACAGGACGCTTTTCAAATGTGAACCTGGCATATGGTCTGACGTGCCAATGTCTTTGAAGCTCAGGAGTTTGTGGAGAATTTGACCGCGAAATCGGAGCTGGCCAGGGACTGCTTCCTCTCGAGACAATCATTTCGTAGCCCAACGTGCGTGACAGATGATCATCCTCTTATTCAATCATTTGTTTCCAGATATCCGAACTGCGGGCCATTATCGGAGAAATGAATTCAAACACTCAGACGACTGCTCCTCATGCCTCCGCTCCTGCAACAACGGGTCGAGCTCCTGTAGAGAGAAGGAATGAGAGCAGCGCATGCACCATCTTGTAACCTAATTCTGTTGAGACTCAGTAGCCATGACTGTTTTCACAGCTCAATAGCGAGCTTACGTGGACGTGTGAGAGCTTCGTGTGCGCAGGGCCTTGTAATATCCTGCACGAGAACAAATACTTTTCAATTGTGTTGTGATGATTTCTATGTAGCATTCGTCTTCTCGTCTCTAAGTTGGCTTTAAGAGACCTCATTCTCCAGCTCTTTCCTAAGCGTACCACGACACACCAGCAAATTTTAATTCTTTGAGTGTCATTTAAATAGTTTCAATATATAATAAAATAGTTCTGGTCCTCTCGATGCTGGCCAGCAAAATATTCTTCAATGTACATAACACAGATACGCAGTACACGAGATGTTGAAATTTTACAAGTTCATCATACGTCATTTACAGGTGCTCTTAGACCCTAAAAATAGAGAGGAAAAGAAAATCCGTAGGATTTCTTAGCACGATTGAAAAGTAATGGGGCGATTTGAAGTAAAAACAGAAGGATTTTTGTTTTGCTGTATTTTATTTTTGTAACCGTTAACATGGCCATGATGTTCAGGGCGCCTGTCGCGACATTGCATGACAATCAGAGAGAGGCAGAACTGGACTGGGCTTGTTTATTCATTTAAAATAAAGCACAAGAAAACTTTTAGTACGTAATTGTCTTTATTTGGACCTTTAATCTGTAGTTAAAACGATACCGGCATTTTCGCGGAGAAAAATATCTGACAAAAAAATATTTTTGCACACACTCCTTTGTTTGACCTCACGCATTTGTTTGTAATGTCACATAGAGCTTATGGAGTGTTGCCTAACAATCCGTGACTCGTTAGTAGGTCTTTTTCTGGGTTATTTCAATAATGATTACCTATCTCTTTGCAATGATCTATAGTTGATTTAAGCTACCGCTTCGTCGAGAGTCTTCTCGGAAATTTGACTGCTTAAGCACATTAGTTTGACAGAATGTCAAATTTACATCATAACATAACAGGCTGTAGAAGAGCAATTTCATTTATAAATAAATCAAAAATGTTTTTCGGAAATAAGCAAGCTGAATGAATAATTCCCTTTTCTTAAAAAAAAACTTTAATCGACTGTCGTGAGATGAATTGACGGCCATTTTGACTTGAAAAGTGCACTTCCTGATTTGAAAATTTTTGATGAAAAAAAAAAAAAAATTACAGTAAACCTACGAAGCGAGAGTGATGGAGAGCAATTAGTCTGATGATAAAAACTTACAACCACGTCTAAGCGTACAAAGAATGGAAAAAGTGAGCATTAAACGTCTGTTTTTCAACCAAACTAAAGAGGAAATACTTGCGTTCGAGGCCAAAAGACAGAAATAATTTATTTATTATCACTTTCCTGTTGATCGTTTTTAGTATTGGTAGAAAAGTGAACGAAAACAGAGGTGAATTCGCGGTTGGTGTATGCTGCAGACGTGGTCGTAAATTTTCCTGATGAGACGTTTTTAACGTCGGGTGCATCTACTAAACTCTACAGAATTATTCGTAAAAACATCGGAATTATTTCGCTATGGCCGAATTTAAAAGGATAATTTAAAGCTAAATTTGAAATACAAAACTCGAAGTTAAAGTTCGTCTCGCTTTTCATCTTGGTTGCTGTCTGGTTGATCAGGGGGGAGGGGGTTGGGGGGTGACTTCATGAAGGACAAAAAGTCTTCTTCAGTTCTGTCGCCGTCGTATTCAACAACAAAAGCACCATATCTGTAATACTTGATGGTCGGATACCCGTTCACGCCTTGTTTATCACACAAATCTGTTAAGGGAAATGTCAAAAGTAAGTTGTGACAATTTCCAGTAACTCGTTACCAGTCTTTTCTTTTAAAGCTGCAAACCTAATTTAATCTCCGTGGATCCAAAGATAGTAAAAGACACGATAGTGGCAAAGGAGTGAAAAAACGAAGGAGGTCTGGATCGTATAATACCCGACCCAGACCTCCCTCGCTTGTTCACTTCTTTGCTATCGTGCCCTCTACTATTTCGCTGCGTTTTACTGAATGAACGCTTGGAATAGGCTATTCCAAAGGCAGCCTATGTTCTTCTCATGATTCTAATCGCCCTTGTAACGCGTTCACAAGCATTCATGTCTTTTGATTGGTGTGCAGTGATTAAGAAGGAATACGAATGGAGGAATTAAGACTTGGCGAGCTCAATGATTATTTTTTCATTTTGAACCTCACTCTTTCAGAGACAAGAAATACTTTTGTTAAACGTACCGCTATCCTGAGTGCAGTCAACTGCAGTGAAAGCTTTATTAGCTTCCTCGGCAAACGCTTCAGAAGCTTTCAGGAATTTGGGTTTCGCATTCTGACAATGGCCACACCCTAAAGGAGTAAGAGGATTCACAATGGACTGTTAGGTCAACAGAAATTGATCCTGAACATCTGCAAAATTGAAGAGAATTTCTGCGACTCAAACCAAGAGTTGATAAAGATTGTGAGGTAGTAGTTTACTTTTCGTGGGACTTACATGGGGCAAAGAACATAACCAACACGTGTTCTGTCTCGGACAAGAAGGATTCAAAGTTTGCAGAAGTTAAGATCTTCAATCCATCTGATTCTTCTTTTTCTGTCTCAGTTCCTTTCGTTTCTTCAGGTAAAATGTCCACACCACTCATGCTGAAGAGAACAGAAGGATTAGATGATGCGCCAGAGGGGAAACTGGACATATTCCAGTTTCTCCTACTAACACAAAACGCGTTAATTTGCTGTTAAATCATGAACAAGAAGTTTCTCAAAGAACTCTTGTGGTACTCAAATTCAGTGTCTTGCGTTGATATGATGACAAAGCTATGCTTTGATGGAAAGCTTGAACAATCATAAGAAATTACTATTCAAAGTTAATAACCTGTCATGGCACATATAACAGAGAGACCCCAAGAAAACAATGGCGGCGTCGCTAGGAGCGTACGCGCACACTCCGTTTCTTGCACATGCGCGACAATGGTTGCGTAACGAATGATTGAAGTTACCTCTTCATAAAGTTAATTATATCTTCAGCCGACCTATCACCATCATAATCTTTTTCCATTTCGCCATTTCTATGATAAACAATAAAAGAAAGTCAGGTACTATAAACAGACCAAGAAAATATAATCTCTTGAAACGAACTTATAGCTAACATTTCTTTAGTTTTGTTTACTACGACAAGATACAAGCATCAATTTCTCTCTAAGTATCCACGTAAAGACGTTAAATAAGAAAAAAGAAAAAAAAAGAAATTTACCAAAAAGAGGATACTGTTTAATACGACACTTAATTGCTTGACAAGAAGCCATGAAAATAAGCTACTGGCACCTAAATTAATAAAACTTTCAAATCTCTTTTGTGACGAGAAAACATAAAGTTGCATGTGTTCAGCGCAACAAATTGTTTCCGACAAGAATATGAAAAATGGCAGTACTTCGATATAAATTTCTCTATTCCAGTCTTATCAGTCATCCACCTTCTGAAAAGGTGTTTTTTTCTACAACGTTTTAACATGGCAAATGACTGAAGAAGCTATGATTGCAAAATCAGTTCTTAAATAACAGAACATCGCTATCGCCTCGATAATTTTTCCGGATTTTTTGTTAAGATAAAGATTCCATTTACGTTGAATATGTGCCAAAGACGCGAGGCCTTTTTATTTTTGCCAGTTATTGTCACACGCTTCTGGCCTTAGAATTTACAATTTCCATCAAAACTAGGATGTGGAAAAATAAACATGTCGAGAAGCTGACGACATATTTAGGAACAACCGTTTGAAATGAAGAAGTAGAAAGGTGAAGATGACAAATCATTATTACTTACTTGTAGTATTTCACTTTTGCAGGTCAGTCAATGACATTGAAGAAAAGAGAAAAAACATTAAACCAAATAAGAGTTATGGCCCATTAAACGTTGTAAGTCGAACAAGCGCGTCCCCCCCCCCCCGTCTTCAGTCAAAAATGATATTTACAGCTAAAGAGTTTATACAATGGAAAAGCAACTAAGAAGTCCACTTAAAGTCATTGAATCGATTCGCTGTTCTGCTCATAGAGGTTTCAAAGCCATGACATGCAAAACGCCCTCTTCGACGATTTGTCCGATTTAAAAGTCGTCGGAGTTTTGTCAAAGCATGACAGCTTTCGTCAAAAAATTATACCATACCGTTCGTTTTTAGCAGTATTTTAACGTGAAACATGGTCAAACTAGACGTACCGAAAGAAGAGACGAGTTTTACCTGTGGGATATCCCTTGAGACCGGTCCGCTTGCAAATAGATTTGAATTTCGTGCAGTCAACAGCTGCTAACGCTTCAGACGGCTAAATAAAATTAGATATTACATCAGTATACTGTGCATATATACTTCAGCGGAAACCAAATCGATAAGATAATAATCGATAACTCACGAAAAGCAAAACGGAGGTGAAAACATTAAGGCAAGGCAAGATGATACACCTGCAAAGAACAAAAAATTTTTGTGAAACATTCCCAGAACAAGTTTAGAGAGACTTACATGTTGTTCACTAAGGATCTCAGCGGCTTTAAAGAAGTTTGGCTTCATAGCTTTACAGTAACCACACCCTAAAAACACACATCAAAAAATGGATTAAAAAAAGTAAATAAATGAACAAATAAATAAATGTTGTTAGTATATACCACACAGGTGAGTAATGCTTATCGCGCGCGCTGATTGGCTGGTTCGGAAGTGAATAGCAAGTTTTATTCACCTCCGAGCAGCCTATGGGACAAAATCGCGCGTCGAGAGTTTAATTTCTGACCATGATTCGGTATATTGAAAGAAATAAACCTTTTTTTTTTGTTTTTCGTGTGGTATTTACTAATACAATTATTAACCTCAGTGTGTGTAAAATGGTGGTTGTCCTCCACAACGGTAAATAATTGCTACATAGAGACTAACGTATCAACAGCATCTCATTTAGTTCCCCTTTCTTTTGCTGTATCATGAAAAACGAACTGACCACATCACGATTAAATTAAGAAAAAAAATGTCATTTGTTCCGTCACGAGAATGAGATGAAGAAAAATCCTAGTTGTCCACCAAGCATCGAACCTCTAACCTTCGAGTGTAAAAATCTGATACAATTGGTGAGTCATGTGATTCCTCTCGAACCAATGAACCTTCATTGAACCCAACATAATTTTCAGTAAACCAATTAACAGAGTCGTTCCATTACCTTAGATTGACACGTGAATGGCACGTGATAAGTGAATTATACGTGACTCGTACATGTGATATTTCAAAACGACTAGCCGTTCACGTTGGGTTAAAACTTTAATAATCTACCGCTGTATCAACAGAAAAAAGGTTAAATAATAATTGAAATGATAAGAAATTAATTGTTTGTACATACAAGGAGCAAAAAACATGACCAGCACAGAAGGATGTTCGGCCATGAATGAATCCCAAGTCTCGTTAGTCAAGAAATGCACTTTACCAGACTCCTTACTCCAATCAGGTGGTGGAGGAGGAGGTGCAGGTTTCTGGGGACTGAGAAAGAGATAAGCAAATTTAAAACAATATTTGAACAGATATAATTATTCTCCAAGAAAAATTAGTCAGTAAAAATTTCACATTCGTATGTATCCAAGGTTCATGATGTCCTTAATACTACACTTTGATAATTTATGAAAAAGTAGGTTGGCCAATGACATGCAAAGCACAAATCATTTTAATATAATTTTTGGCGACAAGATGGAAATAATACCGTACTCTTTCATGAAGGCTAGCATGTCCTCTGCTTTCCTTTTCTTTGTGTACTTGTAAGCAAATTCTCCATCTCTGTAAGAATTATGACATCATCACTTGCTATTCTAGGCAGTTACACTTCTTAACGTTACTGTGTTATGAGGTAGAACATTCTGATAATTTCTTGACCTCGATCCCTGAGGGTATGAAGAAAGGGAACTGGGAACGACGTTGACAATTTCTGTAGGACAAGATTTAAACCTCGCGGGTTCACACCGGCAGCGATGATTTATGTTCTTCCTTAATCATTTGAATTGCATCTTAAAACATCCTCGTTCAAAAAAGAAAACAAAACTAGAAAATGGAAGACAGGTAAGGTTTTATATCATCAGTTCAAGCAACAAATAGAATATTGAAATCAGTGCAAGTTGAATTTTACATGACATGACATAGTTAGGCATGGAACATGTTGTTTGTGAAATAGATACACTTACTTGTAGTACTTTACTGTTCCAACATAGTTCCAGAGAGAGATAAGAAAAACAAAAAATCAGTATTTGTTATAATTAACTTTCAAAACTGCAATAGATATTCAACAGGAAAATCGTCTTTTTCTTTGCTCGAGAAAACAGTTTGGGTGTTACACTTCATACACCGAGCAATTAAGATAACTTTTCAACCACCGTACGCGATTCAAAGTTACTGTATCGTCAAGCGTCATTGTCTGGGTGAAGGTCGTTCTAAAAAAGAGTATTAGGCCTGTGAACGTATATACGTGAGTTGGTAAGTGCGTGAGAAGAGGAGATAACATTTGGCACCGTTTCAAAGACACGTGTTACTGGAATATGACGGGAAGTAAAAAACTCACGTGTGGGATAACGCTTGACTTCCTGTTCAGTACAAAGATCACCATCCACAGTACAATCCACTGCACCCAGGGCACCAGGGACCTGAAAAGCAAAATCGTGGAAAATGAGAATTTGCGTCGAAACACACCCCCCCCCCCCAAAAAAAATAAATAAATAAATAAAAAATAAACAAAAAAAAACAGCCAAGATTCACTCAATTATAGAGATAAAGAGATCAAGCGTATTTCTTTTTGTTCTTGATTTTTCCCAAAATCTGGCTTTGCTTTCAAGGATAAAAATGTGATTCTGATTTAAAGCATGGAAAGTTACTGCAAAATTTGTGTTTGTTTCCAACTGACAAGAGGGACCGAGTAAAGCAAAAACTTTTTTCGGAAACACAAGTAGAAGAAGTCTTCATTCGTTTCATTGGAGCTAGGTTCGGAGGAAGATGCGCAACTCTTGTGGACATGAAAGAATATTTGATTACCTTGTTCTCGGTGTTGACTTCTTTGGCCACCTCAGAAAACTCGGGTTTTATCCTTTTGCAATGTGGACACCCTAAATAAGTAGAAAACAACAAAATCAAAAAAAAATCTTACAATAACATCAAATGAAAGACAGAACAGCCAAAACCACATAATAAGGTATTAAAAACCAATAAATTAAAGCGAATGAGACAGATTTAAGAATTGCGACATAAAAAAGAAAGGAAATATCGCAAACGTAACAAATAGACAACAAAAAGTGCTTTTTATTAGAACTTACAGGGAGCATAAAACATGACAAGGGCTGAACTGTGTGACTTAATAAACTCCTGAAATGTGCTGGCTGTTAAATGGACCACGTCTGTATCCTCATCACTCCAAGCTGGTTCAACTGGTTTTTCAGGTTTGGCTGTTTTGGCGTCTGCAGGTGCTGAGGCCTCGGACCTACAACACGAAAAATAAAAGAAAGCTTGAGTGGTCCTGTAGAGAAAATATTACCCATTGCATGATATAGTACAAAAAATATTTTCATCTAGTATACAATTATCTAGATTTCAGGCTAGCCGTTGTTTGATCCGATAACGCAACATGTTTCATCCCTGGGAGGAGAGCTTGTCACGCATCGCGTTATTTCCCCCCCCCCCCCCTCCTCTCTCTCCTCCACTTAGAAGAGACCTAGCGTGTCACAAAACGTATTCTTTCCCCCAGAAGCGTTGGCGTGACAGGACCAAACGAATTTATACGGAATTTTCAACTTACATCAACATGAAGTCCACCAAGTCTTCCTTTGTCCTTGCCTTCCTGTATTCAGAAGCAAACTCACCCTTCCTGTAGCAATGCAAGCAAAATAATGCACTTATCACTGCAAGTTCGTCAAAATAATTCATGAAACTACGTGGACTCAGTAAGTGTGATCAAACTTCTTTAACACAACCCATTGATCAAAGATTTTCTCCAAACGATAACTCAACAGGTGGTACGGAAGAGGAGATATTAGGACGTGCCAATTCTTGCTCGTCCCAAACTCTCCTCGTCCTGACTCGTTTCAAAGGAAAATCAGACAGCAGGCACTCCCTTTACATCCACAGTAAAAAAAATCCAGATCATGATATTTAGGGAAACAGTTAGACTCACCTGAAGTACTTGACTGTTGTTTTGAGTTTTCCAGTCACATGCAAAAAAAAAGACAAAAAATAATTAAAAGGTTAGAAGAGAATCAATAAAATTAATAAATAACTTTCAATTATTTCAATACATCCATTAAATATTGTTATAATGTGTGTTTCCTTACCTTAGCCTACGTCAGCTAAGCGAAATGATTGGGTAAGTCATTCAAAAATCTTTTTCGTACATTTCAATCCTGTGTAGGAGCAATTAAGGAATTCTTTTTTTATATATAAATTGATATTTGTTTGAGCTCACTTGTAGGAAATCCATCAACGTCATACTTTTGTGCCAACGATTTCTCTTTGGTACAATCTACAGCGGCCAAAACACTGCGAGCCTGTTAAGATTACCAGAAGAACGACAAATGTTCTGAATAAATGCAAGTAGTAGCCGGTCATCAAGAACGACTTAGTAACATAAATATAGTTGTATACTGCTCCCTATGCTACCTCCCAAAAACAAAGATTACACAATTCACAAGTGCAACCGTCCCACATCGAAACCGTATTTTAATTTTTGAAAATATCTTTAACAACTCCAGCGCCTCTCTACCCGGAGGCATGAAACGAAATTATATTACAGCTTGTGACATTGTAGGGAGGGCGAAGGAGGCTGGACATTGCATCCAAAGATAAATGAAATACTTGTCTATATATCAGCGTTGTGATATATAAATCCAGAATGTCTAACCCTGTTCGTATACAAGTTCTTGAAGGTCTTTTGGGAGAGCTTCCAATCGCAAAAGTGCTATTGGCTGTGTTCCGATATCTCTTGGGAGTCTTATTCTCATTGAAAATGGTTAACATCTCCTTGATTTTCACGCTGACAGTCAACTACAATTTGCCGTTTCACTCACCCACCGATGATGCAAAGCATGTTCTCTCTCTACAATATTCCTAGTTGTATTAAGAAACGTTGAACAACGAAGAGAAGTGTTGATGAGCCACAATGACTCGTCATTTAGCTTTCTCTGTAATTTTGCGACTCACATTTTTACTGCGCAACTCTTCAGCGGCTTCCATGTAAGCAGGCTTCATTGCTTTGCAGTGACCACACCCTGAAATTATCGAACGAGAGGAAAGAAACTTCAATAGCCTGGCCTACCTTAACCTAGCCTACCTGTTTAGCCATCGGCCGCCCTGAGAAAGAGCTATCTGGTGAAGTAACACGGGTGTTACGGAGTTGTTTTGGAGAGATGGCCGTCATTAGAGGTTCGACAGTGCGTAACCAGAAGCCGATTAAACTAATTCAACAAGAACACATTGAGAGCCAGAGTGATCAAGAGTGGTTCCCAGTGATTCCTCTTCATAAGATGTCCAATTCGAGTCAACACCTTATCACGGTCGAGAATGTCTGACTCTCAAATACAGAACAATTCTAGTCTCAAAGAAGAATCTCGACTGAACAAAGAAAAAAAAAACATTCTCAAATGAAGCAAAAAAATCTTGACTTACACCACAAATAGTATAAGTTAAGGCAGGTTTGTGCCAATCGGTTCATTCGTAATATACAGCTGAAACATCCCCTTTACCGGGGTAAAGCAAAAAAACTAAAGGAAAAAGTTCCCAGTTACATGATTTTCATGTCCAAGAAATCGAGCAAGACACAAACATACTTACATGGTGCATAGAACATGACAAGAACCGAATGGTGTGTCGTCACAAATTCCTCAAAAGTATCGTCAGTTAAGTGGGTGACATGACTCGGCATATCCTTCCACTCTGGTTCAGAGGGTGGGGGTGGGGGACCTTCACGAGGATTCTCCATGAACTGAATAAAGTCCTTAGCCACCCGTCCTCCGATGTACTTGAAGTCCTTCTTGCCGTAGTTGAAGTAGCGGAAGGTAGGGTATCTGGAAAATATTTGATAACCAACACCGCGGTAAAACGCACTGGGCAAGAGTAAAAAATTGAGCTTCCGGTCATTACGTCATTATGCCCGAAATTGACGCATGTGGATACGTTTTGCCGCGGTTTTTTGATAACCTATCTTCACTTTTACAATTATCAATACATTTCCGGGGCCCGTTTCTCGAAAGTTCTGATAAAGTTACGAGCCACTGAAGCCCTATCTAATCGAAGGAATAGAAGTGCGAATCTTGGCGCATTCTGTTTCGTTTCCTGATATTTTCAGCGTTGGAATTTCAAAACTTTTATCACCTCGTTCACATACATAAGCAGGAAAAACGAAGAAGTACATACCCCTGCACGTCAAACTGGTTACACACAGATCTGTGCACTGTACAATCAACTGCAGCGTATGCAACCTAACAAAAGAGCCACGAAGTTTTGGTGATTCAAGTAAATTTAGGACACACTTATTACTAAAGGTATTTATCTTCGTTTACTACTAACACTTTTCAATCCTCCTCAAAGGTCCATTTCAGCTGCCCTCTCGAGTGTCAAATCATTTCTACATAGCAGAGATACCGGTAATTGAGTTTCGTTTTCCAGAATACAAGTATGACCTCGCACTAACACAAAGAAGGGATCTGATCTCAGATAACTGTTGACTGGACTAAAACTTAAGGGCCGGTTTATTTACACGAGGTATAGCCCAAGCCACGGTTTTTACGCAATCAGTGGGCCTCAGGCTTTCTCTATAAGAACGTTGATCTCTTGAAATAAATGCGCTTCAATTGTTAGCTTTCGGCCCTCTTGACACTGTTCACAAAAATAAACGTTGAGATAACACGTTAAGCTAAGTAGGGAACTATTTAGGACGCGGTTTTGTTAAACAACGGCTAAACTTCGTTTAAATAATGAGACTTAAGTGTCTTAAGAATTTTGCGAAGTTGAAACTTATTCTTCAACCATCAAAGAGTCTATCGTGAGAAAGAATGAGCCTATCTATAAGAAAAGCATCAAAAATGTCAAAAACATTTCTGTGACAGTTGATTAACAAGCACATGAGACACGACTTCGAATTTACAAAACAATCACTCGATAAAGTTGTCTAACCTTAGAGTTTTCCGCATCATGTTTAGCAGCTTCCATAAATTCTGGTTTAGCTTTCTTGCAGTGACCACACCCTAAAATGGATACAAGGAAACTTTTTGCAATGTGTCACATCAACAAATACAAAAAATAAAATTATGAGAAAAACAGCCATCATATATCAAATATAAGATGTAGCTCAGACTGTAGCTCAGTGTTACAGAAACCAAGTGATGATGCAAAGGGTCAGATGTTTAAATTTCTATTTCCACCTCATATTTAATTTAGCTCCCTGTTTTGGACGGGTTTCTCCCTTTTGTTACCACTCTCCTTACATCTCAGCACTAAACCCTCTGGATCAAGGTTCCATGAGAGGAAATTGTTGTTACTCTCTCTGGTATTCAACTTACATGGTGCATAAAACATGACCAAGACATGTTTCTTTTTCTTCAGGAATCCTTTGAAAGTGTCATCTGTCAGGTGTTCCACCTCACTCTCCACTTCACTCCAATCTTTCTCTGGGGGAGGGGGTGGGGGTGGTTCTTTTGGACTGGATAAAACAAAAAAAACTCTGTCAGTATCAAGTTGCTTTGTATACAAAGATTAAGCACACAATATGCACTTACTCTTTCATAAATGCCACAATCTTGTCAGCCGTTCTCTCGTTCACATCAAAAGCAAATTCACCATCTCTGATAATAAAAAAAATTTCACAAATTTTATGTCAATTTTTCCCAAACCAAACAAGGCAGTTAACTCTACAAGTCTCAACCCAAACACAAATGTAAAACCTTTCACTTACTTGAAATATTTCACTGAAAACAGATGAGAAAAAGAAAGCAGGTAAGTGAGCAAGTAACACAAACCAACCAGCACAAGGTCTACATACGCACTAATACATTTAGTCACAAAGTACTTGAAATGAAATCAGGTGGTCACTTGACAGTTTCATTCAGCCAAAGGAAAATCATGGCTGCATTCAATGTCAGGGGAGTACGACTGAAACTTCCATTTCAACAGGATCCCTTTGCCACAGTAGCAAAGAGGTGGCCTGGGAAGAAACTATTTGCTAGGAAAAACATTATTTGTGGATGGACAGGTCAACTCTCATACCTGTGGATTGAAAGTTTGACTATCACATTTTAACTTTACATAAGCAAAAATATGTGGAAGCCAATTCAAGTAAAAGAAAGCCTTTGCAAATGATCATTGTTTCTCCAAAACCTCCAGCTCTAGATGGGAAAACACCAGTGCAAGACACGGGCCAAGCCAGTATCAGATCCATTTGCAAAACTTTCCAATAAGAACAGGTTTTTTAATCTTGGTAAGACAGCATGAGCACACAGAAACACAAAGGCAGCATCAACACTTGCAAACAAGAGGGGTGAACAAGTCTTGGCTCAGAAAGTCACTAAGAGGTTGTTGATCAACTCAGTTACCTGTTGGATAGCCCTCAATTTTGAATCTTTTGCCAACTGCTGTTTCCTTTGTTGCATCTACTGCTGCTATCACACCAGGAACCTGAAATCATTGTTACCAGTCAGCCTTCAGCACACAAGTAAGAAATTTAGAATTATCATTAGAGATATACAGTAAGAATAGTTGGTTTTACACTACTCACTCAAAATCAAATTTATTGCACTCTGTCAAATATTTAAACTGAAAGTACCTCCTCCTCCTTCATTGTTTTGGCTGCATCTGTGTATTCAGGCTTCATAGCTTTGCAGTGACCACACCCTGAAAGGCCAAGAATCAATACATAAAAGGCTGCTCATGAAACTGTCCATAACTGTTGTTCCATGATCTTGTCTTCCTAGAGAAGACCTTTGTGGGCCTGACACAACATTTATGTATGTTACCCTTTCACTCTGAATTGCTTTTTTTTTTTTAACAAAAATCAATTTATCACAAAGTGATAGCAAGAAACACTAAAAAGACAAGTAGGAGATTTTGACTTTCGAGTTCCTACAAGGCCAGGCAAGTAGAAATAAAAAAAAATGATACTTACAAGGAGCATAAAACATGACAAGAACAGATGGATTGTTTGCAATAAAATCATCAAATGTGTCATCTTTGAGATGGACAACATCACTAGGTATGTCACTCCACTCCTCTTCCTTAGCAGGTGGAGTTGAAGGAGCAGGGCTAAAATAAAACAACACTATACATAAGTTTAACATTAACAAATCTTAATTACTCTTGAAGATTACATGCATGGTAAAGAAAGTCATATAGCAATTGATATTGTAGATCCTTTCAACCATTTTACTCCCAAGTTCTAGTTAGTAATTCTCCTTACTGTCTGCCAGACATTTTTCATGATTTTAGTTTGGATAATATGATATTGGATCAACTAATAATCCTCTAATTGACATTTGTGTTTTTTCTCATCACTTTCATACTCGAGATTGTATTGATATTGTAAGAATAAATTTGGTGTTGGTCTGTCATACATAAAGTCAAAGAGTTAAAAGACAACTTCAAAAACTCTTCTCAAAATATTTTTACAGTCCATTGTATAAGCACAGTACCAAGAAAAATTGTCTAATATCCAACACTAATGACTAAAATCAAACACTGGTATCTAAAATGGACTCTATGTCTTAAGTCAGACAAAGTGACTAAAAATTGGACAAAGGTGTCAAGAAAGCAGACACTAGTTAGTGGCTAAAACCAGACATTAGAGTCTAAACCCAGACACTATTGTCTAAAACTAGACACAAGTGTTAAAATCAGGCACTAGCATCTAAAATTGAACACAAGCATCTAGTGTCTAGCCAGAGCCCAAAATCAGACACTGGTGCCTAAAATCCAACACAAAATCTAAAATCCAAAACTAGTGTCATAAATTGGACACAAGTCCAAAATTGTTACACTACTGTCTAATAGAGAACCAGGACAGGAATGGTTGCATTAATTCATTAGTAACTCCAGATGTACAAAATAAGACTTACTTTCTCATCCACTCTACAAGAGAATCTTTATCATGTTTTCCTTGATAACGATATTTTTCCTCACCATTTCTAAGAAGATCAAGTTTATGACAGACATTGATTCAGTGACAACTGAAATTAAAATCTTTGCCAAATCTTTTTAAGGTTAATATTCAGACAGATTAATCAAAATATTATACTGTGTAAATACATAAAGAAATAGACAACTATTGATTCCTCTTGAAATACTCATAGGAATGGTTACAAATAAATAATAAGATTTTCATAAATATGCATATACTGACAGCAGGACCCAACTAACTCAAAAACAGTTCAAGGCATACTTAGAGAGTTTCAGAAAGCTGCATCTTCAGTCGAACTCTTCAGTTCAACCAGCAATTAACCCTTTACACCCCAACATCAGAATCCATATTCTCTATACTGTTCTCTCTATATTTCCTGAGTTGCAGACAGGGAGAATTTGTACACAAATTTTAGAGCTTCTTTAGTTGGTTATCATTCCCTTCATTCTTGTAACCTTTAATGAGTGATTCAAGGGGGACATTGTGAGGAGAAATTAGATGCTAGTCACTCGTAGGGGTAAAAAGGTTAAAAATACACCTCTATAGAAGTCAGTTGCAAAAAAATTTGAAATAAATGTATAACTGGGCCTTACTCAAAATATATTAAAGTTGGAAATCCTGTGATATTGAATTTTTCTCTGATTTGATATGCTTCATAGGTATCTACATCCATTCCAGCCATTATCTGTTGGAATAAAAAATTGGTATGACTACCAAATTACATGGACACGGAACTTTCATGAACCAAGGAGTAACAGCTGGTCATGTAATCTGCACATGGTCAAAATAAATTCAAAATCTGGCCACAGGTCTTTTTCCTACATGGTTGCTTAACTACACAACAGTCTCAGTATTACAATAAAAGGATTTAGGTCACTTAAGTAATTTTCTACTGGTGAATTTTCGATAGGAGAAAATTTCTTAAGTCTAGGCCTAAATAACTTTATTTGCATAATTTCTGTCAATGTTATATTTTGTATATTGAACTAATTACAATTAATATCAATATTTTACTTTGTCCCATTCTAATTTTTTATAAATTTAATTATTGATGCACTGCTTCATTATAACTATGTATTAAATTTAAGAATTCTGTATCCGATAAAGATCTATCTTTGAAGTCCGAATGTCTACAAAAGTGTAGTCCTAAAAAAGGTTGTTGTTGGTGACAGTGATAGATTGATTGTGTGGCCTGATCATCCAAGTGAGAGTCATCCTGAGAAGGAGTTTTCTCAGTGGTAACTGATGTTTCAACAACCAATCCCATTAACATGTTCACCACTCAATATGTCATGAATTTGTTTGAAAAAAACTCACAGCTTCTCCTTTAAGTTCAGTGGCTGCTACAGCATAGTCAGGTTTTAACTTTTTACAATAACCACACCCTGAAATTCAAATAATGAGATACAATGAAGTCACAATAACGCAAACAAGCATGGGCCAGCAAGAGCAAGCAGCGTTGAGGAAGGGCACACAGGAATGAGCAGGGATGAACAAGGGTAAGCAAGAGTAAGCAGGGGTGAGCAGGGGTGAGCAGGGATGAGCAGGGATGAGCAGGGATGAGCAGGGGTGAGCAGGGGTGAGCAGGGGTGAGCAGGGGTGAGCAGAGGTGAACAGGGGCAAGCAGAAGCAAGCAGAGGTGAACAGAAGTCAGAAGGGGTGAGCTGGGGAAAACGGGGCTGAGCAAGAGCAAGCAGGGTTAAACAAGGGTAAGCAGGGGCCAGCATGGGTCAGTAGGTGTGAGATGGGGTTAGGAAGGAAAAACAGGGGTCAGCAGGGATCAGCAGGGAACAGAAAGGGTGAGCAACCACAGATCATTACAGATTTTGGCAAAAATTTACAAAAATTTGACTCACATGGAGCATAGAACATGACCATGATTGGTTTCTTCTCTTTTGTTGTCAGTTTGACAAATTCCTGAAAAACAGACCAAAAAAATTTTTTCATGGAAATCAATTTTCCTGCCCTGATCACTTAACATCAAGTATCTGTAACTCTGAAGATTTTCAAAAGTTTTCATACTACACAACTTACACTACTTGTGTGAACATGTCGTACATCCTCTGTGCCTTCTTCTTCTTCCCAAGGCATTTCTCCCGTAGGATCATTCATAAAATTTAACATTGACTGCAGAAAATTAAAAAAATTGGATAAATGTTGCGATAAATATAAGATTAAAAATGAGGGTTGCTTCTTATTAACTTTTCTACTAAAAGTACAAAAACAACATAAACAATACCATGATCAAATCAATGATTTCACTCACCTTAACTGTGTTCCTCCTATCATAATCTTTGTTAAAATCCCCATCTCTGTGAAAAGGGAAACATTTAACTTATATTAATGTTAAAAAAAATAAAATAGTGCACCTGTCCATGCAATACCAAGAGTGTTGGAAACATAAGGATTGAAGAAATGAAGATAAAGGAAGAACAGAAGGAATGTGTTCCAAGTAATATAATATATAGATTTAGCCAAGCCTAAAAGTGGAGCGCGCATTTTTTTTTCCCGCATGTCTCAAGGGCACAACGCCTTGCCCCGGCCAGGACTAGAACCTGGGTCTTCTGACTCAGAGCCCAGTGCACTGACCACTGGACTACTAAACAAAGCCATGGCATTGGCATGCCTGCGGTACATTTGACCACACATGTTAAAAGTAGTACCTTGTACGATCGTATGGTGATACGGTCGTACATCCAAATATTTTCAGCTTGATGGGTTACTACTATTTTGTATAATTATGGGGCTAAGCTCTGCAAGCTCCACTAAAATAGGCTGGTTGGGGTGGTATGGATTTGAGGTAACAAAGTTGGACAGGGTGAGAAGGTGATGAGAGGATGGGATGAATTCAAGATAGAGAAGTGAAAACAGAACTGTGCCCTAACTTAGAATAATCATTAGGTACCTGACATAAAAGCAAAGTTATCTAAGACATCCTGACAAAGTGAGGATGGAATAACTTCAAAAAAGTTATTATGGCTAAATGGACTGAGTTATATATAACACCAGTTGAGGGTGTGGAAGATCAGTAGGATGCTTTGGATTCAGGGGGAGAAGGAGTTAGTCAATAAGACATGGGAAGGGGGGGTGGGTAAGTACATGAACAAAGAAGCACAAGGAGAAAAAGGTTTAGGAGGTGAGTATGTGGGAAGATGATGTCAGTAGGGAGGTAGGGTGAATAAGAGATGAAGAGAGTGGGGGGGGGAGTGTAACATAAAATAAAGTGGAAAAGAAGAGGGGTATGGTTTGTAAAATAGTGGAAAAAGTGGCAAGCCTTGGAGGAAAGCAGAGTATAAAAGGAGACAGGAGTCAGTGAAAGGGAAGGGTGGATAATTGCAAAATTCTAACAGGAAGTAAAGGAAAGATGTAATTTGAGTGCAAAGCAAGCAGCAGGATGAGTAATGAAACAACAAGGTGGTTGAACTCACTTGTAATGTTTTAACACCACAGGTTGAGGAGAAACTCTGAGCTTCTTGCACATTTTTTTTGTATCTTTGCTTTCTCTGTAAAAATACAATTATGATAATTGATTAGCTCCCCCTGTGGAGAGAAAATTATCTCAGTCTAAAGGTATCCTTCTTAAAACTATTGCTTTTCATTCTGAAATAATATGAAAGGGAGATAGGCAAGGTATAGAGGAGCAGCTAATGACGATAATCTTGGGCAGAATAAATATAAAATTAAGTACACCCTCTACCAATTTCAATCAACCCCTTAAAAACTCCCAAGATCTTAGCATTCATTCTCCCCTGTAGCTGCTACACATTTCCTTGTAATTAGTTACTGGTATGTGAATTTGGTATTAGATCAAGATAACAGCTTCTAACTGAACATTTGGAGTATTCTCATGACCAGTTGCTGGATAGTATACAGATATTACTGGGAGAGATTACATATTAATCACTTTTGGGAGTTAAGAGGTTGATTGCCATCTGGGTAATAGGGCTTTTTATCATTGTTCATTTAATCTTATTCTCTCCATGATCAGGGGAAGTCTATCAAAGCTGGTGAAACTGTGAAAATAAATTGAGAACAGATTTCTAAGAACAAACCTTAGCCCCAAGGTTTTTTAAGAATGCAAATAAAAAGCAAGAATGAAGAGTAACTCAAAAAAAATACAGTAAAGTCCTCCTAATTTAAATCAATTCATGTTGATTAAAATATTTAAATAAAACAGCCTCCTGCTGACCAATTAATACTCACCCACAATTTATGTATGCAACAGTCCCCCTGCCTTTAATTTCTTCTGCAACTCGTGCCAAGACTTCAAATCTACTTGACGCATCACGTTCTACAAAATATTTTATCTTTTGTCACAGCAAAGCATAATTTTTCAATAACCTGTTCTGTGAGATTTTTTGGTTTCCAGGGTTACAATATTCGGAGCTGAAAATGCATCAAATATTGAAAAAGGAAAGGAATTATAAACACATAATAGTATGGGAGCGAGAGCACACGCAATCAGGTCTTATCAATATTTAGTTAAGAGTATCAGGTTGATGCATCTCGCTTTCCAAGCAGTTGAATTCGAAAACAGAAATAATAGCAACGTTTCAAAAGAAAATGTTAATATCAGCTGTACACACTGAATCGTGGTAACTGACTGACGAAATTTTGTAATTGTAGGATATAGTTCCCATAGTGAAATTTTCAAGCACATTATTTCCTTAGCACGAGTAAAAAAGCAACAAATCAACACCAGCTGATTTTTTTCCTGTGCATTCCTACAATCAGTGCATCGCACAGAATCCTCTGTAAAGTACCTACCGCTTTGAGCAAATAAAACAAGCAAATTGGTATGGGTCCTTTGTAATTTCTTGAATGGCTTAATATCATTTATTTCTATGATGGAGCTTTTGTCAATTTTCTTCTTGGCTTGCTTGGAGAGACCCACGACCTATCCAGTTAAATTAATACAATGTTGCAAGGTTAGATTCACAGATAATTGAAAATGATTAGCTATTAGCGATTTACTGTAACTAGCACTTTAAGAGAAAAAAATGGCAACCAACATAATCTTTTTCAAAGAAGAACCAAAAAGGATACTTACAAACACAAGCCATATAAAGCTGTTGACCCAAAAATTTTTCTTCGCCATCTTACTAGCGAAAATTAAAATTACTTATCTGATACAAGCTCCAGAAAACTTGCAAATTCGTAATAATGTGTAGTACGATGTTTTGCCACGTGTGACTGGAGACTGGGTTCAGTAGACTCTACGCACAGGACCGGGGAGGGTATAATAAACATATCCATTTTAATTGGCTACTTGAAACAGAAGAAAGCTATTATAAACCAATAGAAATAATTCTTTTATTCAAAGGAAGGCTCACAACGTCAGTGTATATGACCAGCAGTTTTATGAAAAATATCAATAAAACAAGATAGTTTATTGGATAATATATTCCAGAACTGTCCAATCAGATTTGTCTTTGTTGCAGTCAAGCGATCGTAACAAAATGGCAGACGAGAAAGAAACCCTTGTTGGGAGCACTGTTCGTTCTGCTTCATACAATGTCATTGTGCAGGTTACATTTAGGATACTCACCTTTGTAATGAATGGCATCCTCTTACGCTACACCACGAAAGATATGATCGGAGTTGTGAACGTGCGACTGATGCTTCTCAATCAAACTATCGTCTTCGTTGCTCGCGAGGCATTCCGAAAAGCGTGTCTCAGCAAGTCAGCGGATAAAAGATGGACTCAGGTCATTAACCTTCTCTGGTGTGTGTTTCCTCTTGGTGTTGTATTGTCCGTCATTCTCAGTTATGTGTGGTTGTACTATCTAGAGATTCCTGATCCAGTTAAAATTGCAAACTACCCGTTAGCAGTGTTGGTTTTTGCAGCCAGTGGGTCAATCGAACTTTTGTCAGAGCAACTGTGGGTCGTTGCTCAAGCGTTTGTATTTTTGCGCCTTAAAGTTGTCATAGAAGGCATCGCAAACTTTGCACGATGTGTCATCACTTTGGGACTGGTAGTTTTTGTACCAGATCTTGGGATCATTGCATTTTGTATTGCACAAACGGCATTTTCAGTTTTGGTAATGGTTTTATACTACGTATATTTCATATACTATATCAAAACCGCCCCCAGATATCAAAATAAAGAAGAAAGCGACTTTCCTCTTAGATCTTTGCGAGACTTTTTCCCAAGAACTCTATCAAGGAAGAGTTTTTTTAGTGGGGCACTGGCACATCTTACATGGAGCTTTTTTAAGCAATCCTTCTTGAAAAAGATTTTGACTGAAGGTGAACGCTATATTATGACACTTTTCAAGGTTTTGACATTTTCTCAACAAGGAATTTATGATGTGATTAACAATCTTGGTTCTCTGGTTGCTAGATGTGTCTTTATGCCAATAGAAGAGAGTTATTACACTTTCTTTGCATATACTTTGGAAAGAGGTAGCTCTGCTGAGAAACAAACACCTCAGTCAGCAAAAATGGCTTCGGATACATTGGAAGTTGTTCTGAAGTTTGTTGTTCTAGTTGGATTGACATTTTTGGTATTTGGCTACAGCTACTCATTCCTTCTGCTTGACATCTATGGAGGGAAAACTCTGAGCAGTGGAGAAGGTGATTTAGACATTGAAGTATCACATAATATATCCTGGCTGATGCAACAGCATTGGGGGGTTACATACATACATACATATACTTTATTTAAGCTCGAAATTCAGTATAGCTGTAAAGCTAATATCTTTGAGAAAAAAGCTAAATATGAAATAAAAATATGCTATCTTACAATTTAAACATTATTTATAAACTATATAAAACTAAAAGCTAAGAGGCAAAACTAAGAGAGAAACATAACTTGTAGATCTACTGTGGAAAAGCTTCATATCTGAGGATCTCCTGCTTGAATTCTAGAAAATTAATGTTCTGTAAGTGTCTGGGAGAGAGTTCCATATTTTGCTAGCTAAGTTTGAAAAAGAGTGCAGACCGTATGTCGTTGTTTTTGGGTTGGGAAGGGACATGATATGTTTTCTGCACAAATTGTAGGATGAAGACCGTACAGTGAACATATCTTTTAAATAACCTGGATAATTCATAAAGAATAGACTCTTATATAACATGATCATGAAGTTCTGGAGGCATCTAATGAATAGAGATTTTAAGTTGACTTTGCTTAGTAAAACGTCATATAGAGAGCTGTAGTCCTGTAGTATAAACCTAAGAATGGGCTTATTTAGATTATCTACTTTGTCGGCATTGCGCACACCACAGAAATGCCAAACAGAAGAACAGTAATAAAAATGTGGCAAAATAAAGGCTTTGTAAAGCTTCAATAGCTTCAATAGGGTTTTGGAGGGGATAGAAACTGGAGCAAGGAAAGGAAATGGAAAATGTTACTGAAATCAAAATTTGGGTCAGGGTGCATGTTACAGATCATAACTCTTTGACCTCTAAGAGAGACTAGCATCTACATGTAATTTCTCCTGACAATATCATCCCCAAAATCGCTCATTAGGGTCACAAGAATAGAGAAAATGATGACCAACTAAGAGAGCTCTTGATTGTTACCCAAATTCTCCTCATCAGCACCTTAGGAATGTATAGAAAATAGTATACAGAAAATGCATTTTGATGTTAGGATGTAAAGGGTTAATAGCAGTAGCAGTGCTTTTTTGAGTGAAATATTTTATGTGAGAATCAGCCATGGAAAGTGCAGTAGGATAGTTTCTTAGCTACCCTATCTACCAGTAACTAATCAATTTTTATGTTCATTTTAGGTCCCTCTCTGCTGCGATGGTATTGTGTTTACGTATTGATTATTGCTGTCAATGGCATGACAGAGTGCTTCATGTTTGCAACCATGAGCAAAGATGATGTTGACTCCTACAATTACAAAATGATGGCATTCTCAGCAGTGTTCTTAGCAGCATCTTGGTATCTCACTATTTTTGGGAGTGTTGGATTTGTCATAGCTAACTGCCTTAACATGCTCCTGCGTATTTATCACAGGTTAGTAAGTTGTTGATTGTACTATGTTCCTCCAATTAAGTGTATCTCTTCAAAGGTGTTTTGTGAGCAGATATTTGAATTTTGGAAACCTGAGCTAAAGTCATTGTCAGAATCAAGTAAATTATGCAGTCCTGATTTAATCATTCACTGAAGCTGCTGAACTGTCCTTTACACCCCACAAGAACACTCCTTTGACTGTGTAATCTTATTGTCCATGTTAGAGTATTCCTGAAAAGAACTGTGGTTGGTAAAAGTGACAAACATTTTGAAAAACCTCAGTGCAAGCCATTTCTAGAGTCTGTGATGATTCAGTAGACAACCTATGTCCAGATGACCACTTTTTCATGATAGACTTACACTCCCACATCCAATCTGATTACAGAAAAAAAAGAAAAAAAACTATGTAGCTCCTTTAACCAAGTCTTGAGAACGTCTCACTTCTTTCTCTATCTTTTGTTTTTCAGTCTTATATTTATCTACAACTATTACAAGTCAGCCCCTCATCTCAAACCTTTACAAGGACTTTTCCCATCACCTCTAGTTTTGATTGCATTTGCCTTGTCCTGGGGCATAACTGCAACTTCAGAAACAAAGCTATGTTGTGAACATGGATGGTATTACCGCATTCTTCACATTGGAATTGGTGGTGTTTGTTTGTTGACTGTGGCAGTGTTGGTTTTCTTAAAGGAAAAAACTTTGGTGAATTTTATGTTGGAACACTGGCTTGGGAGAATAAAGAAGAAAGAGGAGTAGAAGAAATAAATTTTTTGGTTGGCTTGAGCAAAGAGATTCAATGACCGAAATAAGATAAATTAGAGTGCAACTGAAATTGCAAATCCTCTACCTTTCTCTCATTCATTTGCAGTAGATCCTGGAATAATTGTATCTTGTTCTTGTGTGCCATTCCTTTAACATGTCTACAAAATAAGATCCAACAGGAAGGGAAAATAGACCACCCTATATCCCAATCTGTTTCTTTCCCTAGCAATGTAGCAAAATTCAACTGGGAAACTTTTTCATGTGCAAAGTGAAGCTTATTTACACATCCATTATATCAAAACAAATGTTCTTCTGAACGGTGTCATTTTTAATCTGGTGATGTATGTAGCAGTATGGTACCATTCCAGCTGGGCTAAATAAAAATTATTCATAATAAGGTAAAAGAATTAAACGTCAAGTGTGACCAAACTTTATGATGCATTTAAAGGTAAGAGCTACACTCATCTCTGCTTTAGTCTGGTAACCTACGTGCTAATTTTTCGGAAGTTTACTGTATAACCATATTGAAAACGGTGTATTTCAAATGGCTTAAATAAAAATATTTTATGAAAATGTCCTGAAAATCGTCATGGTGTTGGTATTTCTTTGTAACCAGGTCCGTGTAAGTTTAATAGGTAATTTAGTGTTAACAACTGATAAAGGTGTATGGAAACTTACCCCCTTTATTCACGTGTAAGTTTAATGATAGGTGTATAGTGTGGTCGTATAAGGTTCGAGGTACCAAGCTTTTGAGAAAGAGCAATTTCAATGCAATTTAGAAACGATTGAAACAAATGCTAATAAGTCGCCAGCGTTTTTAGCGATTGATAACGTTCACGTCAACTGATTCTTAGTTCTTTTACTCAACTTTGGTTTAGTTCGTGGTACTCGCTCAAAATGATCTGTTTTAAAGGTAAAAGCACAGTGGTATATTAACGAAGATGTACTCTCAATTACGAGAAGATGTGCAATTCAGTCAAAATAAACAGGGTTGAAGAACATGGGTCACCGTCTTCGTCGTCCGAAAAACCTCAATCTTGTATCTTTCTGCGCCGTCGCAAAGTCAACACAACCTCGATCGGCCAAGATATAGCTATCTGTGTTACGCATACCCAATCCCACCGCTGTTGAACCAAAACTGCTGTCGCACAAGACGAGAAAATCGCTTTCAGCTAATAAGAAATGATCCACTAACATTGCAATAATGCCTTCCGTGGCCATCTCTGTGCCATAAATTGTAGAGTTATTTTCTATTTCTTGAGTAAAATTATATTTTGTGCGGTTTAGGCAATATGCAGTTACATTTAATATTTCGACATTGTAGCACACTAGAGTTGTGTTAGTTTCATCCGTGTAGTTACACTGTGCCGTAAAGTTGAAGATTGTGGTGTTGAAGAGAATATCCAGGTGTAAGATTGTTAAATTGGTCGCGACTACCTTGTGTGGATAGATTTCTTGAACTAAAGTTCTCACTTGCTCGTTATCAGTGGAGAGAAACCAACGGACTTTTTCTCGTCCGTCTGTCTCGTTCAAAAATAGTTCGCTCTCTACTTTAGTTGCGCATTCGAAGAATTTTGAAACGTTCCTGGCATTCCATGTGCGGACGTTTTCGGAGGAGAAATAATCAAATTGGTCGTCCCCTGTTCGTATGTGTACCCCAATAACTGGCCCTTTATCAAACTGTAACTGCGCTCTCATTTCGTTCAGTTTACTTTCCAAAGCTTCCGACTTTGAGAACAAAAAGTCAAACGCACATCCTATGAGATTAAACTTTGGTGTGTTGGAAATCAAGGGTGTTATTCCTAAGTCTTTGGCGCGCTTCATAAGAAATGGATTGTTTTTTATCCCACCCTCGGCGAAATACCATATCGTGGTTATTTCTTCCACCGGCCAGTCAAAAAATTGCTTTAAATCTGTAGAAGTGAACCATTTTTTAAAGTGTTTTGGTTCTTGAATAATGTACCCTTCAGCTTCGCGAACGTCCGTTTTCGTAGATCCCCAATAGTGTTTTCGTATTTGTAATCCCGTGCAGATATCAATGGGTTCGCTGTAATTCCATTGGATGTTTCGCGGTGTCAGATGATTTTCTATTGGTTCAGGCGCACGCCAATCAATCAGAAAAGCCCTGTCAGTAAGAACTGAGAGGTAAAATAGCGACGCTACAGCTCTGAGTCTGTTTCCATAACCACAACAACCTTGTCGAGTGCCAGGACATAGATACACAAGATATTTTTCTTGGCGACGCCTGCTTAGAATATCGTCATGTAATTTACGGTATTTGTCCTGCCATCCACTTCCACATATCTCAACTGTCTGTTTACGATACCACGAATCAAAGTTGAATTTCGTCCTCGGTAGAGGACTTGGTGCAGTTGAAGATTTTCGTTGTAAATCTGTATACTTGATATTCTTCATTTCTCTTAAAGTTCCTTGAACTTTTCTGAACGTGGATTTCACACTTTTGGTTGGAAGATTTGAACTTCTCGGAATGACGTGACCTTTTCTTTGGAAACTTTCTATTTTTGAAAGTTTCGTTTTACTTCTTTTTGTCGGAATAAATAAGTCTTTCATCGAGGAAAAGAACGATTCATTCTTCAATTCTGGAGCAGTTTGTTCGCTTTTCGAGGATTTCCTCTTTCCGGTAGGCGGGGAAAGTTTTACACTTGCTTTCAAATTGATATGAACTTTTGTTTGTTTGGAACTTTCTGTGGTAAAACTATTTGCCATGTCAGAAAAAATTATTGTATTGTTAATATTTTTCATCTGTGAGGGAAGGGTAGTCTCAAGGTTAATTTTCGTTTCAACGACGACTGGCTTTGAACTCCTCCCATCTTCCTCTCTATTTTCGGAGCTAGCGAAATACTGGATGACAGTATCAGCATTTAAGTTCACAAACTGCCCTGTGAAGGGAAGGAAAAAATACTTAATACTCAATACTAACATATGGCCCGTCTGACACCGCGCGCGCAATCCCATAGTAAACCAAAGTATTTGGCCAGACGTGTTGACGTGAGCCGGTCCGGAAAAAGCCGTCTGGCCCTATAGAACACGGCGAAACCTTGAAGGGAAACACAAACGAGCGCGCCCGTTCATTGCGTTCATATGATAAAATGCCTTTAGACTGAGTTTGGTCGGGCCGAACGGCAAAATATTAAGCTCGCGGTCATGACGCATGGACCTTCCCGTCCAGCCCTCCCACAAGGTCAATAAGAACCTAATATGTAAAGGTGAAGGCATAGTTTTCCACGAGTAGGTCTCTAAGATCATCTTGTCGGTTTAACAGCTTTTTAAGCAGCAGTAACTGCTTCTCAGAAACTATAAGGTAGTGGGCCTTACCTTGTACTGTAAAATACTGCGTTGTTCCGAAATAGTAAGCAAGTATTCCCAATGCTATTAAAACCAGGGCCAAAAAAAGTAAAAGCTCTCGGTGGCATGTCCAGGGACTTCGGAGAATTTTATGTTGTCTGACCAATACCAATTCGTTTAAGTTAACTTTCCTAAAACAGTCAAAAAGCAATAAAATAACTTCGGTATGTTTGGATCAAGCAATCCCTGGGCGGGGAAGAACGAGGACCTTCCGAAGAAAAACCGGAGACTTTTCGGGAGATGGTGGCGGAGATATCGTAGCAACCGTGATATTTTATGTAACTTAAGAATGACTTGCGTGGTTGCAGACAATTTGTTTCTTAAAACCTGAAAGCACGCCACCTAGCCACTATAACCTTCATACATGCGCAAAAGTTTGACCGCTAAATATATTTGAAGCGTCTTGTCTAAGTCCTAAAGATCACAGTCGTCGACTGTACCCTTCACAAGAGCGCGTCGATTTAGTCTATCAATAAATGCTTCGGAATGCCTAGATCAGTTCTTTGATTTAGAGTCAAAAGATTATTAGTTTTCAAACACTGTGTGTACCGCCGGCATGCCTGCAGGATATTTAATAGGCGAATACTCAACCATTCATTACAACTGATCGCTGATAATTTGCTCGATTGTAGATTGTTTTCAGTGAGTAAGACAGAAAACTTACCTCAACTCGTTTGAAGTTTCTTCCATTCTCATAAAATACTAAACTGGATTGAAGTCGCTGATTCGTGGTGAGCAAGGAATGCCGATTGTGTTACTCATATCTGTGTGCTACTGAGGCCAAGAATTCCTCCCATAGAACCTTACGTATCAAGGAAGATCGATGTTCCCTCCTGACACGACTTGATATCAGTGGTCAAATGTATCAAAGTGCAGTATTCATTGTCAACATTCGTGGTTTTTTTTTTTGCAGGAACGGAGCTGTCAGGTTGAAATTTGCATAATTTCATCATAATAGGTATGTTAATCACGTCCCTGTTTACTCAGATTTTAAAAATCATATCTTCGCCTTGATTGGTACCTGCAGTGCAGCCGTCTTATTAGGGCAAGTTAAGGTTAAGAAAAAGTCACGATCGTTTATACGCTTGGCGCCATTTTCGTTTTAAGCATTTTGAAAATAAGCGTAGAAAGTTGTATGCAGTACTACTAAAAACTTCGAAGTCATTCTTATCGAAAAACCAGTGGTAATTCTCTCTCAAATTCCTTGCCTGTTTGAAAAAATGCTGCCATTGAGAAGGTCAATCAAAATCTCCGAAGAGTGAATATAGGGAACGGTAAAGACTGACTTCAAATCAGTGACTGAAGATTGAGCCGCTTTAAGTATTGCCAAAATTGGGAATACTTAAAATGGCTCCATTAATTCTCCTGTAAGAATTAAAGTTATGGCCTAATCTTGATCCTTACTGAGAAATTAATAGAGCCGCTTTTAAGTACTCCCAATTTTAATAGCAAAGTCACGAAATTTCGGGCCTTCTTGGAGGAGAGTCTCAATGTGGTGATGGCTTTGACGGTGAACGGTCAATACTTTGGCCATTTTACAGCTAACGGTTTTTATCATTCCGTTGTTGTGACCAGAAATTTTTTCTACGATAAGCTTTTTTAACGACTATCGGTTGAAATTTGTCAATTTTTACGCCTAACGGCTAATTGTCTTGGCTTTTTTACGGCTATCGATTGAACCCCATCGAGACCCTCTTGGAACTTTTACCTGGCGTAGTCTGTACCAGGTGTTCATCGAGTAAAACGGTGCAAAATCCGTGAAATAGCAAACGGCACGATTTTCGCGACCCAACCTCCCTCGGCTTTTCACTCCTCCACTATTATCGCGCCGTTTACTATCGTACTTCGTTTTACTTATTGGACGTTTGGAAGGGCGTGGCTAGGTGGGGGGAGGTCCTTGGGTGCCCGTTATCCTGTAGAACACAGCGTGGAGGTCGACATGACAATCTGTTGAGTACCCTCCGTTTGACAGTGTGATCCCCCCTTTGAATATATGTTGCATTGGTTACGCCCCTGTTACTTTTCCTGCGATGGATTTTACTCTGGAATGAGTTGGGGAGGAGGAGGGGGGAAGGGGGGAGGAGGAGGAGGGGAAAGGGGGAGAGGGAGGGAATCTGAAAATACTCAAGGGCGGTCGATTAGCGATGACGTCTAGTGAAAATTGAACACGATGCGGCGTAGGGCCAAGGTCCCTAGGAGTTTACATTTCGTGGGTCTACAGTTCGCGTTCACTTTTCCAGATCAGATTTCTTTCTCCCTTTGATTCAATTCAAGGAAAACCATTGACACTTACAACAAAGAACTACTAAATTTTAACACGTTAATTTTAATGATTGAAGTTAGCATCTGTTCAACTTTAGTCCGTAACTACTTTGGAGAAAGCTGAGCAATTAGATCCAAGAATTCGAATTGGATCAACACCCAAATCGACGATAAATTAGTAACCACTGAAAAAATTTAATTACAGCTATGTACAATACCAAGTTCCCTTACAAAAATAAACCCGACTAATTTATACACCCGTTTGTGCCCGGGTATCATATAACAGGCCAGGTTTTCATGGATCTACAGACATCGTTATAGCGTAACTTCGAGAAAAGCACTCGGAATAATACGCAATGTACCATGTTGGTCGGCGAATTGCGTGACATGAGCTATTACTACGGCTGTCAATTAAGTGGTCACGCAACGCTTGGTATTGCGGAGAAAATCTTTGAGCTGCTGTCCCATTTAACAACAAAGAAGGGTGGAACTCTGAGACTGTACAAAAGAAATTTACATGCTGTACCAAATTCATGCGGAAAGACTCGGGCAACAAACTATTATTTACAGGTGGCAATTTCTTGCCATAAAATCATCCGTTGATTTGATGAAACGCCTACAGGAAGACTACTCAACACTATTTAATTTCATGTGAATACTATCCCCTCCCCTCAAAAAAAGGTACGAACCACCTGCCCTGCCCCCCCACCCCACCCCGCAAGAAATACATTGGGACTCTCATGTGTGGTTTGAAGGAACTACTTCATAGTTCGTATATCTAAAAAATTAAGCCTCAGTTTTTCAAAATCGCCTTTAACATGTCGAGTTTAAGTATCAGTTTCAGTATCACCTTTTACTTTGGGCTCTCCTCTCCAATGTTTACTTTCTGTAGTGAGTTATGTTAGTACGTCAGTATAGACACCTACAGTCAGTTTTTTGAGTCTGTGAAAAACTGTTCAAAATACTTAAACGTAGGTAAGTGATAACAAGGCAAAATTGAACAAGCAACTTCAAGTCAATCACAAGAAATATAAGTACATTTTGTTCCATTTTTATCAGTTTCACTGCGTCAGGACCAAGGTACAGAAAATAGAACAAATACACGGACAAATAAAACATAAAGATGTGCCAATTCGAAGAGGAGGATTGCGAGAAACAGGCGTGGACTAGGAGGTGCAAAGAAAACGATAAACAAACGATTACTAGAAAATACGTCAATTCCTGCGAAAAAAAAGTTTCATCAAAATTAAATAAATATTCCTCCAGGATGGTCAATCTAAGATTCCCGGTGGGTCGCGTTCCATATCGTTGTAAATGAACCATGAAAAGTAGGTCGTGCACACAAAGTCGAAGCTTACTTGGAGCCAAAAATAAAACAAGAAACAAATCGCTTAGTTTAGTGGCTTGCCGCTGTACGGGAAATGAGCCCACACTCATTCCTTTTTTTAGTCTTGGGAGGATCGAAGTCCGCATTCGAGAGGACGGCGAACATCGAGCTAATATTGACAATAATAATAAAAGTAAAATAATAATAATAATAATAATAATAATAATAATAATAATAATAACAATAATTATAAAAAACACTCGCAACACGACAAAAAAAAACAGAAGACACAAGTCAAACCACAAAAGAAGAGTTTGTTTGCCTTATAGATTAAAGCCTCGACTTCGAGTACTCGACCCAGTTTTCTAACCGTGGGTTACTGGTTAGCAGAATACGCATATCATACTGTGACCATCGTCCCCTTAGCCAATTAAATGACATAGGGTCGGCTGCACGTTTTTGCTTCGATTTTTTAAAAGATACTTATACACATGGCCCTGATTGAAATTATTACATATCAATTAAGTTTTCCTGTGTTTTTTTAGTCTACAAAAGATTGCAGAATTAGGATTAATTGCTAAGAAACTCATTATGGAGAAAAGGTTCTGTTTCTCTTTCTGCTCAAAAAATTGGCTCTAAAGATAAAAAGTTATTTGTAGTAAATGAGTACTTCATAACCACTAACTTCCTGTGTACTTAGCTTGCGTGTTTGGTTTAGTACCAGTAATATATTACTACTTGTCTATAATATAAGCACAAATTCTACGAGACCCACTTAAAAAGAATTCAAATACGATTCAATTGCTGCTTGCGTCGTCATCTAAGGCGTTTCTTTTTGGCTTTCGATCTGGAAGCTAAAAAAAAACAAAACAAAACAAAAGGCCATTAGAAAACAACAAGACTTAACAAATAAGATCTAACGTTACGTAAAAATTGCTTCAACGACCAAGCGACCACGGGAAGTTATCGACATCGTTGAATCTCGCAGTACACACACGATGCCTGTCATATAAAAGTTTGGTATATTGTAGCTTACTCGCGAGATAGATAAGTTAACATATTTATACAAATTCAGAACTGGCCAGGTTAAAATTTTATTTGTAATTTCAGTTTTTTCCTTTTTTCATGACACATGACATGACCCCGTATTGGACGCGCCGCTATGTGTCAAGAATTCGAGCAAACACTTACAACAAAAAGTTGATCTCCGTGTGTTTACTCGGCAGTTCACCGGCTGCTGTCGAGTACGAATTAGAATTCCGAAGTTTCATCGAAAAAAGAGTTATTGAAACGAGGTTAACTCACCTTGCCTACCTCGAAGACGTTCCCTCTAAATTAAAAAAACACAGAAAGCATATAATTAAAAGAAACGCTTAAATTCAAACCACAGAAAATTATCACCAGCCATTTCTAAAAGAAGAAAAAAAAAAAAACTCAAACATATACAGCTTGTCTCAGGTTGTATTCCACTCACCACATCGAGAGCCTCTAAAGCCTCACTAATTGCTTGTTCCAACCCAATCCTTGCCTTCTTAGCCCTAAAATGTATAGAACTTTACATCAGACAACTAAAATAATACAGCGCTAGAAAGGTCCTGAGAGGTTATTCAATTCACGCGCAAGTTCGGAAACGTTCGCTCATCAATTGGCGCACACTCGGGTTGTTCTTGGGTAATTTATCTACGAACGTCACTTACTTGTACTTTTTCTTGCGAGCTTTGTCGTCGAGTGTTCTAAGTCCTTCAGAGAGAGTCTTGAGTCTATCCACTTCAACTTGACTGAATGTATGGTCACCAAACCACATCACCCACCGCTGAAATATGACAGATACAAATACATTATATCACATCGTAAATTTTGCGAGATGCGGTGGCCTGAACAAGCTGTCCGACCGTTATAACTGGCCGAGGTGACTATAATTTGTTCTTGGGAAATACCTCTCACCACCCTGGCCAGAAGTATGAACCAGTGCCTCTCTCCATCCTGATCAGGAGTGTGAATTGTTTGAGAAACCAACTAGTGATCGAGCGAAACCTGTGGTGGACTAGACTCTAGAGCGAGTAGCAAATTTATTGGTCACCTCATATTGCAAAAACCGGGAAAGACGAGGCATGCTGTCCGTCGTTGGAACTATCTAAAAGACTCGTTGTTCATCCAGTTTCATCAAATTTCAGTCCACTTAAAACACAGTTGGTATAAAGGCCATATGAGATTGAATTATAGTAAAATGCTAAGATAAGACGAAACAAAAACATTTCTCTGTTAAGGGACCCAACGAGTGTTATCACCTCAGGCTGAAACAACTTTCATAGAAAAATCAAAATTTTCATGAAAAGGTAAGCGAGAGTTTGGAATCTTGGACTAACTCGTAATTTGCATTCTGCCGCATTCTCTCAAAAATGCGAGCGTAAATTTACAGTGAATGATATAGAAAATGTAGTCATTTCGGCATCAACTCAATGATCAACTTGACACTTCACGTCAACTTACGAAAAGAAATACTTTCCAGATACCTTTCCATCATCAGGTCTTCCTTTCCCAACCTCGCTTGCATCCACGACCTTGCCCGGCCAAGATGGCAGTCCCCTCGCCTGTGCCCATACAATATCACCGATATCAAACTGGGGTCTTGTAATGGGTACGGAAGGCCCACGCAGACATTCTTGGTTATTGGGCGTGTTAGATGACATGGGATTCGTCTTGACATTAGGAAACGCGTTGTCAGTGACCATTTGTACTGAAAAGTTAAAAGGAAAGAAAGATGATGTTTTTGAGTTAGTTACTCGGGAAATCAAAATTCGTGATGCTCATGACCACAGACGAACCCGTGAACTTTTGTTTGGTACTAAGGTTGCCCCATCACATATCCTGCATTGGAAGCAAGCAATTAAGACACACACACATTCTCTCTCTCTCTCTCTCTTGCGCGCGTGCGCGTTACTGGCAATTCCGTAGAGCACCTGCACATGTAACAAGCGGATAAGCACCTCGGATACTCTCTGAAATTCTCCTACTTGACACTTTCAGCTTATCTTATCCATCACAACCTTCCTTGTTCCTTTTTAAGTTACTTTTTCCCTCACTACAATGTCTTCACTTCCTAGATTTTATTTCCAGGTTTCCTCCTATTCAAACGTAGTTTTCTACGTCGTCTACTATTTGCTTATTCTCACCACTTTGGTCTCGTGATCTCTCTTTTTGATTGGCTGAAACGTCTCCGTTATACACCGAGTGAGACTGGCGCTTGTCGCTGACTGGTTCATTGTCGCTGTTTGCTAATCCTGCAAAAAAGTGTGCTATGAAGTGAACTTTATCAAATCGTATCAAATGAACAGCAGTTTACTTAATATACAGGCTGAACAATGACCAAACTGTATTTCGTCTCATATCTCCCAATGTGGGAAAACCCGGATTTAGGCCCTCTGACCACAGGATCTGGTCTGCAATTCTCCACCCAAGCTTCTAACCCTTTCCAACTAGTTTAGTTGAGAGAATTTGGCATTAAATCACCATATCGCTTGCTTGCTGAATAAAGCATCAATTTCGTAAAAATAAAAAGGAAAAATAGAAAAAATCTCGCCCTAACTTCTGAGGTTTAAGGGTACAACCGATACTCAGAGTTCTCTTAGAAACCATCTCTGGTAAATGGTGGCAGGATTATAACTTACCTCTGCTGCCGTTTTCGTTGTTTAAGTTGCTACATTTTTTGCTGGTTACATTTTCTTCCCCTGATTGGTGGTTTACAGGGGAAGGTGAATCGTTTTTTGACACCGTACGATCACCTATTTCATTGTCCTCCTCCTCCTCATCGTCTCTCTCTGGGCTGCAATACGCTTCTATGGCCTCACAAGATCTCTTCAGACCCAGTAGCGGATATGCTTCATAATACGCTGACTCATCATATTTCGCCTTTTTGGATTGATCACTAGAGTCACTATAAGAAGCTCTCTTAGGAGCGCAAGAAGTATCAGATGAAGACGTTTTCGTCGGGTGACTTTCATTCACACTTAACGATTGACAACGAGACGGAACGCTTTCTACGTTGCTTCTACCGCTTGAAAGGGATGAATCACTCTTTGGTGACGCGCGGCAAGCAGATACCCCCTGATTAGGAGGAAGCATAGTCAGTGGTGAGTTCAAGGGAGACGTAACTCCAGGAAGCCTGGGCGACGGGCTGAAACTTGGTGTTTTGGGCGCAGTCACAGACGAAGTACTGACTTCCATACAGCTACTTCTGCTTGATGGAACAGAAAAAGCACTTGAATTAGCCACACTGCAAGCCCCTGTGCTTGTACTCTCAGGAGTACTGCATCTTCGTTGATTTGTTGCTCCAGTTAAACTTTTAGTTCCACACCATGAAGATAGGTGTGGAGCAGGTCCTGATACATCCACCCTTTGACTACTGTGGCTTGTAGCCGTATGACTGGAGGGAGGAGAGAATGCACTGCCAGGATGTGGGGTGGGAGCTGAAGAAGAGTGAGTTGTACTTCCTGAGCTGGTGCTAAACGGCATCGCCACATACCCGGGCACGGCGTGGGAATCTGAGCTACTACAGGCCCCATATTGATGAGGTGTAGTGGCAGATGTGACGAAACTACAAGCTGGTGACGGCGTAGATGATGTCACGGACGGAGTTGTACTGGCACTTGGCGCCGCAAAATTCACAGAAAACGGAAAGCGAGGAGGGTTGACTTGGCCGAACGCGACATATGGCATTGCAGCAACGACAGCTGTCTGTTGTTGATGAGTGTTAGCTTGACTTACGCTACTAACAGAGGGTGATTGTGTACCGTATGATCCAGGTTTCGCTGTATTTAGTGGATATTTAACGGTGTAATCTCCAAGATTAAGAACTGTCTGCCCCATTTGACCGTTTCCACCTGATTGAGGATGCATCGTTCCCATCGATAACATCCTTTGTGCAGCAAATTGCACTGGGGCGTTGCCTTGCACAGCACCCCTTGGCAAAAATGGGGTGTACGCACTTGCTAAATGAGCCAGAGTTTGGGAAAACCTTGGAGACGCAGCTGGTGCAATGGGAACAAATGACTCAAATGCTGCAGCGATTGCTGCATTTTGATTATTGTAAGAGTACGACGCTACTGGGGTTGCCGCAGCAACAGCCGCAGCCGCAGCAGCTGTTGCTGATGGAGACGTTGCTGTTGTTGGTGCGGATTGACCAGGCTGGTTTGGCATAGATTGCGTTAAGGCAGCGGGCATCACAATGCCAAGCATATAGGGGTTCGTGGGGTACATCGTATGAGGGATCCCTCCTGGTGTATTAGATGATGCAGCCTTGTTCACATTAGTTGTAGCAAGAAATGTCGCTGGAATAGCCCCTTGGTAAAGTGCTCCATGAAGTTGATAAGCGCCCTTCAGCTGGCTTGAATCCACATTCATTTGGAATACTTGATTTCCGTTGCCTTGAAAGAAAACACCTCCCTGAGCTTGCGATGCTGTGATCTGCAAGGATGGTATTTGAGACGAGCCAGCTGTATGCTGCGCCTGTCCATAGATGCTCACAGGAGCTGATGTTTGAGCCGAACTTTGAGCCATGGTGGCAGCTGTAACATTCTGCTGTTGACTTGTTGTTGCAAGTGGCGCTTGGCTGCCAAAGGCACCTGACGAAATGGGGTATCCTGGCAGTTGTGGCGAAGGCCTGTGAGCTGGTACCTTCTGGGACACACTTGGTGGTAAATGACTCACTTGGACGCCATGAAGCAAAGCTGTTGTCACTTGGGTTGTTTCCTTGTTTGCTGCAGACTTACTACGAGAGGAAGCACTACTCGCAGACTGAGATCCTCTTAAGCTGTGATTGAGTGCGGCATTTGTTGTGCTGGTAATATTTTTTACAGTAGTAGTTATACTTGGTGAAGTTGAAGTAACAGCGCTACCTTGCTCATTCATTATTGCATCTTTAAGCACACTATGGAATAACGCTGGTGCTTGAACAGTAGTTGCGACACTTGGTGTAGACAGTGCGGGAGATTTCGATGCATTACTGGCTGCCTGCTTCTTCTCAGAAGAGGGAACAGAAGCAGCGGCAGTAGAAGTCGTTTGATATGTTCGTTGAATAAGGTCACTAACACCAGGTTTTACGGCATCAGCTGAGGGATTGGATGCCTTCGCAGCAGCAGCAGCTTTGAGAGTCGCTGCAACTGTTTTTCTTGGTCCATAAGATTTCGTTGCTTTGCTGGTGCGTGGAGCAGACACTTTGGGTGTAGCTTTGACATCAGGAAGTTTATTAATATTGGCAACTGACTTTACACCCTGTGTGCCAGTTGAAATTGTTGTTGTGCTTGTGGACACCATTGATGCCACTGAACTTGATATTGTTAACCTGCTAGGTTCCTTACTATTGGATGGCAAATTGGTTGAGGGAGTATTTGCTGCACCAAAGATCAAAGAACTAGTACTCTTTGGCAGAGTATTTTCTGTTTGGTCTTTAATCGGTTGTGATGCTGCAGCAACTGCTGTGTGCTGATGACTGACAACTACTGTGGTTGCAACAGAGGCTGTAGTTTTAGTAACTTCCATTACAGTCTGTCCCATTGTAGCCAAAGTAGTAACAGCTGATGTAGTTGCTGAGACACTGTGGCTTGGAGCTGAGTTAACACTAGCTGTTGTAGTGGCTGTTTTTGATGGATGTGCTGTCACTGCTGCTATAGGAGAGCCGTTTACCACACTTGTTACAGTACTACTCACCAACTTAGTATTCCCCAGGCCTGCTCCTGGGTTAAAGAGTTTTGAACTACTCACAATGGTCGCAAAGCTTGGCAAGGGGCCCTGTTCAACTGCAATGTTGGCTGGAACACTCTGGACAGGACTGTTGGCAATGGAGCTTGGAACAGGAAGAGGAATGTTGTGGAGTGGTGAGGTTGATCTGTCAAGGTCATGCTTTAGTACAGCAACTCTCCGTGACTTGGATAAGGGATTGCGAGGTCTTCCTGGACCTGAAAACAATACCATCACGACAAAGCCAAGATAAGTTACAAAGTAAAAGGTTTAAAATCTGTGTGTTAACCCTTTAACTCCCAAGATCTGATAGTCAATTCTCCCCTCCAGCTATTACATATTTCCTTTTAAATTAGTTACAAGAATTTGGTGTTAGATCAAGACGACAACTTCTAATTGATATGTTTGAATATTCTCATTACCTGTTGGCTGGATAATGTATGGATATTGCAAGGAGAATTTAGATGTTAATCACTTCTGGGAGTTAAAGGGTTAATCACCCAAATACTAGTGACTAAGAAACAAGAAGGAGAGAAAGAGGAAAGAAAAGAAAAGCAAAATGGCTAATAAATTGATAACAGGATTGATAGCGTATTTATTTAAAGCAATACTTAAAGAGGCAACCAAAAGGGCCATCATGGCAAGTAAGAAAAAGATTATCACTTTTCCTCAAATTTAATGACACTCAGTCAAAATACACTGAACACTTGAAATAAACTGTAAACTATCATATAAAGGGGGTAAGTTTCCAAAGAAACTGTGGTACTGCATCGGTGGGAGAGTATAGCAGGTAATTTAGTGTGAACAACTGAGTTGAAAATGTAAATTGGCCACCATAAAGAGTAAAAAAGCTGACGTTTTGAGTGTAAGCCCTTTGCAATTGCTCTGATTGCGAAGGGCTAATGCTCGAAATGTCAGCTTTTTTGCCCTTTACAATGGCCAATTTGCGTTTTCAACTCAGTTGTTAACTCTAAATTACCTGTAAACTATCATAGTTTTTCTACAGCATTTTTGCCTATCAATGTTCACATACAACACCTCTTTTAGGGGCCACTGCTGAAAATCCTGACAGTTTGGCATCACTAGCTTCATTTCCTGTGGCTTCTGATGACTGCTGAAGGTTGTTTGAAACATCCAAATAGTCAATAACACAGTGTTTGCACCCTGATTGCAAAGGTTCTGCTCTGCTGTTCACTAGAATAGGCTTGCTTGGAATTCTTGCATCAAAGTTGAACACTTTGTGAATGAAAAAGGGACACTCCAGTCCACATTTACAGGTTCCATCTGTCTTGAGATACTCAATCACATTTTCTAAGGACCTCAATCGGCTGTTGTTTGGACTGAAGAGTAATGAAATTATTAGTAAAAATATTCTTTGCCAATTTTTCTGGAAGTATATTTCTGTTGGCTCTTTGCAAAATATTTCCTTGAACTTCAGAAATACCAGCAAAATAACAGTTTCACCCCTGAATCAAACATTAAGGTCATGAGAATAAAGGAAGGAAGGGATTGTGAACTCAAGAAGCTCTTGACTTTGAGTCAAATTCTCCTGTTAAGTAATATTGGAAATGTATAGAGAACGCATATTGAACTTACACACAGATGTTAGGGTGTTAACAGTTACTGTTAGCTGAGTACCCAAAAGGTCTTGAAGTTTTAGTGAAGTGAGTAAATTTACTTAAACAATGTGAGGAAATAAGTAGAAAAGGTGTTCATGTGTATGTATTGTTTAAAAAAAAATGGCAAGATAATAAAAACTTAAAGTTATTTTAGTTAAACATATTAAAATCAGTCTAAAGGAAAATAAGCCTCTTTATAAAAAATTCAGTGATGATCCGACAGAAATTTTTTTAACATTTGTGTATTTAATATGCTATGGGTACAAGTGATTTTTTGAAAATCTAAATGCAATCTGAGAAATTCAAATGCAGAGCCAATTTAAACAAATATTTTACACTTTTTCTATTCCCACAAAAATTACTGCACAAGAAAATGCAGAAATTCTCCTCTAATGATTTCGAGAGAAAATAGGACAATAAGATAACACCTTTCCTAGTGTTTTCATAGACACTTAAAGAATGGACTTCATAACTTCTATTGCATTCTGTCACCTTTCACTACATTTTTCACTGGCCTAACAGGAACAAAATACTTTTCTCAGAAAACAGTAAAATGTAATCATTACAATAATAGTGCTTATTTTTTAACACAAACAGACCATGAATATACCTTTCAATTTTACTGCTACACAACCTTAAAAGTCAAATATCATTTTAAATGGATTTCCAGTGATTACAGCAAAATGTAATAACATTAGCAGAGAAAAGTCCATTATTGGAAATTGACATTAATTGTGACTGACAAACTGGGCTTGATATTTCAGAAATGATAGATGGAAACTCATTTAAGAAAAAAAAATTAAATGAATACTTTATCAATTTACAGATACATAAATACAAAGATTCACCAAAAGTGAAAATTACTTTAATTAGATATTATAATTTGAAGGTCAAGCACCTATGAAAATGACTTTTTTTGACAGATGTTCTTAATGCAGTTTTTTCACTTTTCAATAAAAGCAATAATTGTAGTTTCCATGTCTGCCTTAATGACCACATAGAAATGGAAATAGCAATCATAAAACAAACACATCACGGCAAGAGTTCAGTGACAAATTTTTAACCATTTTTCTCAATTCTGCTAATTAAACAGGTTATTATCCAACTGTGCAAAGTAGAGTACAAATAATGTGCAAATAGAGTACAAATATCCTGCAACATTGTGCAGTTGGTTATTTTTTACTGTAAAAACTATGTTTAACCAGTCCGCTTTGCACACTACACTTCTCTATCCACTTTGCTTTTCCAGCCAGAAATGAGTAGAAAGACTTAGCAGAAAAAAAGCAGTTGGATGATAAATAACTTACTGGACATTTTGGCGTGTTGTATTGCTGAGTATTTTCACTTGTTATTTGTATTTTCACAAGCCTGTTGGGCAAGTCAAAATACAGCACAACTTGTAACAATACTCAGTGATACTATACACCAAAACATCTAATACGATATATTTATAATCCAGTACTGTTTTACATATAAATTGTTTGTCAGAGAGGTGAATTACAACTCAGATCAACACAATCTTTGTCCCATTTTCATATATTTGTCTCAGAATCTGGTTAACCCCCAGTCCCATTTCCCTAGTTTGACAATACTGAACATGTATATTTAGTCAGGCAAAAATCAGGAAAAGTGTTTCCTTGTGTGTTTCATATTTTTGTGATGGTGTGCAATAAATGTTATATTGTTATTTTCTATTAGTAAATACTAGGATGGTCAAGTAAAAGGTAATATTCCTATGTGCCAAGGACTATTCTAGTAAGAGAGGCTATGCTTTAATATGTAAAATAAGGGTTTGTAAGGCCTTCCAATACTACAATTGGCATGATTAAGAAAACAAATATTCCTTTCCTTCTCAACATATACCATTTCCACATGTTAAAATATATTGCCTGCTTTTCAACTTTTTATCAAAACTCAAATAACTAAATTTTTCTCTTATACGTGATCCTATTTAAAGAAAAAAATTATCTTTCATTCAAACTTCATTCTAAAATCAGATCGATTAGTTATAAATATCAAGCACCGCGTTCGAGAGGAATGTTTGAATAAAGCCACGGCAATAAAAAAAATATCATAGAAACCCTTCAATGCAAAAAAGGAACATTCGGTGTATGAAAATTTGCGAAAAAAAATATATCGATCGCAACAGATACTAGAGGCCGGCAGAAGTAAATTCAACGTAGAAACGCCGAAGAAAAAAGTTTTGTGGAATCAGATTTTGGTTTACTTTAAGACTTTCAGACTGTATTTGCTGAAATTCAATTTGTTTATTATGCTCCGACAGAGCGCCGTCAAATAATAATAATAAAGAGATTCCATTGACAGTTCACAGGATGAGTGAAATTAACCAAGTTTAGGCTACTGTTCAGATGAAGTTAATCTTTCATCGATTCACACGCAGAAAAAAGACAGTGGATGAAAAAGCCACAAATACGACATACCTGATGTACAAAATGGAACCATTTTCAAGAATCCGGCTCCAGCCTCGTGGAATTTCAATGCATTTAGGTCCATTGATGGCTTGTTCACTGGTTCCTTGATCACTCATGATAATCCATGAAAATATCTTATCCTCTTAATCGAGTGTACAAGCCAACCCTCCAAGAATCCCACAACGTGACATTTAGCGAACAATAGATGCTTCGATAGCGGGAACTCGCTGGCGGTAACTGTATTCAAACACAAGTTTCTGTGGTGCCCAAAGCGAATCCGCACGCTCAGTGTGACCATCCACAATGCATTACCCCTCTAAACAGAGATGGCTTTAACTCTTTTAGGTCGTTATACCGGTCAGTGTTCAAAATATGATGCCAAATTACCTATAATCACATGTGAGATGAAACAATTCTCCACTAGAAAAAGACCGCCATATTGGATATGCGTGTCGCGTTCTATATTCACGGGGGCCTCCGCTGAAAGAAATATTTGATACGCTGGCTCCTATCTCTAAGCCTTTCACTATTTTTCGTTTTTTCAAGTAGCAGGATTGTCATAACCTCTACCTTCGTCTCCTTTTATTCAGGAAAATGCCTTTTTCCTCGAAAAACCCTTTTAAAACACCACGGGAAGCTCAGGTAATGACCTCTATTCACCAGGGTGGGGAGTGGGGGGATGGGGGGGGGGGTGGTGAAATAGTCAAACTATGTGGGTCAGTATTGCTAACTGAAGGCGTGAAGGAATACATCATCATCTTACTTTTTCAGCTGTTTGTATCCTGCTTAACAACTTGTTATTAGTCAACAAAATAAAAATCACACAGATCAAAATTCTTTTTGTTAAAAATTTGCAAGGGTTTGAGAAGGTTAACTGAGAGAACCACAGTTTAAATGAAAACCCAGTAAAAATTAATCTGCACAGAATACTCAAATAACCTTGAGCATGATTGAGAGACACCCTGCACTCATCTGACTTTGTAAGGTATATCACAACTCTATCCTTCATTGAGTACCTGCTGGAAATCCCAGTTCAAAAGAAACAGCCTATTGAAGATCTTATGTAACCTATTTATCCCTAACACCCTTATAATGCAAGATTTCTCAGTGGTTTAAAAGCTCAGAGAAGAAAAAGTAGTAGGACCTGAGTCTGGATTTCACATCTTTATTAAGATGTTGATCACATGCACTTTCCCATTTAGAAGGGAGCATTTTACCAAACTATTGCATATTTCACAATTCATTAACTCAATTGAGTTTGGCTCAGTTTCAACCAACATGATATGAGATAATATGATATAATTAATTCTCCCATCCAGCTGCTAAACATTTCCTTGTAAATTAGTTATGAGAATTTAATGTTAGATCAAGATAACAACTTGTACCCAATACGTTTGAGTATTTTCATTACCTGTTTGTTAAATAATATATGGATATTTTAGGGAGAAGTTACATGTTAATCACTTCTAGGAGTTAAAGGGTTAAGTGACAATGAATCACAAACTGAATGTCAATCATTATCAACAAGATCATTCTCTTGTCAAGGCTACCAGTATATATAACTGTATGCAACAGGTGCATAGTACTTAAAATACTTCACTTTATGACTACCAAAACACCTTGAGTTTGTTTTAAGTGAACTCTTCCAACAAAGACCAACCTTGCTTACATTATTTCTAAGTTTGTCAGAAATAAGTATATCAGTCTGATCAATTACTTAGTATCCAACTTTGGACATAGAATCTCTAGTGAGTGCTCCAAAGAGATATTGAAAATTTTGTCCCATGAAATATCTATGCAGTTATCTTTGAATAATTAGAGAGGAATTTAAAATAACAACAATTATTGTTTTCAAATTAAATCATATTAGTACTCAAAAATTTTTTGTGCAGAATTATCAAGTGTATTGTACTTTTAATTGCAAGTAATTTTGAGCTCAAATCTCTCTCTCTTCTAAATTTTTATACTACTAACACTTCTTCTTTCCAAGGTTAGTCCATCACAACAACAACAACAAAAAATTCCCAAAAAATTTTCAGATTTCTTGTTACTCAAACACACAAAGGAATAAGCAGGGAAAGAGATGTCCAAACTTACCACTAACTTACCATTATACAGATCAGCGCTCTTAAATATATCTATAACTAAGCAACACCTTAAAAAGTAAAATAAATTATCCTACATCTATAAAAACAATTATGATAAATAATATTAAAGGTATAGGTTTGATTAAAACACTTGAACACCCTCACTACTGCAAATATCCCTTCCCATACTTGCACCATGTTTAATTTTCTACCTGGGTGCAAAAAAAAGAATTCCCTCATTTATTGCTTTAGTCAAAAGAAAGCTGAATTTTCCACAACTCTCCATTCAGATGTGGTGAATTTTGCTAATCCATGTAACAGCCTTGTTCACTGGTGTCAAACATGCATGGATCATCACAAAAAAGGCAAATGGAGCTGAAAAAAAACACTGATGGTTAAGAGTGACATAGAAATCTACACCCACACAAAGAAAAATATAAGAAAATCACAAAAAGGCAAATGGAGCTAAAAAAAAAAAAATACTGACTGTTGAGAGTGACATAGAAATCTACACCCACACTAACAAAGATAAATATAAAAATTTAAACAAAGAGACAAAAATGTGGCTGGTGTATGGAGTATAAAAATTCTGCCTTTAAACCTGCATATTAGGTCAGGGTTAAAACAATACATTTAAGGGAAGTCAAGTCTGAGAGGATTTAGCAGGCTGACTCTACTAGACAATTTGTTTTAATTTATAAACTGAGTTGATAAATAAAATAAGGTAAATTGGCTACTGTAAAGAGTTTGTAAAGCTGAAGTTTCAAGCATTAGCCTTCTGTCAGAGCAAATAGCCACAACAACTCACAAATCCTCTACTTGCTCTGATACTTGAACTTGAAATGTCAGCTTTGTAAACTCCTTCCGGTGGCCAATTTACATTATTTATCAACTTATTTGATAAAACCAAATTATCTTGTGCTACTCCCCCCCCCCCCACCAACCCCTGACCCAGAAGCACAGCCTCTTTAAAAACCTTACTCCCTTGACCCTAGAAAAGCCTGTGTTACAACAAGTGATTTCAAGAACTCAACCTGCTTTCTCCCTCTCTCTTTTGTGCCTACTAGCTTAGTGTCCTAATCCACAACACATAAGCTGCTGGCGAAGGCTAGGACCAGGAACACTATAATTAATTTACCACTGCACTGTGTACACCATTTAACCCTTTAACTCCCAGAAGTGATTAACAAGTAACTTCTCCCTACAATATCTATGCCCTATCCAGCAAACAGGTAATGAGAATACTCAAATGTATCAGGTAGGAGTTGTTATCTTGACCCAACATCAAATTCTCGTAACTTATTTACAAGGAAATATATAGCAGCTAGAGGGGAGAATTGAGAATCAGATCTTGGGAGTTAAAGGGTTAAGTAATAGGGGGTGAAAAATAAATAAACCACAAAAAAAAGAAGTTTAAAAAATAAAATGACAGTGGATTTTACCAATATAAAATATTAAAGGTACAGCTCCTGAAAGCAAACCATAGAAAGGAAGTTGAAACATGACCAGAGCTGTTAACTGTTCTGAAAGGGACAGCTTCTGACCTGAAATACAGTTGAACAAAAATTACTAAAAATGAAAAGAATGATACTTCGACTTCACATCCATGTAAATCATTCAACACAACTTTATTCGTATCTTCACAAACATATTCTCCTGTAAGTTCAGGCCTTTAATCTACACATGAACAACATAAATGAAAAGAATAATTTTTTTTTTTTTAAAAAAGCCCACTAGGATGGATATGTGTAAATGCACAACAATTACATTTATCATTAATTAGGTGCCAACAAAAGAATTTGTATAAATTTAGCCAAATTATATGCATCTGTGGACATAGCTAAAAAAGCCCCCCTCCCCCCCTTCCCCAAAAGAATTCTCCAACTTTGAAGAAAATTTATTGAAATAAAGTTCACAAATAATTTCTTCAATTCTGACTTGTTTTAAGGAACAGATTGGAGCAGCTGAACTGGGTATTATCATTAGTATCAATATGTAAGGACCTATGTGCCTACTTGTTTATTATAATAACAATAGATGATAATGACAATATCAATGACGACAACAATGATGATTGCAGTTTGGTTATCACTTTCGGAGTTTTGGGACAGCAGTTGTGCTTACCTAACAAAGTGATGGGGCAGAACCCAACCATGTTTAGCACATAGATCAGAAGGACTGAAAAACTTGTCCAAAGAACGCAAAAGTTCAAATCCTCTGAATCAGTCCTGAGAACATGATAGTTAAACAGTTGACAAGACATCAAAAAAATAAATCACCATTCTTGTTTCACATATCATTATACACTCATGTCAGACTCCAGACCTCACCAAGATTCAATCTTCATGCACTCTGATTGGTCAAAAAAGCAACCTTTCTCATACTGGTAAGCCCATACTGATTTCATGAAATCAATTTTTGGCCCATGATTTACAAAATTTTTCTAAATACTCCCCACATCATGCATGGGTTATCATCCTGGTAAACCATTGCAAAATGTGATTTATTGCCTTTTCAAACTTTTGTATTAAGGCTCTCACAGTTTTAGTCACTTTTCCTCCTGAAAACGAAGAAAACTGAGGTCACAAACTTAAACATAAATCTACATACGGAGGCTGGGTAAAGGTGTCCAGCTTATATTATACTTACACTACGACAGCAACAATAACAACAATCAACAAAATCCACGAATAATTCAGCTGATAGTATGTCATGTTCTGGCCAAAATTTTCAGGAGCAAGATTGCACTGGCCTCTCAGACATACAGTGAAGAATCTTTTCCAAGGACGTGTTATAAGTGGAAAGACAAACTGGAATCCACTGGTGTCTTCACAAACTCTCGAGGATTCTTTTTCCTTGTATGGTGGAGGATCCTCAAATTCAAAATAGTCGGAAATTTCAATAAAATGATTGACGATGTCTTGCTTTTCCAAGTCGGTGTTATTGTTCACTTTCTGTGTAGTTTCATAGGAAGGAGGAGGTCCAAGTGGAAATTCCTCCACGTTTTCTGACATCTTGTGTGAAATCCAGCACTACTCAAGCTACAAAAATATGTGCCACAGCCAGGGTACTGGAAGAAGAAATCAATAATGATCCAAAACTAAAAACATTAGAATTCTCCTCGATTTTACTTGATCATGTAGGCCAATTAAATTTTAAACTATGCATAGCATTTATCATAAGGAAAATTATTCGTGTAAACTAATCGCAATCTTGCATGTTGAATAATGAAGAAAAAAGATGAAAAAGTGACGCAAGCTCTTGTCATGTATTTCTAGGATGAGATTGTTCGAGTAATCTGGGAAGGAAATGAAATGCGTTTCTTTCGCAGATATTAATCCAAACTTAACTCACATGACGTGACGTTCCTCTTTTTGCGAAGGAGCTCCTCGGTGTCGTAGAGATCTCAAAGTAAATATTTTGAACTATACCTTACATCATTTGAAAACTTTTTCTTCCAAAACTTTTCGAAAAACTAGAAGACTTCAAGTTATGAGAGGGTCATTAATACAATTTCGGTGATTCGATTCAATGTTGTTTTGCTTTTTCTGTACCATAATCCCCTTCGAAATGGGTTCGTCTAGAAGCCAATCAAATTCAAACCTGATTCGCGCTTACAAACACACTGATCTCTTGACTTGCAAAGAGTAATTGCCCATCCTGACAATAAAGTCACCTACTAAACCAGGAGCCGAATGGGTCCGTGACTAAACTCAGTGCCAAGTAGGCTGAACTGAGCTCCTAACTAACAGGTGATGGTGAGAGACGTGGAGGGGGTAATTAGGTGTATGCAAATCCAGGCAAGCCGTCAAGTCTCACCGAGGTATACCTATCTTCTAGAGAGCCTGGAATCCGAGTCAGGACATGAGCTTATCGGTAATCCTTGGCATGCATTTCTTTAATCTGCAAATTCGCTTAATCTTGGCCTCCATCGGTGAGTTTTTTTTTTTTTGAGGCCAAATCCGCCGAAGCTCAAACCTTTTAACCCCCTTCCCCTTGCTGAAACGCAATATTGTTTCAGCAGAAAAAGGGTATGGCGAGGGGAAAAAATGATATAAAGGAAGATTGAACTCAAAATAATCATATTTGGCGAGTTCCCTAGAGAGACAAATGCACATTGACCCTCGGAATTTTTCTTGAGAAAAATTAAGTTCAAGTTCGACATTTCTACACAAACAAAATTTAAGCGACCATCAAAAACGGAGATCTTTGAGATAACTCAGTGAGATTCACTCCCCTCCCCCCCTTCTCCTGCCCTCCCCTCCCGGCCCACTCCTTCTCATAACTTTTCTCATGGTCCATGCCAAAAAAAGTTTGGCTGATTATGGTTTCCCTATGAATATTACAAAGAGAAAAACTCCAGGCTGTTTAAGTACAGTTATCACTTTTATCATTGTTATTTTCAATACGTTACTATTGTTGTTGTTATTGTCGTTAAAGACTTCCTTCAGCTTCTTACATAAAGATTTATTGGGCCCAGAAGATTCAGCTTTCCAGATATTTGAATGAGGGGAATAAGAGACAGCCACCGTAACATGCGTGCAAATGATCGTAGAATAAGTCAAATTTGTCAGATATTCGTGTGATATCAGCTTTGAGTGAAAGAAATATTTAATTGCCTCTTTCCCTGTGTCGGAGTCAACTGTGACCCGATTATTTTTAATTTGTTTTCCAAAAAGTCAAATGCAGCCAGTACTAAATATTTGTCTAAATTTCACACCCTTGCAATTATCCTGAAAAAGGATTGTATACTCAATATGTCAAAGGAGAACAAGGAGAAATGGCTTTCATTATCCTCTTCAATTCTTTCTTGCGTTTGAAAAGATTTCTGTCTCTGCTTTTAGGAGTCTGAGGTCCACTTACGGTTATAGATTATTATATTCAACACAAGGTTTTTTTTTGAGAGTACAATTGCTTACGCAAGGCGAGCTGTCCTCAATCTGGCTTTATTTTGAACACAATTCTAGAATGAGCGATAAAAAATCCAGCCATATTCAAAATATTGATGGAACAAAAGTTTTGCGGATAAAATTGGATTACATTCATACATAACCGGGTCGCATCTATGACACGAGGTGAAAAAGAGGAACAAAAGTAGCCGGTTACGCCCTAGCGCCCTTCAATACAATGCGCGCGCAGGGACGACCGTGTTGCATTTTGGGACATATTTCCCCTATGAGCGTTTTTACCGCCATGATGGATCCTAGAAAATGGGATCCCAAGAAGAAAATTTGTCAAAGTCAGTCTTAAAAGACGACCTGACAGGACATAATGTTCAAAATGCTTTAAATCGATTTCCCTAGAGTAAGTTTCAAAATTTTCTTGAACCTGCACGCTTTGTGCAGTGTTTCAAATTTTTAAATTTGAGCGCCGCTTTGGGAACTTAAGAGCGCGTCAAGATGAGTAAGTCGTTCAGAGCTCGGCAGCTCGATTCCAACAAGCCTCTTCCAGTGTATCGGGCGGAGGAACTACCCGATTTGACGGAACTCAGCGCAATAAATCGTGCCGTACCTCAAATGCCTACTGGAATGGAGAAAGAAGAAGAAACTGTGAGTAAAATAAGTTGTCAACTCGCAGTATTATGCTCATTTCTTTTAGAGGAGATGATGTACAAGTAACATTCAAAAAATTATTTTCACTTCCTAATCGAAACATCGGATTAGGAAAACTGATGATGTTTTGAATCGTTATTTTTGAACGATTTCTCGAGTTTACAAGCTTCGTGAAATGTACTTAAAGTTTGTTCACGTGATATGTGTGCGTAAACCCGCCATTTTTGAACGTGATCGAGGACGATCATATTAATGTCTGCAAAATGCGGAAGTAGCTTCCAAATGGCGCGATCGAAAAATATTTTCGAATTAAGGTCTGAAGTTCCGTTTGCTTGTGTCTTAAAACCTTTTACCTTGGTGCGATGGGAAGTTTTATTACGTTTTGGAAATTTATGCGTTGGCCTTTTTCTTGCCTTACAAGTACGTGTTGTAGAGACTGGCTTCTAAAACTTAAGTTTGATGGAATTGAAAAAATATTTGCTGCCATGGGGACATTTTTTTAAGGGAACAGTTGATGAAACCATTTGAATTAAATTTTTGTAAATCTGGATTTTAAATGGATTGTTGTGAAGAGTACTTCTAAATTTACCTCTAAATTGATTGTGATTATTTTGTGTCAAAGATCCAGTAATTTATCCCTTTATCATTATAATTTTTCTTTGAATTTTAAAATTTATCTGCATAGAATCTCTAAGCAGTGAATTAGAATTTTTTGTTTAAAAATTTATCAGAAGTGATAATAGGACCTGAATTAATAAATGGTCTTGAATATTCCTGGATTAAGTTTGACATAACATGCACACACATGTATTTAATTTTTTAATATGTGGTATTGGGACACTGTCTTATGAAAAAAAAAACAGACTACAATGCAATGTTTGGCAGGAAAAAGTCAAACTATGCTTAAATTTTGAAAATCCCCTTTTGATAGTGTCAAGAGAAGCAAATGGTAACAAGGAGAATATTTAAGAATGGTTATATTGTGCTTATTTAAGCCTTAAAAGTTTTCAAATTCCTGTAAGAAGCTTTTGAGTCTTTTTCTTTAAGGAAACATATGTTATGAAGTTTTATCTTTAATGAAACTCCAAACAGGAAATTGTATAATACACCAGCCATTATTACTTGATTGCAAAAGTGTTCGCATTTTCTACCTTATATGCTCTTTGGAGCTGCAATTTAGAGGTACTCCTCTTTATTAGAAAAGGTCCACATTATGGAGGTTTCCTTTTTTAAGAAAGTATAGTGTACATTGATTTTTTTTGGACAAAGAAACAGGAAGTGAAGCAGCCAGATTTGTTCTTTCTGTCTAGGAACACCATCTTCAGAGAGCAATCTCAGCACAGCAGGTTTATGGTGATACTCAGCAGCTGGTGATACCAACTCCAGACACTGAGGAAATCAAAGATAAAGTTGTTGAATTTCTTTACCATGATCCCTTCAAACAGCCAAAGCAATACATCCATGTCCAAGGTTTGTTTGCATGAACTATGCAAGGGAATAATTATTGGTTGGAATTATTCATGACTCTGTCATTTGCTTAGAACTCGCTCCAAGCCATGTCCTCACAAGGGTGTTCTCTTCCACCTTGAAAAAGAGGTTTGGGGTGAAATTGGCTGTCCTGATATGAATATGATGTTAATTCTAAATCTTGCACTATCTACTTACTTGCAAAGGTCTCCAGTTAAACTGTGGTATTATTTTCAAGTTTTTTCTTTTACCTTCACTAACTGCCAACCCCACTGAGAAGTCCTCTGCCAATGTAAATTGACTTATTATTTTTCCAAATATTTATTAGTTTTGAGCATTAGAGGCTAAGTTGTTTTGTATATTTAGTATCAGAAATTTTATTTTTACCCTTTAACTTTTGATGTACTGAGTGTGTCATATAGGTACATGTGTGATATACTCAGTACGTCACACAGGCGGTAAAGGAGTTAAATTGATCACTATGAAAACATCATTTAGCGATGATCTCCTTGACATTATTTGCAATTGAAGGAATCTTTCTCTTTCAAGCTTTCAATTTTGAAGAGGAACTGCCTGAGTATGATATGGATTCTGAAGATGAGGAGTGGTTGAAGAACTTCAATAAAAAGAAGGTAACATTACGTAATCACACTGAACTACTCAAGCAGGGTATGCATTGATTGCATGACGTTGATGTGTTTGACACATGATGTCTTTCATTCCCTAAATTTTGTTCTTTTGAGGTCAAAATCTATTTATGACATTTGTGGACTTTTTGATCCAGCCTTAGTAGTAACTATACATTTACAAGGTAACTTTTCCATCTTTTGTCTCATGCCTTTCTTGCTGGAGTGGGAGATCTTTCTTTTCTCATTTTAATGATTTTACTCCTTTGCTTTGTAAATATTTGCTTTTTGTTTATCAACAAGTTCTTCAATTCTTTGGGTAGTGGAGTTGATTACACAGAGCACAGTGATGGAGTTCGTTTTTTCTTTGTTTGAAAAGGAAAAACTGAATTTTTTTCTCTTGTCATAGGAGCTGCTGACTCCATTTAGATTTGAACAATTTCTTGACCAGCTGGAGAGAAATTCAGGAAACCAGGTGATTTAAATGACATTTTTGTAATGTTGTGTTGTGTTCTGGATAGTGACATACAGTACTTGGAAAATAACTATCACATAGGGTGTTTTGTAACTGATGACTCCTAACAGAGGCAAAGCCATATATGGCATCAAGGTAAGTGAGTGATGGTCACAATAGAATTCCAATCTTGACCCAATTTTGATCCAATGTTTCCTGGTGTTACTTATTGTTTGTTTTGGAGTACTACTGAAGACAATAAAAATCTCACAATAAATTCAGGATGGCATGTGAAAAAAAAGAAATTTCTCCTTGCAGAAATAACAAAATAGGTTTGATTCACACATCAAGGAAACTTTGAAGAAAAATTTTATTTGTTGAAGAGAGAGAATTTTACCATTTCAATTGGTGACTAATGCCCCAAAGAGCAATTAAATTTGTAAAACCAGCAAAG